TTGGGGCTTGCGGATTCTTGTGCGTGTCTGGTGGCCCTCTTCTGGTTTTTTCGTTGGACTGCCGTGGGGGTCTTGCAAATTCTTAAGAATTTGCATGACCCCCCCGGCAATCTCATAAAAAAACCGAAGGTAGCGCAATGCCCTGCACATGAGTCGACGCATCGACCTGAGTCGGCCACCGTCGGCGCTCGGCTCTTGTCGTAGTTAATTCGTAGGGTGCAACAGCTCACCCGCGGGCTGTCTCTACTCTAGCGGCTGTAGCCCGTGGGAGGCTGCAGAAAAGTGCTTAACTAACTTGAAGCCGGGCGAAGCTTGTGGAGGCTAGTATTATAGATTAATAATATTATAGATTAATAATATTATAGATTAATAAATTTATTAGATTTTTTTTTTGTTATGTTTTTTATCTATCAACTTATAAGAATTTTGTAAAAGTCCTTGTCATAGGGGCGTCAACAATCTGGAAAATTCCTAGCATTGGTGAATTCCTAGCAGTGGTGGAGGTGTTCAACAAATGTTGCTTGATGAAAAGTTTTCTTTGCCATACCAAGATCGGTTGGGTACGATTTTTTTGATGCTGCTTTCGTTTCTTGGCCCCTTTCGGTGGGATTCCAGAGAAAAAAGGTTTGCAAAGCGGAGAAAAGGGCTTTCGTGAAAAAGTGAAGCATGGATAGAGTCAAAGAGGGTTTTTTCCGTTTCTTTGTCCATGATTTTTTCATCTGTTTTTCTTTCCGAGCGTGAGTGTCGATGGCCGAGCAAGAAGTTGAAGTAGAGACGAGTGCGCAAAATGGTTTCTTCTAACCAGGTGAAAAAATATACGTTTTCAACGAGACAACAGGATAAGACCCGATATGCCTTTTTTTTTATCAGCGTGCTGGATTCTTGACGTATTGATGGAGGCGTAGGAGTGGTTACTGTAGTTTGACAGAACCGACAACAAATAAGGGCGAAGTGGTTACTGTAGTTTGACAGAACCGACTACAAATAAGGGCGAAGAGGCATTACGATTACTAGCTCACGCGACATAACCTGCACGAAGAGACTTGAAAGAAATTGTCCATTCTGTCGGAACCAAATAAGCTGAGAAAAAAAATGGGGGGTTGTGCTGGATCTAAGGTCGTTCAGGAGGGCGTCAAGATTGCGGCCGATGAGCCAGCCAAGTACAACGAAAAAGCCTTCGAGAAGAATGTGGATGAAGATGAGGAGGAGCAGGAAGTGGATGACGACGATGACGTCATGTCCGATTCAGCATTCAACTACAAGCCCAGCACGGCTATGAGTATTAGTGCCACTAGTGCCACAATGTATTTCAGTATTTGTTGTAAGATCCATCACCTAGCAATGCAATTAACCTAAATAAAACTTTCTCCTCTGATCCACCAATCACCATCTCTGCAGGGCAATCAGTCTCCGCAGAGGCTTACGGCGCGTGGAACAAGAAGGAGGCTTTTGCAGTCCCAGTCCATCCAAAGACAGACGAACAGAAAGCTCGACTAACAGAGACGCTGAAGAAGAGTTTTATGTTCCGAGCCTTGGACTCAAAGGACATGGATGCGGTATTCTATGTAGAGATAGTTGAGACACCATAATGACGATAGCAACGTCGTTCTTCTGAAGTAACTCGCACCGAAAAACTTTAGGCACTACACCCTTAGCAGTGAGTTTCCTCTATAGAAGTGCATCATCTTCGTATCTATATAATTGCCAGGTAATCGGCGCCATGGAAGAAGTAACTGCAACGGCAGGCGAACGCATGGTCACCCTTGGAGAGATTGGCGAGTTTTTGTTTGTTATCGAGACAGGCGCATTGGAATGCCGAAAGGAAATCAATGGAGTCGATACACTCCTCAAGACTGTGGAGGAAGGTGCTTACTTATGTTATGTAGCATCTCAAATTCATGTTATGTAGCATCTCCAATTCGAATTCCTAAATTTCTGATTTTATCTCCTTTTGTTTCAATTTGAATTCAGTGGGATCGATGAGTTACATCTTCAAGATCATGACCAACGTCATCGCTATCCCCATCCTCATCGTTTCAAGTATTTGAAAAATGCTCTATGGTACTCTCCCTCTAGGAGTTGTTTATCTTGTGACCCTTCTGGCACTGTTCTCTCCGCATTCTCATGGCATATTTGGAAATAGACAGCCGGTTTGCTTTCCTCTTTCTACGTTTAATAGGCTATCCCTTCAAAATGTGATGGATTCGAACATGTTGGCACATTTTGAAGGGACAGCCTATTAAACGTTCGAGCCTGTTGGTGCAAAAGGTTAGCTTAGGCTCTGGCTCATCCTCATACTCCAGTGATGTTGTCAACTTAATCTTCATTCTATAAGCAAGAAGTCTCCATGCAAACTATTCGCCCAGTGAAGACGTTTGATAGGCTATCCCTTCAAAGTGCCCCCCTTTCTACGTTTAATAGGCTATCCCTTCAAAATGCCCCCCAAAAAAATTCCTCTTTCTACGTTTAATAGGCTTTCACTTCAAAATGCCCCCTCCCCAAAATTCCTCTTTCTACGTTTATTAGGGGATCCCTTCAAAATGTGCCCCTTGATGCAAACTATTCGCCCAGGTGATGTCTTCGGTGAATTAGCTGTCCTCTATAACACGGCTCGCGCGGCCAATGTTGACGCCAAGACTGACTGCGTCTTGTGGAAGCTGGGCCGACGATCGTTTAATGAAATCGTGAAGGAGTCAGCGCAAAAGAAGCGCGAACGCTATGAGGGATTCTTAGCAAAAGTTCCGCTCTTGAAGGCCGTGGACGGCTATGAGCGAAGTCATATCTGCGAAGGACTCGTCACGGAAAGGTATTTGCTTCCAGCGTCTTTGTTTTGATAGGATTGTTTTGCCATCGTGACTTCCACTCCGTGCTTTTCTCGCAGTACAAAAATTCTTACCATGAACGAAAAAATAGGGCTCGGCTTCTATCTTAATCCTCGCCGAACCAACCACGCCACCTCCTCACACCTTACCGACACTCTCTCCTCCCACTTAGTTTCGCTGCCGGTGACGTGATTATCCGAGAGGGGGATACCGGAGACAAATTTTACATCGTCGAGGACGGTCACTGTGAGGCAGTGAAAAGTGGCCTCGAGGACAAGGCTCTGAATTACCAAGCGGGCGACTTCTTCGGAGAGTTGACTTTATGTTGAGCAAACTTGTGCGAGGAAGTTCTTGCTGTTTTGAGTAATGTGAGGAACTTGTTGTGAGTTTTTTGTCAAAAGTATCTCCCTCTAATGCTACAGCACGGGTGCTATGAACAGTACTATCAGGGGCATACACGACATCACATACTACAGCACTCCCCGCCCTTTTCCCTCTGTCTCTTCCCTGAAGCTCTAAGGCCTCTTCTGAAAGACCAAGTACGACAAGCAACGGTAACCGCACTCGAAGATTCGAAGTTGCTCATGCTCGATCGTCGTGCCTTCAAGCGACTCTTTGGCGGATCAGCGCAACTCGCAGATGCCTTCGCCGAACAGGAGAATAAGTACAAACAACAGTAAATGTAGATGTAGTTGTTGTGGTGGGAGAGTAGAAGTCGTTGTGCTTATTATACTTGAAAGCGAGATCAGTAATTTTAGACGTGGTGACTCGAAGATGTTACACGAAGGAGAGAATTTTTATGACATGGCGTCAAATACTAGTTAGGTGATTACTAGAACTGACGAAAAGACATAGTTAGAGAGGCGGCGGATACGAACAAAGTGAGAGTTATATTCAGACTAGGAGTCACGGGGTGGCATCATTTGCATGGTTTTGCGGACTTTGATTTATTCTGAGGTCGTTGATTAGATGTCTAGGCTTTCAGTTTTATCTCAAGTACATCAGAGGATCAAGCCTTTAGTTAGTAGTCTACGCGAATACCGAATAGATTTTTTAGACGCTCTCCCTCAGGGTCAGAACCTCGTCGCCGTTACAGATGGAAGAGTACTCACCTAACGACGAGGATGGCACTTCCTAGAGTGATAATAGCACACATACAAGAGAAACGAGGCCCATGAGAATGAATTACCAGAGAAATCATAAGAAGCGTTTTCACTTAGAAAGAGCTTGACTGTATTGCTCTGCTCACAAAACAAAGTAGTAGTAGTACACATCGCGGCCACATATCATTTACATAACCAGGGATCATGTCGATCATTCCTGCACTTCCATGACCTTTCTACTCTTTTTGCACATAGTATTCTGTTTTGGAGGCGAACAGTATGCAATCACATGAGTTTTCGTTATTCAAAAGTTGGGGCACTTTTTCTAGAAGATAGAGATACTAAGTTTGAGTTAAGACACCGGCCAAAGCCTCCAGCTCCACAGCGGAGAAAGACAGACACATGAGGGGCCTATTGCTCTTCTAACCATTCAAGAATGTCAAGACAGGAAGATGCGAAGATATGAGCCGTTGACTAATTTGCCCGTGGGGTTTCGGCTCTAGCTTTTCTGCGGCGATGGCCGTTGTGCTTCGTCGTCTAGTATTTTTAGGTGCCTGGCCGTTGTGCTTCAGGATTCTCGCAGGGTAATTAAATGTTCGTATGGCGAGGAATATAGACCCAGGCCCCAAAAAAAACATACAGGGAGACCCAAACTGAATGAATGAATAAAGGAAAATCACTGGGTTCTTGCTTTGCAATCCAAGAAATTACGCGTCGAAAAGAGGCATGTTGTAAGCCCTTGGCCAAACCCTGTGGATGGCGGGTCGCATCCTAATCCTAATCCTAGAAGACAGACTGAGCAGAGAGAGACGAAAATAGAAGACTAGGAGCCGAGAGCTCACTGGAGGAGACGAAATGGCACCAGCAAGGGAGAAAGGTACAACTGGCGACTTGTTCGGAACCTTCATCAACAACAGCCGTGGCGAGGCCGCGAGACCTCCATCCTCGTAGTCTGGGTTAGGTGGAGTCTCAATTGCGCACTACATATTCAACACTCACAAAAATCGCCACACTATACATCATACGACAGAAGATCAATCGGCGATCTTTGTCTTTCAGAGATACAACAACAGTCACAATGTTCAAAACCGCAACTGCGAAGGGCGGCAGTAAATATGAGACCGCTAATCGAGGAGAGGAAGAAAGACGGGAGGAAGGCAGCGAAGTAAGGGCGCAAGTTAAGATGTGGAAACTGCAGCTTAGTAGGTAGTACTTAGGTTTTTTTTGAGTACAACGAACTAGAAACTCGGGGTATGATTGGGGGCGAACCCTTTTTATTTTGAGTACAACTAGAGACTCGTGGTATAGTTAGGAACTTACGTAGTTGCGGGAAAAAAATCAAAATTTTGAAGACCTGTCTGAGGAACGAAATCCATCACAGTGAAAAGCTCCCACCTCCCTGCTACATCTCCCGCTGCGCCTCTATCTTTAACCAAGCGGCGCGTCAATGTGTGCGACAACTCCGGTTACATCCTGTCCTAGGTGTGCACTGGCTTGGATTAGTCGACAGCCTCGAACAACTATCAAGACTAGCGCAGCTGGAGAGCCTGATACCGACAGAGGCCGCAGTAGGAGAGCAGAAAGGTCGTGCTTCTATATTTTATAGGGGAGCAAAAGTGTCGCGCTCCTATATCCTATATTTTTTCATTCGGAGTTGTAGTTGAAGAAGATCGTTGAGGTCTTATAGAGAGTTCGAGTTCAAATCAACTTCAAACGCATTCACTGAAGATGGTCGCACTTACGATTACCTTCAGACACCAAAACAGGCAGAGTAACCGAATCTGACGGCACGCTATGGGATCAAGCTGCGCATGAAGATGCCATCAGAATACTAGTGGAAGAAGCAAAAGTGAATGTGTGTCTCCGGATGATGATAGAGTTCAAAGATTATGGGAGTATTGAAATGGAAAGTAAAAGCCATCGCCTTGGTTTCAGTAGTTCTCCTCAATAGCTGCCACTTTTGTTAGAAAAGCAAATAGTTCCTCTTCCTCATCACGTCGCGTCTAATCTGAATGGCAATTCGCAGTCCGAGGTCCAACAGCGCAGGAAGCGCGACTAAAGGACGCAGCAAGAGCGATGGACGTGGATGAAGTGAACCTGTTACGAAAGTGCAACCTTTTTGAAGAGTCGTTAGGGCTTTTGCTACTTCGAGGCTTCATGCATGTGGAGACACTGCAGTTGACCGACTGCGTGCTTCTGCTGGAGCACGTAGCGATGGTACTTTTGCTGAATGCCTTTTCTAGAGCATGTACTAGCGATGGCACTATTGTGATTTGAAGGATGCTTCTACTCTTCATTGGGAAGCGCCTATACATAGATCACCACCCCAGATCCTGTCCCTTGCGCACGAGAGGGTCGGCGAGTATAAGGAGACGCTGAAGAGTCAGGAAAGTGTCGTTATCTACTACTTCACGGCGTTGATGAAGCACTCAGAGGCCCTAAACAACAGTGAAGTGTTGGCGAAGACAAAGGAACTGCGCGTAGTTCACCTAGTAGTGAGGCATATGCTGCAGAGGAAAGACGACTATGCTTTGGATTTTTTAGGTACTTAGTTTTTGAAGCTGTAGCTATTGTGGCGCTAAGGCGAAGGGGCCGACAGTGATGCTGCAGCTTCTGTTGCTGTCAGGGTCCAGAAAAGGGCACTCGCGGGGCTTGAAGTAGGCAGCTGATGTCCTGAGAGCAGCACTAGCAAATATTATAAATGCTATACCCTCGGTCACCTGTAGAGAAGAATGATCGCCCTCCATCATGATCATTCTCCATCACATTCTCTACCAATGCCTGTCCTTTCATGCTCGTCAGGCGTCGCTGTTGAGGGCTTTGCGAAGTTGGCTGAAAACGAGGACTTCCTACCACAGTGGAAGGAGTTTTTCGCGACGAAAGAGGAGATGGAGGACTTCCTGAAACTGCAAGGGATGCTGGAGGATATATTGTTATGGCTCTCAGCTTTAGAGTTAGCGCAATCCGTGACAGAAGATGACAAAACCGTACCGACTAGAACTAGAGGTAAGGAAGCCAAGAAGCGAGTTAGAATCTTTCTAATGCCGAAGCGGTACCCGGATAAGAAAGCGGAAATGCGGCCACTTAGCGACTTGCTGAAAAAAGTAAAGAAAGCAGCAACATAAATAATGAGCACCCTCTTCATGAAGTAATGCGAATTTTTTGTAGGTACGAGAGTACAACGAGTCAGATGATAAGGCTTAATCGATACTAGAGATATTGACATCGTTCTATCACAATCTATCAATTATGATTTTCACGCATGTGGCATTGAGAATGCAAGCGCTGCTGTAGATCTTTTTTCTCTTGCTCGGCACTACTAGAAAGACGGCCGACTCCGTTTTTTATCATATCACCCACGAGTGCTCTTGAAATTAATGGAAAATTTTTTGTAAGGAACGACGTCGACGCGAGAGCTTCTTCATTTGCATCTTCATACTCGTAGACCGATGCTGTTCTTTGTCTCGGCACGACGCTTTTTCTCTTCGACTTCCTAAAAAATAAATGTACCACTTCCACCGCTCACTCTTCCATAGTAGATTGATTCTAGGCACAACGTCGCAGATCCATATATAATTGTCAACTTTTTGCGGCGGCACGTCTGAAGGTGTGACGCCCGCCGTTTTCGTAGGGTAAAAATGAAATTAGTGCAATAGAATAGGGGCGGTGGCGGAAATAAGAAATATCTCCATCTTCTACTTTTTCTTACAAAAAGCACTTGGTTTTAATGTTGATTCTCAAGCTCAACACTAGGGATGATAAAAATGCAAGGCCTGCCTCTCTGTGAAAAGAGCAAAGGGCGCCCATTTCTTCCTGATGATGGTGACGCATTTTGCAGTGAGAAGCTTTGCCTCTTCCTATAGTTTGGATAGATGGGTCGGAGAGGTTATTGTTACAAATCTCTATCAAGTCCATCCTCGTCCACTATGAGCATTGTTTTTTAGTACTCAGCCAGAGTATAATGACTCTTCAACCATATCAAGACGCTGCAAGTTGCCAGATACGAGGGCCAAAGTTATACTCTTCTTCAAGTAAAGACTGCTATGGTGCGAAGATATTCTACACATGAAGTAGATCCGCGTTCGTATATCGTACCGTCTGAGACTCTCTTTTTGTAGCTGAAGAATCAAAATGCAATCGCTCGCGGAACTCACTAGCTAGCCCTGCTGTGAAAAGAAGACCATACTCCGACAACGTCAGGACTAAACGCATCGTCCTCCACGCAAGGAGGTTTCATTAACAGTCGCAAACAGCTGGCCGATTGGTGAGCAAAAAATCATGACAACTCTATCTCCACCTCCTACGCGACCCCCTTCGGGAGGCACTATCGCTGCCGCTGCTCCTTCAGGAGGCACAACAGCTACAACATCTTCGCTGACAAAATCTGAAGAGCACAAAAATAATGTCGACCGCCGTGATGTTGACGCTCGGCCGTTCTCCTCTCCTGCTACGTCGCCTGCTACGTCGTCCTCCAAAGCCGTCTCCCCATCGACTACCCAAGCTGCTGCAGAAGGCGGGAGCGATGCTGCGCTACTAAGTCACGGTGGCGGAATATCTAGGGCACTATCTCAGTCGGGATCCTCAGCCGCAGACAATTCTCAGCGAACTGGTGCAGAAACTCAGGAGAGTGCGACACTTCGACAGGAAAGTGCGAGACTGAAGGACCAAGTAGCACACCTAAAAGCAGAGTTACAAGCAGAAAAGCAGCGAGGTTTATTTATTTGATTCATGCATGGCAGACTCCTCGGGTCTTAATAATGGTGTAGCGTCATCATGTACTAAGGTCTGCCATCGTAGTGCCGTAGATTTCAACCAGCCTCGTTTTCATCAGCTATCAGATTTCAATTATCGTCATAATTGCTGGCGCTTGATTATGCATACTTCTCCAGGTAGGAGTATGGTTATGGGTTCATCCTCTTGATTTCAATACATCTACAGCATTGGTGAGCGATTTCATAGACGATGCAGGTGGGGACGCACCTTTAGACGCACTAAGAATACAGCTACAGCGACGAGCTGCGGATCTAGTGCATAGAGAATGCGCAGTAGAGACTCGGGAACAACGGCTAAGAGCGGGATATCATTATGGACTCACTTTTGATTGTTGCTCTTCTTGATCCTAGCGTATTAGTAATTGATGTGGCTTAGTAACAGAATGCTACGAGGCGTAGTGTACTCAAGTATCTATGCAGATTAAAGGTAAACTTTACTTGTTTTGGCCTTGTATTCCATTGCATTTCCAGAGGCTGAAGGGGTTAAGGCACAGTATAAAACCAGTATTCTTAGTCGTGTTCAGTCTGTATTGTAAGCATCTGCAGACGCGACCTTCCTAGTTTGTTGAGAGTGATGGCGAAGCTTCGGGATTCGTTTCTTGCAGAAAAGAAACTGAGCTCCTCAGAAAATGAATTCGAATTAAATGGGATAAAGTCAGAAATTCTTAGGATTAGAGGACTCCAATTCAAGCGGTGACATCTTTTAGATGGCTAAAAGACGCCACTACTCTGATGAGAATCATGGCGAAGCTTCGAGATTCATTTCTTGGAGCACGTGGCCAGGAAATGAATTCGAATTAAATGGGATAAAGTCAGAAACTCTTAGGATTAGAGGACTCCAATTCAAATGGTGACATCTTTTCGATGGCTAAAAGATGTAGAGCAGTGCTTTCTTAGCATATTTTGGCACTAAACTGCATAAGTCTAGCTCTATTCTTGTTAGAGCGTCAGCGTGTGGCTGTAGGACATTACGACTCTGATGAGAATCATGATGAAGCTTCAAGATTCATTTCTTGCAGAAATTGAGCTCCTCAGGAAATGAATTCGAATTAAATGGAATAAAGTCAGAAATTCTTGGATTTGGTGACTTCAAACCCACACTGCACTAGTGCTTTTTCAGTGGGTGGCTTCAAATTCACACTGCGCTCGTGCTTTCTCAGTGGGTGGCTTCAAATTCGCACTGCAGTAGTGCTTTTTCAGTGGGTGAAGGACGAGATCACGACGATGCTCCAGCAAGCCCTCTAAGCATTGGGCTGCCCGCCATCTACAGCAGCCCCCTGAATGGATAAGTAAGCTAGGACTCCCAGTTGTACTACTACTTTTAGACGACTACTAATCTAGTACCTTTTTAAAGATTCAAGATTGTCCGAAGGCGTCTAATTTCGCACTGCCACATCGAGGTCGCCTGAGGTAGAAGCGGCGTCGAACTCTCCAGAATTGATACCATTAAGGATACTGTCCGTCGTAGTAGTACTAGGATTTCAGTATACCTCACTATCTTTTCCATCTTCTTGGAGTATTTGTTTCCTGAGTAGATTCATTCTCCTCTGACCTCATGGGGCATCCAGCTGTAGAGGCATTTACTCAGCTCAGAATAGTGAGAAAGTAGAGGAGGCGACGCAGACGTCCTTCGTATTTTAGAATAGTGCGGCATCATCTCTACCAACAGCTGATCCGGCGCTCAAAGCGCAGGGCTGAAGCAGGAGCCCGCCTAATTCTAATTCTAACAGCGTACTATCTCTAGTGTCATCTCTACATTGTGGACTACAGTAGTAAAACCTACGCACAAGTTACTAGTTGCATAAAGTAGGCCAAAATCTAGACACTCTAATCCCAGACCCAGGAGACGACTCCCGAGTAGACGAGAATGATAAGATTCGACGGAAATTGCTAGCAGCTGAGAAGAAACTCCAAGAGTTAGAGAATGGAGCGAAAGCGGAGATCGAGGCATTGCAGTTCTGGGAAGTGGTACACGAGAAGGGCGTCGCATACAGACACGAACGCGGAAACTTGGACGCTAGAGTGCTCACGAGACTGGTATATGAGGATGGTTTGAAGTTTGGTAGAGTGCTCATGAGGCTGGTATCTCTACGAGGATGCGTAGGTGGTGGGTCTGTTTATTTCATTAGAGTCTCAATGTTTGAATTCAAAACTGGACAAACGGGCCACCCATCTGAGTACGACGACTAATCGTTTTCCTAAATAGAATTGCTACGAGATTAGATACCATAAAGACGAGTAGAAGAGAGAAATTGCCCGAAGAATCCTGCGCAAAGCACATGAGAAACAGGGCCCTCGCTATCAAGAGGTAGTGGCTTGCTGTGAGTACCGGAATGGTTGGGTCCGGACACCGGATGGATATTGGCTTCCAGTGGAGGTTAACGGCAGGCGAGTCTTAGACGCCTTTACTGAGCCACATCATTAAGATTCCAGCTACTCCATCTCTTTTATTATCGGGACGGTAGCGATATTCTTGATGAGGGGCCAAATCCGAATCGACTACCGTCACCGTCGTCGATAGAGGGATCCACCACACATAGCTGGGCTATCATTGGGGTAGCCAGCTCTAACACCAGCGATCTGGCAGTGAGCAGGGACTCTTCCGCGAGTTATGGAGCAGCCTGAAGCAAAATTGGAGAGACGCCGCGGATCACTTCCCAGAAGCTCGAGATGTAGAGGAGGATGAAATGGAGGGAAGAGCTTAAAGACGCAGTAGAGGAGAAGGACACTCGGGAGAGAAGGACGCTCGGGAAAGAGCTTGATTACAAATAATACGTGAACACGATATGACTGGGAGGCCCTTTGGAAACGTAGTTGACACTTTCCATTTGACTCTTAAAAAATCACAAGACAGCACAACGACTACGACACTTCACTTATTACATCCAACCATTGAACTCATCTACATCAAAGTACACGGACGCGCGCCATGGATTTGCTCAGAACCTTCGGTTGCATTGTATTCTTGAATTGAAGACGCCAAAGATGCAAATCCATCACTATCATGCAATTATTCCGCAAACTGCATTGACACTCAATTACAACGACAGTATTTGACATTCTTGTTCTTGCATACTACTTAGAGAAATGAGTCGTCGTTGACGGAGCTTCTTTCACTAAGAAGCTTGCTATTCGAAATTTTTCGACAAGAGCTGTGTTCTCACCTCCATGTGTAGTTGCACGTGGAGAAGAGCACAAGATCACAGTGGATTTTTTCTTTTTGATTCAATGACGTGCAACAAGCTCTGCATAGACGATTCTCACAAACAGCAGAATACTTAAAGGAACACCTGCCTGGAAACTGTAACCCCACAGTTCGCCACCCTGAAGATATCAACTAAACGGAGTGCCTTCCCAGTTTTAGTATCGTAGAAATTAAAAAGTTTTTGCATGAAGAAATTTATATCTCGAAAAAACATTCTATTCGCCTCCTGATCGAGGAAAGAACGAGAAAAAGAAAAGAGCACTGTAGCTCTAGCTCTGAAACCGGATCAAGAGTTTAGCGTGCTCGGCGACTTTTGATCGCGTGCAAAAATTGTGGCTATGAAACAAGCGCTTGCTGTGACTGGACGTGCAGCATACTGAGCCTGGAGTGACGTGAGGCTTGTGAGTACGATTATGTGAGGCGACAGGTTTTATTACCTTAGAACTCATGTCAACAGACCGGCAGTCCGGGCGGCGGGCCTCGCTGCTGCAGGATCGCGGGCGACTCTTTTCTGTAAAATGTTGGGCTACCGACGAGGACCTGGATGAGTACCTTTTTTGTTTGAGATTAAGAATTTACTACGGCTCTTTGGGAACATCGAAGACAAGGTCAAACTTTCACCATATTTTGGATATTAAGCAATCGAATTGTTTACTACCTTCAACGACAGCGCTGCGAGGTTGTCTGCTCGTTTGCGGCAGAGCCGCAGCCTGCCTGCCAAAGAGGGAGCACAGCAAGCTGAAGGTGAGATAAAGCAAAAGCCTAAGGAGGATCCGAACGCGGCAGCCCGGTCACGATCGCGGCGACGATGTTCCGAAGCCTTCATCAAGAAGCACTCTCTTCCTCCGCGGTCCTGCAGTTCGCCTCAGCGTGGAGAGAGGAAGACGTGGGCTGCTGGGTCGCCATCTGGTGATAGCAAGGCCTCTGCTGGAGGCACGGAAGCGGGGGACTCGAAGTCGTCCGGTAACAGCACCGCGGGAAAAAGTACGTGCGGTGGACTGAAAGGCGGGGGAAGCAAGCCAACGGGCGCAGGTCAACGGGAATTGGCAGGAGACTCGCCCGCGGAGTCTTCTCGCTGTAGCAATGCTCGAAAAAATGCTAGTTCTCATCCTTCACATGGCACGGACGACCGCAAATCTTACCGTCAAAGTGTCCCACTTTCCTCCTCGTCACCGAGGGATCCTTCTTTGCTGGATGGGAACGGTGGGACTAAAACATCAAACGCTATCCCAGTGGGCGCTCCGAGTCCACACGCAGCTGGTTCTTGTGGCGCTGACTCAGGCCACAACTCCCAGGCGTGGCGGATGACCCCCAACAAAGGCCTTGCCGCTGATTCTGTTAAGGCTTTGGTTCGTAAAAATCATGTTCATCGCAGTAACAATCTACGCTTGTGAGCTGAAAGACAATAAAGGAAAATTCTCTAGTACTTTGTCGCGCGCAGATACTGATGCTTTCCTTAACAATAGAATGGATCTCTGATGTAGTGAGGTCTAAGAACGACGCGCACGGCAGCTCTAGGCGACGTCCAGACCAGAAACAACAAATAACTGAAGGCTTGACCAGTCCGTCGATTTGTAACAACGAGAGACCCTCGCTGTGGACAAGTCAAAAGAACTTAGGTGACAGTCCCGCATCCGAGGACTTCTTCCCGAATTGTAAAAGTGCACTTGCTCCACTCCTGTATGGTAGCAGAAAATTAACCTTTATGTCGCGTGGCGATTTGGTGGATCCCTCGGAACAGCAGAGCCAACTCGGTCGAGAACCGCAAGAACCGCCAGGGGCTGACGAAGACAACAGCACCTATCCGATCGTGCTTGTCTTTTTCGTGATTTTGATCATTAAGGCCAACTAGCTCCTTCTGTTTGTTAAAGAAGAGGCGTTTCTTAGAATCTACGTCTTACGAGATCATTAAGGGCGATTAATTCTGCGCCAAAATTTTTTGCGACAAGACTAGAAGATAGATTTCTCTTATCCATGAAGCCTGAAGTTTGACTTCGAAGATGGTAGACGTAGCTCAACAGCTATGTCTATTTATGTGTATGGTCTTGTGTTAGGTTTGGCATCTTCGCAGAAGAAAAAGCGTACCTATAATGAAAAGAGAGGAGACCACGAGCACGGAGTCGTCTAAGAAATCTCTAAAGTGAGCATGTGCTGTGGCTGCGCGACAGCAAGTTTTCACATGGTGATAGATGCTGCTGGCTGCCTTCTAGGGATCAATGGCTGCGCCGACTGGGAGAAGTTCGATGGTAAAAACGAGTACTTACTGGAGCGGACAAATATCGACATCTATTTGGGTTCGCTTGTTTTTATGATTCTCCAGGTTGAAGTGAACTGTTTTAATGTGAATACTACAACAAGCAGAATGAAATAGTAGCTATGTCTGTGCAGTCAGGTGAACATCGATCAGAACCATCGCCGCTTAGATCAAAACCCGTTTGATGTCATTAAGTTGGTTGCTGATCGTAGGACGAGGGTCTCGATCTTTTCCTATCTTCATACTTGTGTGCACTGTAACCGGCGGACTTGTGGGTGTCCTATTTACTCGGTTACCGGCTCACATCCTGAGGCAAGTTAAAGGAGGGGGCAATGCGGAAGCACTGGTCGCGACAGCGCAAGGCGAAGTTAAGTCTCGTCTCCGTATTTCGTTTCCTGTTCCACGACGTTCCTCAAATCCTAGAGTCGCAGAATCTAGAATCTGGACCGCGGACGATATGTGTTTAGGAAATGAATTCTGGTTAGCAGGAGCTCTAATGAGATGATTCCAGTTTTTCCGCATGCTCTGTGCCGGTTTATCATCACACCATTGTATCTCGGCGCCGGACACAGCCTAGGTGGAGAAGGGCCGACCATTCACCTCTGCACTAGCATCTCGACTTCCATGGGATATTTCTTTGGTAGACCTTTTGTGCTTGTGGTAGAGCTGTGAGCGTTATTCAGGGTAGAGTTGAAGCGTTTTGTTGTGCAGTGTATGATCCCCTCTAATATCACTACTCGGAGGTGGACTTCTATGTGAATGCTGTTGCGACCACTCAGTAACGCGATTCTTCTTGTTGCACATAGTAAAGTACTAGACTTAAGCGCCCGGCAGCACTCATCCCACTAGAATCCTCCACCCTCTGCGCGCACTCTCCCCGCCATTGCGTGGCCCCGCTTGCCCGGCCCCTTCCCTACGCGTCAACTGTCTGGCGGAGTTGATCGGTGGAACCGTACAAGAGCCGGGCTCTTGGCGGCCTGCGGCTATTGAAAAGGCAGGCCTGGAAATTGTAGACCCGGGAGCTTGCTGGTCTTGTGTTAGGTTCGGCACCTTTGCGGAAGGCTGAAGCGTCTCACCTTCAAACCTATAAGATTCGTGTACTTCGTACGGAAGAAGGAAACGAACGCAGTCCCAAAAGTTTAAGTTTTCGCAGAACGGTGGGCGAGGCGTTGGCGCCTGGGTCTTAGCTGAGCGAGATGCTGAATTAGCTGGCTAGCTATGTAGCCTAATAGGGTCAGCCAGGCACGGCCCCCCAAAGGCTACACAGGTGGCGAGGTTTTGAAGTCATGGCTGCCGACCCACCTCCAGGCTTTCGAGCTACATGGCCCCAAGCCACCCCATCCGGGCGATCGCCGTGGGCGGGTTTCCTGGTTTGAGGTTGCTCAAGGAGTTCGCCAGTTTGGCCATCTGGTTGTGTCTGCGAACGCGTCAACGATGACGGCCCTCAGGTGGCACCTAGTGGCAGCTGCTCCCCGCTAGGTTCTGCCAAATAAAAGCGCGCTTTTTTCTGACATCGTTGGAATAGCAGTGGGCCAGCTTTGAGATCGTTTCTTTTTTGGATGGAAACTTAATGGTTCAAAAAATGACCTTAGTCGCGTTTTTCGTGTCATCGGTGACGCCAGGGATGACCCCTAGCCACCACCCAAAAGGGGCCAGAGGCTGGAAACGAGAAGAGAGAGGCTAGCAGTGGAAAAAAGAAAGAATAAAGTATGAAGCTCAATACTTCAAGCGCTGGCAGCTGGGCCCGCAGGCGCCATCGCTACCACCTGGCGCCGACCTTCTTAGCCTTTGCAAAAGCTTCGCAGGCCTGTTCGAAGTTAAGAGGCGCTATTAGCTCGCTTCTTCAATAGGCAGCCAACTTCAGGCCAAGGAGCCGCCGACCCGCCCACCGTTTGGCGAAGACTTAAACTTCTGCGACTGGGTTCGTTTTATTTTCCTTCCATACTTCGAAGAAGCTTGAAGCCTTTGCGTTTCTTTTTTTTTGAAGTTCCTTCGTACTTCTTCGACAAGATCAAAAACTTTGCCATTTTCGCGCTTTCAAGTTTGGGCTTCAGTTTTTAACTTCCTCGCACAAAGAGCGAACCTAGACGCCAGGGTGGCGCGCTGTAGGTTTCAGCCTGAAGACTTGATGCTGCAAGGCAGTGAAAGACTTCGCGTCATTTTTTTTTTAAAGTTTAGGCGTCTTCGATAAGGCCAGAAGCTTTGCCACTCTCGTGCTTTCAGATCTGGAATATCGACGAAAAATGTTCCAAAATCCTAATAAAGCTCCTAGGTCTTAACTTTATCGGCCAAAGAATAAACTAAAGCGCCAGGGTGGCGCGTTGTAGGCTTGCTTCAGGCTGAAGGCTTGAAGCCTCAAGGCAGTGGAAGGCACTGCGTTCATTTTTTTTGAAATTAGTCTCTCTTTCTTTGATTTGATAAGCCTTGCTTGCTACGTACTTTCGCGCTTTCAAATTTGAGGCTGTTCAAAGTCCCAAAGTTTTTAACTTTATCACCAGCGGAATAGATGTAAGCGCCAGGGTGGCGCGTTGTACGCTTTAGGCTGAAGGTTTGAAGCCTCAAGGCCGTCAGTGCATAAGGTCAGAAGCTCTGGAGTTCATAAGTTTGGAAGTTCATATTAGAAGCTCGTAAGTTTCATAAGTTCGGAAGTTCATATTAGAAGCTCGTAAGTTCATGAGTTCTGGCGTTGGGGGTTCGGAAGTGGAAGCGGGAGAGTTTGGGGCTCGAAAGTGGAAGAGCGAGAGTTTGGGGTTCGGAAGTAATGGCGTGAGAGTTTGGGGCTCGGAAGTGGAAGAGTGAGAGTTTGGCGGGGTCGTTGTTGATTTTTTATCCAGCTCTTTAGTATTCTCCACTTCTACGACATCACATTCAGGCCTGCGCACACCACAGCTGGTGAGTATTCTTTGCGTTCTGGGAATGACGGCGGGGGTCGCCGCAGCGTTCAACTGCCCGGTCGCAGCCATTGTATACGCCATGGAGGACTTAGGCCCGCTTACGGGGACGCTATCGCGCCCAATGATTGGAATCATGTCTCTCGGAAGTGTTTTTGCGACCGTTGCGCTCCGCATGTTCTTCAAAGACCACACTTTTTTCACGCTTATGACGAGGTTGCTGCCTCAGCCTCTAATATGATTGAAGTATGTCGTGTAATTAGAATTTTCTGACACTACACGGCAGGTAATAGTAAGTATGCACCTCCCGATATTACATCGTTTTTTTTTGCGTTCATATCTGTTTCGATCTACAAAGACGGCCTTGAAGACCCGCCGTACCAGTGTCTGTCGTTATTGTTTGCTGCAGTGATAGGGTTCTCGAGTGCGGGCGTCGGCTACTTGTTGAACGTATCGCTGCTACGGATGCGCGCCCTCATTAAGACGTGGACTACGGGTGGAAATCTCACTGATATGCTCCTATCCCAGTCAACCATGAAAGTCATGCAGTCTCGTTTTTCGGTGGCCATTTCCGGAAGTACTGGCAGCATGGAGTCTGTACCACTGACACAACATCACCAGGAATTAGAAATCTAGATAAGTCCATCATGCTCGATTATGGGTATTTTTCCGTCATTCAATTTGATGATTGAGCTCACTCCGATTCGCATATGATTCATTTTTCAGTGTAGAGAAGACGGTACTTTACTGGCTTGATTGTCCATTATACAGGTGGAGCATCATGGAGCTTCGATAGAATCCCAGAAGAAGAAGAGTTTGGGCAGTGCATTTGGATCACGTCTCTTCGCACCGCGCTTACGGAGAAACGATTGTGATGTAGCTCTAGTATCCTGTAACCTCTGGGATAATTATCTTGCAGACTGACTTACAATAACAATCTGCAATATCCGATTCACCCTACTCAGCACCCTACCAGACGTTATTTCCAGTCAATTACGTTTCTAATTCACGCGACTGGCAGCCGGATCGTTGCGCGTGTGCGCAAAGGTTTTTTGACAATGCGTGTTGTACCACGGTCCCTCGCGCAGATACTTCCTGGGGACGTAGAGCCATTGGAGTCGGGTGTTTCTGCTGTTCCGCATGGCAACGATGCTGCAATAGCGCCTAAAACGCTTCTGCAGGAAGAACCAGATTGTAAATCGAAGCCGGCGAAAGGTGGTGCTGAGATGAGGAGTCCAGGGGGTATAGCCAAGAGACAAAATTTCATGCTAGACGAAAAGAATCAGGGACGACAGGAGCAACGTCCTGGTAGTAGACGACCATCTTCCGGTGAAAATTCGTTTCAAGAAAAGTATCTCTCTGCGAGCCATGAGAAGCATCACTTGCGACTGGACATCGAGCCATCATCAGATAATGCTGTCAGCCACCGTATTTCTTCCAGACGTAGAGATGAGACAAGCAACATGGCCTGCCCTGGTCCAGCTCATCGCGAAGAGCAGTCGCAGACGTTGTACCGCACTGACTCGGGATTTTCTGAAATGTTTCCCTGTTCGCCCGAACGGGACTACGTAAGGGAAAGCGATTCACCTATCTGCGCTTTTCAGCGCCTCCGGGAAGCTGACCACGAGGTTCAGAATTCATCAGAGCCACCATTCATGTCGAGAGAGCTACATGAGAAAAAACCGAGAGAGCGAAAACATGGCATGCAGGAAGATGCGGGCAGCAGATCGTCTCCTCGTGGCGAGGACTCTAAAAGCAACAGCAGAAGACACGAAAGCTCTGATTACACTGCAAGGCAACCACGCGCAAAACCAGATATCAGTGTTGCTATGTTATCTTCGCCAGTGGCGGAGAGCAAGCCAGCGGGCCAGAAAGGCTTCGATAAAACAGCCGTAAATAAACAAATTCAGTGTAGTACTCAGGAGGTGAGAGCAATTATGGCTGAGAGACGAGATGAAGGTGTGACGCGCGAACGCAGTGGCGGCTCAAGCGGCGAGGCAAGTCGAGACTCTTCGGGTCAAGGCAGCGGAGGGCAGAAGACGGGGTCGTCGACTGGGGACAACAGTAAAGGCAGCTCTGAGCAGTATTATAGCAGTTCGGGGAAAAATACCAGCTCGCTGGACGTGCAGTTCAACGCGGAGAGTAGCTCACAATCAGCGAGCAGTGGCGGGCCCTGGCCGAGCAGGATCGTATCCGAAGTAGAGTCGCGTGCGGTAAATGGTGCACCGCGGTGCGGGGCAATTAACACAGGTTCTTCATCCGTGGCTACCTCTGGAGGTGCTCGTAGTACCCGTCGCAATCCTGTCTCTTCAAACAGCGGCAACGGAGGAGGGCTTAAAGACCAGTCGTGGGGTACTAACGTAGGCCAAGGACAATCGTCTTCGCCCCGACAGGAATCGAAGGCTTCGCGGAGTGGATTCCCGCATACCAAAGAGCAAGCGGCTGCCTCACGGAACGTGGTAGGAGGTAAATCACCAGAGAATCTAGGCCTAGCTGATGCTGGAACAATATGCCTACTGCAGATTTTTTTTCCATCCTTACAACAGGGACGAGCATTGATCTCGTGGCGCCTTTTTTTGTTCTCTCTCCATTTCTTTGTGAATAGTTGAGGAAAAGCTGCCTCAAGAACAGCCTGATTTGTAGGTATAGGATGGGAAAAAACAAGTACGTTTGTCATGAAATCCGGACTCACAGAGAGGCTCGAATAAAGACAGCTTCGCAAAAGTCCGAAGCCAAAGTGCATCTGCAGGTGGCAGCATTACCGGTGCTAGCGGACAGTGCGCCGGGCTTTCCCTCGGCGCATCGGAGAATGATGTCAGTTTTCGCACGACGAACACGGCAGGGCATGCCGGCAATGCCGACCAGAGGCAAAGTGGCAAAGAACAAGACGGGAAAGAGCAAGAAAGGCGGCCGCCTGGAGGAAGCGTGTCTTCCGGCACGGGCTCCGGAGGAACGGTGGGAGCATTCAATCAGGGTTCCCAGACCGGTTCGCACGTGATGTCCCAGAAGGATTCTCAGCCATCGAAGTCGCAAAGCGGTTCCCAAGGGCAAGTACACGGAGACAGTAGCAGTGGGAGTGTCGCGTCACACTGGACCACCAGCCGAGACAACACGAGCAGCGGTTCCAGAGTTCTTGAGGAGCTCGTGGGAACGCTCTCCAGTTTGCTCTCTGGGCTTTTCCAACGGACTGCGCGAATCGACGGCCACAGTCGCGCAGCGTCCTCCGTCGCGACTAGCGCGCCTAGAGAGCAGCACGTGGCGTACCACTCGGAGGATTTCATAGCATATGGCGGGGGATCCGTGGGCGCCTCCTTGAACAGCGGATCCACGTCGCGGACGTCGCACCCCAGGGTGGTCAGTAACGTGGCCTCCTCCAGCAAGGTCACCGTCACGGATGAGCAGACGTCGACAGCAACGTCCCCGCTTTACGCGACAGCAACTCTCCATGACGTGTATCAGCACGGGAGCAGCCCTGACCTTCAGGGGGTATCTGCGCGCGCGGCCGACAGGATGGTGGTGCCCAAGAACAGCAACGCGGTTCTGACGACAGCATCAGCATCGGCATCATCAGCGTTCTCCGTACGTGTAAGTAACGATGTTGGCGTTGATAATCTGGAAGCAGCGGATCGAAACTTACTGCAAGAGGAGAGTCGGGTTTTTGAGGAGAACGTCGCTCCCACGATGACTGTTTCGGAACAGCAGCAGACAGCCGCTGGCATGCCGATTCAGAGCCTGCCGAGTGCACAACAGGTTGCGCAGAGTGAGAAGCGCGACGGCTGCGGTGAGCCCGTTTCGGGAGCTCACAACTGTCCTACTGGAGATGCGACGCAGGATGCGGCTGGGAATAACAAGTCGGGGATGGTAGCAGACGCGTTGTTAGCGAGCTCGGCTGCGGCTGCAGTGCCTGTCGTCGCAAACGAGATGCCACTGCGCGATGCTTTCACGACCAGTTCGGAGGCTCGAACACTGACGCGTGTGACGCTGTCGCCGCCGTTCGGGCAGGATGAGCGGGGTAGACACTATGCCGCCATTGCAGAGGGCCCGCGAAACAAAGTGGAAGGACAAAGCGACAACGCGCGGGACGCAACACACGAGCGTGGAGACGAGGACACTGGCCGAGGTGGTCGTGGAGACGCGACAGTGATCGGCGGAGACGGCGAGGGACGAGGTTCAGCTAACGGGCCATGGGCGTGTGGGGACGACGATCTTGAGATCACAACGCAGAGCTGGCAACAACACAATATTGCCATGCCGCGCAGCGCGAGCGCGACATCGCAGCCGTTGTACAGCATTCGTGGTGTTAGTACAGACACGGCTGTGTACAGTGTACTTGGAAAGGACGTGAGCCCACACCGAGCACGCCGCGGAGGTGAACTGACGAATGCGGTCTCCCGCAAGCACGGAGATGGGAATCTGCCGCCTCCGATGCCCCATGGTGCAGTTGTAAGACAGCATAGCTCTCATCGTGGCAGGAAGCGGCCTCAGCGCATGGGCTCGAGCTTTATCGCAAACGCAGGGAGCTGCACCTTCGGAATGAAAAGCAGCGTGATTCCAGAATCAGCTCCGACGCCGCGTGGTGCGGAGCCGCAGGACGATGAGCTGGGCCAAAGAGTTGTGGGCGCGCCAAAAATTGCACCCGTGGGTGCCCTGCAGCCACTCAGACTTGACGTGAAACGCTCGAGTTCCCCCAGCGCGCAGGAGGTCGTCACAACAGAAGACACCGACGTGGGAAAGACGGATGGTACTGAACGGAGCGTGAATTCGGGAGCTTCGCGTACGCTTACCCGGTCTGCGAGCGGGAACAGGCGCAAAAGTAAGAAAAAACGCCGCGAGCGATCTACTTCACGAGACCGACAGACAGCGCGGGCTACTGTGGACGAAAATTCGAAGAGCGGCAGCTTGCCAAGCAGTGGGGGGTCCTCGGTCTTGCGGAACCTCATTTCAGGGAGCAGGACAACAGGCGGTAGCTTGTTCACCTACGAAAAGGGAGATCTGGGGCCTCGGGAGTTGCTCGTCGACAAACAGAATTCGCATCCATGTCTCTCTTCCGCGTCGCAGCATAGTACCTTAGGGGGACGAGAGGTCGCCAATCGAGTCTATAATCCGGCGGAGCCCTCCGAAACGAGCCTTCGAGACCTGGCGAATAGTCCGAGCGTGTTGGACAGGTCCTGTACCTCGTCGTGCTCAGTTGGCAGCAACCACAGTTCGGCCTCCGGGCGTTCGCGGCGAGTGCTGCCACGGGCTCTCGAAATAGGTGACGGAGAAGCGTCCCCGCTGTCTCCCCTTGCGGCGACACGACCAGAAGATCTTGTCACGCCAGACATGCTGCGCCGTCCTCACAGCCAAGACTCCACGCAAGCCGAAAGCAAAAGCGGGTTGGCGCCAGACGGGGAACAACCGTTAGGCCCTGGGTCGTCGAGCACTACCTGGGTCATGACAGGGCCTGCATCGGTTTTTGGTCTACCGCTTGCCATGTCTCCGCAATCGCTATCGCGCCTGAAGCAGGCTGCGCAACCCGTTTCCGCTTCGTCGCTTGGAGCTATTCCCGAACTGGAGGGAGAACCGGATTGGCAGACATCGCGTCTCAGTTCGGCAAGTTCAAAGATCGGTCGAGCGGGCCGCGCCTGCGAAGACGTACAAGCTGTGATCGAAGAGACGGAGACAAAGCGCCTCGCGGCGCAACGCTCGACCGTTTTTGATTTGGGACAAATGGAGATTATGCGTGCTCTCTCACAGAGTCCTGGCGCTATGTCATCTCGTCATCAGGTGGCGGAATATGACAAGGACCCAGTTGTAACGGGAGCCGTCAGAACGGAAAGGCTAGAAGATCGCGAGGACACCAATATTTCAAGCGCTCTCAATGCCACGCTTGTTTCAAAATGCGTTCATCAAAACGCTAAAAGTCGGGTAATAAAAGGCGCGGAAATCGCAAGTGAAAATGATGTAGAAAACAAATTGGAACCTCATGACGCTGTTGTAGGTTCTACCGATCGTCAAGGCGCGATTGAAGCCTCTCGGCAAGAACAGGAAAAGGATCGCGCATTCGAACGACAAGAAAAGGTAGACGATGCAGCGTCAAAACAGGAGCAGGTGCAGGATAATTCAAGTGCCGCGGTGCAGCCAGAGGGTACAACAGCTGCAAACGCGTCTTACACGAGCCTAAATGGCGGTGGCCTCAGCGGGGGACGCGGCCTCAGTTACAGCATTAGCGAAGAACAACAGTCTGAGGCAAAGGCGTTCGAACAGCAGGAGACAGTACCTTTGGAGGAACTCTTTCTCGAAGGTGAGCACACAATGGCATCGCCGAGAACCTTAAGCGACGGTGGGCTGGAAGCCGGTCAAGAAGCGTGCCATTCGGCAATCGGGAGTCTTTCCGTGAATCAGAGTAGTGGGTCGATTTTCCGGCGAGTTTCGTCGGCCTCGCGTGTCGGAAACTCTTCGGTCGTGGTCGACGCAGGCTCGCCACCCCCGCGCAGCGTTGCTCCGAGCCGAGAAGCGTTGGCTTTTCGCACCCAGACACTGCCCAGCTCGGCCGGGGTTTCTTCCGCGCCTTCAGTTCCGGCGTCGCAGGGTGTGAGTGAGCCACCCACCTCCTGGAGCAGAGATGCGGAGTACTGGCACAGTCTGATGAATATGCACAAAAACAAGAGTTCGAGTCCTGTGCTTTTTGATGAACCGTATGGAGGAGGGGACTTCGATAGCCCGCCAGACGCCCGAAGCGAGGCCTCCCGACGGCGGCGCGTGGCAAGTAACACAGGAAGTGGCGTGGCTGCTTTCTCGACTCACGAGCATCATGTGCTCGACCTCGGCACCACGTCATCGCCAAGTCGACCGGCGAGCTTGTTCTCACATGGGAGCGGAAGCAACAGAGGACAAAACAAACTCTTGAACTTTAGCTCGACCAGCATGAGAAAGAACAACAGTAGGACAGGTTCCGCGAACGGGGCGAGTCCGAAGTCGGACGGTGCTCTATCTTCAATCAGCAGGCCGGCACAGCCAGGTCCACAACCGGTAGCATCGCGAGTTGTTTGCGCTTTTTCACTCGGTGGTCTTATGGTAGCAAGTCTCGGCTGCCTTAGTTACTATTGCACTGGTCTTCGTGGCGTTTGGGGAGTTGGAAAGAGCTCGCTGCAGTACTTTTTCGATATACATGCTGCAGAGAACCCCATCCGGTGTCACAAGAAGCTTGAAGTAGCCTCGAAGTTGGACAAGGAAGAAAATCTTGTCGGGTCGGATTTCGGCATTGGTACAAGCTCATTCCTAAAACTACGGAATTAGCATATAAACGCTTAGTAGTGTGATCGAACACTGCTTATGACGACTCTGTTTTATGCTTCTTGTCGATGAGGTACTGCGTCGAGAAATGAGAACAAATTTGATTCACTCGCCAAAAACAGGGGTCATTTTTCTGGTCTGCAAGAGTTTGGGCTTTCTCATTTGTGCGGCTCTTGGCGGCCCAGGGGGATTTTTGATGCCCTCGCTCATTATCGGCGGGTTTTTGGGAGGCACCGTCCTCGGCTGCTTTCAAGGCATTTTAGACCCCGAGTTCTACGAGAAGCTGTGGCAACCCTGTGTGGCCTTTGGTGTCATCGGACTCTTCTCGGCAAACTTCCGCTTTCCGCTTACCTCCGTATTGAATAAGAGAGTATGAGTACTTATTTGTGTGGTCTCACTCTACTCAAGGTGCCCGTAGATGTTATTGGGATCGATCGCTTGTTCTGACATGACAATTTTACTGTTTAATGAAATATCCTGTCTTTGGTCTTCCTCGGTTCATCAACATCAACATTACTACTTAAAGTTACGTAATTCTGTGCTACGACGACCAGAAGTGTGAACAAGGGATCTCAAGCAACTTCTTGAAGATTTTCTAGTCCTTCGTCGAAATCAAAATTCATTTGAACAACACTTTCTTTCAGGTACTGATTATGTTCGAACTAACGGGTTTTGATCCAGGCGGTTGGCACATCGCGCTGTCGTGTATCCTGAGCTCCTACGTTGCGATTGCGGCTTGCGATGGATTTTACAACTTTCCGAGTATGTTCGACGCGATTTGCCAGCAAGACGGCGTGGATCTCTACTGTTTGCGATGGGATTTAGCGTCTGACGAGCACGATGCATCGACGGAAACGGGCAGTAGTGAATACAGTGACAAGGAAGACAGTTACAGTCTGGACTCCGAGGAGGGCGAGGACGGGGCCTCGAGCAATGGCGACTCTGGCGGCCAATCGGGCTTCCAGCAGTCAGGCCACCAGGGGGAACTATTCCGGCGGGAGGAAAGTGGAAACGATGTTCAGATGAGCACCAGTACATCAGTAGCCTACCTAGGGGGAGGCGGTGGAGCGGGCTCAGGCTTGGAAAAGGTTGCTGCGGATACAAGTGGTTGCCGGCCGTTGGCGGAAGCGAACATTCGTGGCTCGAATTCCGTATCCTCCATGGAGAACATTAAGCATAGTTCGAGCTGTGTGGCGTCATCTGTGCGGAGTATGCCCTCTTCTGCAGATGGGGAGCGGCGGCACAGTGGCGTATCTGGGCGCCATGAGAACGAACGCCAGTTTGCGCAAGAAGATGTGATGCTAAGAGCAGGAAGAGTGGCGGTGGATCCCTCTAATCGGCACGCCGATGAACAGAGTCACAATGGTGAATCGTTCGCGGCGTCCGGTGCTGGTGGTGATCATACCATTTCTCAGGAAAAGCTGCGTTTAACGGATACACTGCAGGAGAGACCACATGATGCTCACCTCAAAGAGGTAGAGGACAGTGCTTCGAGAAAACTCGGGGAGGATCCACAGGTGTCGCTTCCAGGAAGCAGCGCCACGCAGCCGGAGTCTGTGAGCTTGCTGCCGATGGAGATTCATGCTGATGGTAGCGAGGGACAATGGTCTTCGAGTTTGTGCGATCAGGAATCGCACTCGACGCAGTGGCGCGCGTCGGTTGTGAGTTCCTTAACCGGCTCAGAGCTTGGAGGCTGGATGCCGCAGCTGGTCAGGGACCGGACGTCCGATAGCAACGACCACAGCTCGAGGCGGCTTCCCTCAACACTCTTCCTAACATCAAGTAGCTCGCGGGGTCAGTCAGGAGAACGGAAGATGATCACAAAGAACACCACTCACGGAGAAGCTCATGTGCAGAGCGAGAGGCATGTGCCAGAAGTGCAGGCAGATTTTTCTTGTGCGGAGACTCGAAGTGGAGCGCGGTCTGGCCGGCATACTGTTGGGAGAGGGAGGTCTTCGTCATCAAATCGCGGTAGCGGAGGAGGTGTCAATATATTGCTGCCTTCAGGACCCCCTGTCGTCGAAGCGGAACACCACAACATTGGTCGGGATGACCAAGGAGCTGAGCAAAGCCTGTCGACCCCAGCACAAGGTGGATTAGTTGCTTCAGTTTCTGGAGGGGCTTTGTCTTCCCGTTGGCTCGAGCGTTCGTTTTTGACTACGTCCGGGCTGTCATCGACTGTGAATACGCTCAGACCGTGGGACGACGCGAGTCGAGCTGTGCAATCTTCAGAGAACGAGAGGCCTGAACGAGAGATATCTGGGCCGCGGGAGAAGAGCAGGGCAAGTCCACTGGTGTCTGGGGCTGCGCAGCGCTCGAATTTGGCATCGTGTTGTGGCCCAGCGGAAGGAGGCGGCGCAGGAGACGCCCTTCTCACGAGCGAAGGGGCACCCTGGAACCGCATGCGCATGTTAGGCCTCGGCGACAGCTTGAGTGGGACCAGTCACAGCTTGCTCATCAGTTCTGCTCCGGCCGCGGCGCAGGCACAGGTTCTGGTCAACAGTGACCTGGACTTTAGCACCCGATCCTTCTCCAACACTCTGCAGGCCTTGCTACCTACGTCGCCTTTCGGGCAGCTTAACACTCAGCTAAGCGGCTTGGTGCCGTCCTACAATCCTACGGGAGCCGGCGACGCGGCGGCGACGGTTTCCGTAGTTCGAACCGACAAAAGCGACGATGGGCTGCCAGAGGACAGCGCAGGTGGACGAAAGAGGCGAAGTAGCACTCGCTCACTCCGACCTGCGAGAGTGAGTGTTGCTAGCACGACGAAAAGCAGTGGTCGGCGGCAGTCACATCGGCATTCACTCACCAGAGGTCACTCGAGCTCGCACCTAGTCGTTCCCATACCAACAGGTTCTTCGTATGAGAACTCCGGTGCTGTTGCGGGTGGCGGCCTCGATTGGAGCACTGCTGGGCCTGGAAACTTGCAGAATTCAGGGAAAGATTTGTTGCATGTCCCGCCATCCCGCAACAGTGGGCAACAACAGTCGGGAAAAACAGGCCGCAGACGGAGTTCTGGAAATTAAGTTTGGTTCTGCTCTTAGAAATCTTCCAACATTTCTTACAAACCATTTTCATAGAATTTTTAGATTTGTTTTTATCGTTCTTTCTTGATGAAAGAGAACAGCAACAAGTAGACGTAACATCCTCATTGAGACTCATTGGATGTCTTGGATTTGGAGTGGGTAGACAGAAATCTAAGTCAACCAGGGTCAGACGAGTCGACTCGCGCAGGAATTACTGTCGCTTGCGAATCCAGGGCGTCGGCTTCTAGGAGCTCCTGCGGCAGATAGTGGGCTGATGAACTCTGCTCCGGGGCACGGACTGGCGACCCGTGATCACGGGCACTCGCATGTGTACGGACTTCATCCGAGCCAAAACGGAAAGGCGGAAACTGTGCCGCAGGGACGTGGACACCACAGAGGACACTCGGCCGAGACCGGTTTGAACGATATTGTAGGAGCAACGGTCCATCGGAAGGGCCTACATGCCCACCGCTCTGGGCGTTCCAAGCACGACCCGGAAGCCGCAGAGGAGGAAAATACAAAGCTACCTGTTCCTCGAAAGCGGCTGTCCGCGAGTAATAGACCAGGATCTTGGTAGGATTCAGTGACGTCGAGTTAACTTTTGCACAATTAAATGTTGAAAAGGTCTGTGTGCCATTCTATACACCCACGCAATATTCGATATTGTTAAAAACACCCATACAGAAAGACTACATTTATTGATATAATAGGTACGTAGAGGTCCTTGATTGAGTAAGTAACCCTCATGTCTTCACAATGAAAACGCGATCAATGTCGGATACCAATATCTATTGAAGTCATTGGTTTTCCTCGTCAGTTTTACCATGTCGTAATCGCCAAAATTGTAGCTTACCAGTGTGAAAGTTGTAGCGAGTACATATGCTTTGAAGTTGTCGTCTATATGATACTGACCGCTCCAGATTTAGTAACGCTTAGGTCGATATCAAGTTCGTTGGTCGGTTTTGATTCAATAGTCAAATTTCATGGGTGATTTAGCAAGTACAGATCAGACAAGAATGGCATGTCCTATATATTGCGTGGTCGATGTTTGCTTCGTCCTTTTTTGCGCCCTTTTGGGCTGCCCAATGAGTAGATGAAAGTGACTGCATACGTAGAAGTAGAAAGTGCAAAGTTGTTGGTGTACAGGAACCTAGTACGATTATTATATTTCATGGTTTCCATTTCGATTTCTCACGATTCATAGATTAAGTAGAGTTGATCTTCTCTCATATTTCGAGCGAGTCAATTTTTTTGTCTTCGAAGAAGCAAGCAATTTCATGTCGTTTGGTATCAGCACAATTATGTAGTTGTTCCAGGTTTTACTAGTAGACCAACACAAGACAAATTCATCAAGGCCATAGCGCATTTTACTGTCACAGACATAAACAAGTACAGTCATTTGATCGCAGGAATGCATAGAGAATAGCAAGTTAGATGAATCACGACTTCATGCTCGCCTCTACAACAATCATCAGGAACCAACATGCTCGTGAATGGCATAAATTGGTGCGCAAATAACAGAGACCTACGAGTTGGAGTCCTCCAATGTCAATCTACAACGAAAGAAGAAACTACAGCAAGCTACGTCTTACGTTACGTAAAACTATTGGGAGTTCGGCAAGTGACCGAGCCATTCATCTGCAGAATGGCTGCTACTAAAACTAATCTCATAAATGAACTGGAAATGTACAAGAGCTAATGAAGCGTGGACAATAATTGAGGTATTGGAGCTAGGCTTCAAGATCGAAAAAATGAAGAAATGAAGGAAACAATTACGATTATGATTTTGAACTTGGCACAGCTACCAAAAAAAGCATGTAAGCGCATCGGATGACGGTCCTGCAATTGGCGAAGTCAATTTCACACAGCCGCCGAATTGCAGCCTGCATCGCTAGTTCTGATGCGAGAATCACTAGCACTCCGTATAGCCGAAAAGCAGGGTAGTCTGAGTATATTCAGTATGTAAGATCACGTGGTCAGTATTTTCGTGAGTTCCTGCTTCTTAGAAGTGTGCCCTAGTGGCCGGCGTTTCCTACTAGTACTCTTCTGAAGTGTAGTCCGCTGTCTCCTCTACTAGTTTCCTTCAGTCATCGTCTGTTAGTCTACATCTAGCGGCGCCAGTATCCTCCGGTATCCTTTCTTTTTTATCCCTTGCTGTGTGTCTGCAGTTTCCCGCTTTCTTTTTTGTTGTCTGTGAAATGCAATGTTTCGCAAGGCCCAGCTTTTCTGGAGCCATGGCCCCTGCAAAAAATCGCAAGCCAGAAAACTCTTAAATGACGGCGTTGAAATGGAATGACTTCTGTTCCACGCTACGAAGTGAAACTGGCCACTGAAGAGTCGGCAGAGTTAGTTCCAGGAACGGCGACAACCATGGATTCGGGCGTGAGCGACGCGCAGGCAGCAGTAGGGTCAAACGATCCTATGAAGGACAGCATCGGGCAAACCGATGAGGCTGCCATGAGGGCGGAGGAAATGAGAAATTCATCAGAACATGACGGTCAAGTGGGAAAACAACAAAATGGTCCGGTAGCAGAGATCGATCTTACGCCGCACAGGAAGGACATGTCGGCAACTAAAGTAGGAAAGGAGGAGGGTGTCGATGGATTGGGGGCTGCGCTCGCAGCGTGGTGGAACGAAACTGCGTGGCCGGTGCTCTTTGTGTATCTGGTGCAGCTTCGGGCACTTTACTACAAGTCAGCCTTAACTCTTCGCAATAGCCCGAGTCTGCTCTTCTCAGTCTGGTGCTTGCCGCTCTTCTTTCTTTTCTTGCTTGAGGGTATTCGACAGCTGCAGCCTCAGCCTTTGACGGTTGAGCCTTTCAAGGGCGAAACCCTAGATGCTAGCTCCTTTCCAGACTGCAAGTATTTCGACCTAGACTACGTTGACTTCGACTTGCATCAGCAGATATGGCCCTGCTACAACCTCATATGGGGCGAATCGCCCTCGGACTCGACAACAGTGGGGTCGAAAGCTCGACAATCCAGGGCTCAAAATTCGACAGGTGCCCTCCGAGGATGACTTCTTTGCTGCCGCATATGAGGAACCGGGACGCTACGATGTCGGTGTTTGGTTCTCCTCCTCAGGCACGCCTTCTGCCACATCAAGCACCTCGTGGACGCCCATGGCCGCCACCACAAAGTACCGACTCTGGGTGAACGCCACAGCAGCGCGGCTCTATGAGCGCTACGGGGACTATTTTCACTATGTGAAGGCCCAAACTGCGATTGAAAATGCTCTTCTGCGCACGGACCCGACCTTAGATCCTGTCCCTGTCGTCGCAGAGGAGAGCGCGCGGCCTAGCAAAACCCTGCAGTTACGACTGGAGCGGTTGCCAAATGTGGATGCAGGGATGCCGAGCCCCTTAGAACTGAGCACCGATTTCAAAGCGAGTACGACAGCAGACTATTTCGACTACTCAGGAACGCCGATGCTGATATTCGGTCTGACCCTCGGCAGCTCGAGCGTATTGCACATGGTCGCGCGCGAGAAGCGCTACGGGAGCCTGCGAATCATGCGCGTGATGGGCCTGCGTGAAAGTGTCTACTGGATTGCGTGGATCTCCAGTTTCATGCTCTACTACTGGATAGGCGCTTTGATATTTGCCTTTGCTGGTAAGTACATGACCAGCATCAAATTTTTCACGCACACGAATTTCTTCGTGATAGCTTTTTCAGCGTGGAGTTATTTGTCTGCCTATGGAGCATTGACGCTACTTTGCTGCAGTTTTATTACCAGCTGGCAAGCATTACTGGGAGCTCAAATATTTCTCATTGCTATGCCCATCGTCTTTTACAATTATGGAAGAGATATTTTTATGATTTAGATCCCCCTGTTCAAGCGGGCACCAGCGCCCTCCACACTGCTCAACCAAACGGTTCTGATTCTCGGCGAGACCAATGCTTCCTGCCCTCTGCCTCTTTCGATGATCATCAGACATCAATATCACAGGCAAAGGTGGTGTCGCGCTTCGTCGATCATCAGAGCGCATGTCTTCAGCATCGGGATGACGAGAAGTGGATGCTGGTAGGACGCAAGTAGAGAATTATTATGAATATGAGCGCATGGCGGTCTTCTAAGACAGCCAGGCGAATGACTTAACTTGGAGTTCAGCCACGGTTCCTCAAGATTGGTGGACAAGGCAGTACCATCCGGACAACCGGATTGCGTGGAAATTTATTTTGAACCTCTTGCCATGGTGGCATTTAGCGAAGATAGTGCAAAATATCTACGATGTAACCGGTGTTGGTGGTGGCACGTCAGAGAGACTTATGACTCGTGATATAAACTAAGACTAATAGTGAAGCAGCTACTAGCTTTATGACGTCGATCTAGTTCACGACATCGCAATCCTAAAAAAGTGAACTGGGGTTGGAGTAGAACATACTACGTCAATTGAATTGATTTTCGCTTGTCTGACTGCCGTGAAGAGGCAGAGTAACTCCGATTTCGGCTTGATTTTTTGCATTTTTTCATGATTTATCGTGCAGAGCGGTATCAAGAACAACCGAACAACGGAACGCGCGAGTTTACGTTTGACTTGTTCTTTGAAAACGTCGGGTATAATAAGGATTTGGGATTTCCGACAGATGGGGTGGACACGAGTTTCGGTCCTACATGGACGCCAATGAACTGGACTGTTACGACTCGGAATCCGCTCTCGACGCGAATACACCCAACAACCGGTCACTGGCAAGCGTATAACCCTGACGACCAAGTTTGGATAGATAAGGGAGAACAATGGTACGCGCCAAGTCCGTTCTGGAATTGCATGATTCTGCTCGCGATGGTCCCGTTCTACCTCGTTGTTGCGTGGTACTTGGCACAGGTGTTTTCGGAGGGGGAGGGCAAGGCGTTGCCGATGTGGTTTCCGTGTTCGAAGCGTTACTGGACGGGCAAGAGCGACAAAAAAGTAGAAAATACAGTGGTGCAAGCTCCTATGCTACTCGGAACCGCCGTGCCGGGCGATCAGATTGGTGACGCAGTGGAAGATACAGTAGGGAAATCGAGGGAGGCGTCACGCGACGGAAGTGTGCAGTGCCTCAAACTCTCGAAAGCCTATCACGCACAGACAGCGCTCCAAGAGTTAACCTTGGAGATGCGTCGCGGAGAGATCTCCACACTGCTCGGTCACAACGGTGCAGGCAAATCAACCTTGATCAATTTGCTCACCGGAATTATGGTTATAACTTTTCAGACATCTATAATTTCTAAGAAGAGCGACAACGCTGTACAAAACTTCGTCATGATTTTTGAGGGAGTTGAGTATTCATGAAAAGAAACAAGTAAGTCAAAGTCATTGATTCACTCAGCTTCCTCTAATATGGGTTACCCTCCGACGCATGGGCACGCCTTTGTCAACGGACTGTCCATCGCCGAGGACATGGCTGAGATCCAGAAACGAATGGGAATCTGTCCGCAAGACCACATCTTCTTCTCGGAGTTGACTGGCCGCCAGCACATCGAGTTTTGGTCGCTTTTCCGTGGTGTGAAAGCGACTGACTTTCCGACATCTCAAGAGGTCGACGCCTTGCTCGCTGCCGTGAACCTGTCCTTTGCGGCGGACCGACTCGTAAAACAGTACTCTGGAGGCATGCAACGAAAACTGTGCGTCGCCATTGCCAGTATAGGACGGCCCGAAGTGATTTTCCTCGACGAGCCGACGACAGGGCTCGATCCGGTCTCGAGGCGGCAAGTCTGGGACTTTATCCAGCGGTTAAAGAAAGACCGCGTGGTGGTGCTCACGACTCACAGCATGGAGGAGGCGGACTGTTTGAGTGATCGCATCGGGATTCTGTCTTCAGGCCGTCTAAAGACAGTCGGCACCAGTCTCCTGTTGAAAAACAAATACGGAAGCGGCTTCCGACTCACCTTCAACGTGGATCCCCCTCAAATCCGCGACGTAGCAACTTTCGTGCGAGAAAAGCTTCCAGGTTCACAAATATTGATCGCTGCGGGAACCAACCTCAGCGTCGCGGTCCCGCGTAGTCTCGCTGGGATACTCCCCAACTTTTTGCGTCAGGTCGAACGCATTATGGGTGAGGGAGCTGACAAACCCGGTGGCGTGACCGGGACATCATCTTCGGGAGGCGGGCAGTCTGCGGGAAGCTCTCCCAGCGCTGTCCTTGGTTACGGGATTAGCAACAGCACACTAGAAGAAGTTTTCATGAACCTCACAGCAGGCGAGCGCCCTGCCTCTCTTTTGGGGGACATGGGCTCCGAGGCGGGTCTATTTGGCGCTGGAGGGGCAGGGGAGACGAAGATGTGCGTCTTGTGCTGCCAGACAGAGGCAGTGGCAGTTACGGCGTACACTAAGGCACAAGTGCCCTTTTTGGTAGATGGGGTCGTCTGTCGGCCCTGCGCGGAAGGCAAGCAAGATCCAGAGAAGGTTCGGAAGGGTCTAGCAAAGTCGCTACCGAATAATCCAGCTTTAATGGCTGCAGCGCTCGAAGAAGCAGCGTTCAAGGCACGAGGGACAGGTGGTGATGAAAGTGCGGCTGTCGCTCAGCGTGGCACCGGCGATGCCGATGGTGCTATCGCATTGGAGGGCCAGAATGATGGACTTGCTGCGGCCAACCCGGGGCCCATAACGGATGGGACCAATGCGGTTGCGCTAGCTGATAATGTAGAGGGATCGCACGAATCCGCCTCATTATCGGATGAGGCTCGACGTGGATCAATGGAAGATAGTAGGGTCATCCAAATCTGTTGTTGTAATGTTGGGCAACCATTTACCCCACCTGCGGTGGTGGCAGCAGCATTGAGCAATCATGTGCGGAGCTGCGTGAGGGATATTCTGGCATCTCCTTCACAAAAAGCCTTTGGAAGCCCAAGCCTTTCGTATAGGACCAGCACTGGGGTACAGGTTGTGCCGCACGAGCGTATTCGATTTGTGGACGACGAAAGCGTTTCTCTTTTGTCCCCGTCGACCAGTGCATGCGTTACACCATGGAATCTGTCGAAAAGATACGATGGGAAACACAACACCTCATCCCTTCGGTTTGAAAACAAAATCGGCACTCAGACCCCAACAGGAACAAGTTTACAACTCTACGACGGTGCCGCTGATTCCTGCGGAGCAGGTGGAGGCACAGGGGGGCGCGATTTCGAGGGAATGCATGCAATGGCACCAGGAGGGACGAATCCCGGACAACAACAGCAGGTTCAGCCGCCTGGAGGCGCTTTCATGCTGACGGATGCGAATGGGCAACCTATGCTCAATGCAAACGGACAACCAATTGTGGTCAACGTACAACGGCAGCCCATCGATATATACGGAAACGCGATTGGGCCAACGATTATGCCGCAGCAGCCGCAGGGGGTGCCACCACCAGGACCCAGTGGTATACAGCAAGGGGCGCCTCCTCCTCAAGCGGAGAGTGGCGGAAATGTTGCCGTAGCGGCGATGCAGGCTCCAGGGTTCCAGCAGAACCTGAATAAGCCGTCTAATCTCATGATTGCGAGTGCAAACGTGCAGGCAGGAGCGATATTGTATGCGGAACAGGGTCTCGCGATAATCATGAAGAATGCGCAGATCCAGGTGCGTCAAAAGCGTAGCAATTGCGCGCGACTCTGTTGTGTTTGCTGCTGCACGTGTTGCGGTATTCTCATCGGCCTCCTCGCGAGTGCTGGCATGCTGGCTGTCTCCTCCGCGAATGTGGTTTTCGGTGACTTCGATGAAAACCGGTTTGTCTTCCGCAGCATGGGCGGATACTCGAACTTGCTAGAAGTGACTTTCGAGGACCGCCCGTGGGCCGCCGGGGCGCCAGTGTCGGTACCAGCGAATCGTCTGCACACCCCGGCGCGCACGAACCTAGATTTCGGGCTCGCTGCAGCCGATTTGGGAGTCAACGCAACCTCAGGGAGCACTGGTGCCGCGACCTCTGATCCCCGATTGGAGGAGTGGCGCCGGATGAAGAAAACTCTTCTTTTGGGTAACGTGGACGGCCGCTTGAGCGCCGAAGTTCAGGAGAAGCCAGACTTTAACGACCGAGAATCTCAATGGACCTCTTGGCAGCTCGGGGAAGAACACGTGGCTCCTTTGAGTAATTTGCCGGCGTCGATGGCAGGAACCACACAGGCACCGGAGCGCACCATCGCTGGCGCGCTGCTATCGAAGCAAGCTTGGGTGGATTTATACCAGAAAAAGGCGACGCACTTGAACGCCAAGTACGGCTATCAGGCCAACTTGTGCCCGCCACAGAATATCCGGCACATGATGGTGCACCCGGGTTTTGACCTGGACATGGAAAGTATGGTCAAAGGCATTTTGATGGAGAGCACAACCATGGACGAGAGCCGCCTGTACACGCACAGCCCGATTTCCCTGATCCAGGAAAGCAACTGGGCCGAGAGCAACCGAATTTCTGGCCGAATTCCAGACAACGCTTTCGAGCAGCAGCACATGTGCGGTCTGCAGACGCGCTCGTGCCCTCTGAAAGCCTTCGAAGTTGCGACGACGTTCACCACTGATGTACTGCCAGGCGTGTACGATAGCGCAGCCGTTACTGGCAACGCTGCGACAGTAAGCAATAGCTTTTTCAAGCAATTCACACCGGTGTGTGAGCAAGGTACTGAAAGTTCCTCTATCTATGTACTGTGTGTCCATAGGTTGGCCTCAAACTCACTTAGATTTATTGGTGTAGGTCTTTTATTAAGGAAATACTGTTTCAGGGACTGGCTAGTCAGCACGAAGTATAAACGGCTTTTCCGCGCCCACCTCGTGATTCCGAGCAAGCTTCTGGCTGATTCGATTTTCCACATTCTAGGTACGACACCGCATTTGTTGCCGCAACTAGGAAATTTACGGAGCTGGCGAAAACAATGGTCTGAAGTATTTCTGCAGAATTACCGAACATTTTCGCAGCGGCCTCCTGCTCAGCGCAAAGCATTGTTGACGCTACTCAGTGAACTCTGCGGTGGTGCTGTCATTATGAGAGGAAAGTTTCCACTTTCATACGACCCTTGCTGTCTTGTGAATTAGACACTTCAATCATCCCGAAGTTCTACAGCAACTTCTGTCGGCACTGGTAGAGTGTATCGACCCGGGACGTGTCTTCATCCTCTATACATAACAAGTGTAGTAGTAGTGCCTTCGTTACGCTAACTTTTCTGGCGAGCAAGGCGCTGGATTCTGGAGTACGGCTGGAGTGAGAACTTCTTCTCCATTGGCGCAGATGTGTAAGGAAGCAGCTGAGCGATACGCAACAGTGCGAATATGGTGGGACGGTCCCGGCAGCTTCGACGCAGGTTGGCTTGCAGTCCCAGTCAATGCAAGTGTTAAGTCGCTTGGATCCTAATGCTCGTTATTACTAAGCTTACGAGTTCTTTTCGGGTATTCGTATTGTTGTAAGTGCAAGGTGCACTTGAACAAACTAAGAATTTGCTGAGACTGGCGTAGCTGAGAGTGACGCAATCAACAGACGACGATTGTAGTAGTACTAAAAAAAGCGGACGAGGGTATTGGAGCAACCAAGTTCGATATTTCACGATGGGAGTCGACATCACAAATCAAAACACCTTTGATGAGGCAGATGTTGAAGATTCTACCAAGCGGCTGCAAGGGGTTCGCGGTCGTTTCCTGCACTCTCTGAAGCGGAATAAGGTCCGGGCTTCGACCGAAGGTGTCAGTGAATGCATGCCGAATCCGAACGTTTGCCGATGTCTAGATGGATACCGCTACATTGGCAGTACTCGCTTGGCAAAAAATGGCGATCGCCCGCCCCTTGTCTGCCTCCAGAACGAACAGATGACTCCGCTCGGAAGGTTGGCAAATGCGACTTCGTTTGAAAGTATACCCTTGAGCAATCGACTAGTTGCTGGTACTGCGGATTCCGTGTCGAACTACAGCAGTGCAGCTCTAGGCGACAGCTTTCCGGACGTCGCACTCACAGTGCAGGACGCGGAGGCACTTCGTGCGCGTTTTCTTAAGGCCACCCTGTGGTTAAGTCTATCCTATTGAAGTATGTTTGTTGGATCCTCCTTTTACTAGCTATGAGCGTCCGATAACATCCCTCCCACACCACTAGGATTCCCCTCCTCCCGAAACTAAGAAACTAGGCACGGCCTGCCTGCGTGGGTTTTGCTCGTCTTGTCTCTCTTCTTTCTTCATCTCATGGCCGAAAATTTTCCAGGTTTTCTCGTCGTCTTGGGATTGAGTTCGCTGGGGTTGAAGTGCTAAAGCCCCAAAATTTTTGATTTTAAGCACTTTCGCGGCGATTCAATCTCTTCGCCTCGAATTTTTCAAATTTCGAAAATTTTCCACGTTTTTGCGTCGTTTTGGGATTGAGTTCTGTGAATTTGGAGCGCTAAAGCCCCAGAGTTTTTGACTTTAAGCATTTCGCTGCGTTTTAATTTCCTGGGCTCGCATTTTTCAAATTTCCAAAATTTTTTACGTTTTTCCGTTGTTTTGGGATTGCATTCCGTGAGTTTAAAGTGTTAAAATCCCAAAACTTTTGATTTTAGGCGCTTTCTCTGGAATTCAATTTCCTGGATTTGAGTTTTTCAAATTCCGAAAATTCTGCGCGTTTTTTCGTCGTTTTGGGATTCAATTCCGTGAGTTTGAAGTGCTAAAATCTCAAAACTTTTGACTTTAAGCACTTTCTCTGAGATTCAATTTCTTGGCCCCGAGTTTTTCGCAAGTTCGTGGCTTCTTGGTTTCGTGGAGCTGGAGGCTTCGTGGTTTCATGGTTTCGTGGTTTCTTTTCATGGTTTCATAGTTTCATGGGTTCAGGGGTTTGTTGGTTTTTGTGTCGGAGGTTGTGGGTTTTGGTGTTGGAGGTTGAGGTTTCGGAGGGGAAGTGTTTGCAGAATGTTATTGCTCTTAATACTAGCCTCCACAAGCTTCGCCCGGCTTCAAGTTAGTTAAGCACTTTTCTGCAGCCTCCCACGGGCTACAGCCGCTAGAGTAGAGACAGCCCGCGGGTGAGCTGTTGCACCCTACGAATTAACTACGACAAGAGCCGAGCGCCGACGGTGGCCGACTCAGGTCGATGCGTCGACGCATGTGCAGGGCATTTCGTTGCCTTCGGTTTTTTTATGAGATTGCCGGGGGGGTCATGCAAATTCTTAAGAATTTGCAAGACCCCCACGGCAGTCCAACGAAAAAACCAGAAGAGGGCCACCAGACACGCACAAGAATCCGCAAGCCCCAACGCACGCAAACGCCTCGCGGTGGCGCCAGGCAAGAACGGGCGGCGGCTTTAGCGGGCCAAACTAACAAGACAAAGCATAAGCAACGCAGGGCCGCGCTGCTCGGGTCTCTCTACGCGCTTACACCTGGCGGGGCTTCCTTGTTTCGTCAGATGTCTCTCGTCAGAAACAGACGGGCGCACTTCGCGGGGGCGTGGGGCGTCGCGCTTCGGGTTGTGGCTGAAGCCTCTTGACTGGCTGACGTCTTTCGCCAGGATGGAGACTGAGGCCTTCCATCAGACTGATGCCGTTCGTCAGACTAACGCGCTGCGCCAGGCTGGCGGCCTTCGCCGGACGACAGGCCGGCGCCCTTCGGCGGACGTCGTGGGCCAGGCTGAGGCCCTTCGTCAGGGTCGGGCGACGTCTCTCGTCAGGCTGACGCCTTTCGTCAGACTGAAGCGCCTCGCTTTGCTGACATTCCTCGCTGGGCCAAGACTCACGCCTTTGGTCAGGTTGATGGCTTGCTTCAGCATGGCGCCGCTGGTTCGTCAGGCTGATGCACTGACCAGCCAGGTGACGCCTCTCGCCAGACCGGCGCACTGCTTCGCCAGGCGTCTGCCTTGCGCCGGAAGCGGAACAGGCTGCGCGGGGCCTTTCTTCAGGCTGCGGATGTCTTTCCTTCGTGGGGTTGATTCTGCCCCTTCGTCGGACTGACGTTGTTCGCCAGACTGACCGCGTTCGTCGGACTGACGTCCTTCGTCAAAGGTCTTCGCTATCTTCGTCGAGGTAGGGCTTCTCGCCACAGGTCGGGCGGCAGTTTTTCTGGCAGAGGTCGTTCGTCAGATGTCTGCCGTCGCGGGTCTCTTGTCTTGTCGGAGGTCTTTGGTCCAGCGGTCGCCCAAAGGTCGCCGTTGGTCCAACGGTCGCCTTTGGTCCAAGGGTCGCCTTTGGTCCAAAGGTCGTCGCACTTTGGTCCAAGGGTCGTCTTACTTTGGTCCAAAGGTCGCCTGACTTTGGTCCAGCGGTCACCTTACTTTGGTCCAGCGGTCGGCTTACTTTGGTCCAGAGGTCGCCTTAAAAGGTCGCCTGTGGAGTGGTCTGCAGGTCGTCTGTGGTCCAGCGGTTGCCTCTGGTCTGAGGGTCGTCTTTGGTCTAAGGGTCGGCTTTGGTCCAGAGGTCTGCCGTGGTCCAAAGGTCGTCTGTGGTCCAAAGGTCGTCTTTGGTCCAAAGGTCGCCCGTGGTCCACAGGTCGCGCTTGGTCCAAAAAACGCCTCTGGTCCAAAGATCGTCTTTGGTCCACAAGTCGCCTTTGGTCCACAGGTCGTCTCTGGTCCAAGGGTCGCCTTCGGTCCAAAGATCGTCTTACTTTGGTCCAAAGGTCGCCTTATTTTGGTCCAAAGGTCGCCTCACTTTGGTCCAGAGGTCGCCTTACTTTGGTCCAGAGGTCGCCTTACTTTGGTCCAGAGGTCGCTCTACTTGTCGTCGTAATTTGGTCCAAAGGTCGCCTTACTTTGGTCCAGCGGTCGTCTGGTGTGGTCCAAAGGTCGCCTGTGGTCGAAAGGTCGCCGGTGGATGTGGTCCAAAGGTTAAGGCCGCCTGTGGTCCAAAGGTCGCCGGTGGTCCAAAGGTTGCCTTTGGTCCAAAGGTCGCCATGGGTCCAGCAATAGCAAAGGCCGTCTTGGGTCCAAAGGTCGACTTGGGTCCGGGGGTCGTCTCTGGTCCAAAGGTCGCCTTTGGTCCAGAGATCGCCGCTGGTCCAGCGATCGTCTTTGGTCCCAAGCTCGTTTCTGGTAGGTCCAACGATCGCCTTTGGTTCAAAGATCGGACCAGAGACAGCCTTCAGTCTGAAGCAAGGCCGCCTTCGGTCCAAAGGTCGCCACTGGTCCATAGGTCTGGGGTCCAGGTGTCTTTGGTCGAAGGTCTTTCTTCGGCTGTTTCTCTTTGGACTTCTCTCGCCAGCTTGCGCCCCTACCCCCGTCGGGCATTTTTCTGGCTTCTTTTCTGGTAGTCTGCCACGGGGCCGAAAGGTGAACTCCAACAAGAAAACGGCCGGAGACTATCGGGCTTAGGAGTGAGGGGAAAGGGCAGGAGGCTATGGGCAATAGCTTCGCGGCAGGAGGCGACTAATCTCCGGTGGGTTAGGCGGGGAGTTTTATAATATAGATTAATAATATAGGTTTTTTTTTTGTTATGTTTTTTATCTATCAACTTATAAGAATTAAGATTTGTATTCAAGTTCAGGACCTCCAGGAAAGCTCATAAATGGCTTCGAGTATTACTTTACACGCCAAGTAGGATGGAAATACGCGTCGAGAAGGTCTCTAACCTCCAGGCAACGGTTCACATTGCTGCGCGCGACGCATCCTATGAGGTGGCAATGATAGAGCGCGCTTCGGAAGGCGACTTTTGGGAAGAAAACGGCTTTTTCCAGCAGCTCGAACAGTTCACAATGAATGGTAAAGGATTAGGCTCCTCGCTGTACGATTACATCTACGCCATGTTTACCTGGAAAGTTCCGTCTGCCTCCGCACGCGCAAAAGACATGCCCTTCTGCTTCATTGATTTCCTTGCCCCAACAAGCAACATGCAACTGCACACACTAGTGTCGGCTCTCGCTAACGGCATACGAAGGCAGTATCACACGGCACGCGCTGCAGCGAGTTCTTAGGCAGGGCACTTCTTGTAGTTAAAGATATCATGTTGTAGTGATAGAGTAGTAGGAGTAGATATAAAGTAGTAGATATGAAGTAGCTCGGGCCCCTCTCTCTGGTTGTGGGTTTATTTGGTGAACCGGTACCCTATAGCGAGTAAACCTGTGCACACAACCAGAGAGCTGAGCACTCACCGGAGGCGTTGCACAGGGCTCCGGCCTGCCTTCGAAGGTGCGACCTATGCGGCTGACAGGACGACGATAGCGCCGGCGCTTCGTTAGTTTTAACAGATGGGAGGACGCTCGCCGATAATTGCCCTTTTCTCTTTTCTATCTCCCTCTGGTCTTTCTTTTTTCTAGTTAGGTCGGCTCCGCCACAAATATCATTGATGGCGCTGGGATCGTACTCGTAGGAGTTCCCTGGCGGTACTTCCCATCCATCGGAGGTTGCGTCTCCCGACGTCAGCTCTTCCTAACTCAGTGCGTAGGCCTCACGCGTCTAGTTTTTGTAAGTCATCCGGTTCCTTTTTAGCATAGAAAACGTCCGCGGCCACACATTAAGGCCCGCCAAACTGTTGGGGAAGGCGGTTCGCTATAACGGGGGTCGCGGCATCACAGTACTAGATGGCTACGAGGTGAGCACGTGGCGCCGTGCTGCGAGTATGCAGATACTATAGCTAATGTATTGGGAATCGATGGGGACCGCAGCGGCATGCGTTGTTTGGACGTAGGGGCGCTGAGTGAAGTTAAGCGTATATCCATGGCCGTAGTTTGGTAGTATCTGTCGGGTCGCGGATTCCCTGATAGATTCCAGGCATAAACTATGGCGTAAAGAATCCGCGGCAGACCTATGGCTCTACAAGGCTGGCGCTTGTGTTGGCTTTGGGTATTCTGCTGCGGCTTCCGTGTGAGGGTTTTAACGTTCGCAGTAGATATGAAGTAGCTAGGGCCCTTCTCTCTGGTTGTGGGTTTATTTGGTGAACCGATACCCCATAACGAATTGACCTGCGCACGCAACTAGAGAGCTGAGCACTCACCGGAGGCGTTGCACAGGGCTCCGGCCTGCCTTCGAAGGTGAGACCTCTGGGGCTGACAGGACGACGGTAGCGCCGGCGCTTAATTAGTTTTAGCAGATAGGAGGATACTTGAGGATAATTACCCTTTTCTCTTTTCTATCTTCCTCGGGTCTCTCTTTTTTTTAGTTAGGTCGGCTCCGCCACCAGAGACATCGCGTTGTAGTGATAGACAAGAACATGTCGAAGCGAAAGACTACACTTTGTAGTCAAAGACTATTTTCCAGCTGCAGAATTCATTCACACCGGATTAAGTTCATGCGGTGTCACACGTGTCGATTTAGAAATTATAGATACGCGATTAGATTTTTTAGCTCGTTTAATTATCGTCTCTTCGACCATAATTTCTAATTCCTTTCTCCTCCATCTGAAGACTTTGTAAACATGGATACGAACTTGGTGGAAAGCGACGTGCTGGCGCATCTGCCTTTGACCTACAGTATCGTTTTCGACGAATTGGAAGGAGCCGCAGGGTTGCAAGTCTTGGCAATGCCGGTATTATCTCTGTTACGGGACATCTAGGACATCTTTACACAAACATATATTTATCTGTTAAGGAAAAGGTATTAACTTCTTTGCCTCTATGCATGAAAAGAAGACTGCCCACAGGCTCATAGATCGCCCCCACAGGCTCATAAAAAAAAAATTGCCAGGATGGAGCACATGATTGAACGAATGAAATGGAAAAGTAACTGAGTATCATCAAGCGTCTCGACCAACTGTTACCAGCAAGGCTACAGGGGAAGATCTTCTGTACAACGCTGCATGATTGATGCTTGGGCACATACAATTTGTTTTTGAGTGTTGACTACACTACTCGCAACTTGTAACTTGCGATAGCTGTTGTATCCTCTAAGTTTTCTTTGGTTTCCGATTTTGGTAACGACTTTTGGCTACGAGAAAAAGCATGGCTTGCTGGAAATGATGCGCATCCAGTCGCTGTCCAATACAGTCTACTGGTTGGCAAGCTATGCCTGGTTTTTCGGTCTCTTTTTGCTGACCATGGGCGGCTACTTCTTGCTCTTTTACGCAGTCTTTTCCCGTAGTTGGGACCTCGGTAGCATGTTCTTGGTCACCCTTCTGTGGGGCAACGCACAGATCGGATTGGGCCTCCTGGTGGCGGCGATATTCTGGCGTTCCGAGTCTCTCACCGCTGTCACGTACTTTGTGATGTCGTTTGGCTTGGTGAGTACAGGCGATTTGCTTGACGCCGTGGAGCCGCCAATGCCCTGGACCCTGGTCCTCTTTCCCATGACGAACTACGGACGCTCGCTCGTGCTAACACTCAAGTACTCTCATGAGACCGATAGCGTGAACGTTTGGGACGAATTTACGCTGAGCGAGAGGAACGAATTTGAGAATCTGCTGATTGCCCAGACACTTTTCGGCACATTTTTGATCTTTTTCGCGATCGCATTGCTGCAGGATGTGCATCTTATGGTATGGACGCCGCTGTCCAAGGCGATCGTCGCCTTCGTGAATTCAATTTCAAAGCAAGCTTCGAAAACGAAACACGGAAATGGAAGTGGAACGCTTCCAGCGATCGAGGGAGCGCAAGCACAGCTAACAAATACGATTGGAGCAAGTTCTAACGCAGATGTTGGTGCTCGTCCTAGTGCCTCCAGTACTGCTGCCAATACGATAGAGGACCAGAATAAAGACGGGAACATGGGAACTGGTGGCAATGTGGAACAACGAGAGTCGACGGTCGATGCGCTCGAGATGATACTCAATGAGGCTGATAATGCGGATGATGATGTTCGCAAGGAGGAAGAGAGGATTTTCCAGCTCGCGCAACAGGAAGATCGAGAACGAAGCAGCACAGCCTGGACCGATCAGGGGATCTCTACTCCACAGATGCCGCCAGGAGCAGCTCCGTCAATGGCCAACCGCTAAGGCTTTTCTTAGTTGACAATTCTCTTATCCAGCCTCTCCTACGACCTAGGCCGTTGGTGCATCGCGTAAATTGTTTTTTGAGCTCTCAGCTGACTCAAAGACTCTTGATCATCTTCTGGGAAATGGGTAATCTATCTTAAGGAAGTAATTTAGATTTCAAATGAACCAAGTTCTTTGAGCACTTACTTAGGTCTCTAAGATCAGGACACAATCCAGTTGCGGGTAGTGCAAAAAAAGTATCCGAATGGTAAGGAGGCTGTTAAAGGCGTGTCTTTTGGCGTAAAGCGCGGCGAGTGCTTTGGTCTGCTTGGGCCGAACGGTGCTGGAAAAACAAGCTGCATTAATATGATCTGTGGTTTGCAGAAACTCACGAGGGGCGACATTATGGTATGCGGGTTTGATGTGAGTCGTGATCTTGCGAAAAGTCACGCTTTTCTGGGTGTATGCCCGCAATTCGATTGCGTTTGGGACGACATGACTGTGCGAGAGCACCTGATATTGTACGCAAGAATAAAGCGAGGAGCTACAAGCAGGCTGGGCACTACGGGGGGGGCTTTTCGATCATATGACCACGAAGTGCTGGTGCGTTCAGTGGCAGAGAGGGTTGGACTTGAAGGAGACGCGCTCCGCAAATTAGCGAGCGAACTGTCAGGCGGAATGCGTCGTCGGCTTTCTATTGCGATCGCGCTTGTGGCGAACCCAGCGGTTTTGATATTGGATGAGCCAACCACCGGTCTTGATCCAGACACACGGGCTGGTCTGTGGCGGGTTATCGCAGAAGCAACGAAAAGTCGAGCAGTCATTCTCACGACACACAGGTTTCTTGTTTCGTTATAATCTACTTATGCAATCTCGATATTTTATATGTACCAGGGAGGGAGGGCCCCCCTCTGTGGATGGAGCTGTGGTCGCGTAGGCGCGCCCTTTTTTCCGCGGTGGTGACGTGTAAGGATTCCCGGGGGCGAAGGCCTCAAAAGGCGGATTCGGGGCTCCCTTGCGGCTTTCCACGTGTACCCCACAGTCGTCCCGACTCTTGGACCCTATCAGCGGGACGGCCTCCGGGGGCAGAAGGCGGCCACGGTCGCGAGGCCTAGCCCCTTTGGCCCTCATCGTTGGCGGAAGGCCTCGGAGGGCAGTAGGTGGCAAACTCCCCCACTGAGGAGCCCGCACATGGGAGGCCTGTAGGGCACACGCAATACGGCAAGGGGGTCAAGCCTTGCCACCTTTGCCGCCTTCGGAAGCCTTCCACCCCCTGCCTTCGGTGCTTGAACGGACTCAGGGGCTTGGGTTCTGTAGGGTACACGCAAGAAGCCGCGAGGGCGCGAAGTTGGGCGCTTGGCGGCGTTTCTGCCCGGCAGTCCCTCGAGAAAAACGGTCCGGGGCTGGAGGCCCCCCATCAAAAATCGGGGGGGCTTCCCACCTGAGCCCTGGAACATCAGTAGGTAGCTTATCTTGTTGTTAATATATCGGTTCTTCATGATCGATACTTGCGTCCATTGACCCGTGATATGACCTTGATGTTGATCAAGAACGAAACCTCCGCATCGAGCTGCGAATGAAATCATTATCATGATCAACCACGACATCACTTTCGCTCCTCATCCCACAGCATGGAGGAGGCTGATGCGCTGTGTGACCGTATCGGAATTATGTGCTCTGGTCGACTGAAATGCTTGGGCACGCCTCTTCACCTGAAGAACAAATTCGGTACAGGGTTTATTCTCACGATTGCTCTGACTGACGATATTGGACCAGGCGAACTCGTCGGGGATGTTGAGCAGCGTATCTGCTTCTGGCTCCAGGAGCTTTGTAGCAGTCAGCAAGTGAAACCTCTGAAAGAGCGTGGAATTTTCCTTCAGTTTCATTAAGGCTTTCCTCATGAATCCCTCTCGTGTCTCGCCTATCTTATCGGAGACGAGTATGTTGATTTAATCATCACGGTATTAATCTTCATCATCATGTGATTGTCGCCCTCTACATTTCTTTATTTCGTGGCCTGAAGACATTGACTTGTCTTCCGACGGACCAGCTCTAATTCTAGTTACCGGCTCAAGGGACGAACCTCAGTCTGGTGTTTGAGCGCTTGGAGGAACAGCGTTTGGCGCAGAACGTGCCAATTCGAGAATGGAGTGTAGCTAAGACGACCTTGGACCAAGTTTTTTTGCGTATAGTGACGCGCGACGAAGAGGAGCAAATGCTCAAAATCACCGGGGGTAAGGGAAAAATACGCAAGACAGCATCTTTTTAGCTCTCTTTGTACCATAGTTTTCTATCAGCGGTTGTCCTAACGCAGGGGTAGTTAAGTCTCATAATTGCTCGCCGTTTAGTTCACACAAAAGATTCATATTGACGAATGATTTGCTTAATCTTGACTTGATAGATCTTCTGTATCTCATTGAAGGATTTACAGTGCAAGATCGCAATTCTTTGGATTTGATGCAAGGAGCTAAATATAGCCGGCAGGGATGCGAGTTTTGGTTTTTACTCTTCGCTAAGGCGGCAGGTATCTAGAAAATTTTGATACTGGAACTGGATAAGTATGACAAATTTCACGCGAACCAGACGTCCTGGAAGTTCGAGTAGCGTGTTTTCAGTAAGAGCGAGTTTCCTGAATCAGCAGTAAAGCTTGAATAGTGTGGCTCTCCGATGCGCCCGTTTCGAACTGAATAGATGTTTTCTGAATCAATCCCAAGGCACACCCTGAGTACTTCTTCCATAAGCCGCTTGCACAGATAGAAAGCAGAGTGAAACATGTTGTATAGAGTTTTGCCCAGAGCTGCAAAAATTGTTGCAAAGATCTAATGAGTATGAAACGGTTTACGCTGCTCCAAATTTTCTGAATTTTGTGGGCTGCAGAAAAAAAAAGAGACTCATTGGGCCGTGATCAGAGGAAGTTCTGCTAATCTAAACCCAAATGTGTTCACGTACATACGTGAGAGAAGCAACTACAGAGTCACTATGTAGTGATCTTGATCATAGCCACGGGTGGCGGCTTTTCTTCACTTTTGACTGTCACGAAGATTTTCAAATAACTCTAGTACAGGTCGTCCGTGGCTAGTGGGAAGATAGTGTTGCAGCGCATCAAAATTACGGGAATTTAGTTTTTTTATATCAGTCTTGAAAATCATCATGCATTCGAACTGAGTAAAATGGCGAAAGGTATTGCATCTTGCTCCCCTCCACTGGAGAGTGCAACCTTGTCTGGTGATGATTTGGTGCAACAAGCGGGCTCTGACGACTTGCTGTACTATCTCCGGTTCGATGCTAGCAGTTATCCATTTCACTCATTGATGAGTGAGATTTGTTATGATCCTGTAGCTGTAAGTGGAGCGGCGCGTCCTGTTCAATCGAAAGCAACTGGAGACGACACCACTAGTTGTGTCTCTTCAACATTTTCACCTGATGATGCGTCGACTTGCATTACGCCTTGGACAGTTCCAAGTGTGGGCTTGGAAAGTTTGCATTTACGTGTCTCGTCGCTGCTGTCTCACGAGTTGCATACGCTACCGCCCTTTCTAGCACGCGCCGTGGAGATCCTTGAGCAACCGGAAAGGGAAGACAAACGAGCTGCAAACGCTAAGGAGCAACGGTCTGGCAGCAAAAATAGGCAGCACAAAGTCCGTCGACAGCAAAGCAACAAGCAGAACAAGCTGTGGGAACAGAATCCGCTTTGGCGGAAATTTCGAGGCTTGTACAGTGACTTCGTTTCGAAATGGGTGGCCCCGCAGTTTTCGCAGTCATCGCACAAGATGCCGCCGGAGATATTATCAGGATGCAGGTCACAAGCATGCGGGTCAACGAATGGAGAAAGAGATGAAGGGAAAAATCCTGTAGAACATCATGCTCATGGTCACGGTCAATTAGGAAGAATGACAGCTCTACTAACCCAGGAACAGCCAGTGCTTCGAGTAGTCTTCCCGCACAGCACAACGGCACCGTCACGGCCCCATCGGGATCTCGACTACGGGCATCTCCCGCAAGAGGTGAACTATTGGGTTCCACTGTCGCAGCTGTCGTCAAAGAATTCGCTGTACTGCGAGTCTCTGCCTGGTGCCGGAGATTATGCGCCTTTCAATGGTGGAGTCGGCGACTGCGTCAAATTCTGGGGCATGGGCCTGCACCACTATGCACACGTCGACAGAACAAAGAGCCCGGTTGGTCAACGACATCATACTGCTACAGATCCTGTTGTAGGAGACTGCCAAGAAAATGAGGACTCGAGCACACGGGTGAGCTTTGATTTTCGAGTTTTACCGGTGTTTCATCATGCAGAGGATGTTTGTTGTACTTTGAGCACTGAGGAACGTTTTCAGCTGGATCAACGAGCGACGGAATTCCGACAACTCGTCGACCTCGTGGATTTCGTGGGAAACGTCTTTCGCCAAAGTAGTGCCTGTTATATAGCTTCGCATGAGCCTGAAGAAAAAACGCCTTCACTAACATCTTCTAGTATGGCAGAAATCCATAAGATAGCATCAGCACAACTTTCCATGGATCGGCTTGCTTTTGTTGCCAAGAAGACAAATGCAGCGTTGTCTTATCTGATTGAGAATTACGCTGAAATAATGTCAAGAAAACGTGTAAAACTTGCAGAAAATCAACACGGTTTGTTTCGTTGTGCATATGTATCCAACAAATACACTCATAATTCGAAACAGCTACAAGAGAATTGACGTCTATGCTTGCAAACCCGTTGTACAGCTGTTATGATTTGTACAGCATCAGTACCTCATAATGGTGTTAGCGATATTTCAGCCAACCTTGACGAAACCCTAACCCCATTTCACATGTTCAAGGGTCACTCCTCAGTTGTTCATAATAACGCCTCAAGATTTAGCTCGTGTGTTCTCTGTGATAAAAGCGAAGATGCTGTAAATCCTGCAGAAAGAGGGCACAAGAGGGCACAAAGAGTTTCTAAGCCATCTCCTTGAAGAAGTAATTCGAAGTAATTTTGAAGTAATCTAATTGAAGAAGTTTTTTTGCCGAAGTACTTGGTAACAAAGCGGAAAATGGAGCAAAAGGCGCGATCTGTCAGTCTAGGAAGACTTTCGGACGGGATTTAACATTTATAGTGCCAAGCATACCCTAGTCCCTACGCATTACTGATCAATTTTCATAATTTGAGGGACTAATAGCCTTTGTTTGCTCGACAACCTCATCATTTACTTCATTGCAACATTAATTGGCTCTTAGAAGTAATACAGCAGACTGACATCATGTCCTTCGGCTGCTACAAGCCCGATGTGAACACCGCCCTCGGGTGTCGGCAGACCACTGCTAACATGGGCCTCAGGGAGCAGCGGTTGATGACCGAGAAGTTCGGACGAGAAGTTCGAAATCCGATTACAGGCGAGCTGATGTCCTACGGAAGCTCCTCGAGCAATGACCGCCATCGGAACGAACAAAGCAGTGTCTACAGTGCGGGCGAGGGCTTCAATGCAGCAAGTGAAGCCGACGCTGCTCGGTGGGACAGCTGTTCCGGAAAAAAAGTAAAAGATTTTGATACAAGAGTGCCTTGGCCTGGCTGCTTCGTTGTGAAAGATTTCTAGTTCCTGGGACAATTACAGAAGAACAATATGATGAACCATTACAGAAAAATTGTTGATGAATTATTCAAGATTGTAAATGTAATTCGATTTGAGTTGTACGTTGTTCATTGGATTTCACAGGTATGTTCAATCGATTTTCTGCTCATTTTCCTCAGATGATGCCAGAGCAACGACATGTTGGGCACTTAAAGCGTAATTTTACAGTACAACACGATGACAGAGCGAGCCAGATGGAGGCATCGAGAATAGCGGAAGGAAACCTCCGAACCGGCTCGATGTTACCAACGGAGTCTGCAACGACGCGTACTTCTTGCTATTTCACTCACTAAGAGAAGCGATTTCAGCCTGGTGGAAGCCTGTCGAATAAACTTGAACTTCAGCATGAATATCATTGATAATAAATATACAACAAAATCGACTGCGATGTCACCCTTGCAATTACGTCAACAGCAATGAATGACATCAGGACTCGAAAATTTCCAAGAAGATGCATGTCGTTGTAATAAAGTGGCATTTCCATTTACGAATACGAGCACAGAAGTATATTATCGATACTCATTATCATTTTCTAGATGACTATCCGTCTTCCTCCGCGTCATCATCGGCGTCTTCTGTAGGAGGCGTTACACGCTCGAAGATGTCGCATGCGGGTGGCGACTGCGGTGCATACTTGAAGCCAAAGTTATGATTGGGAATAATTTGGTGAATGATCTTTAAACGTTGTGGGTAGCGTTGTATTATTTCGCGGGCTGCTGGGTGATATACACAGCGTGGAAGTATGTGAAATGGTACGCGTACATAGTAGTACTTGAAACTGAACAAAATATATATCGGACATCTCTAAGAGCCGATCAACTTGGCCCGGGTCTGGTCGCTCTGCATGGCGGCGGCGATCCGTTTCGGCAGAACGAGCAGAACGCAAAATTGGGCGGCGCCAGTCCACGAACGCAGAAGACCCGTGGCGCGAATAGCCGTATGAACTTGCGGCCTACAGAATTCGGTTATATGGCTTCTGACCCAGTGCGCGGGGAGGCCAATGCCGAGAGACTTGCTGCCCATCTGCTACGTGAGATCCCAGCAGCAAAATACTGGAATGTCTTCAACGATTAGGTAGGATATCTATACGCTTCATTTCCACCAAGATCGATATCTTTATGATATTCGTTTCGGTTTAAAATGGCAGCTGGTGCGGCACCGAAAAGGATTGGCTTGCTGGCGAATTTTCTTTTTTCGCTGTACAGCTACCTAATGTCTTCGGCCGAATTTTGAAGGGCTCATTTTTCACTCGTTGTGCTTGCATTTGGATTGCTTGTGGTTGGATGCCATGTGATTTGTAGGTGCGACAGTTGCTCATGCGAATCAATGGTATAGTGGTGACTTTTTTGTTTGGCACTGTCTGACTGCGCCACAGTCAGGTAGTAAAAACTCCGATATTTCGGGAACGCTTTCAATCTGTGAAAGCCAGCGGCAGCAGCAGGTGGTGTTCCCCGTAAACCAGTTAGGCATTCACGGTTGCCTTCCTTTCTACCATTCAAGACCACTTCTTCGCTGGGAGTGTAAAGAGCGGCCCCTTTCCCGCAAAGAAAAAGTTAACCTTTTTTGCAGAAATGCTGAGAAAGTAGCAGAAAGAGAAACACTTCACAGTAGTAGGTCGATGTACGGGAAGACAGAAGCGTTTTAACGTTTGGTATAAAATAAAAATTGAATCGTTTTTCATGTACAGTACAAGTGAGAATTCGAGAACGCGACAAAAAGATGAAGAACCGGCGTGCCGCACGAGAAGAAGCCGCGGATGATGGCGGCCACTTCGGTTTCCTGCGGAATTTCCTGTCTACCGAGACGCGCTATGCTGAGGCTAGGAGAAAGGCCCGGCGCGTGCCTCGACCAGATTCTGCGCGTATGCGTTATAACGCCTCGACGGAACCGATAGCGCTTGGTCAGGACGAGATTCTTCGTTCCGCATCGCAATTCCCAGGTTCTGACCGCCATCAAATGACGAATCTGTGGGAGCTTGATGCCGGTCGACCGCCTTTCATGCGTGGCGGTCCAACAATACCAGCGTCCGCGTCGAGTGCTCCGGTTAGTGTTGTACTACATCAGCAGAGCCGGCCTGTGAAACCAGATAACTATGCGATAGGCGCATCCTCGTCCGGGGAAGAGCCAACTACTGATGTCGAATTTCTGGAGAGTAGGACCGAAAGCAACGACCACGCAGCTCAAGGACTCGAAATAGAGAGTGCGTCGAGCGCGGAACAACGCGGCGAAGAAAACGACGAGCAAGAACTAGAAGAGGAAGGACGCGAAGGTCGTGCCACAGATGAACCCCTTGACCATGCAGGAACGACGCCTGCCGCGGCAGGGCAGCGCCGCATGATTGTAGAGGGCCTCGAAGACGTATCCGACGATCGTGACGGCTTTAAGATCGCGAATCAGGACACCGCCAACACCAGTGCTAACGGTTCAGGTTCGGAACAACTCAACAGAGAAGAAGTTGGTAGAAGTACAAGCAGTCGTTCAGAATCAGAAGGAAACTCGTCATCAGCACAAAGAAGCGCAAACAGAAGAGTGGAAAGAGGAAAGTTGAATGTGGACGTCCCGCGAAGCGTCTCAAATTTCTGGACCGAGCCGCATATTTCGCCACGCAGTATGCAGCACTCGTTGCGGCGGAGGGAACGGGGCGTCGGACTGATCGGCGGCCACAGAAATTTAGACGGTGTCCTCCAGCCTGCAACAGTGTCTACAATATCCAGTGGTTCCCCGAAGTCGTACTCCGCGGACGAGACCACTCAAAATCGTGCACTACTCCATTATCTGCAAACTATGGAGGATTCAAAGCGACACTCCTTCCTGACCGAATTTGCACAGCGCGCACAGCTCTCATCTCCAGTAGACGAGGAAGACGCAACTGCCGGACAGGCGGGACTCCTCGTGGCGGAAGATGGCACTTCAAAGAACATCAGGGCCACCGGAAGGACGGCGTCCGGGACTTCGTCGAGTTCGACGAAGCCGACGAGAAACAACACCAGCAAGGCCGCTGTAGACTCCTTCACGACCGTGGCCCCACAGCAGGAGGCGTTACCCGCAGGCGTCTCTTCAACCTTCGAGCATAACCAAGTCAGAACACTAGGAAGCAATAAAATGCGATCTACGTCAGCAGAAGACGACTCCAAGGATGAGTTCGGAAGTGTGGGCTCGCCTGCTGAACTCCTTATCGGCGAGCCGGATCCTATCGTTAAGGGGTCAGTGATTTATTCCAGCCGTAACATCCGTGGCCTTGTAAGTAAGTACTTGTTTCAAGAAAGAATCAGGTCAAGGATGGGCAGATTTCTAGTTCTCTTACTACTCTCTTCTATTTCTACTTCTACCACAACTCTATTTCGAACTCGTTTTTCTAGCACCTGCCTCAAGTCTGAACCTTAAACTTTTGGGAGTGAATGTTTTGGTGACTACCTCTAATATTGGCGGCCGAATCGTCCGCGTCCTTACAGGCGCAAGAGGAAAAAAGCACTACCGCACTCAGTGGCTCACGCAATATCACTGTTTTTTGTTTGCCGTCTTCATTTCGCTACTCAGTGCTGTTCTTTTTGTTGTCACTTTGTATTTATCCTCAAAAGGGTCAGGCCGGTGATGACTGTTGAATCGACAGTTAGGTGCTCACTCTTGAAATTATAAAGAAATTTGAAAATATGTCTTTGTGACGCTTTGACTTGGCGACATTCAGTCTTTGATAGTGCAAGCATGGGTTGATGCTTCTGCTGCCGCATTACTTTGTCCAACTGCATAAAAATCGTCGCGCACATCATGGCGTTTATGGGGATGTGCATAAACGAGGTGCCCGTATTCGGCCATACTTCTGTTACTGTTGCTAATGTACAGAACAATCTCCCAAGCTAAAGGACGATCAAGAGGCTTGAACGATGCTTTTCCAGTCTGGGCTCATAGTTGTTGTATTTCTCGTGATCGTTCTGCAAAGTGAAATTTGCTTTTGCCTCCGCCCTGATTGGATCTTGTATTAAGTGTACATAGGGACAAAGAACTCATGGCGTCGTCGCTGTGTCGCAGTTTTAAGCGGTTTTCGATTCCTGTGTTGGTAGCAATCTCAGAATTGCATTGAAATTGAGGCTGGGACTGCCACCTGAATCATGGAGTCGCGGCTCAACGGGGCAAATTATGCGACGGTGACGAAATCGCAGCGTTGGGGTCGACTTTTGACTCTAGACGTCGACGTGATGGGTGACCCATTGCGGCCCAAAGAGGCCGTTGTGACTGCTTCTGGACCGAGCAAAGCGCCAAGACTCGTCTCATGCAAGGCTTGTCGAGTGACCGCCGGTTTTGGCGTACCACCTTGATTTTTGTGGGCAGTCGATTCCTAGGATTCAGACTCGCATGTGATCAACTAAGAAAGCTCCGAATCATTTTAGTAAGACTAAAAAGTTGATGAGCATACAGTTTGGCACATAACACAAACAGGTTCACACCTGGGTAGCTTTGGACTTCGAGTTGCCGCGTGGCGCTCACGAGTATGAGAATTTCACGTTCGTCTACAACCCCGGGTGGAGCTCAACGCGAGTAGTGGGTATTATATCGTACGACTCGTCGACTTTAGGTGGAGGAGCTGCGACTGATATACAACGAACTGCAGTCGAGAAGAACCCTAATTATGGATGTGGAACTTTTGATCACAGTATGAGTATATCATCCTAGTACGTGTGTGAAAAAGTTTTCTGCTACACGGTTATAGCGCCCTAGAAGGGTAATTTTGAGACAGCCTCATGCGAAGTCGGCCTCATGTAGTAGAGCTAGCTTTAGTGCCTGGTCTAATCTCAGCCGAGTTTTAGTTTGTCCCCACCGCCACGGCGTGCTAGGGAAAGGCCATTGCGCCTCCCTGGAGGAACCCCCGATTTTGCAAGAGACTTCGGAGGTGGCCTTGGTGCCCCGGGAACAGCCGGTAACGAGAAAGATGATGAAGATATTCGCGATCGCGACGATGGCGATGGTCATAATGATGCACCTCCTTCCAGCAATGCAAATTACAACGCCTTGCTAGACGCTCTTAGCTTTTCCAAAAACGTTCCTAGTGACGTACAAAAGAGGATGGAGGAGCAGTCCTACAGCCTCGAGCCTTCTAGCAAAAGCAGAGCAGCTGATTTGAGAAGACTACCTCATGACGCCGAAAGCGAACAAAATCCAAGCACATTCCATACTTCCTGGACCGAGGCATCCAGTGCGTGGGAAGCAGCATTCTCGACATCGCGCCATCGTCCGTTTATTGACAGCTTGCAACAGCGCTTGGGAAAATTGAATGCATACCGGGCCCTTGACCGAGGAGCCTTCGTAGATCGGCTTCTTTATGCTGACATTGGCGTTTTGCTCACGTTGCTCCCGCTGCTTTCGCCTAAGAACTTTGCCGCAGCTCTGTTGGCAAAAAGCATGCTGCCAAGGCTCTGCGACGAGCTAGAACGCACACCACAGGAGTTAAGGACATCATGAAATAAGAAGTCGAGGACATACCAGTCACTTTGAACTGAGTTTCCTCTTCTCGCAGTTGAAATTGCAAGATTAGTGAAGTTTGAGCAAATGAAAATACAAGAAATACTTTCATAACGTTTGCATATAGTAAAAAAGTGATGCATCAAAATCGTCCTCCGCAACAAATGAACATGCCCTTTCTAAGATTAGCAATAGCCGAGAAGCTATCTGCACACCTGTTGCGCATTTGCCGTGAATTCCGCCGTTATGGACTACCTCTCGCGGGACCGGAAGCCGTCGGCGCAGAAGAATTTGCGGCACTCTACTCTCTTGTGAAGCGCTTGGCAAAGAGTGTACGTCTAAGCCGCATGCAAGGGGCGACCGCTACCCGCTGCGCCGACATCCGTGATCTTCTGGCTATCGATTTCGGCAGCTAGAGCAAGACTTTCACTATAGAGAACTACAATTACTGTTCGGCTTTTGACGCAACTCTACTAGCTGCTGGGAGATTTGTTGAACAGGTCCAATTAAAGATGGAGGGCTACTTCTGAAAATTTGAAGAGCTGCGACTAGTCGTGGTCTCGAGATGTTGAGCTCACTGGGGATCTTGATCAGCTAGTACAGCAAGAGTTTGGAACCGTCGTTGGGCATTCCACGAAAGCTCTGAAAATATCGAAGCAGAGCTTGGCCATGAGACCGACAAAGGTTACATCTTCGAGCAGCCGATGACGAAACTGAGCCGCACGCCTTTCACCTCTCACTTGTACTTGTGCGCTCAGGAAGATCCGATTCTCGCAGCAGAGCCGACATAATCGCAGACGCGCGCAGTAGCAGCAGAGCGGATGCCTGAGTGTGCGCGGATCGGAAATGATTTCGCTAGCAGTGCGCGTCTGTGAGGCGTTTGGAGTGATAGTTACGCTACAAGTTTCAATGGCAGACGCACTTCTCTATCACCAATAGCAACCTGATGCACCAAGAAGCCATTCACCGTCATCCATACTAACACATCCGCCAGCAGCTACTGCAATTAGTGGTGTGTTCGTGATTTTGCGGCGGGCGATATGTGTTAAAACATAATAATATGTGCAGGAAATAAGACGGTCACGGTGGCGGAACCAGAGGACAGATTTTCCAATAATGCATGTTAGCTGTCAGAAAAGAAGACTAGTTTTTACCAGCCTGAGCTTCATTGAACTTCCGGGGTGGAGAAAAGCTTCGTAGGTATAGAATTGTCTCTTTCTGATTTTGCCTAAGTCATATTTAAGATGTGAAAAAGCCTGCCTCGGGCACTCGACATCATGCCTCGTGTCGATGGCCGGTCTATCGATACGAGGATATCTCTCCCAAATCTATCAATTGTTTCAGTGTTCGCTAGAGATTTTTCTGCGTTGCTCAGGATTCGTTTAGATGAAACGCACACGTCGGAAGACGAGAAGAGTCCGATCGGTTTTTCTTTTCCTTTCGTCATAGTAGAACCCTGCAAGAAAAGTCAGTGTCAGCATCTCCGTCGTTATCCTAGGACGACAATTTAGTGCGCGAGCGCGATGCGGTCTGCGAGAAGATGAGCCGTGATAGAGGCAGTTCGGCGCGGGTTCTTTAATATTGGAGAGGTCTGCTTTTGCCGCTAAATTCCAACGAAAATTGATAATGATGAAGTTCTTCTCGTGACGCTGACTCGGGCATTTTGTCCACGTTCGTTCCTCAGAGAGCATCAAGCTTGCTTGGACTACGTGATGTCGTTCACGGGATCGTTCGGTCGTGTTGCGGTTGCGTGTTCCGTGTTTCAGGGTCTCGCGTCTGTTACCATGATGCTCGGAAACAAACAGTTGGCGCGGGTTTTTCCCTTCCCTTTTCTGGTGATTTTGATCCAGAACTTTATCGTTTTCCTGTGCTGTGGAGGCATTGTCTTGACCAGAGCGGATGAACGGCAGCGGGCGTTCCAGCTGCGGCCAAAGCATTTCTGGCGCTGTCTGTGGGTGGGGATCGCAACGGCACTGGTTCTCACGTCCAGCATCGTCGCACTGCGCTTCTCGAGTGTACCCCTGGTCGTCACGTTCCGGAACCTTACGCCAATAGTGGTCGCGGCACTGGATCACGTGGTCTTAGGAACCAATTTCCAACGAAGCGCGCAGCTTGGCCTAGTATGCGGAGTCGTGGGGTCACTGCTTTATAGTGTCTTTGACCCGCCACGTGCGGAAGAGGTCGCGCCAGCACTAAATGCAACGAATCAAAAGCTGGTAGCATCGGAGAACGGAAAACTGACGAAAACCTCTGCTGCAGTGAACAATATTATGACATCAGTTTCTGATGTCGTGCCTCGCGCGGGTGTTCTATTTGCAAGTGAATTGGGCCTAGCGTTTGTGGTGGGAAACATGTTCCTGTCCGCGATTGTGAACATACTGGAAAGCACAACAATGCGGAGTCTGAACGAAGAGCAGAGCCCATCTTCCGTAAATTGTATTCGGATTGCAGTGATGACGCCCGTACTGCTTGCTTTTTCACTGGTGTTCGACGACATTCCACAGGCTGTGAATCTTCTTCATGCAGATTGCGCTCGTCTTCTTTTAAGATTCGGAACTTACTAGGTAAGAATGCAACACGCTGCAGATGGAACCCTGCACTACTGAGCGTTCTTGGTCTTCTACTCCCGTTCCTCAGCAGACTTCCTATTAGACTAAGATAAATTGACAGAAAATGAATATCGATGTGAAGAGTTCTAATTTTTACCTCCTTTCCGTGGTCACAAAGTGAATTAGCCGAGACTGCCGCATTACTGAAAACCGACGACACGATCCTCGCCCACCGGGTAAGAGCGCTCGCTACGCCTGTGCCGCTGCTGCTCCTCACCGGCGTCTTCGCAGCGATGTTCGGCGTATCTACCCTGACGCTGAGCAGCCTCCGTATTTCGCCCACCACGCTCGCTTTTCTGAACGTGTTTTATAAGTTACTGACAACTGTCGCAGGTCATTTTGTTTTCCCGTCAGTTGTGCCTTTGGCAAGCTGGCTAGGTTATGGACTGACCTTCTGCGGCTTTCTATCCTATGCACTAGGGCGTATAAAACCATCGGGTGGTTCGACCGAAGATAAGAAAGACAAGTAATGATAATTGACTGGCACTACACGAAGTGAAGGTGAGACGAGCACGAAAGTTCTTTGATATGACACGAATGCACCCTCGATGAACTTCTACATCGAGAACGCAGGAGAACCCATGTTTGTTCAGGCATCGTTAGTTACTGGCGCTATTCAGTTCGTCCCGGTTTGATTTGATTTCGTGTCTTGATCTCATCGGTTTTGCAGTTGTATTGTCGCTCACTTGAGGACGAGATTGATGAAACCATGAATTTTATAAGGCTTACCGTATTTCTGTGCACAGCACCCTGCCTCGGTCCGTCTTAGTGGCTTGATACATTTTCCGGTCCATGCTGCGAAGCCTGATGATCAGCTCGCTATCTATGAATGATATGAAGTGGTGAAATTCTTGTGGCACAACTCGGATTGCAGATTCCAATCGGTTATCTTGTTGACGCTTTTAATCGGTCAACAGAGTGCAGCGAGGAAAACGGACCCGTATCGAACTTCCCTAGCCCTCGGATATCATGTGGATGAAATTATGAATACGTATATTTTGTTGGACACCTGCACCTGCTTAATGGAGAGACACTACACAAGTCAACTTCGTTTCACCTATTATGGCTTTTCAATGGCCTCGCACGCTCACCCCGTCATAGGTGATCCTATGTATAGTCCGAAAATTTCATCATCATTAACTTAGTGCACTCCAAAATTTAAATTTCCAGTCGGCTCTTGCATACTTTTTACATGGTTGGTTTCAGCATTTGTTTCCAAAGATCTGCTTGCAAAGAGTCCTTTTTGAGGACCATAACACATATACGAGAGGCAGAAGAAGAAGGCGATGTGCATGAACAAGCATTTCTGACAACTAGCTTTTGGGGGCGCTGAATCTTTCAGAAACGAGTCCGGCAAACACACCGAGCAGACAGAAGCTGAAATTAGTTGGTTCTTGGCGCAGCTACCGCCGTTGAGCACAAGACTCTGCGTTGAAGATTGCGCACGAGGGGCAAAAATATTCCAACGATTTTCAGAGGTTTATCTTGTGCACGTCGTGCAGGCCTGTCCTGGCCAGCGTGCCCTACATCGATTTAGTGTGCCTGCCGAATATCATTGCAGTGCCCTACTGGAAGCAGTCAGGAAATTATGGGACGCGTTGCAATTCAGATGAGCTATGCGATAACGGCGTTATCCGTGCTGTTTGCTGGTGTATCCCTGTTGTTGCCCTGGGGTGCCCAGAAAGTTGGCAGCATTGCTGGGGGTACGCAAACATTTATGTGATAGTATTGCTTGTTTGCAACATTGATGAATTCAACTTGTTTGGAAATTTTCTTCGTCTTCCATTTCTATCTTTTATTGAGATTAACAACTACAACCATGACTTCTGCCACTTGTTGTTCAACAATGACAGGTGTGGAGAGTGCGACCTTTTACTTGGGAGCGATTTACGTCCAGAGCACTTTCTCTTTTGCCAAGTCCTCCCGCGAGTATCTTGCAGCTATCGGATATACGGCAGTAAAGTGCCCAGAATCGGTCGCTACTACATATAAGACAGACGAGGGCCACGAGTACGAATTCACAAGCTGTTACAAGGTAAAGCTGCTTGATAAGTAACAAGTAAGTGGCATTGATCAATAACAAGTAAAGCTGATTGATAAGTAACAAGTAAATGGCATTGATAAGTAACAAGTAAAGCTGATTGATAAGATTTACTGAATGCTAAACTCTCAGTCTCACGCTTTTTTGCAACAGATTTGAATTCTTGCTAGAACATGTTGTTCTAAACAAGATACGGTTTATTTACCTCGGGCCCGCTGCATCAAGAATGGCGAAAACTCTTCATTCAGATTCCAACTTGGAAAGCTAACCTGCACGCTAGCGCAACGAGGCAATTAGCCGCCGTCGATGTTACAGGGGGCTTGATTGGAGGCATCATCTCGGGTGAGCTTCACATGGCTGCGGTGATGTATGGTGGGGTCTTGACGGCTCTCCTCGTGCTCGGTGGCGCCTCGATACAAGTGCTCATGTGCATGTTTCTCTCGTACTATGCGAATTACCGGGCGTCCTCAAGAACACGAAAAATTGCAGATCTAATGGCCGTACTATTCTTCTTGACCACGATTATTCCCCACTTAGCTTTTGATGTTCGTCTGTGAGACCTGTTGGTTCCTCTTAGGAGTACTCGAAATATTTCTTGCAGGATCGTGTATCCTGATGTCATCTATTGGATGATTATCAAATAATGAAAAAATGGTCAAGAAGATTGACATCAGCGTCGTGACAATAATCGTTCTCCTTCCACCAATCTTCAACAGAAAGGGTCGCTGTGCATGTTTGCTGGCGCAGTTTTAGTGTACTTCGTGGCGCTGCAGATGATGAGTGTGAAGAGGAGCATCTTCATGGCCGAGTCGAACGCGGTACCGATCTATTTTTCACATGTTCGATTTACACGACGTATCGGTATCCGTCGTTGCTTAGGGAAATAGCATTTGGCTGCGAAGGACTGCACTCATTATTACTGACCTATTCGACTTGATTCCCTGTATTTTTCACGAATTAAACCTTAGTTTGGCGTAAATTATATTGAAACCCAAAGAATTACGCGGCGAATAAATCCAATCAAACTACTCCTGATCAACACTCTTCTTCACTGCGATGATCCTTTCATACACTTCCACAGATTCCCGTCTATGGGTTTCTGGGTGGCATCATATGCACCGGCATGTCCTTTGGCTTGGTACTAGCTGCTCGCTACTGGAAGAGTAGCACCTCCGAATTTCTCGTTGCGAAGGACCGCATGCGAAAAGAGCGTGACCTAATGATGGATACCGAGAGTGAATACGACGATTGGTAATCGACGAGCCCTTTATTGTTATTCTCCATCTATACGCGTCTGTGTAGTTGCAGAAGGAATAATATCACAGTCGGATGTATTGAGGAGAATAATGTAAGGGAGTAAGACTACGATTGCAGGAATTCACAAACGGCATAGAAACCGTTAGAAGAAGAAATACATTTTTCATGAAGTCGATTAAGAGCTTCACATATTGCACATGATCATGCATTTCATGCATAGCAACGACGGTGGAGGAAGAACACGACGATCCAAGATTCTTAAGCATACACCGCTAGGACGAAAAGACAGGCATGATGGCGTTTCGCCGACGCCGACTAGAGCGTTTGTACAGAAGCAATCACGTACTTAGTCGAACAGAACGAATATTCGTAGTTGTAGTCCCACTTACCACGGTCTGAGCGTGGCATCAATAAGCTAGTAACCCTAGTTCAAACCAAAGACTATAGTAGCCCTATTTGACATAATCCGGATTTTGACACACACGAATTTTCACAGTTTAACGCAATCCCACATGCATTAGTAACTCACTCCAATTGTTCCACAATCCTGCACCGTATTTCTCATACATTACAGAGCTTTTAATATAGTTGTTGCCGCATCACATCAAAGTTATCTTTTGACATATTTCCTTAGCCGACCTACAGCAATAAAGATAAACAAAGCATATCCCACGCTCGAATATTCATGATGAGACTCCCAACATTCACCTATCCCAGTGGCTCTCTTCGTTGCAGAAACAAATGAAATGACACCCACCTTCCTCCCTCTCCCTCTTCCCTTTACCACCCTCCAGGTCATTGAAGAGCCTTCAGTTATAATTCTGCCGCGTCCTCCACGAAGAAGGAAACAATTCCGAATGGAAATAAGAAGATCTTTGCGATGCAGAAGGCATACAAGATGTTCTTCTTGGGGCAGAATTCTTGCATGATTTTTCTTCTTAGAGGACTAGCACGAAAAATCACCAAAAGCAGTGCGCACGACCGACAGATCCATTTGATGTGGTCAAAAAGATCATCCTAGGGCTATAATCAAGGTTTTGCTTCAGTACACTCCTCAGTTTTCTGATCTTGAAGACATGTTGATGATGATCCCAGACTCGGCTCGCGAGAATGAACAATTATCGGCCGTGAATATGGCATGATCAAGAAGTATGTGATCACATTGTTTCCATTCCATTCGACTAAATTCTGGTGAAGTCCTTCCAGTGCTTGATACTTTGCTACCAGTAAAGGGCAAAGCCAATTGATTGTCTGCTCAGTTAGGATTCTGAGGATTCTGTTTTTTTCAAAAGATCAGTTTTAGTTGAATCCTTTTTTTGAGCACACGAGGCAGCGAAAAAAATGGGCGAATCTGTGAAGCTCTCCGGATATGACACCACGTACAGTGTCTTGAAAGGTGGCAGCGGCGCTGAGGTGAAGAGAGGGGCGACTGTGACGGTCCACGCGACTGGCGTCGTTAAGGAGAGCGGAAAAAAATTCTGGTCCACCAAGGACCCGGGGCAGCAGCCATTCACCTACCAGGCGGGCGTTGGTAATACACAAGCCCTTTATGAAAGATAGACATCAATGTCGTATCCTGTTGGGAATGGTGGAATGAGGCTAGTCCTTCATTTATTTCCATGTTCTTGCTCTCTATAAAGTGAGTACCCTTGTTGCCATCTGATGTGTCTCGAAGAAACCCTCTGTCGTAGTTTTTGATAGGAGTCAGTATGCAATTTTCGGGAATCCTATTTGCTGAAAATCTCGTGCGCATCTGTTTTTTGCAGGTAAAGTCATTGTCGGATGGGATCAGGGTCTTCTCGGAATGAAGATCGGCGAGTCGCGATTGGTGACTATCCCTGCACACGAAGGCTATGGCGCCGAGGGCTTTCCAGCCTGGGGTATCCCGCCAGGCGGAACCCTCGAATTCACGCTCGAAGTTCTCAGCATCCAGTAAGCAAAATTCGACGACTCTCGAGTCGTTTTATCCTACGAAGAGCGAACGCTGCTGAAGAAAAAACCTGTAGCTGTTGCGGGGGCGTTTGAAGCGTGTAGTTATAGTTGGGCTGGCGGGAGAAGCAAGGGCTTCTCCGGTTGTCTCGATATTTCTCTGCAAGGTGATTTTTGAAGGTGGAGAAGAGTACCTGGAATACATAGGATGAATGCGGATGAACTTCCCTTTTTATCTGCGGCTGAAGCAGGAGCGGGAGCAGCCAAACTGCTGTGCTTCTTGGTGTAACTATAGTATCATGATTTCAAAGGTACTCTCGTTAATGTATCTCATACTGGTAAATCCTTCCAAGACAATAATGTGGCCTTCGGAGCCATTACAAACCTTCCCCATGCTCCTGCGAATTATGAGAATCTTGTATTTGAGCGCACTGGCAAGCGCCCTGTGTGTATAAGTGTATTCGTGTTACGCCCCGAAGGGAGGCATATCCTTGAGGGGGTTGGAAGTTTTATGTGATACTCGTTTTTCATTACTGCAAGCCAGAAAGTGAGAGCGAAAAATTTCTGCACCAGCGACATGGTTGTTTTTTGAGGTGATCGAGAGAAGGAGTGTCAAACCAGATTGAGGATTAGGAAGAGGGTGTATTCGAAAAGTTGTAGGCGTAACAATGTTGAAAGATGAAACAAACCTGGGGACAACAGGTTGTAGAATCTCAGGGTATAATGAGATGAAAGTCGACATTAGCATTTTTACCTGGACGATTTATGATTTATGTATTGTTTCCCTTTTGCATGCATAAAACACGCACCACAAAATAGATGCGTCCAACCGAAAGCTAGCAAGTCCTCCGCAAGATGACGTCAGGTTATGATCCACAGGAGCCGGAAGGCTTGGCGTCACCCCAAGGATCGCGGGAGGCATCATCAGCGACTGAGCGGGAGCGGCTTTCTATTTTGATCATTTGTGATTTCTTTTATCCGGACCTTGGCGGTGTGGAGAATCATATCGAACAGCTGAGTCAAGGTTTAGCGGCACGTGGTCATCGCGTTTGCATCCTGACGCATCCGTATGAAACACCGATAAACCCGCGGGGGGAGGTAGCAGGGGATTTGAGAAACACTTCTGCGACTGGTGGCAGAAGCAGCAGCTCACCTGGGAAATGGAGAAAAACTCTAGATGGCGGGGATGTAATCAGGGATCACGAGGTCGTGAGTGGACGGAATGCAAGCGAGGCACCAACTCGACCACCTGAAGATGGTGGAGGAGATACAGCGGCAGCAGCGCCTTCGAGTTACGCCGAGCGAATCGGGCGCAAGGACTGGATACTGCGTCGTGGTGTGCGTTACCTGGAAAGTGGCGTGAAAGTATACTACGCCCCTTTTGCGACGATGCCACGGTGGCTAACGACTGCAGTATCCACGTTTCCGTCAGGCTACGGCTTTTTGCCTCTGCTCCGCAGTATCCTACTCCGGGAGCAGGTGGACGTAGTGCACACGCATCAGTGTACGAGCTGCCTGGCTCTGGAGTGTCTCTTTCACGCTCACCATCTGGGGTATCGGACAATCTTTACCGACCACTCCTTGTTGGAGGTTACGAAACCGCTGATGATGCCCGTCCACATGAACAAGGTGATCGTGGTGGCGCTGACCTGCGCAGACCACTGCATCGCCGTGTCTGAAATCCTGCGGCAAAATGTGGCGCTCAAAGGAAATTATCCTTTAGAACGACTCAGCGTCATTCCGAATGCAATTTACTGCGATCGTTTTACGCCAGAACCAGAAGATTCGAGTGCAGGTGTTGGCGATGCAAGTACTGGAAACGGAACAACCGCAGTTGCGAAGGAGGTGCCGCCAACGACGGGAGTTGCAGTCGAAAAACACAGAGCGGAACGTGTACGGAAAGAAAAGGAAATCTCGGGCAACGAGCACGGCGATGGCCTTCCAGTCGATGCGGCTCGGCAGGATGTGGCTCTGAAACAGGGAGACGACCTTCAAGAGAGATTTGGGGAAGGTGAGATTTCTGGCAGAGTTGTCGAGGTAACGAGGAGCTTAAGAGTTTTGTCACCGCTCGAAAAGAGCTTGACAGAAACACCGAAGCCCCCTCCTGTAACGATCGTGTACATGGCCCGACTGACGTACCGAAAAGGCATCGATTTTCTTGCCACCTCGGTTCCGCGTATTTGTCGTAGGTTTGGGGAAGGCCGAGTGCGGTTTCTAATTGGTGGTGACGGAGATGCGCGGCCCATCCTAGAGAAAAGTCTACGCGGAATCTTGCTCCAGGGTGCTCGGACGCCGCAAGGCGTCGCGCCGTACTCGACCAAACGTGAGGCGGAAATCCGAAGCAAGCTGCGTCGCGAGAGAACATGGGAGGACGTCGCTGGAGAGGGTGAGAGCGGAGATGTCGGCTATCTTCAAGCGCACACGGATGATGTGAAGCATCAGGATCGAGCTGGAGGAACACTGTCGCAGCCCATCTCCGCAACTCAGTGCCAGCTTTTGGGCGCCGTGCCAGCAGGAGAGGTCCCCAGTATTCTACGACAGGGAGATATATTTTTGAACACAAGTCTGACGGAGTCGTTCTGCATCGCGCTGGTTGAGGCAGCCGCGTGTGGATTGAAAGTGGTATCGACGAACGTAGGAGGTATTCCCCAGACGTTACCTTCGTACATGATGAGACTAGCGGATCCTGATCCTATGGCCATTTTTTGCGCTTTGGAAGAAGCCATTTTGGAAGTTGAGGCTGAGCGGAGACGAGATGCAAAGGTTGTGCAGGGTGGTACTGCTGAATATACCAGGAAAAAAGATTTTATCCCTGCTGCCGTTGGGTGCCGAGAAGAGGAGGATACCCTGGGCGGAGGATCGACGCCTACAACTTCGGATCTGGCGGGAAAGAGTAGGGTTATTGTAGGAGAAGACGCTGCTCGTGGATCAAGAGACGAACCTTCAAAGCGAAGATGTGACTTTCCTCCGGAGAAATATGCTCCGGCTGTAAGGTCACACGCAGACCGGGAGAGAAGATGGGCACAGCACGCCGAGGTGCGTAGTCTCTACAGTTGGCCCGATGTTTGTCGGCGGACAGAAGGTGTTTATTACCGCGTTGTGGATGAACCGCGACGAACTACACAAGACTTGCTGCTGGATATGCCCCAGCGCCTTGGATTTATCAGTGGTCTTCTTTATGCATATATGATCTCTCTTGAAGTAGTTTTGATCAAGCTTTTACAAGCCGTACACCCAGCGCGGCTCGTGCAAGTGGTTCGGCAAAGCTGGAGTGATCTACGTGAGATACGATGAACAGCTTTTTAAAGTTTTTGATGTGTGTAGTGTCGGCTTGAGAGTTGGGTAGGTCAACTTCCTCGTCTCTGTGGAGCCAGTAGATCTCTCAATTTTGTGTTTCTCTACTAGAAGCGAAGTAGCATTTTTTTCGTACTGACAGCGAGATGTGCGCTGCGTACTTACCAGATGCAGCTTATGAAAGACGGTGTTCAATTTGTTTCAGCGTCTGTTCTTTGTCTGCACGAAACCACGTATTATCGAAATTTCGTGTCAATGTTATGTCTTGATATTGCGCTTCTTCAATTCTGCTCAGCGTTTAGTGAAAAACCACTACCAGCAATAAATGATGCTGCTAGTTAACTCTCTGTAGAAATCTCCTTGCGCTTCCGCTAAAAACTTTGAATGATGAGGAGATCCCCGACATTTCACTGAAAGATCAAAATCTATCTTTTCTGCTGCACATCCGAAATGTGATGACTGTGCGATCCTGGAATCTTCGTTCACAATCGGTACGAAAAAGCTGCGTGAAGGAGCAAATCTTGTGTTGCGAAAGCTGCGATTGCTTCCCCACTTTCATCCTTATCGGCTTGATTTATTCGGAGTCGTTCAACCTAGAAAAAGAAATGTAAAGAATCTCCTCGGCACTGACAGATAATAAACTTCAACGAACAAACTTTTAGGCATCTAAATTTGAAATCTCTTTACGAGACACAAACAACTTTCGTGTAGTCACCCGACACGCTCGCAAACCAACAAAATGGCTGACGTTGCTCCCGAAGCTGCCCCGGCTCCGGCCATGAAGTCTTTTATGGAAAATGACGTAGTGCGTGGTACTCAAGGAAGTAATTCCTTTGGGATCGTCAAGGTCCCTTCATCATGCACAAGAAATTGCATGTGGGTAACACAATTCGTATACTAGGTCTTACTAATTTTATCGAATGAGTACACTACCAAGACATTATTATGCACTTTCATACCTACCATGAAGTCTGCGATGAAATCGTCGATGAAGAAGTCCGCTATGAAGAGCGCGATGAAGAGCGCTATGAAATCGGCCATGAAGTCCGCGATGAAATCGGCTATGAAGAGCGCGATGAAATCCGCCATGAAGAAGTCGAGCATGAAGAAGGCGGTACAATTTTACTTCACTTGTTGTTTTTGGACGCTGCTTCTAGCACCTACCCTCAGAGGACACCTACCTGAAGATTTAGTTTTCATTCATGTAGCAAATGTTGAATCTGTGAATGCTAGCGCTTAGTCGGACAAGTCACTCCTGGACTCTAACACTAAGTAGCATCATTTGGTAAACAAGCGGTGCAACGCGATAAACATGATTTGTAGCCATAGGGTGAACGTATAGTTCATGACTTGACAGAATTTTCGTGCACTCTTTGGAATATTTAGATCCGTAAAACTAGCTGTATGGTAGAAATTCTGGAATATTGAAGGTTCCTAAGCACTTTCCATACCGTTTTACCTCCACAGACTTCCGTGATGAAGAGCTCCATGAAGAAGAAGTAAGGAAGCGGTATGAAAAGGTGACTGCTGTTGGAGCAGAGGAGGCTAACAGGGGTTTGTTATAGATTGGAGATGGAGACGGGTTGCAGTTGCAGCGTGTCCACGACGTGCTTCTCGGATGCCTCGATGGCAAGCAATCGTTCTACGCTGGGGTGCCGCGCTTTCATCATGCTGGCATTTCGAATATCGTTGAGTTCATTAAACTGGCCGACATATGGAGATAGACATCGCATTTCATACGAACCCAAATTGTAAAACTATGGAAAATGGACTATCGCAAGACTTCGGTCATGGTATACCTCCATCAGTTTACATAAAAAATCTGGCAGCCGCGTGTTGCCGCAAGGCTTTGGCCGAGGTGTATACGTGTGCTGCCATCAAACTTCTACCGCTTCCATACCTAAATGTACTTACCCTCTTTGTAGAATGTGGTTGATATTTTCAGGAACTGACATCGAGACCCATAGCTCTATGGGATCCTGATATCACTTGGCACTTCACTACAAACCCTTTTGAACGGCTTTTTTGAGCATCTGTTGGTGCTAAAATCCTGACCACGTCTCACGAAATATATCACTCGCTGAGCCGGACTGTGCCTGCGCATCTAGGTGTACGGACCGGCCTCCCGGATGATCAAATTGTGGAGGGAAGCGGAGCTAAGAAAGCGTGTTGCTGCACAGTGGCACGGATCAGTTCTTCCCTCAACATAGGCATCTGATCGCCAATAGCAGGGTTCTGTAACTGAGCAGGACCGTAAGAGAGAGTGTTATTCTGGATACCGGACAGAGATCCCTGGAGAACACGACCGCTAGGTCCTCTCGAGACTTGAGGATCTTTCTATGTCTTTTCGGTGTACTATCTGATAAGAAGGTGTGAGACGTGTCTGTCGTTTGTAATAAACCCTTTCTCGAACGTGGTGGTGCTTCTTTTCCCGATTTCACCTGTACTGTTCTGCTTCTTTTTTGACAGGGCAATGACGCTCAAGTGGTCTTGTTTACTAAAGAAAGAAAGCATGTGGCTGCATATTCAGGTGCTTTCGTAGTAGACTGTGATTGCTTCCCTCTAGTAATGTTTTCGGCAAGGCGATCAGAATTTACACTGGCAATTTGACTACGCGACTCGCTTTCTAGATCGAACAAACGCCAGCCGAAGACGGTGTGATTCGACGGATGGAAACTAGAACGAGTAATTCATAGCTGTCGTGGAGAAGTGTAATTGCCAACTTCCTAGTAAAAATCATAAAAAATGTGGGGTCGCAGCGACTGTGCTATCTACGCCACTGAGTTTTCACCGTTCCGAGGTGACCTTCTTGCAGTCGGTGCAGCGCAGTTTTTCGGGATTGTAGGCTCCGGAAAGGCTGGCGTCTTTCAGTTCAGCGGAGGTCAGTGGGTGCCACTGATGGAGTGGGTAACTGCTGACGGTGTCTACGACGTTGCGTGGAGCGAAGCAAACGAGCATACGCTGTGTAGCGGTCAAGGAGATGGGACAATCAAATTCTTCGATCTGAAACATCCGCAGGGACCTTTGATGACGATTAAAGAGCATCAAGCAGAAATTTTTACGACACTGAGATGAAGTAGGAGGATGGGAGTATAATAGAAATTTTTATTGCGTTGTAGATACTCAGATTTTCTGAGAAGGCGGACGATCTTCGTTTAAATCGTCTCAAGCTTTTTATTCAAACTAGCCTCCTGGTGTGGTTCCCCACGGGAGGGATGCGATGGGAACCCGAGGCACTTGCTAGACAAGGCAGCGCATGCGCGGACATCTTTCAGCAGGCGCCAGATTTGACCAGAACCCTCAGAAGTGTCACCGAGCAGGATGGCCGGCAACTGACGCACTACAGTGGATCAGAATAGCAGCGCGGTGCGATCCCGTGTGGGTGCGTTACGCCTGAAAGGGGATGGGGGCACCTGCGGGCCTATCTTCAAGCCGGTGAAGAAATAGGCAGGCGCATGCCCTTCGGGGCTGTTTCGTCCGCCGGGGTCGGGGGCCTTCAAAGGCCGCGCGGGTCCGCGTGGTTCAAAGATGTAGGGCGGCGCGAGCCCAGGGGAGGGGTGAGGAAAGCGGGGCGCCAAAGGTTACGCTGTAACCTCCAAAATTCATGCCCTAGCCTTCGCAGCTCATGCCCTAGCCTTCGCAGTTCATGCCCTAGCTTTCGCAGTTCATGCCCTAGCTTTCGCAGTTCATGCCCTACCTTTTGCAGTTCATGTCCTACCTTTTGCAGTTTATGCCCTACCTTTTGCAGTTTATGCCCTACCTTTTGCAGTTCATGCCCTGCCTTTTGCAGTTCATGCCCTAGCTTTCGCAGCTCATGCCCTAGCCTTCGCAGCTCATGCCCTAGCCTTCGCAGCTCATGCCCTAGCCTTCGCAGCTCATGCCCTAGCTTTTGCAGCTCATGCCCTAGCTTTTGCAGCTCATGCCCTAGCTTTCGCAGCTCATGCCCTGGCCCTCGCAGCTCATGCCTTAACTTTCGAAGTTCATGCTGGAACTTTCAGGATTCATGTCGTGCCTTTCAGAATTCACGCCCTAAATTCCAAGACCCGTGCCCTGGCTTCAACACTTCCAAGGCTCATGCCCTAACTTCTGAGGCTCATGCCCTAACTTCTGAGGCTCATGCCCTAACTTCTGAGGCTCATGCCCTAACTTCTGAGGCTCATGCCCTAACTTCTGAGGCTCATACCCTAACTTCTGAGGCGCATGCCCTAGCTTCTGAGGCGCATGCCCTAACTTCTGAGGCGCATGCCCTAACTTCTGAGGCTCATGCCCTAACTTCTGAGGCTCATGCCCTAACTTCTGAGGCTCATGCCCTAACCTTCGAGGCTCATGTCCTAGCCTTCGAGGCTCATGCCCTAGCCTTCGAGGCTCATGCCCTAGCCTTCGAGGCTCATGCTCTAGCCTTCGAGGCGCATGCCCTAGCCTTCGAGGCGCATGCCCTAGCCTTCGAGGCACATGCCCTAGCTTTCGAGGCTCATGCCCGCCCTAGCCTTCGAGGCTCATGCCCGAGCCTTCGAGGCTCATGCCCTAACTTTCAAGATTCGCGCCCGAACTTTCAGAATTAATGCCCTAGCGAACTTTCAGAATTTATGTCCTAGCTAACTTTCAGGCTTTATGCCCTAGCTGAATTTTAGAATCTGCGTCCTAGCTAACTTTCGGCATTCATGCTCTAACTTTCGAAATTTATGCCCTAACTTTCGAAGTTTATGCCCTAACTTTCGAAGTTTATGCCCTAACTTTCGAAATTTATGCCCTAACGTTCGAAATTTATGCCCTAACTTTCGAAATTTATGCCCTAACTTTCGAAATTTATGCCCTAACTTTCGAAATTTATGCCCCAACTACTTTCGAAATTTATGCCCTTGCTTTCAAATTTCACGCCTTGACTTTCAAAATTCATGCCCTACTTTTCGAAATTCGTGGCCTATTTTTTTTTCGCAATTCGTGAGATGCGTGAGCGGCAAACATCTGTGCGTTTTTTCCGTGTGGTCGCCGCGTCTATTTGTGTCGTGTGCGCATTGATTTTCAAAGTTCAAAATCAAAACTCTAACGCAAAATTTAGAATTTCAAAGTCAAAATCTAAAATCAAAGCTCAATGCAAAATCTACGATCAAAATCAAAAAATCAAGACGAAGGCAAAACTTTACACAAATAAAGAGAATGAGCAGTCAGCTGAAGATGACGGCGCTCCTCCTTCTTTCATACCCAATGGAGTACACTGGAACGGACAAGCGCGGAATCTGATCTGCACCGCGTCGTGGGACCAGACAAGCATCGTTTTTGACGTACAGGGAAAAGCAACCTTGCGGCGGTACAGAAGTCATGCGAAAGTCGGCTACTGTGCCGTGTGGTCGCCCTACGAAGAGGGAACTTTCGCGACGGTCGGAGGCGATGGAAGACTGAATATTTTCGACATCAAAGCACCGGGGGACCTGCGGCCTGTGGCGGCGGCGCAGGCGCATCAATTTGAGGTTCTTAGCTGTGACTGGCACAAGTACAATCCAAACATGCTCGTCACCGGAAGTGTGGACAAAAGCCTGAGGACCTGGGATCGACGGAACCTCTCGGCACCACTCGCCACGCTCTTCTTATGATATCATTAACGCTGGCTTTGTTCTCAACGACATACACTATATCACTCTAGATGACTGACAGAATGATGTGTCTTCATAATAAGATAAGTACGTATTATGGTAACAATTACTTGGTCATGTAGACTGGTCGATTGAGATCGAAGGTGAATAACAAAGATTTGAAAATATATTTTGGGAATCACTACCAACGCCTGAGGCCGGGATAAGGAAGAAAGCCACATAGGACACCCCGTCTAATTCCCGGTCACCAACTAGCTGTTCGTCGCGTAAAATGCCACCCACACCGAGGAAACTTCATAGGATCCGCAGGCTACGACATGGCCGTACGGCTTTGGGACATCGAGATGGGTGGTCAGATGGTCCAAGCCTTTGACCATCATCAAGAATTCGTTATTGGTCTGGACTTTTCGCTTTTCGAAAGTTATGCAGGGCTTGATTTTTTTGATATGGTGTTGTAGATGGGAGAGGGAGACGGAATCCTCAATATCGATTCAACTTGTACATCGATTCAACTTGTACTGATTTGCTGGTATGATCAGCAGACTTCTTCAATGAGATCATCAGCTTTGGAGGTACCAAAAGGTAGTGCTCAGAGGGATCAGTAGAGTTAGAACTCACCTTCAGGACTCTACTCCGAATGAGCAACATCAACAACTGTCCATGATCAGTTCTTTTTCCTGAAGTGGAAAATTCTCGATCTAAGAAAGTGGTCTAGTTGCTAGCGGAAGCTGGGATCGGACATTCTGCGTATGGAACCATGAGCGAGGACCCCCAATGCCAGCACCTCCCGGATATTTTCGACCGAAACAAGGAATGCCATCTGGGATGCCGCCGGGTGGCGGCCCTATCATGCCTGGTGGGAACGCCTCCGCTCTGCCACAAACGGGTAGCGGCGCGATGCCTGGAAGCGGAGCTCTCGCCCAGACGGCTGAAGTCCCCGTTCTTGCTTCATGTTGAGTCTGTCTAGACATGATAAAAATGTAAATGACTTATGCACGCAGTTTCTGCATAATGCTGATTTTTTGGATTCATTTCTTGTAACGGTTTTGGATTTGGGCAGCGACTCACTGGTCGTATGTATCCATCTTTCAGAGTAAAGATTAATAAATATATATGTTTTTATCTTTATGCTTCCTGTAGTGTGCCGCAGAAAGGTTTTTCAGGGTCCTCGCATGGCGTACTATAAGAATCGGCAGAATCAGAATTACCGACGCCGCGAACGCCGATTTTGAATGTGTCTGGTCATAGGCTGGTCATAGGCGATCCTGATCCCGCAACAGAAATGACCTTCTGGTTCGTTCTTCTTTAGTAATCAACGAATGGTCTTGATCCTGACGATCGTCATAAAGAGATGTCAGACAATTTGAGGATCATAGCTCCGCAGGAGAGGCTTTCATGTCGCTCCTTGCTCCGTCTACCTCAACGTCCTCTAATTTTTATTCACAACAAAAATAAACCGTATCTGGTATCAGACACCGGTGGAATCAGAGTCTTTTTGGACTAGAATCAAAGCACGCTCGCAAAACTGGGCGCAGACTGGGCCACACTTAGATTTGATCATTCTGTTGCCCCATCAGGTAATTTGCAGAAAGAGTTCACAAACAGGAGGCCAGGGGTATTCACGGGGACGCTTAATCAATGTACTAAAGTGCTGTATTGTGATTGTTAGCGTACGTGATGGTTAATTGAGCCGTTCTTATCTGGGACTGGGTTCGTTGCGCACTTTGTCACCACTGGACTCAACAGGTAATTGTATTCGGTGAGCTGTCTTACCAGTAAGATTGAGAATGATATGTACAGTTGCAACGTCTTATGAGGATGTTAATCTATCACGATGCTGTTCATCTAAACTTCAAGATATCCAGAAATTTACAAGATTGATCTTCTAGTTGCACAGAATGGCATCTTCTACAAGCGGTACGGGGCTCTCGCATCCTAGCACGGCTAGATGTGGTTTCGACTTCGTGGAAGCGCTTCCCACGGAATATACAAGGTCAGTTGAGCTAGTGTGCATGTCAGCGGTCGTAATTCGGTCTCAGGATGGTACGAAGGTCATGAAAACTTTGCCTCCGTTGCCTGCGGAGTTGATGCACCTAAAAAGAATACGGAAGAGGGAGACGCCGACTGAATTGAAGGGGGCCAAACCTGCCAGTGGAGAACATGCCACAGAAAGCAATGGTAATGGAGATCAGCAGTCACCCGACAGCAGCAAGGGGTCTCCTGACAGCAAGGACGGTGATCAGAGCGCAAAAGCAAAAGCGAAAAAAGCAGGCGGCGCGGGGCTATTGGAAGTGCTGGTAGGACCGATAGCTTCGTCATCTTCATCGAGTAGCACACGCGCAACAAGAGAGGGGCGGGCTACGTCAAAGAGTGACGATTCTAGTATCGTTGGATGTCGTGATCGCGCATCTGTCGCACAAAGCGGCGCAGGTGTATCACTATCTCATCAACAGCAGGATACGAGTGGGACACCTGCAAGCTCCTCGTCTTTCCAGGGACTTGCTGACAATTATTCGACTAGTGACGCAAATAAACCGGCTACAACAAGTAATTTTGATGCAGTAGTGTCTGCCCTGCCTCCTGATGCGGTGGTGGAGCGAATCGAGGTGGAGGTGCCTGCGCATGCGCCGCTGACTATGGCCCAAGTTGACACTTGGGGCAAGCACTGGCCACTGACGTATCGCAGACCACCCTTTTCGCCGGAAGGGTTTTCGGAGGAACAGATATCGCGCTTCCGCACGGTTACGTCGTGGCTTACTGAGGATGCGAGTCTGCAGTGTGTGGTCTTACTGCCAGAGCGGGATAAAAATGATCTGAGATTGAAGCATGCACTATTCGGGGGAGACGGACGCGCAGATCACGAGTGTTCCGATGGTGTCACGAGGACAGTAGTGGAGGACGAGCTAGGAAAAAAAGATGAAGCGATATCAGTGCCACCCGCCAAGAGGCAGAAAATCACTGCGAAGAATGGTGCTAAGACTGACGGAGCGTCGTCGGGTCATGCTGGTAAAGCGACAAGCTTTGATGTCGGAAGCAACGTAAAAGTTGGCTCAGCTTCCTTATGTCCATCGAGATCAGCTACCAGGATCGAAGATGCGTTCCAAGTTTTCAAAATTCACGACGAAAGAAATCCACGCGAGGGCAGTGTGCAAGGGGGCAGAAAAGGTGCGACTGCAAGTATGTCTACCCCCGCAGCGCCGTCTTCTTTTTCTGCTCGTGTGGCCTGTGGTGCATCTGCCACTTCCTGTTCCGCACTCGCACCGCAGCATCCTTTGAGAAGTCACGCAGTGATGCGTGCCTGTGAAGCTGTCGGCAAAAGTCTGGCTGGACTAGCGCGAAATGCTAGGGGAGAGGAGCAGTACTTGTGTCTCGGTGCAGAAGTGTATACAAGGGTAGAGCCTTGTGTCATGTGCGCCATGGCGCTGGTCCATTCTCGGGTTCGCCTGGTGTGCTTCGAACGGCCAGACGCAAGTTTTGGGGGTTTTGGCGGCCGCTTGCGCCTTCACGAGGAAAAGAGCCTAAATCACCAGGTCAGAGTCGTTAGGAGGATCGCTAGACCTGCTTGAAGGCACGCGAGGAAAATGTTCTTGCCCCTTCTTTACCCCGAATCTGCAGAAGCCAAACGTGATATCTTTTTTTCAAACGACCTGCATGCTTTTTTCCCATTTTTTAACAATTCTAATCCTCTTTCATAAGTCTTCGCGACTCCTGTGCCTCATGCATGTGATAAAGAATTAAGTTTGTAATAATGATGGATGATCTTGAAGAAGAAGCTGGCATGATAGGGCGTGTGTGTTCTCCTCTGATTGAGTATCTGCAAAAACGCGTTCCCATGATCATAAAGTTTCATGTTATATATAATGTGGGTGGCCTGCTCCACTTACCACTCTTCGGTGGACTGCCGCGGGCTTTGAAAGTAATTAAATACAGGCGCTGACCCTGACACAAGATCCACAATGGAAGAGGTCGAAAAGCTGCTTTGTCTTCGGTTTCTGAAGATCTTTGTCGGTATCATCTATTAGATCAAGTACATGACTAACTAAAGCTAAACTTATCCAAGATTGATCAACAGCTGATGCAGATTTATTTCTAATGCCTACTAGACTCATCTTTCGCTGTGGCCCTAATGGTTTTTGGATGACTGAGCACTCCGGTATCTGGGTAATGGTTGTAAGATTGAGTACTTAATTGTGAAGTAAGGTTGGGAATACAATAGCCTAGATAATTATAGCAGAATCATTTTTTACTATATTATAAATATTATAACCTCGTCTTTTTCGAAGAGGTAAAAAAAAAAGACACGCGCAGTTTTGGAGGAAGCTGACCATTCGCCTGAGGATTACTACCGCAGGACTACTCTTTTCAAGAACTCACTTCCGGTGTAAGATTTAAAAATAATTGAAGTCAGGAGCAAGAAATATCAATATTCGATTTGCCGTTTTGCAATTTTGATATTGATTCATTTTCGAGATCGTCATTTCTTTGAAGTTGAAGTTCTTCTTGGGAAAATGCAGGCACGAAATTCATGGAGACATGACGGAAATAGAGTGCGACGTCGGGAGGACGAACAGGAACAGCGCAACCACCGCAGTCGCCACCACGGAGATCGCAACAATCAGCGCAATCACCGCAACAACGACGAGGATGGTTTCTACTTAAGGCTACAAGAAATAAATCATCGCGGGTATCTTTGTCCCGTTTTTAAAGGGAAAAGAGGGCCCAAGATGCTGCTGAGAAGTATGCATTCCTCTCCGTTCTAATCTACCGGAAAGTCTCGATGAAAGCTGTCAATTGGTTACGCTACAAGATGCGCGAAGAGCACCCAGGGAACAAGTCCAACTGGGTTCCATGGAAAGCGATCCCAGGTGAAAACTATAGAAACTAGTACTAAGCTTTTTGTTGCATGATATGAAGGCACTGCGGACCCCTACACGCAGGAAACACTGCCTCACCTCCTAGAGCAGTAGTCGGCTGGGTTAGGAGTTATTGTTTGCTTGTAGTCTAGGCTAAGTAGACAGGTCGTCGCCTTTGCTACTGATCTTACCTACCCGAGATTCTTGAGATATCATTCATAGTCATAAAACGTAGTAGTCCTTCTTCACAAAACATCATCTTACTATACCATTTAGCGTATTGGTTCATTAGTTGACGAGCCGTCTTCATATTCTTACGGCCCATAACATTACATCCTAGGCGCGGGAAAGATGTTTACGGAGTATCAGCTTCAGAAGGCGGCAGAGATGGATCCCACTCATCTCGAAAAGTGGTGGCAAACCAATATGTTAGGGCTTGACACGATTCGTTTCCTATTCCAGCGGTCCTTTTCTTCTTCTTGGGATTCTTAAGAACTGAAAAAAGATTCTGAAAAAAGATTCTGAAAAAAGGATCTGAATTGTTTGAGCTCTAAAAATGTTATACGTTCGCTCAACCCGAAAGAATAAAATCGAGAGCGAAGGAAACGATACAAACTTCTGGAACAACATTGACCTTTATGGAGAAGAACCCTGCTACTATTTCCCTCTAAATACTACTCACTTTGTAACTTGTACCTAAAGTGAACTGTTACCGGAGCAGGCTAGATGCCTGCATAATGAAGATACACTTGGGTGACTTCAGAGTTGCGTGAGTGTATCCTTAAGGTTTAAACGAGTGACCTGTACTCCTATTAGGTGAAAGTTGTCTTCTAGATTCTATCAATCTTGGAAAGAACGTTCATTATTTGGATGCTTTATACGCAAAGAATACAAACGCAGACAGTGAGCAGCAAGCTAATGGACCCAGGCGGCTCGACGACAACATGGACACTGACGTACTTGATGCTTCTTCTGCTTTGCTAATAACAACAAAAGTGTACAGCACTAGGAGAACTAGAATTGAAAAGTAGATGAATATTCCGATGACAAAAGTCATTCCCGTCGCGTGTGGTACAATGCATATGTCTACACGTCGTTAATCACGTAGTTACAGCATCATTTCCAATCTCGAAAATATCAGATGACATCCGGTTCGCAGACGAAGAGCCGAGACCAAAAGCTGGATTCTCCACTCGAAGAACTGATGGGAGGACGTGGGCGCTATCATTCGGAATAGAAGAGTAGAAGACCGAAATGGCGCATATCGGAGGAAGCCAAAAACAGAAGTTCATAATGTTCTTGACATGATTCTTTCTCGTGTGATCTTCACATATTTATAATGGTGGTGGCGTTTTTTTGTTGAGATTTAGTTTTGATTATGTTCTTTCGTTTTGCCGCCAATCATTCAAGAACGAACGATCATAATTTGTTGAAACGCATTGACTGATGATAATTCGAATCCTCCGCTTCCTAACTCTACGCATTTCTTAAGGCAATACGAATATGATTGTGTTTGTGAGCTAACGACAATTAGAAGGACATTTCTTTGCGCGTCCTCGCATTCCCTAAACGCGAGTCGAAAAATCGATCTCTACCCCGACCAAGTCCAAGTGCACCCCGATTAAGTCCACTAGAATTTTTGAGAAAGAAACGTCGACCACATAGAAGCTGCGTCAAAAATTATTCGCATTCGCTGCTGGATCATTAGGATTACACGCAAGAGCAAGGACCAACACCACGCTGATATATTTTCGACGAAAAGTTCTTCTCCTTTATATCCTCTCTGTGAAACACGAGCAAGTGCGTTGTGGCGCATACGCAGAAATAAATTTGTGTTGCCTAGTATAAGCCTGATGGCCTGAAAGGCCAAAATTCTTGTGTCTGATATTTTCCTTTACATGTCGTGTGTGAATTAGTGAAAATGTATAGAAGTGGAAATGAGCATGTTAGAGACATCAAATCGGTGTTTGAGCAGGGAGCCACCGAGAAAGGGCATCCGTCTGATCATGGTTTCTAAACAACATAAGAAGATGATCCAGATCCAGAAGATGCTCAACGATACCGCAGTCCTATAAATTTTGTTCCTCGTTCACTAGTCGGGTAGTGTCTATCATAAAACTATTGTCTCTGTGACCTATAGCTATAAGTGCTAAATCTGGAATTGGATGTATCTATATTAAAGAGCATGAAACTACTACTACCATGAACCACTTAATCTATATTGATTTTGGTTTTGCCGCGTAGTTCTTGGTACTTCTACGGCTTGCGCTCTCAGACGATTAGTTTGTTTTCATATGGATTCGTAAAATAGTACCATGCTCGAATTCGTGCGACATAGTACGGTGTCTTCTCCTGGCCGCGGCAGCGTGGCCGGGGCTTTGATGAAGAAGCGTCGCGGCACAACACGGTTTTTCTTTGTGCGGAAGCCTGCTGGATGGGCGCTTCGGTCTGCCGACGAAGAAAAGGATAAACACGGCAGAACGTCGTTGTTAGGAGACTCCAGAACGCCCAGTGTGGAACGAGCTTTGTTGGCTCGAGCTCCAGGCGCGGTGAAGAGTGCAGTGGATGGAAAATTGCATTTCCCCTACTCCCTGGATGTGGACAGCGAAGGCGTGCAACTGATCGTGAAGGACGATTTCCTAAGACGCTATTTCGATCGCAAAGCTGGCCGTGGTGAAGGGAGCCTCCAGTTTTCTACAACAAGATGTGTACCAGAAAAAGAGCCTGCTAGTGACGTATCATTGGGTCCTCACGGAGTCGAGGCAGAAAATCCATTATTTGGGTCCGGTGGACGACGTGCCGAAGATGGGGGGATACAAAATCTGCGAGCCTTTGAAGCCTCTGCAGGTCCCGATCATGGGTACAACTCGGACAAGCATTGTTCTGGAGGTAGCTCGTGCTCCTTCTCTTCGACACCTCCTCTACCATCAGGAATTGAGCATAGATATCGTGCGTGGGTAGATGTTACGACCCCTCGCCGGGATTGGAGTGGCTCATCGATCCTGTCGCCAGGCGTGTTCGGTAGTCTCATCGATGACGAAGGTACTCTGCGAGAAAGAGGAACGATTCGAAGCGCAAGGATACGATCACGAGGTCTGAAATTACGTGGATACTATCCTTAAGGACTTAGTTTTAGGAAGAGTTTTGTACTGATCCTACAATGGAAGGAACTAGTACCGATCAATTGGAAAAAAATTACGAGAGTGATCAAGAGCATGTCAATGAGAATCTTGTGCTGGGAAGTGATTATTATGTAGTGGTACCCTCGATGGTCTAATACCCAGATGGCGTGGAGGAGGCTGAGGATCACTCCAAAATGTCGACATTATCTCCTTCGGGCCACGGGAATCCAGCAACTAAGTATTCATCCATTCAAGCCTACGAAGATGGGTCAAAAGCAGCATCAAATAGTGCGAAATTGCGTGGTAGGGCAGGGAACACACCAGGCATGTTGTCGCACTTGCTGTCGAAGTCAATGCTGTTTGAGTCTAGTATAGAAGACCTATACCACGAGCACGAAGCAAAGGTCGTTGCGCCAGCAGATGATCATGATTCACTTTCGTATGAGCTGTTAGATGTTGCTTCGCCCAACACTAATGGACCCCGTCGCTATGCTTTGTATGACGTACGTATTATGGATCCCGTGTGTCATCAACTGCGCTTACAGCTTGCCGAGGTAGGGTGTCCAGTTGTCGGAGATCGGTACTACAACCCAGATGCGAATCTGGCGCTACGACGCAACATCTTCGACCCAGAGCTTGAACGCGGAATGCTGCAACATTTGCTACCTGAACGCGATCGCGAAATCTTCGCTGCTTCAGCATCGCTGCAAATAAAGGATGCAGAAGCAGGACAGAGAACAAGTGTGGAGAGTGAAGGCTTCCTGAAGAATACTGTAGAACCAGAATCCACTTTAGCATACCGTGGGGGGACGGACGATCATGAAAATGAAGATCATGGCGATTTCACGTTGTATGGCAGGAACTGCAGGGCAAACAATCAAGCTGCCCATGCGGTTGAGGAGGAGGCAGATGGCCTGCTTTTAGCTTGTGATGATGAGGCATGGGATTCTGGGATGACCAGCTTAGCTTTGCGACACTACTGCGTGCGTCTCAAGGACCCATTTAGAAACGCGATGATAGAAGCCTCTCTCCGTGAGGATCAATGGAATCCTGTTTTGACTGCATAAACCTTCGCCTGGATCGATGTCAACACATCTCCACGATCGGCGGGGAAAGCGGGGTAGCAATTCGGTGCGCCTGGAAACGTCACTCGCACAATTGAGGAGCAGTGGACGATGTATCAATGGAATTCACTCGTTAATATGTAGTGGATGTGGAGGTAACGAAAATCGGGTGAGCGTGTTAGCAATAGCAATCGGAGCGTCTTCTGCGAAGCCAATGATTCTGCCACCGTATATCATGTATCGGACCTGAAGCTCATTGAATTTTCTCTTTGTGAGTCAGAATCTGTATTCAAATGTACTTACTTAGATAAAGATGTAAGTGCAACAGAAAGAAATGGTGAGAAAGCACGGATTAGATGTGATAAGGGGAAAACTCCAGAAAGAAAAGGTGGAACAAGAACAGTGCGAGGAAGACTCCATGTCCGAGTGACCTTTTGAGGGAGCAGAAATTTTGGTCGGTGTCAAAAATGACGACGGTTATATGATTTCATGAAATATAAACAACGCTAGGGCGACTACTTTGATATCAAGGTCTTACCGATTAGTAAGTAAGTAGATTTTTCAGAAAACTAATATATCTTGCACGTGAAAGTGCAATCACTGAGGCGCATACTAAGTCCAGTACTTATCCATATACTACCATTGCTGGTAAAAAAGTATGCGCTTGATAAAAAATTCTACGCGACACCCAGAATTCGTCCTCGCTTGATTTCCGATGTTTCAAAGCGATTCGAACCGCTATTTACAAGACCGCAGTTTCTACCGCTCCGTCGCGAGAAGCCGGCAATTTGGGACGAAAAGCTTCGTTTCGATTAGCAAGATTCGGCCACGCCTGGAGGTGTGTTTTTCGATCTTTCGACCTGTCTGAATGAAACACCAGGGACGATGAAGCCAGGCTTACCGACGTGAAACCTTTTCTTTACGGGGTGCAACGACACCAAAGTGATCTTGGTTGCGCCGACACACGAGAAACACTGGTTGGCGCCTCGTTACACCCGTCGTGCAACGGGCGCTCGAGGTCGGACGGCTAGAGGTGTACTTCAGAATTTCATCAACGGCAGCTTCCCGTCGTAAAGACACCAACCTGCCTTCGGTCGATTTCGGTCCTCATCGAGTGGGCTTCCACGTGGCGCGCGGTGTAATATACAGCGGTAGCAAGTAAAAAGGACAATCCTCACGGCGCAGGAGAGTTTACAGGGCTGAGAGGGGCAACATGAATCCGGAACCAGTGCGAAATTTGGGCCCATGGTCTTTCACCATTCAGCAGGAGACGCCAGTTCACTGGCTGCGGACGGGACCGATGGAGAGCTATTTGCTGAAATGCGAGGTCGAGGCTCCCGCAATTGAGGGCGCCTTAGTCAGCACTGGGGTTCTGTTTTATGAAATGCCATTTGATATACAGTGCCGCGTGAAGATTTGTTTCTTGATAATCAAATACAAATGCAAGGTCATGCTACCAGGGAGATGAAAAAACTCTACTCAAGAAATGCGCGATGGATTCACTGAGCATCTGCTCGTCGTTCTAAGTTATACATTCGGGTGATGATGTTTTAGGTGGAGGAAGCGTCTGGATGGAGGTGAACAATGGGCGAAAAGTCTACTGCCTTGGAGGGAACGAGTTGGCGAGTAAACCGATAGTCACGCAATCGTATCCGGTCACTACAGTGGTGCGCGGTGGGCGGAACGTCATCATAGAGGAGTGGGAATTCCTACTACAGGGATTCACAGGATGCGCGTTTTTTGACTCCCGAAAAGTCAGGATAAAATTCTCTCTCAAGGTATCTCGTTCTCCTGTCTGGACTTTAAAAATTTGTAGTTAGGCGGAAACTGGCAAGACGACTTCCCGTTTTGGAACGACTATTGTATTATGATATGATACCGTATAGAAAATAATACTCACACCTATCTGACGTGCGCTACCAGTTAGAATTATTTATTATGAATTTGTCCCTGCAATAAACCTAAAAATGTCAGCGTGGCAAGGGAGCTATCGCGTTTTTCAACAGCAGTAAAGGGCCTGCTTGGGAGAACCAAGAGATGTTTGACCAAATATTTTCTGGCGTAGACGTACTCTTTCGCGACATACGACTAACGGTCGTCGCCAAAAAAGTCGAATTGGACAGTTTTCTGAAGCATCCACAGGTCCAGGTAACGGCACCGCAAAAGAAGGTACTATTGCTAACGTAGTCTCATGGATGGATGATCCTTAGTGTTTTCACTTTGCTCTAGTGTACTGCAAGTAGAGGATAATGATATAAGTACTTCTTTATCAGTATACCTCTCGATTGGTGGGTACACTACTAGTACTACAGGTGAAGGAGTTATGGAACGACAGCGAAGTCGATACGCAGCGAAAGCGTGCCGAGCGGCGTGCAGAGTTGCTTGCCCCCAAAGACGAGAAGGGAGGACCGCCAGAGCCAGGAGACGTCGGCCCTGAGTTGCTTGGTGAAAATGTGAAAAGCATGGAAGAGCTCGAGGACGACTTGATGAAAGGTGAGCCGGTCTTTTTTTCGCACAAGTACGGGAATCCAGTAGGTTCGAGCTCAGGCGGAGGCGTAGTTACGGCCGCTAGTAGCACGAGTTGTACACGTAGAGTGTAAGTGAGCAAGAACACTTATCTTTTCTAACGGGGGATCGGGATGCATTTACACCGGTCACTCGTTTGTATGAATTTAAGAATGCACCTTGTAGGGTAGAAGATGAAGTCTCTAATGTTGGAGGTTCTTCGGGAGCGGGTGGAGCGTTGGGGAGCAAATACTCGCGTTTTGCCGAAGAGAGACGGCGAAAAACGGATAAGAACATGAATCTCGTTGACAAACAGCGCAACCTAGTCGAAAACATGGGAGAAAGCGTGCTTTTCTCGAGTAGCAGCTCGAGCAGCAATTTGAAGGGGACCAGGTACACGCAAATTTCATTTGAATTCCAAATAGAAACCAGCCCAACTTTCAAGGTTATGAGTTGTATGACGGCGTTTTGTACATGATTCATTACACGACACGATGAGTGTAGTGAAAGAAGCTTCTTAAATAGAATAAACTCGCTCCACCGATGAATCCCCTTTCATGCTACAAAGAACTACTCGATAAACCGAACAGGAATGGAGGTAGCCTGCGAAATCCCTTACTTCGAGCACAGCCAAAAAGCGAAAAGGAGTTGCTGCTAGAGCGCCAGGAATACAACGACGAGTGGTTCAAAAAAAGCGAAAACTTTGGTTATGACGATTTCACAGACAGGATTTCTTGACTGGCCTCTGTCTTGATGTCCTACGAAGGCGCTCTTATTCATTCGTGCCATCAAAATCATCCCGTCCTCAGGACTGGGTATATCATCATCCGGTATTACACTTAAAAATGAGCTTGTAGCTAAATGTCCGAAGCTTCTAATCTTGCCTGTACGCACAAGAGTATCGCTTCGGCATGCCACCTGACAGTCCGGGTAAAGGGCAACACACACGAGAGCGTGAGCGAGAGTTCAATCAACCACGAGGGCCAAGTCCTGACGACCTAGAAAGATGGCGAAAGGCGATGGAAGTAATCGCTAAATGTTACTATAGATCATGGTTCTCCGCGTTGATATGCTTGGGCTCGTAAAGTCGCATCTCATGATGGATAGGCTTGCACGGTGCTTTGATCTCTACCATACTACTACAGGAACTTCGGAGCAAGCCACAACTGCCTGAAATAGCGGAGAGTGAATTGATGGCGATCCGGAGACGACTGAAGGATCAGTTAGAACTCATAGGGGAGAGGATAGCCAAGAGCCGAGAAGAGCTCACCGAGCTAGCAAAGAAACGAGGATTAGCGGAAGAAAAGCATCCGAGAGAAGTGCAGCAGAAAATAATGTCACGTCAGCTGGAAGTAGAACAGAAGTTATGAAAAATTCCTCTCTGATATTATACTCGTAGTTAGCACTACCACTTCTTCGTCTGACTCTGACTGAAACTTCTACCCAAACCACAAGTCGTGTTTTAAGTGAGTGTTACTCCTCAACGTTGGTGCAACACCAACATCCAGAATCCGCGAATGCAAGAAAGGTTTCGTCAGGTTCACGACCATTTTTCAGGTCTAGGGTGTATCTAGTGTAACTGACTCGTACATCAATGTGTCTACTGGAACATACGACGAGACGCAGAGTCGCGCATTCCTACAACGGTTGCTTCTTCTTTCATCTTTCTTGTCGCGAGATCAACGCGAAGAAGTAATGCTGATGGAGAAGATACGGGAGGTTGATATCGAGGTTCAAGATTTGCGAAGTGATAAGCCTAGCGTCCGCGATCTCTTGCCGCCAGTGCTGCAAAAAATGCTAGACGAGGATGAGGCGAGGGCGAAACCCGCTATGAAGAGATGATGATCATGACGTCGTCGACAATTTAGAAATGTGTTTGGTCGTGGTCACCTGGAGGTTGTAGGTCTGATCTTGTACTTAAATTTTTGTTTCTTGAGTTTTGTGCCTGTTTTGGAATTAAAGGTGGTTTCTGCCTGTCGTGGCTCGTCGAGGGGAACAAGCGGAGATGATGACGATCTCTTCATTCTTATCGGATTTCACCATTACATTCACGTGCTTAGACTTAGACAAACAGAGAAGGAAGCAAATAAGGTTGCTTCCGTGGTAAGCAAACGTCCTGAACTTCTTTTCTTCAAGGTCGTGTGATAGAGTTTGCCTCTTCCATGTCGTGCTGGGACCGAGCAGCTGGCACAAGCTCTTTTTTCAAAAAGATGTAGAGCATCTGTAGATGCGTTCACTGGGAGGCGAATATCTATTTCCAGCCGTGACGGAAGAAAGGTGTACTGATCACTTTCACGCGTGTCGTTGATCTGGACTGTTCATTTTACGTTGTGAGCACGAAGAGTTGCTCCTTTCGCCAAGAGTTGCCTTCTTTCTCTAAGAATCAGGCTATAAGAGAGAGTGTTGTGACAAAGTATCACAATTAGCAACTGGCATGAATTGCAGTTGCCGTTCCAGCTTTTTGAATTATAATGCATGTTTTCTGACATCATCATGGCCACGGCTATTTTGACGTGATGAGTATTTTTCTCCCACCAGGACCATAATGTTTAGTGATCGAAGTACATGGGAGGTGTACACGAGTGGGCAATGATAAGTAGCCAGTATCCACTTTGTGGTTCTGATTCTCTTGAAATACATTTGGTTCTGTAAATTTTTTCAATACATGATGAAATAGATTAAGATAGATGTGCTACTTTGCTGTGCAGGACCTATCGCATGCTCTGTCGGTTTAGGTGCGGTCGACCGCTCACCGCCTGCGAAAATGTTTTTTCTTGCTATCGCGCGTCTCGCTGCCACACGAATATTGGAACGAAAACTGCGCCTTCGCTGTTTGCGTTTACGACCCTGAAGGATATATTTATATAAATATATTAAACTTTTTGTTTTTCCCAAGACAGAAAAGAGGGATATCGAATATCGTGAACTTACGTCAACAGTGAATAATTTTCATTCCCGTTCGTGACGTCAACTTTTACTACACTCATGACCGATGTTAGTTTTACACGACAACAACATGCTCGCCAAAGCCAATCACTAGTTGGTAATCACCGCAGAGGTGCTATAAAGCTAGGGTGGAATTGGAAAGTGCATCTCTAGCTATGATCTAAATTCGAAAAAGAAGAATATCTTACTGCGTCCTAGTATGTAGTAATCCAATCACATAAAACATAATATATATGAATATATACAGAGCAGTTTATAGCACGCATGGAGTAGCATGGAGCGCAGATCCATAAGAGACGCAAGAAGCGCCCCCTTTAGCTCCATGCATGCAACTCCATGCGATCCATGCACTCCATGCCATGCGAGCTAGCAAACCTTACGCATTGTTCTGAATTATAAGAATAGACTCACACAGAAGCCAAGTGTGTGTTTGTGGGGCGGCTTAACTATGCCCTTCATTCTAGGACCGTGATGAGTCAAACTATTTTATGAGCCCACTTGTACAATTTTATGACCACATTTACCGGAAGTCAAAGTATCTCTCCATGCTGCGCTTCGGCATGGTGGTGCGTGAAAGGGGCATTTTCATTGTGAAAGAAAAAGGTCATTCTCGACCTCGAGAAAGTAGATGCGTAATTCAGCATGTAGAATACCATAATAAACACGATGAACGGAGCACCGCTGTAGATCGTCACGATATTTCACCCATTTTGGTTTTCGGTTTAACTTAACTTTCTTTCTATTATCACAAGGTAGTAAAAATTTTACATGTACGTGGTTGATGTATGAAGGTTTAATCAGATACACATGTTGGTATTGCTTCGAGCACATTCTTCTGCGCTGTTGAATCAATCCGCTGTCTTTGCATCGGCGACTCATCGATGCCATACACAAGCATTAATGTGAGAACTCGATATCTCCATGGCAGCCTTGGATGCACCCCGAAGGGGTGTGAGAGGCGCAAATTGGTACCTCCAACCGGGCTTTCCGTTCCACGTCTTTTTCCGTTATAATCTTGCTGTTTGCGAGTGGACAGTAGTCGCGGGCAGCGTGCCACAGCGTGTTGCATACCGACACCGCACTACAACTTTCTCGCAGGTGATTATAACAGCAAGAACTTTTTGTACCTGCAGACGGTGCGAAGAGCTTCATCAAAATGCAGACCGCGCGCGTCGATGTCTGCGATGGCGCAACAGATTGGGACAGCAGCTAGGCAACGACACGGTGGCGACACGGTGTAACAGACTGGGTAACGGCACCGTGTCGAAGTCTCTGGATTCAAAGTTCAGACTCCTTGTGGGACTAGCCTTCATTATCGTATGTTTGGCTACGTTCGCAACGGGCTTAGGTCGTGCAGACAGACGAAATGCGTTGCAATGGCACGTTATGGCGCTGGAAACGAATAAGATTGACATAGAGCTTATAGATGACTGTACTTCGCAGCTTGTGGCAACGGTGCATTTTTTATTCCATGAACAGTTGACTATTTTCTTGTTCTTACTTGGACGTTACAATAGCGTACTACTCTCCGCTCGGGCGCTCATAACATCGATGGCGGACTAGTCTCATAACATCGCTACTTTTTGCTTATCCTCGCATGAGTAGACTAAAAGACTTTCTGCTGATGATTGTGCGACTAGAGCAACCGAGCCCACTTGCCAGTTGCATTTTGTTTGTGGCGAAGGGCATGTCGCTAATTCTAGCGCCGTCGCTTCAGGCGAGCGCGAGCACTTTCTTGCCGAGAACGTCGAGGCAGGTGAAAATGCTGCGATGACAGAAGGAGACTCGGCGCCCATACCCCAAGCCGAAGATCAGGAGAATTCTCTTGTTCGCAAAACGAGAATGCAACAGTCTCCGTTGACTATATTGTCGGCGGTTAAGAAGTGTAACAGTTTGCCCGCAACCAGCCGGAGCAAGATGTCAAAAGCATCAACCCATAAAAGCAAGGAAAATGCACCTTCGAGTAGCAGCTCAAAAGACAGTAGCGGACATCAACATGCTGTGAATATTATGCTATGAATGTTTTGGATAACAATATGCTATTTTCCTGTTGTCAAGAACGACAACGATTATCAACCAATTGATGACCACTTGTATTTCCTAGATTCAAGAATTTTAGGCTCGTAAAAGATTGTTCTCAATCCCAGCGAAGGGGAAGGCATGGATCATTCTAGTACCTGAATGCAAAGTGAAAAGTAGTAAGTAGAACAGACTTTCCGGCAAAACAGGCCTTTTTTTGCATCTGTTGTCTTCTAAGAATCTCGTGCAAAGTGCTGGCTTGATGAAGTTGAAAGGTCCTACCTCTGACGCCGCGGCCAGTACCTACGCACCAAGTGCAGGGCGAACTGCAACCGAAAGCTCGGCTTCGCCCTTAACGGGAAAAAGAGGGCGACATGCTTTCTATGACCCAGCTTCCACTAGAGACTCTGGACTATGGGGGTCTGCAGGAACGTCGGGAGAAGGGTCGGATGAGCCAGTGCCAACACCCCCATGGCCTTCGGACAAGCTGCCGGGGCACCTACAACGGGATGCCGGTGTGGATGCCCCATCAACAACGGCGGGTGATCGGAAATATGCTACTTGTCCTGGTGCGGCTTCGTCGGGAGTAAATCGGGAACATGATCATGACACAAGCAAACAGCCTGCTACGGGGCTGTGTGATGGACAGACACAAGGGGGACGACACCCGGTAGAGCTTCATGAATATAAGCGAGAGCGGGTTTATCACACTTGTACTGCTGGAATCGAGGCCATCCTTGGAAAGCATGTGGACGCAGCTGCAAGAGAACAAGATAGTAGCGTCGCTAGTACCGCGAAAAACTCACGTCAGTTCCCTGCAGGGCCAATGGAGCGTGGAGAGGAGCATGGTAGACGAAGTAACTCTGAGACGTTTGTGAGTGAACAAAGCTCAGCCGGGCGGGGGAAGACTTCTGCAGCTGCATCACCGTCATCGCCTGTCGGTGGCGAGAAGCAAGAAGATGGGGGAGATAACGTGGCTTCTCTCGCGCTAGGAGTCGCCGGGCCCTCGTCTTATGCTGCTTCCATCTGTCTAGGCGACTCACAGGCTTGCTCACCTTCGTGTGGTGGCTGTGGGCGAGAAGACCTCGAAAAGGCACCACAGAGGTGGGATGGCGATGAGCTCACATATGGAGAATCTGGCCCTGAGCAGGCGCCAGAAAGCACCGAGGAGGAAAAATCACAACCGCGGCGACTGTACTGGATGAAGTTGAGAAAGAACAGCAAGGGAAAGCTCGCGGTCGTTGGCGAGACCACACCGGTGAGCATCAGCGCTACCAGCTCGTGTGACCGCGGGCTCCAACATTGTAGACACAGCCAAAAACTCTGTCCTTCAGGGCAGCATTTATGGGACCACAAGGCAGGGCCCTCTTCTAGTACGGATTTTCCAGTACGGGGTATGTTTCTGGAAAGAGGGGCAGGCCCATCTTCTGGAATCTCGTCGCAGATTCCGCTCCAGCGGCGTGCATTCACACTTCAGCATGACATGTTTCCGAGCGACCAGGCTGTTGCATTCTTTGGCCGCGGTAGGTCTGCTACAAGCCGCCACACCCATATGTCGCCTCCGAGCCCGTGCCCGTCCGACCCGACCGAGCAGTGCAACCAACAGGCGGCGCCGAGCTATTCGGGATTTTTGCCGGCGCTACAGGGCGAGTCGCAGTTGGTGCACTCACCAACGCGGCAGAACGTGCAAGCGGCAGACACGGGGGTTGTGCCCTCGCTTGTCAATTAAGGGCTTTCGCAAAAGTATTGCATTTCTATCCATTTGATGAGCATGCTGCAGATCTACGACCTTTTCAACGAAAAGGATAGCAAGGATACATACGGGACCATTATGAATTACTGATATAGTACCTACTAGTAGATACAGAGAAGTAGATAGGTCGGCACCTGGCATCGGAAGCCTCTTCTAAGTCAACGAACCGAACTTGGAGGACGATTTTGATAACCCGGAGGAAAGAGAGACCCTATCAGCGCCACCCACATTTCAAAGGATTTCTGTGGGTCTTTTAGAGGCCGCTGCGCTTGCTGAAGCAGAGGAGAGAATACACCTTCAACCTCTAGCACCTGAACGCTGTCCGCTTGACGATTGTGGGAAACTTCAAAGTAGGCCTTCTCTTAATGATTCCCTTAATCTGTAAGTAGTTATTTGTTCATGTGACAAGTTTTAGACTGTTCGCGATCTCCTCGGTCGTTAGCTTGGGGAGGTAGATGTAGAACTGGTAGTGGATACTTAACGCAGCATGCGTTTTCTGGACACCGTTATAATTGATGTTCTTTTATCGTCCAGATACTGACGCAAATGCAGACGAGCTTCCTGGGTCGTGTAATGCCGAGCGCGACATCGGAGAAAACTCGGGACTTTTCGGGCGCGTGGTCGACGGTGCCTCACCGGAGACGTACGATCCCCATCTGAGTCGATTTTCGTGCGTTCGGCTTGAGTATAGCCACTACAGCAATGCCATCAATCCGCATGCAGACACTCTTCCGCGATCTCAAGATGCCAGCGGAGATCTGCGAGATGGTAGCGCAGACGAAGTCCCAGATAAGAATAGTACTTCACTAAGCAGGCACCGTGCCCAGGAGCACGATGAGGCGAGTGCGAGCAGCGCTGCAGAGCAGACTGGTGTTGCTGGTAATGAGACGCACCATCAGCCATGGGCTGCTCTTGCACATGTGACTTTCAGCAAAAATTCCTCTTTACCTCAGAATTCTCTCCAAAGGGGTCCAAGACCGAGCCCTCTAGAAAAGTGTCGAACGGCGCGTGGTTTGGGGCGATCACGCTCCTTCGCAGAAGAGCGGGAAAACTGGGCAAGAGCTCAAGTTGGCAGAACGATCAGGGAGGAGCCAGAAGAGAGCCCGACGTATGTGTCCGAATTTAGTCGCAAGGGTGGAGGACGCACAGCGACTGCGAACTGCTCGGCGCCGTCCTTATCAACGCCGAGCATAGCACAAACACCCGACGCAGAACAAAAAAAGGGCAGCGGAAGGACCTCGGGCGCAGGTGCGCATCGTCGTGACAGTACGAGTGGATGGATTCCCAGGCGTCACTCGTATTCGATGGCCAGCGGGAGTGAGCAAATTGCCGATTTGGACTCAGCGTCGCGCAGATCATCGGAGAAAGGTCTGTGCAGATCCCGCTCGCCTCGCTGCTCTCATCGAGGCTCTTTATTGGCTCTCCTTTTCGGTGGTGGGTCTCGACAACAGCAGTCCTCCTCTGCTGCAAGCTCCTCCACAGCGGATCCAGGTCATGAGGCTTTTCCTCCGGTAAAAAAAGATATTCCTGGAGCTGCGTCCCACGATACTAAATGGGAGAGCAGTACTTGGAATATTTGTGAACAGCATACTCCTTCTGGACGGGGAGAGACCACTGGTAGGTCATCCGAATTGTTGAATTATAGACGGCTTCATGCAAGAGCAAGTCTAGCAAAGGACGCGCCTGATGTTAATCTGGGTAGCGCGTCGTCCACCGCGACGGCGAGCGACAGCAGTAGTCCGAGCGAGCCGGGGTTCCGTGTTTTCAGCAGGACAAAGAAACTTCTGCACGAATCGGATTCCGTAGAAGAGAGTACCAGGGAAGCGAGGGGCTCGACACCGGACGAGGCAGCGGATATCGATATGATGCTGGCGGAAGCAAAGAGGCCCACCAGCGAGAGCAATGCAATTGTAAAAGACGCGCTGCCCTTTTCGCAGGCACCAGATGAGGTGACGGACGATCAGCAACGGCCGCGGAAAATGGGAGAACGTAAATTGTCCGCGGCGCCACAAGTGGTTCAGCTTCAGTCTTCAGCAGGCAAAGAAAGAGCGGGAAAAAATCTCTTCAGTATGAGTGCGCCACGACGCGCGTCCAAGGTGGCACCGGAGCCCGAGCAACTCTTTACGAGTGTACTTGCTTCGCGGCGTGAAAGCATGCTGCCCGAACTGAAGGGAAAGAATCAGCCTAGGAAAATGAAAGTTTCTTCTTTGGCTAAACAATTCGCTGGATTTGTTTTGTCCAGATTATCTCAAAAGAATACGCCCAGAAGAAGTACTCCGCTTGTGCCGTTCTCTACTGGGGGTGATGGCGACAACGAGTCGCTCCGCGGCTCGCACGGCTCAAGCTGTTCTCGAAGTACGGCGTCACAAAGGACGGCCACTCCGTCTCGTGCGTCGTCAAGCTCCAGTCGGTACGACAGCCATCCGCGGGAGGCGATGCTGGCGTGGAGGGCGTCAGTGTCATGCGTGGAAAATGACACTGACCATCATATGGTAACCGAACAAGGAGAAACTGGAATTTTGCCGGACTCAGCTGGTGTGAGTGGGCACCGTACAAGCAGCAAGGACAGCAATCAGGAACCAGTCGGTCCTCCGCACACCCAAGTGCTCCATAAGCAACTGGTGGATGCACATTCGAGCGCCGGATCAACAGATTTACCTAGATACACCGCTACTAGCCCAGGAGTACTTCCGAGCTCTTTCGATACAATCACATCGGGACGACAGTCTAACGAGCCAGTTTTGACATCGTTGACGACGTCTTCCGCGCCAGTTTTGACAACAACGGATCCGTCAGTGGTGACAACAATGGTTCCGCCGGTCGTGACAACGAACGTGCGACGATTTATAGCCTCTCAATCGATGCGGATGCAGGAGCAAGAGGCATCATCGCCTTTCGGAAGGCCCATCGAAAATGATCCAGTGCCCGGATATCTCGGGAATACCGGATCGAATTCGCAGAGGGCCGCGAGCACGAGCACAGCAGAGGTAGGCGCCCCTCAACAAAGGGATGCAAGAGTGGAGAGCGCGCGATCCTTCGCGTCAGATCCATCCTCATTAAACACCACCGAACCGAGCCAACCGACCACCACCGCGAGTGCTGCTGGGTCTGGGGAGGCCACGCGGGATGGCACACGAGACGCAGCACGTTTTCAAAGCTCGCTCGAAGCCTCCGCGCTTCTAAGGAGGTGCGCTGCGGCAACTCGCGTGTCAAGGCAGCAACGGCAAGGCTGTGGTTCTGTCCAAAAGAGAGCTTCTTCCGATGAGGCTTCTGCGGAAATATTTGTATCCGAGGAGGGTTCTTCGAGCAACGGTGCGGCGGCACAGGACGAGGCGCGGCAGCTCAGTTACACAAGCGTGGGTACAACCAGATCGCCGGGAGCATCTTCTTCCAGCACAGGCACACAGTCGTCGGGTGCCGTGCGACTCTCGACTTTGTCAGATGACTCTGTTTTGCCTGTGAATGCTTTGCAGGCCGGCGAGGGCTGGAGTAAGGCGAAGCCGCGACCTCGAACGTCGACCGAGAGAGCCACCAGCAGTATGTCAGTTGAGCAGCCGTGCGGCGGCGGCGAAACACGTATCCTCAGTAAGATCAATCAGGCACGCCAGATGCGCAGTTCGGTCCTGCAAGATGAAGATGCGAACCCGCCGAATTGGGAGCAAAACGTTTCGGACACATCGGAAAGAATTGACGCGGAGTCGCCGCGCTCTTCATGGAAAAGAGAGAGAGTCAAAGGTGTTGGTGCCACACAGAATGTTCCCCCAGACGTCGAGGAGAACATTTACGAGCACTATGTTGGCGCTTGGAAGCGCGGCCGTATGCGGTCGCAATTTTAAGGCCAGCTGACGCATCAAGGATGAGACGCTATTCCTGCAACATCAGCAAACTCTTTCTATCCTTCTGATTCAGCGAAGAAGTCGCGACTGTTACTGCAAAGCAGAAAAAATACGTAACTGTAATTGCTTTTTTGTTTTCTACCTGCACATCGTCTAATTTGCGTTCCAAATGGCGCAAATTCCCGTGTGGCAGTTTCGTGTGAGCCCCAATGTTCACACGGTGGCTTTGTTTCTGGACCGGTTAGAGAAGTGGGTGCAAGCGCTGTGGCCATTCGTGAAACGGCCGATTCCACTGTCGATGCAAGGGGACATGGTGGAATACATTTTAACCTATGCCTTTCCCTTCCGCGCGGACAGTGAGAGAGTGCGCGCCCTGCTTCCGGCGGCCGCAGAGGAGGCCGCCGTAGCGCGAACAAAAGCGCTCCAAGATACGATCGCGAAAGAAGGACGAGAGAGTGAAGATCTTGCTGCAGGATCAAGCGCAGGATTGGGCGACGTAGGCGCAGACGGGGCGATGAAGAAAATGACAAAACGAGGGACAACATCGAGACCAGAAACAAGGTTGATGGGCGCTTCCAACCTTTTCCCGGGTGCTGTTGCTACTTTCTCTTCGTCATGTCCATTCCCGTCGAGTACGACGTACACCCAAATAACGCCGCCGTTTGTAACCGAGTCTACCACACTGAGGCGTCCAGAAATGAAAGCTGACGTGGCAAGCAGCTGCTTCGCCGGGTCGATTAGTGAAATGCGACCGGGAGCGAGCATCGTCGCACGAGGATTGGCGGGTCTCGAGGCGGCAGCGGGGCAAGGCCGTCCTGCGGAAGCAGGCAGCGTAGTTGCAAATGCTGACGCCTTAACAAGTGTGCGTCGCGTTCTCGGCATACCACGACCAAACCCAACGAAGTCTTCAACGGTTACAACGGCACCGCTCCTCTCCCAGCAGACGACAACGCCAGCACCGCCACTCGAATTGCCTACAACGACGCCGCCGCCGCTTCCGCACCTTCAGCCGACAACATCACGGGCAGCGCCCTTTGTGTCGCAGTCCTCTGTGACGAAAGTGGGGTCGCAAGACGGTGCTTCGGCCGCCGATGACCTCGGCGAGCGACTGTCTGATGTAGTCGAAAACACGGATCGCCAGGGGTTTCGAGCGGAGAAGGCCCATCACAGTTACGATTCGCTTTCTACGAGCGCAACCGGAACTCCGCGACACACAGTTCCAAGTCGTGCGCGTTCGACGCAACAATGCACGACCTATGCAAGCGCAAGCTCTCAAGACTCGACGCGAATGGATGACTTTCTGGTTGGTTCTTCGGATAGCGGCGCAGCTGCCGCTATTGCGCCACGATCCTTTGCGCCTTCGCCGTGGAACTCGAGCAGCAACTGGAGCCTCTTAGCTGGTCCTGGGCTTGTGGCAGACACTTCGCGGCCGCTGCCTCTCCATAGTGCTACAACAGGGACACAAGTACTGGGATGGGACGCGCCCGTCCCTTCCGGGCAGTTGGCAGTCTCAGCTGCAAATTCTGGATGTCCCCATTTAGGAGCTCTGGGTACGCTCGGGAGCCCTCATGAACCCAGAGCTCCGTCGCATACCTTGCTAATGCCTTTCATTCGAGAGCATAGCGCGGGGCAAGCGCACGACGTGAGTGATGTGGAGACGTTGCGCCGTGGCGAGCTACGAGGCCTCGCTGAGCGCTTGGCAACGCTTACGCACACAACAGGAGCGGCAAGCAGTACGAGTCACACAGTGCCAGCGCCGTTGCGGGAAGGCTTGCCTCCAAGGTACTGTGCCGGAAACACGCTTGGGGCTCCGCGCCTGGTCGTCATGGAGCCACGAGCACACCTGCAACTGGAACACCCTCTAGCAAACATGATATGGACCGAGGAGCTCGGAGAAGGGGAGGACTCAGGCGGGGGCGCGGAAGCTGATGGCGTTGCCGCATTTGAAGATAGTGACCGAGAGCTGCCGACATTGCCAGGCGGAGCGTCCCATAAAGTTATAACCACTTTTTCAACAGAAGACGCCGTCACGAATCATGTAAAATCATGACTCCTGATCGTCATTTATTATTCCACCAAGTGGGAACAACCGAAAGCAAGCATACTTGATTGTGACAGCCTTAAGTACTAACTGTGCTCTGTCTCATACTAATTTCAGTCAACAAGTCATCGTATGTGCTACGATTGTGCTTACTCAGATCCAGCTGGTGAAAAGCTGCGTCATCATCTAACGAAGACATCACAGGACTCATGCTTGCGAGAATCGAATCCCAGGAAGAGTTTTACGGCGAGGACCTTAATGCCTCTTGGGATACTCACCCGGTGTCGAGTCGGGACGACGTAGCGATCTCATGTTCCAGTTATTTTAAGGATCCACAAAACCCGACCCTACGTGGATCCTGTTAAAGTACTTCGCTGGTAGTGCCTCGTGGTCGTGGATTCTCGGCCTGTACCGAGTCAAGTACTCGGCCTCGGGCGAGTATTTTAACGGGATCTATTCACGGGACCTTTTAAGGGTAGCTCTAATTATTTGGAGTATAGTGAAGAAAGCGGGCAGCAACGGTTCGCCTCCGATGAAAGTTTATGGTGGTTAGATCGATTTCGTCTCATACCGGGAAATTTTGGTTCCCTTTCCCATTGAATAGAACTAGAAGGGAAACAAGCATTTATAGTCCTAACGCAAAAGAAAAAACAGCTACGGTCTTATGCGCCCCCAGTATGTAATTTGGACGATCTTATATAGGTTAATTAATTGATTGAAAGGGCGGTGGCATATAGTCCTAACGCAAAAAAAAAAAGCTACTGAAACTAGGAACAGCACTATGTATTAGGGATACACACATGACATGAAGTTGAAGGCTACTGAAATGCATGGTGCAACGAGATGAATGAAAGCACACGCTAAGAAGCGGGACGCTGCCTACGGAAGACTCCGACGTGTCTCAGGAGACTGATGCCTGGAATCAAGGGCTGGAGGCAGCGGCGAAGGAAGAGCCTAGAGATTGTTCGCATGCCCTTGCTGCGTCAACCCGTGTGATTTCCCGTTGCCAGAGTCGAGAGCAGCGTTGTGCTTCCGCCCCGGCTCGCTTAGACCAAGCGTCTAAAAAGGCATCGGCCTCCGACAAAAATGGGAAGCCATGCCAATTCAAGTGCCGAAGTACCCCCCCACCCTATCAGAATGCTGTTAATATAGTCGGAGATGAGGCCCAGGTGACGGAGGAGGCAAAGAGGCCAAAGCCATTGCGTGTAGTTGTGCCTTCTAATTTGGGTACTGAAAATCATAAGCAGCGGCAGCCGGAATATGAAAATGGTGCCAGAGTGGAGCAGGAACAACAGCCTGCGTCTTCATCTTCTGGCGACCCATCTCCTCGCAATTCGCCGCCAAAAAAAGACGTCGATTCGAGCTCCGTTTCCGCTGTCCCTCCAGTGGTAGCTCCCGGCTGTTCATCGGGCACACGTTCATCGGGGACACATCTTGCGAACAAGGACACTTCTGTCGCAAACAGGCTGCCACTGATGTTTACTCCGTCACGGCCTGCCGACTGCCTGGAGGAGAGCAGTGGGAGCAGAAGCAAAACGCCGACAATTTTCACGAAGGAATCAAGCATCGAGGTTATTTTATGGCTTCACTTATCCCATCTTTTAGCCCATCTGGGAACAGTTTTCAAGTAGATATAGAAAAATAGAAATATATGAGGGAAAAGTTACCTTTTTCTCTTTTATATCTTCCTCTGGTCTGTCTTTTTTCTAGTTAGGTCGGCTCCACCACAAAAAAAAAAAAAATATATGAGGGAAAATATTGATTGGGGTGAGCTCTAATTTTTTCGTCGCGCGGGGGAACGGAATCGCCACTGCCTCACGATAACGACCTGGAGCGTAGCGGGTCGAGCATTACCTGCCCAGTAAATCAGGTGGGTGGTGGAGATCGGCCAGACACGAACTCAGAATCTTCTTCTGGAGGTCGTCCCGCATGCGACGAGCCGAGGAGTCCGCTGAGGTGCCGAGACCTCCTTGGCCAGGTGGATGCTATAAAGGCAGCTTCGTCTTCCACCTCTGGGAAGCAACAAAACTGTACCGGCAATAATCAAGAAGCAGAAGAACATCAACGACGATCGTCGACGAATCAACATCAGGTTGTGAAGAATCAACAACATCTAGGGTGTGGCGATTCGTCGTCGAGCAGCTCGATGAAAAGACAGCTCCCGAATATGGGTGATCGCCCTTCGCGACGGGAAGACCAGCGTAGTAGCAGCAGTAGTGGAAGGCAACGTCGCCCTAATGCTGGAAGCCGCCGCCCTGGTAGTGCGGGTAAAGACCAGGAGTGCAAGAGAGGGCAAAGCTCACCCGTGGAGTGCTTAGTTGAATCAAGAGGATCTTCGTCTTTACAGTCACGAGAGAGATCCGCCTCTAAGCTCTCTTTGACGAGGCGGACGTTCAGCGAGCCTTCGCTTGTTAGTGTGTCGGGTATAGAGTTCTTGCAACTGGGCAAAAGCGACCCGTTTGCTGAGGACGAGCAGCCTTTTGTTACGCACCCCGGAGGTGCGAAACAAGCGCTGCTGAGTGAAGGCTACCGACGGGGGAGATCGACAACAGAATATACTGGCGCTTTGTTGCAAGCGATCGATCCTGCGATTTTCGCATCTAAAAACAGATCCCACAATTTGACATCTGAAGAGGAGAAATGTCTCCTCAGCGCGAAAATACTGAGAGACGACTTTGATCCGGGAGCACCGCAGCAGTCCTCGCGTGCCAACGACACGCAGCTGACGCGCCAGTCGAATGCTAGTTGTGGCGGCGTAAGTCCTGTTGAGGGCGGACCACTCAGGGCAGGTGAAGAAGTGGGGAAGCGCATACTGAAGCTCCAAGAAGATGCTAGGAGTGATTCGAGCACGACTTCTGCGCCACCTCTGGTAGTAGCTAGTGCCGGTGAAAATTCTCAACCTAGGAAACCCGCCCTGAACTGCCACGACTTTGCAACTGCGGGCTGCACGTCGCGCAATCAAGAAAACGCGGAATCTTCGTCAACATCGTATGTTATCTCATGTAATTCATGTCCACCTTCAAGAGGCTCGCTCAGTTTTCAGTGCTGGAGCAATGAAAATGGACACGAAGCCACCTTTTCCGAACAACGTGCTACACCCGCACTTGGCATGACGTATGCGAGCGGTTCACCTACAACGAGTCCTGAGAGGGGAGACGCTATATCAATGGCGTTTCTAAGCGCCAAAGCGGCTTCTAGTGATCGTGCTACCGGGTATTCTGCAGCGACAAGCACGATGAAGACCGATGACTTCAGCGATCACCATCCGGCTTCGCGGTTCGATCGGCCGCGTAAGAACAGTTTCGCTCTTGATTGGCCGACACCTAGTAGCAACATCGTAAACGAGGCAGTTCTCCTTCTCCCAAGTGTAGATGCAAGAAGTTTGGAGATATCTCTCGAAGCCTTCGAGAGGGCTGTTCTGCGTTTCTGGGAGTTGTTCTTAAGGCTTCCTTTTCATGTTCTGGTTCTCTCATCATCCGGAATATTAGGATATCCATCATTTTTATCCGTCCACCTCCACCTGAACTACAGGGGAGGGAGCAAGCCCTTCCTTGCTACTTCAAATGGGGACCATGGGGAACAAGTTTGTTAAGGGATTTTAATCAATGTTGCAGCGGGGTACCTACTTTCTTGCATCGTAGTAGTGACAATAACGTAAGTACGTCTAACACTCGTTGTGAAAACAAATGCGCCAGCAACTGCTCTGGAAAAAAAGGAGAGTATGAAGAATAACCCCACCGGAGCAGCACGCGATCTGGTTTCCAACTTCGTCGGCTCTTCGGGTGTTGTGCTGCGATCTCCAGAATCCGATGTACGCAGTGACCAACCTGGTTAAGGCTTCAGAAAGTCGAAACTCCACCTTGCTTGAACAAGAAAGTCTTGGAAATACAAGGAAGGGGACCAAGGGGGGGCGCCAGGATCTTGCATACACAGAGAGGATTTTTGCTAAGTAATAGTTCTAACGTACGGGCATGTTGATGCGTTCGTTGTCCAAAGATCGGGGTAACGAAAAGGAGCTGATGAATGTTGTGGCCCAGAAGTCCTGTAACCCCTCTCCCAGTACGAGAGGCGATTATTTGTCTGCTGGGCAAGCAGAAAATAAGTGTAGTTGGTTCAATGACTGAAGGTTCTCCTGCAGGAGTAGAGAAGATATCTCCATGAGCACAACCACCACTTCTAGAAAACAATTATCAGAAATACTGCGAGGAACAACTTGCATGCGGAGGGCCCAATTTTGTGACACAGAAGGCCACGCGGAGTAAGTCAAAAGTGCAGGTCTATTCTTCCGTTGTCGCTGCAGAGACTACTACTCTTCCAGAAGTCCCCCGAAGAGGAACATCAAAACAGCACGCTTCTTGTTCAGTATTTCCATCACGCAACGTGGTTCCTCCTCGTTCTGCAGAGCAAACAGGAACCTTTCGCTCTGTGAGTGTGCCCTTGTTACTCACTTCTTCTTCTTCTTGCAGCTCTCCCTCTGCAGAAAATGGTAATGTTGGAGTGGCATCGTCAGCCACGACTGCTCTTCCTCTTACTAGGAGCTCATCGACAAGGGAGCAGAAAGCAGTAGTAGTTCCCTCAAGTAACCAGGACGAAGAACAAATCGACACTGACGATCGGAGTAAAGAAGCGTCACGTTCGTGCTCGATAGCCTGAAAAAAAGCTTTAGCTTTTATAAAACCGTCTCTGATTTTTTTCATGACGACGCACATGTCATGAGCATGAATCATGGAGAGATCTCGTATAAAGCAAGAACATTCGCCGAACTAGTACTATTTATGGATCTATTAATGTATTTGACACACGCGGCATTCTCCATGTCTAAGTCTACTAAGAAGATGAATTAGCATGCATAGTGATACTTGCGTTTTAATGGCATGGAACGCAATCATTACATAATCTATAGTCGCCAATCTGTCCGAGTCCGAGTATGACAACATACTGAAGACTTTATCAAGACGACGTAGAGTCAATGTTTAGTTACCTTCATACTACTTAGGAACAAAACTACATCAGGCATCTGTCACGCTCTGCATGAATCTTGTTCGCCTTATTCCACTTAATGCCTGCGGCACCTGAGTTAATCAACTCTCTAGTGCGCTGCCTTGATTATACGGAGCAGCAGCCGGATGAGTAGGTGGAGGGTGTTTAAATACTCTCATATGGTTTTATGTTGTCACTCCTGGCGGACAACGTAAGTTGAAGTTAGCTAAGAGTCCCTCTGAAACACAGCACCAATGAATTGTTGAAACTTTGCTGATTATGTTCTTGTAATGATTGCAAAACTTTTCTCAACTTGTAAAGATATAAGCGATCGGTTCTTGGGAGTAGCAAGATGTTGACGATCCCCATGCATTGGGATTGGATAACACTATAATGCGTGACTGATTCTTGTTTGATACATTAAAAAAACCCTAAATTTCTATGAGATTTCAGTGAGTGGGAGTCTGTGATTATGTAGTCCTTTCTCTTCACTGATTATTTCTATGCCAAACATATCGAAGAATGATCGTGGTTCACCTATCCGGGTGTTCATACATATTTTCTCATCTTGAAAAAATTGGTAGTAGTAAGGATGAGAATAATATAGCAAACCGACACTCATGAAATTAAGTATATAAAATCCACGCGGAGTTTGTACGTATTGCGTGCTCATGAAGCGTGGCTTTTCAGGATCAAACTTCATAAACCAAATGCGCCGACTGCAGAGGCTGATTCTCTACTTGAGCTGCTGAGATATTTGTAAGGTCGGGAGAAGCTGCGTCAGTTCTCACAACCGCCGCATATCGTGAGCACCTAAAACATTCTGGGGTCGTTTGGGTGTCGCTCCGTACGCTGTTCGTGGTTCCGTCTTCCGCTTCTTTTCTCGTTTGGATGGTCAGATTGATTGAGATATCGTATGTCTCTTCTGGTGTGTGCGACCTTTGCTGAGGCTGATTGTACTCCACGTGAAGAACTACGGAAACCGAACACAATACAGAGCATGGAGAGGAGAAGGATACTGAAAGGCATCAGAGAGATGACAGGAGCCTCTTTCATGTTTTCACCTATTCGAAAACGAGAAATAGGCGAGTTACAGACCACTGAAATTAATAAGGGAGGTAGCTTTAGAAGGCTACTTTTCCTCAGTATCTCGCTTATTTTCATCAGTTACAACTTGCTTACTTCAGTTTATTGTTTTCCTATTCATGTGCATATCTCCCAGCCCACGTCTATTCATTGGCACGAATAAGCCACAAAAAAACCGTGGATCGATTGCGAGCATTAAAAAGAGCGAAGAAAAAGGGTCATTGCAGGGTGTCGGTAACAAACAGTCTAAAGTTGAGAGAGAAAAAATCCGATACTAGATGTGAATCAAGAAAGAGTGAGCTATGTTCAATGTGCATCAGGAAAGAGTGGACTCCTGCTATTCTGATGAAAAGAAATTATTTTGATGTCTGGTCTTCGTCTTATTTCTGCATTGGCTATTATTTTATTCTGCTTGATTTTTTCACGTTTTTTATCACTCTGTTCTTTTTTACGTCGGTGCAGTACTCTTACTACTATGCTTAATGATACTAACCCTCTACGCGACAACTTCTTATGGCCTCCTTAGGATATCCGTGTGTCATCATTGTAGTAGCGGCTAGGCGGAGAACTAGTTCTCTGTGACTCATCTCAAATTGATGGCACTTATCTTACGCTTCATCCGTTATTCTGCTTGAATCACATCCATGCCACCAAGAATCTTTCCATTTTTGAGACGATCGAAGCTGGCCGTCGGTTCAAGATCGATAGAAAGGTTGCAGACGTTGCACTTCGAGATATGAAAACGGTACTACAAGCAAGCCTAACAGTTACTTGGCGCTTCCCGTAGATTCTACATAGAAGTTGCAGTGGGCCTTTCGCCTCTTTTACGAGCGCCGTTTAGCCCCGACTCTCGATATGCGAAGATCGCGTCTACCGTAAAGCATTGCAAATCGCACGATCGATTCCCCAGGGAAAAAGGCGAAACGTCTCTGGAGAGGTTTCGGTTTGTCCATTGATGCAGCTGCAGGCAAGGATAGCGAGCAAGAAGTGGAAAAACAACGTCCGAGGAGCGGAGCTCCAGGTGTGGAAATACACAGAGGAGCAGGACACACGAGTCTGAAGACAACAACTTGATTTTCCGCGAGTCTGCCCCTGTAGCAGAGAATCCTCCGACCTCCACCACATGCAGCAGCGGACATCACGCGTCTGCATCGAGTAAGGCATGGCCTAGGGAGCAGCATGCAGGTTTGCAGATGATCCTTATTGCAGTGCTGCTTCTACGCGAAGAACCCGTGAACCGCTAGAACTGATACTACCGTGGTCATAAGCAGCCCACACTTCGACGACGAAGATGGCGGTGTACTTCGATTACGTAGTATCTGGTGCCACAGGCCCTGGCTCGCCAGTGGGGTCGCCGAAGCCCGGTCAAGGATCTCCCGGCAACGTTATGTTGTTGAGTAGTATTGTTCCTAAAGCAATGTGATGACGTTGACCCTGTGATGATGAATGTGTAAGTAGCATTACCAAAGCATAGGCTAACGGCTGTAACTGCGTACTGGGAAATAGACTTGAATAGAAGTTACGTCAAGGATGCTCGTGCTATCGGGTGTGGATCGGGTTGGGTGTCCACCCAAGAATCGCCGGGAGGCTCTAATGCCTCAAATCAGGGCCCTGGCAAGGCTTTAGGTGCAAGCTGGAGCAAGGACTTGACGGCAGAACCGTTGTTAGCATGTGGTTTTCGCCACAGGCTGCAGCTTTTTTCTCAGGAAGGAGAATACGTTCAAGATGCTATTGCAAGAGGAGCAGGAAGCATTGTTTTTACGGCTTTGAGTCAGCTAGTGCACCAAAGGCTGATGGTTTTCACTGAGTTATATTTACAAGAACCATAAGCATGAATTGCTACTACTAGCACTACGGGCATTCTCAGGCTTGAGTTCTTCAAACGAGATATCCAACAAGCCCATAATAAATTGCGCCTACCCAATATCGAAATGAAACCAAGCATCCTTTTTTTTCTAAATATTGTTCCGACTGGCATCCAACACGGCGAGAACTTATGTCCGGCTGGAACGATGGACATGTTTGCTTTGCGCGGCCATCAGCATCTAGTTCTTCGCCAACAAACATAGTCGCACTTGGTCAAGAAGCGCATAATAGTGGAGGTACTATAAACTGATCCACTAGGGGCCTTTGATTAATACAGCGTTCTAGGGAATGTGAAGAAATGAGTATTGTGACTGAAACAAGTGGGTCCACTCTTCACCACGTATTTAATTGTCATGAGAGAATGTAATTCTTAACGTGAAACAAAGGAAAGAGAAACTACGTAAACATTTTCTCCAACAGCATCGATCTGCTGCGTAAAGTATTCTCCTGGTGGTGACCTCTGCGTGGCGTCTGACGCAAAGGGCGTCGTAAGCGTCTACATTATGACCGGACTGAGCTCCTTCGCAATCGCAAGCATACTAGTCAGTCCACTCGAGGAAGATGTCAAATCTTTTTTTTTTAATGAAAGGCCCCACTTGTGCAAACCCTTCCTGGAAGTTTGCGCACGATTCTCTTGGCGTGACATCACATGTAAACTGACTTATAGTTGTAGTTCTAAGCTCAACACGGAGAATTCCGGCCGCGCACAGTACCTTTTGTACTACCGGAAGCCAGGGAGAATAGATAAGATATGCTTTCGGGGGACGAAACGGAGTCCAAGTTTCTTTTTTGCAGGCGAGCAGGGAATCGTGTATGGCGCTGACGAGCATGGCGCTTGTGCTGAAAAGTACAAAGTCGGGAGTCCGATCGTATTATTCAGTTACTCCTTTAAGTGGACTGAGAAAAGCTCATTTTCATCTGGCTCTTTTGTTCTCTCCGTTCCAAAGCTTACTTCTACTGTAGTGCTGCTTCCCTGTTCTACTGTCTGCTACTAGATGAACAAGCTAGCTGCGATCACGAGATTTTTTTCCCCATCATGGAAGTTGGGTTTTACTCTGGTATTTCTCCTTTTCGCAATTTCAACTCTCAGATATTATTGGAGTATTGCGCTTCGGCCAATCGAGTGGTTTTGATCACTCAGGGAACGATGCTAGCTACCTTTACACTCGACGCCGACGGGAAAGTTCGCGGGGAAACGAAGCTAAAGCTTTCTTGCGGTCCGAAGCCGCAAAGTCTGCGAGGCGTCTGCATTGCCTCAGAAACGGGTGCTTTTCTTCTCGCGACAGTTTCTTTACGCTTTCCTCGCTATAGATACTAGTGCTTTCTTGTGATTCTGATTGCTTATTTTGTCCTCAACAATACAAGCGCAAGAACAATGAACAAAAGACCACGTCAACGTCACTTATTTCTAAATACTGATTGAATCTTTGCGATGAACAAGTGTGAATCACGAGTTGATGAAGCTTTCTATGTCATACAAACCGCCTTCATTTTTCGAAGAGAGCATCGTGAGGCTCTGGAACGTATTGGAAGAGGAGAGTTATCTTCTTTCTCTTTCTGATGTTGATGACAAGCTTCGCACAGACAAAGCAGTGGCCGTTGACTACAACTCGAGAAAGCGCATACTTGCAGTGGGCACCAAACAAGGCCGAGTGCTGCAATGGCGCTGCGGAACTGTTATGCAGTAAAGACTCTCTGTCTTGTTTCTGAGAGTTCTTGTCTCTGAAAAATAGTTTATCTTCAACAGGATGGAATACTCTTCTGTTGTAGTATAATCTTGGAGTACTTAATATACATAGACTTGTTTCGGCTCGTCCTATCGTCCTGCAGGCGGCTACTCTGGGGATGCACCCATGAAGTCAAATCTTCTTCGTAGGAACACTGAAGGACATGATGTTATTACCTCAAAAAGAATATCACTTGCGTCACCAGCATACTATGCTGAGCATAGAAAAACAGTGAAAGGCGTCCTCTAAATCAACGGCGTTTGGAGAATCCGACTGGCATCACCTCGCAGTAAGGAATTTCGACAGCACAAATTATGGAACATCCTTGATAGCGGCGAACCACTTGAATATTGTTGACACAAACTACAGTGGAAGAAAGTGGTGTAAGTGATTGATTGTATACACTATAGATACACACCGACTTTTTCTTTTACCACAACAATCATAGGTCCAGCGGCGCTCAAAGCACTAAAATAAAACAGCCGGTTAGTTTTTACCTCTATAGGCTTAGCCCTTCCAACGAGATACTATCGATGAAGCAAGGACAACCCACAAACAACCACCTTAGGGACCAGAAATCTAAAGATGCCCTCCATCTCTAGTCTCCTACTGTCGCCTTCATGGCAGCGCATTAGCAAAAAGACTAGTGCTTTGGCTCTAATGATATACTTTTTTGTTTGAGGAGATGTATAGATCTTGGTCTTCTTCGGTTCCAAACGTTATCGATGAAGCAATAACACCAATCTTTGATGAACGAAATTTCTGGCTCTTCCTCTTCTAGAAGAGTGAGTCTTTCTAAGACTTTCCCGTAGACAAGATATGCTGGGGATCTCGGATAGGGGAGAGCCTCTTGGCCTGCGTTTTCGCCGACGGCAAGTGTGTGATGCTAGCGGAGACCCAACTGTCTCACTCTCTTCGTTTAAGGACTCTTCTTTTCATCAGAAGTAACTTTTTTTGAGGATTTCGTTCGTGCTGAGTAAGAGTAAGCTTTCATCGAACAACAGGACTTCTCTTGTAGGTCGTGGGTAAACAAGTTGTCGTCGCAAACAAGGTGCTACAACAACATTTTGTACCCTAATAAACACTGTCATCAATGTCAAGAATCTCAAGTTCTTAAGGTCATGAGATTAAGACGAAGCGAGAAGGGCCTGCGCTTCCACCTTTAATGTGTGCGCCGTTCCTCGGTGTGCAAGTGGCTCCGTCGCAAGTAATACTGCATAATGTTGGCGCTTTGGTTAAGGCTACATTTTACAAAGGCCACATTGAAACAAAAGGGCCGTCTGACTTGAGCTCTTTTCTGTCTGAACAAGATATGTAGTAAGGAATACTACAAGTAGTAGAGGAAGAGAGGCCATCAAGCAGGACGAAGACATAATACACGGGAGGTCAACACATCAAGGAGGCTAGCAACGGTATTATATCAAGATAGCAGCTTTAATTTGAACGGGCCGAGTAGACGCATGCAGCAACAGCCGGATCAGATACTTGACTGCCCATTCAGGCTGCGTGGCGTCAGTGTCGGACCCCCATACGTGGCTATATGGTATGGAGACGGAGTAACTGAAAAAACTTCGTAGGTGAAAAAATGCAACTTGATCTTCATCTGTTGATCCTTCGCCGTGATGATCTTTCTCACTGCGTCCATGCGAAAAGTGACACTCTACAACTCCCGCTTTAATTTTGGAGTGCAAAGCAAGTTCGGATATACATGAACAACGAACAGAGCGGCTTACAGGAACATGCAAGTTTCGACCGTGCATCATCTTATGGCAGCTAGCTTTGCAGCTTTGATTCGGTCGACAATTTAAGAATATGGCATTCAGAAAGGGGGAAGGGACAGGAAAATTCTTGGAAACTGCGTGTTTTTAATAGAAATGATCTATCAGCCCTCTCAGCAGAAACAAATCACACAGCTCTAAGTATTCACCATACACAGTTGCTGTCTCTTCGTGACCAAGGACGAGAGCAGTTTGCTAGTTTGTCATGGGTCCAAAATCGAGGTTTGCAACCTTCAAGGGAACGTGAAGAAAACGCTGACTTTCAGTCCGGAGACGGAGGTGAGCGCTGAGCTACTTATTGTTTTACAGAATGTCTACGTTAATGAAAATGGTCTCAGGAACTGTTGCCTCTGGTGTTGCGTACACATACTTGCATTGATTAATACAGGATGCGGACGACTCATGTTGTAGATTTATTGCCAATAGATACGTACTATAAGTTCTAAGTACTTCTGAGTGCGTGACTTCGTCCATCTAACCCAGGGAAGCCCATCATTAGTGGACATTGGCGGCACTACTCTGGTTGCCTGCACAAACAAGCAATTGTTAAGGCTATGGAATCTCGCTCGGGCGACACCAAAGGCCCTTGGCAGCGGAAGGCGGTTTGAGGATAAAAATGGAACCCTTTTAGGCGAAGTAAGACAAATGCGCGCCAACTCCGACGGTACAAGGGTAGCCCTTCTCGCAGATCCCGTCAAGAGAACAGCGGGTAAGCTAGTATTTGCTGTCGTAAGAGGCTAAGCTTTATTGATTGTAGACGTCGAGTATGATGACGCTATTCTTGTTGCCTACTACAATCGTCTGCTTAATCACTTAAGTATCTTTCTTGGTTTTCTCTCTTTTTCAGGTGTCAGCGTAGTAGGGAACCATAGTCCAAAGACGCGGCCAGGACAAAGTCCTAAGCATGCACTCCTCAACACATTAGAATGCGAACCTCGAGTTTGGGTCTACGACGTGGAGTTCGACAATTGTATGAGAAGTTAGCAATTTTGTCTTACTAGACACTATTGAACTCCGAAGGCCATCATTATCAAGGTTAAGGTTAAGGTTGAGGGTCCACCGCTTCGCGGCCAAGCCGCACCTACTAGGAGAACGTGGGTGCGAAGGCCATCATTATCATCATAATAATAATAATAATAATACTATAATTATCTATATTATAAACCAAAACTTATTTTGAATGCTAAACAGGAGTGAACTTACGGCTTGAGATGTACGCAAATCATGGCAAAGATGTACGGGTGAGATGTATACGTCTGAGATATATATCTCGATATATATATCTTATACGTAAATCACGGGAAAGACGTACTCTTGAGATGTACTTACACCGGGGCGATTCATAGTAGGTTTCCAAAATTCCACTTTTTTGAGATGTACGGAAATCATGGGAAAGATGTACGGGCTAGATGTATACATCTCGCGCCGTAAAAATGCCGCGTTTTTGAGTACAACTTTCCCGCGATTCTGCTCCTGCTAAGGCTTTCGGCAGTACCTCAAAACCCTGAACCAACAGCACAAGCCAAGGACTGCGCTGCATGGACAAAAAACGAAGAGCGAAGCGCCTCAGCCTGGGGCCAGTCATCTCATGAAGAAAATCCGCTGCGTCTGCGTATGTGCTACAAAAAGGACCCACATGCAAACAAAGAAACGCAAACAGAGGCAAGCACCCAGCAGCTACACGCTGAGCAAGTTAGCACCTGCGCGCTTTTTGGATCAGGCGCCTGAGCTGGCTCAAAGGGTCAGACCTTTCAAGCAGGTCAAAAGTAGACAGCGACTTCATAAAGCTGCGCGCTTTGGGTAAGGATTTCGAGCTGACTCAAAGGATGGGGCCGCTCAAGCACGTCAAAAGTAGGCAGCAACTTCATAAAGCTGCGCCTTTTGGATAAGAAGTCTGAGCTGGCTCAAACTAAAAGGCTGGGACCTTTTAAGCACCTCGAAAGTGGACAGCAATCCCATAAGTTTGCGCTTTAGGATAAGGAGTCTGAGCGGGCTCAAAGGGTGGGACCTTTCAAGCAGATCAAAAGTAGACAGCAATCTCATAAAGTTGCGCTTTTTGGATAAGAGGTCTGAGCTGGCTCAAAGGGTGAGACCTTTCAAGCAGGTCAAAAGTAGACAGCAATCTCATAGAGTTGTGCTTTTTGGATAAGGAGTCTGAGCGACGTCAAAGGGTGAGACCTTTCAAGCAGCTCAAAAGCAGACAGCAACGGTATAGAGTTGCGCTCCTTGGGCAACAGGTCTGAGCTAAGTCAAAGGGCGACACCTTTCAAGCAGCTCAAAAGGAGGCAGCAACTTCATGGCGTTGCGCTCTTTGGATAAGGGGCGGGAGCTGGGTCAAAGGGTGGGACCTTTCAAGCAGGTCAAAAATAGACAGGAAACGCATAAAGCCACGCGCTTTGCATAAGAGGCTGGAGCAGAGTGAAAAGGTGGGACCCTTCAAGCAGGCCAAAAGTAGACGACAGCAATCGCATAAAGCTGCGCGCTTCGGATAGGATGCCTGAGTGGCCTGAGCTGGGTCAAAAGGTGGGACCTTTCAAGCAGGTCAAAAGTGGGCAGCAATTTCCTAGAGTTGCGCTCTTTGAGTAAGGCGCCTGACTTGACTGAGTGAAAGCGCGGGACCTTACGAGCAGGCCAAAAGTAGGCAGCAGCTTCATGAAGTAGATTGCGCTTTTTGAGCAAGGAGCTTGAGCAAAGAAAGGCAAAAGGCGGGACCTCTCAAGCAAGCCAAGCCAAAAGCAGACAGCAGCCCCATGGCGTTGCGCTTTTTGGATAGGATGCCCGAGCTTGGTCAAAAGGTGGGACCTTTCAAGCAGGTCAAAAGTGGGCAGCAATTCCATAAAGCTGCGCGCTTTGAATAACCAAGCTGGCCAGATCTGGGCCAAAGAGCGAGACCTTTCCAGCAGGTCAAAAGTGGGCAGCAATTTCATAGAGTTGCGCCCTTTGATTGTGGAAGACCTCTGAGTGAGCTGACTGAAAGGCTGGGACCTTTCAAGCAGGTCAAAAGTAGAGAGCAATATCATACAGCTGCGCTTTTTGGGTGGGAGGTTTGAGCAGAGTCAAAAGCCGAGACCTTTCAAGCAGGTCACTCAAAAGTAGGCAGCAACTTCATAAAGCTGCGCCTTTTGGGTAGGGTGCCTGCGCTGGGTCAGAGGGTGAGACCTTCCCAGCAAGTCAAAAGGGCCAGCAGCTTCACAGCGTTGCGCCGTTTGGGTGAGGGTCTTGAACTGAGCCAAAGGGTGGGACCTCTTAAGCAGCTCACAAGTACGCAGCAACTTCATCGCGCTGCGCTTTTTGGATCAGAAAAGAATGGGCGCAAAGGACAAGGCCTCTCGAGTAAGCCATAAGTAACCAGCAAGCCCATAGGCTTGGGCTTGCTTTCTGATCAGAAAGCTCAAGCGGCTCACAGGTAAGACTGCATCGCCCAAGCACATGAAAGCCGCACAGCACTGCTCGCGTGGCGTTGTTCTTGTTCACTTAGATCAAAGCCTTGAGATGACGCATGCCCACACCTCTCGAGAAAGCCAGAAGCAGATAGGGAAGCTAAGCGATAGAGCGCAACTCGCCGTAAGCTTGGGAGGGTAAATGGCTCACAGAGAGCACACGCGAAGCAGCTGAAACGTAGGCAGCAACGCGACACCATAAAGCTGCGTGATTTGGATGGAAAACCCAAAACGGCGCAAAGAGTAAAACCCCGCAAACAGGCCGAGAGTAGAACGGGGCCGCCCCCTAGTTCTCTCCACGGAAAAGATCCACGGTAGACGTTCTCATGGTGAGCGGAGTCGGGCGTAGTGCTTCGCCCACTATGCGGAGAACCGAAAGCGACAAGCCTGGGGCCCCCCTCGTGACACTGCCATGCCAGCCGGAGACGCAACACACTCCAAGAGTAGGGGACCCACGCCCAAAACCCGGGCCAGGGGGCGCGCGAGGTTCTCACGGTGAGCGGAGTCGACTGCAGTGCTTCGCCCAGCCACTACGCTGAGAACCGAAAACAGCAGGCCTGGAGTGATCTGCTCAAGGATTTGACTCTCGGCGTATGTATTTGGTTACCCGTTTGCCTCATTCGTTCGAAGTAGTTCCTTTTGGGCGTTTCGGGTGCTGCCAGGGTGGGGGTTTATGTAGCACGTAGTAGCTTGTAGCGCGGAGCTGCTTTGCTTATTCCATAGCCCGCCACTCTTTACGTAATTCGTAGCACGCCGGTGGGCCGTATGGATTTTATGTAACTCGTAGCATTTGCCAGACCCTTCCGCCCTGCCCCGGCGTGTGTACACGCCGGGGGCACGTGGGCGGTATAATATATGATAATGATAATAATCATCCTAATATTAATATTAATATTAATAATAATAATCATCATCGTCATGATAGTCCTCATTAGAAACCAAGAAGCCACGAAGTACGTGGAAGAAGAAAAGCTGCAATAGGGCCGTCCTCTCTCCATCATCTAAGAAGATTACCGCTTTAGAGATAAAGACGCCAGGACGACTTCCAGTATCTCTCAGCTGGGACCCCGCAGATCCTAGGCTGTTAGCTGTCGAGGCCGTTCCTTCGTCAACGGGAACAGAACCTGTATCACCAAGTTCTCGCATGAACACATCGCTGGACCCTGATTCTTTATGAACTAGAACTTCGTTCAGTTGTACATGGTAGTCAACCTAGTAGCAAGCTTTCGAGATCTATACTCGAGTGAGAGCATGGTCGATGAATAATAGCGAGCGACAACAGGGTCATCATGTTCATGGCAGCAGAAAGTAATGGAACTGGGATCAGCACAGCACAGTGGAATTTTCAGAACTAATTTCTTTTCACGAGGACATCATCTTGTACATGGCCATCCCCCGTCTTCTTCTACCTTTTCATATACCGGCGACGAGCACAAGCATACGGGAGAAGTTCTCCTTGTTTTTGCAAGTGAGAACACTGTCCTCCAGCAGGATTCCATACCGAACCCAAAGGACGAGAATAGCAGCTTACCGCTGATTCCGGTTTCAATCGTCGTGCCCTACGTCTACTTTCTCTTATGAAATTTTTCTCAAGTAGGCTTAGGTTTTTTCGCTTGTTGTTGTTGTTGTTGTTATCTTATCACAATCAACGATGCTGTCGCGGACGCTGATCATCATCGTCATCATTATCATCCTCAAACTGAAGCACTCGGTAAATAGATCAGTAGAAACTACAGTCTACGAGTATACCGTCTACGCCTTTTCATTCGTTCGACCAGTAGATAGCAGTGTGAAGCTGACGAGGAGTGCGACGGTGCTTTCAAAGCAGGTTTTGCGGGATTTCGATTAAGGCTATTGATCTCTTGCCATTGTTTGTGTTTACAGTCGTATAAATTAAAACTATATCATTCTCATGCTTTGAAAGTCGTATCTAAACGTAAATACGATCTAGGGGGCGGGCACTTCAAGCTCTCTAAATCCAGGGCTTGGAGGAAGTGAATGCAGGAACGAAAAAGGCGCTATTGTTAAGGCAGCCACAAACTCATCTGCTTCTAGAACAACATTTTGCGGGCTCCGTTTTCAAAGGGAAAACGGGGAGCGAGATGCGTCTGGGGAGAGATTTCTGGTAGGTCTAACGTTGGACTTTAGTTACTACATAGCCTGCGGGAACCCAGATGAAGCCTACAAAGCCGTCTCAAAGAACATTACCAGCAAAGCAGTGTGGGAATCATTGGCAAAAATGTGTGTCAATTATGGTGGTATTCTATGATCATGGATCAAAATCGTGAGGACTAGTTGTACCTGGCTCCAAGGAAGTCTTTCTGCACTCGATTTTCAAATGACCCGCAAGCACCTTATCTTGCTTCTTTTTTCTAGGTAGGTGCCACGGCCTCATGATTTGAAGAAAGTCGCTCTGATTTCAGATGACACTGCGTATACTATAGACTCAAAGTAGGTGTACTTAACATAGAATTCCCATCTAAGCAGTAACCAGACGCCTGGATGTTGTGCAGAAGTGTGTGGGGCAGCTCGGTAACGTACGCGCTGCAACCGCTTTGCGACCTCTGTCCGACATGAAACTGACATCCCTGTCTGCGAGGCATGAGGCCGACGCAACAGTGAAGCTAGCAACGGTCGCTGCACACTTGGGTACATTGTTTTACAAGATGATCAAGAAAGGCAAGGGCCTTATGTTTAAGAAGGGCCTTAATGAATTCAGGCTTCCACAGTCCTTGGATAAAGTTGCTATTTTATTTCATTCGATCTCGCGTAAGCGTATCTAAGATTGAAATCGTGTACTAAGTACTGACGCAGAGCAAAGGCTGTTTGCATTCTATTCAGGTATGTCAGAAGACGCGGAAGAGCTATACATCAAGGCTGGTCGTCACGATCTCTTAAACAGGCTCTACCAGGCGTTGAATGAGTGGGACAAGGCCCTCGATGTCGCAAAAACAAAAGACCGCATCCATCTGAAAACCACGTACTACTTATGGAAAAACGGAAGTTTCTTTTTTAGCTCTACACACAGTGAGTGAGTACGAGTAGTTTGTTGTGCAGTGATCATTGTTTGTCTAGTTTAGATCGTAGCGCAGAAGCTTCCTCGTATAAACTTCTAGATGGAGGTCGCTCAAACATACCATTTCCAACTGCAGGGATAAGAGCTGGCGTGGATAGTTCGTCTCGACCTTTCAGTATTTGTGCTTGATGAATATCTATGTATAATCAGATTGATGCCTTTGAATGATGTTAATCTCTTCATGGAAAAACTACGCGAGTTACCTAGAGGCCTTCGACAAGCGCGAAGCACGGAAATTCTACAAATTAGCAGGCACGGAGATTCCAGATTGCACCCGATTGCTGCTTTCGGAGGGAGGGGACAAAGATGACGCAATGCTGGTCGAATACGTTAACGGCAAAACACAACAAGTTACGGGAAACACCGTATTAGCATGATCTTGAATTGTAGTTGTAAAAGAGCAGCTACTTCCTCTGAACGGGGCGTTCATCGTCTACGAGTAGATATGACATTTATTGCAGTACTAGTCGCTCTTCTAAGCAAGGAAATGAGAAACTGCAGAGATGGTATGCAGCATACTTGGAGAGCAAGCAGGATCTTCCAGGAGCAATTAAGTGCTACACGAAAAGCCAGGACTGGCATTCCCTTGTGCGACTCCACTGTTTCGAAAATGACATCGAGACGGCGAAAAAAGTGTGCGAAGACACGCGCGATAAAGCAGGATGCTACTATCTTGCTGGCGTTCTGGATTATGGCTCCTTTGCTGACTTTTCGTTTTCATAGGAAAATTATCTACAACACATTGACGGAGACGGACTACAAAAGAAACAACAGTTTGTCAAATCAAATACGGGTTTCATCGAGTTCTACATACTTGATATGTATGTGCTGGAGGTTCAAATCTAATTTCAACAAAGGGCCAGCGCGCAAACTATGCCTGATGACGTGTATCAAGGAAGATCTGGTGGCCCTTTTGGTGGTATGGGCGGAGGACCGGATGCTGCAATGATTATGTCTACCGGATTTCATCTACGTAGATAGACACGGCTGCATTTTGTTGATGTAACTTGCTACTACGAGTCCAGTAAGTGACTTCGCGGGTTATACTGATTCCGAGCGTGCCTCTTGTTCCATACGACTTCCCTGAAGAGATACGGGATAGTAGCTTAATTATCTTGTATGATGTAGCATATTCTTGCCTACCCAGCAAGAAAAAGTATATAGAACCTTCCAGGAAGAAAAACACAACCTTCCAAGAACGTCCTCTTTTGTCAGAACAAGGTAGGAGAAGCCGCGAACAAGGACGTTTTAGGTAGACTGCATGGAGGTGGTTCTAAGTACCTATTTGAGACTGTGGCACGTATTAGAGTCTAATCGCGTCAAGGAGGCCATCCGGTTCTACAGCATCGCTGGCTGTGCCAAACACGCTATTCGTCTTGCCGATCAACTAGCTGGCGCGGAAGGAGATCTGATGACCCTGGCGCTAGGGAGTGGACGATCCGAAGATCTTATTTACGCAGCGAAGCACTACGAAAAACAAGGCACTTTATGGAAACGACCTGTAGTAAATAATAACACAAGCAATCTAGTAAAATGTGTACGCAGGAGAGGACATCGCTAGTGGCAATACTAGTAGAGAAGATGCTGCTCTGCTGAGCCTTCGCTAAGAACAAAGGTTTTCTTTGATTTCTACCGGAGAATTTAAGTTACTTACATACAATTTGTCGCACTCGCCTTTCATGTTTTCCAGCAGCAGCTGCGAAAGCCGTTACGCTATACCAGAAGGCCGGGCAAGCAGGGCGCGCGATGGAATTGTGCTTCTCAGCGCGGCTGTTTGAGCCACTGCGCAAGATTGTTGAGGAGATCGTAAAAAAGGCAGAGTCTGCGCCAGATCAAAGTGGGAAAGGACAAGGTATTTACTAAACACGTCAATGTATGAAGGCAGAGACCCAATAGCTAGGAAGTAAGAAGTTCGAAAATACAAGGATCGTAAGACGAAGATTTAGTAGTGAAATCGATTCGAGTTCTCATACACCCACAACTAACCCCAGATGCGAGCGACGTCCCCACTGCGGATCCCGAGTTACTTGCTAGGTGTGCGGAATTCTTTCGCGAAAACGAGCAGCATGACAAAGCGGTCCAGTTACTTTGTCTCAGCGGACAGGTGGGTGAAGCCATTGATGTGTGCTATCAGCACGGTGTCCATATCACAGAGGAACTTGCGGAAAAGCTAACACCGGAGAAAACAACCGACGATAAAGAGGAATGGCGGAAGACGCAATTGCGGAAGATCGCGAAACTCTGCAAAGTTACGGATTTACAGCTTTGAAGATTCTTTATCTTGTCTATCCGACTACTTATCTCATGTTTTTATTCATATCAGAATCGCGGAGGCTTTGGCTCTGCGGAGCATCGGTGAGCACAGCTCCGCCAGGGCTGGAGGTCTTCTATGATTGAGTTGGGGGTGGCGCCTTATCTCATGAGAAGCCGGGAGTTATAGGCTGCAGGGGGTGCTCGCGGCCTATAGCCCTCGCCCTCTCTATCACGTTGTGTGGTATGCTCATCGGTCTGTTCGGTTTTGTTGGTTTCACTTTCATTCTCATTACCTCCGATCAGATCTACCCTACCTCTGGCTCTTTCGTCCACCCTCCACCACCTTCACATTAACTAAATAATTAGAAAATTACCCAAATATAAGAGAGAGTAATTACGGATAGATAGTGACCAGATCTCTTCTGGTCCGCCTTCTTTTTCTTCCCAAAAACCTCTTAGGATGAGAAAAAAGAAAGGAAGTCTTTGAACTTCTATTCAAGAAATAAATTAGTAACTAACTAATGAAAGTGCCTACAATCTAAACAATTCATCACCCTCATATCAGAGTCGGATACGGTCGGCTAGCTACCTATTAGTGGTAGTCCTAGTTCAAAAATGAAAGATGAAAGTACTAACTACTAGGATCGCAGATGATCTTCAAGCAGGTTCATTGTTGTGCCTCTTTCTTCTGACGCTCCCTCCTTCTAAGCAACACCAAGGCAGTTTCCAGATCGCATGCAAGAAGTACACGCAGGGAGGCGAAAAAGTCAAGGCGATGAAGGCATTGTTGAAGAGTGGCGATACAGAAAGAATCACGTTCTTCGCTGGAACCGCCAGAACACCGGAGATTTACGTGCTCGCCGCCAACTATCTCCAAAGCCTGGATTGGCACTCAAGGCCAGAAATCACGAAGCAAATTCTCTCATTCTACAGCAAGGCGAAGGACTATCGGAAAATGAGTAATTCACTAGTACCTCCGTCTCTATCGACTAGCGAATTTCAGGCAGAATTACAATTTTGAAGTAGCTGATACAAGTTGAGCAAGGTGTACAATCTTCACTGACCACTTGAAATTGTGCCAACTCATCACGAGGTAATTTCTACACCGCCATTGCGATGGTCGAAATTGACGAATACCGAGACTACGAGAAGGCGGCGAGTTGCTTAAAAGACGCTCTGAAGGTTCTGCACAAGGCCAATTTGGAGCTCTCGGAGGAGTATCAGACGACGGAAAAAAAACTGAAGTTCGTAGAGCAATTTTCAGCACTGAAGACACTAAAACCCGATCAAGTAGTCCAAGCCTGCGAGACCTTCCTAGAAGTCCCGCAAATCGAAAACTACCTTCGAATCGGAGACGTCTTTGCAGCGTGCATTGAAGCGTATTTTTGTGAACTCTAATATTCATTGGTAGTTGTCGAGGTTGTACTAGAAGTACGTCTTATTTCTCTGTATCTGTATCTATAAGCAATAGATGCATTGCGTGTTCTTCTTTTTCAGGTTTGACTCGAAGTATGACATCACTATAATAAACCAATGAATGATATTTAGTAGAAAAATAGACTTGTCGACGTTCGCCTTTTTTTAGGTATGTTGCGCAAGGGTTGTATCAAGACGCGGCGACGAAGGTCGAGGAGATGAAGCTCGCCAAAATTCAACTAGGCCCATATGTAGACTCTGACGTCCTAGCGAAAATCCAGAACGAAGTGGGGACGCTGGTGGAGGAGCCAGTATATGAAAATTACGTACTTACTTTTCTAAGTCTTCTTCACTTTTGCTTTTGTATCTGTAGCTTATCATAAGTGTTACTTCTTAGCGCTAATCAATTTATTGCGGTCAGGATAGGGACTGGCGTGGTGGTCAGTACGATGATCTTCAATCTAATCTTATGGCTTACAGATTTTTCTTTTGTGATTGTTGAAAACTGATGACATTTCTAGCATGGAGACCACTCGAGGATTATATCCACACTAATGGTCGTAACCATAGGAACTTTTCCTTCGAAGTTGCTGTCAACAAATTACTAGTCTTTTGGAACAAGGAACATAAACATATGAAATATCGGAACAGGTTGATTTGACCAAAAATATCAGGCCGCGAATTGGAAACCGAGTGAGGACGAAGTGGACGAAGAAATTGATGAGGAGATCTCAGACAAGGAGTAGAAAGACGTAGAGACGACACTTTTCTACGCACACGCTACTTCTCACCTTGTCTAGCTCGTCGAGACGCCTTTGTACCCTTGACGAAGCGGCCCTTCCTTGATAACTTCGTCGCCGTATCAGAGGCGGTGAGGATTTGCGGAAGACAAAAGCCTTGCTACTGATGCGCATGAGCAGTTACAAGTAGGAAACACGCGCGACAGCATGTTTCCTTGAATAGTTCATCTTGTTTCTTTCAGTATTCCCAGTTTTAGTACTTGTTTTCGTCAAGGTTCCGAGTCATTTTTGAGTTCAGCGTTGAGAACTGGTGACGCACGTGGATTGCGCTTTGTGACGCCACCGTGGGTTTGCTTTTATCATTAATATCCCCGGACTAGAAGGTGTTTTTTTAATGCTGCGTTGGTTCCTTACCGCCACACACACCCAGACCAGTCCGTAGGATGACCCAGCGATCGGAGGCCGTGTTCATTTTCTCAATTTGGTCAGCTCAGATCCTGACCGAAAGTGCGATGAATACGAATTTTTTTTGGGAACGACTAATTGATTGGCTTGTTCTCCTTCATTTTTGACGGTGTTGACCACGGGTGCTCGCCTGCTCTACCGATCACAACTGGTGAGTTTTGCGGTTCATCCGACTTTCCATCTAGGAAAAAGTTGATCAAACACAAAGATTCAATCTCTCTCCCGCCGTGATGATCAATCAATTTTTATGCCGATGAGAAGAACTAGCCGTAAGAACAGAATAGTTTCTCGTCATTCATGATCAGATCACAACGCGAAATGTTAATGTTTTGTCAATCGCTTATCCTTCACGCCAGTTTGTTTTGGGTATGAAGCTGCTTTTGATCTTCGATAGTTTCCGTGTGGTCAAAGGTAGAGTCATCGTACTTACATTTTTTTTTGCGTGAGTGATTAATTTTGTTTTCTCAAATTTCGGAAATCAACATGCGAGCCACGACCGCAAATGCCACACCCGCCCCACTTCTTAAACAAGGGTCTCCTGCTTCTCAGACGGATATGGAGGAGGCCGCTCTCGCGTTGTTCGCTAATATGCGAAATCTGATGGATGAAACCGAAGCGCGTTGTGCCGAGAATATCGCGACGTTGCAAAAGCTCAATATACCACCTCGGGTATTAGAATGGGCGCAAGTACGCAGAGAGGGGTGCGCCAGGTTGCCACCTGGAACACCAGTCAACTTGTGGGGCGCGCCATTGGGTGCGTCATTCGAGAATCCATCCGCAAACGCCATGCATTTTGGCGCGGCACAGAATAGACCATCCTCGTCGAGCACATTATTGCCTCCAAAATTTCGTTCACAAGTGGTCCCGATCGACGAAATGAACGCCGTGCGAAAACTAATGCAACGAACGATCGGTGCACGCGGCGGCGTTCTTCAGGTACTTTTGCATATTGGTACTAGCTACGCAAATCTCAGCTCTTTTAGCAATTTATATATTATATTATACTTTTTTTGGTTCTGACACTAACTGGTGTAGTTGTAGTGCGTTGTAGAATGATAGTTTGTAGAGCAGCCGACAGACCTGCAAACCCAAATCCAGGTTCCAGTGCAGGGACAAGAGAAAGAGGCAGTCGCAGATAAAACTTCGGGTGGGTCGTCCTCATCTTCTGCGCCGCTGAAAGATGGCTCAGATCAACAAGTGGCATTTACTTCGCCCATAAAGAATGACAATCTCGCGACGAGTACCTCCACAACATCAGTACAACAGCCTGCCAAGAGCATCCATGACGAAGCATCAGCTGGTGGTGTAGTTGCTGATAAAACGCAGTTGGAACCAAGTTCGAAACAGAGGAAAATTGAGAAGGACTTTGGAATTAGACCTCCAACGACCGACCACAAACCCGCGAGCTCGCAAGGCACACAAGTTTCACAGAGCGCCAAAGGAAAAAAAGGAAAAGGTAAGAAAGGTAAAGCGGGGAAAAGTAAGCCGTCGAAGTCTTCGCAAAAGCCAACTACTTCATCTGACAACAAAGGGGCATCGCTGCAACCCTCTGGAACGCAACTACTTAATTTCGATGATTCTGACGATGAAGGATGATTCACACGCAAAACTGCGACAAGTAGCCCTCCTTGATACCCCCTCACTCTTCTGGTTGGAATGTCTGATTTTTTATTTTTGCCTTGTCCTGATTAAAGTAGAAACATACTGAAATCACACTGGAGATCGCATCCTGAATGACTTACTCTCAGAGTGAATCTTCAGCCTTTGATGCGCCTAGCATACGCGCATTCGTTTTCTAAAAACGAAACAGTGTTCAAACTCCTCAATATTGGCGCACGTGTCGTTCTGTTAGCGATGGACGACGATTCCCGTGCAGAATTGCATTCTAAACGTGAGCTCACCAAAAGCGAGAGAGGGGATCGGGGAAAATGCTCTTTTTGGCTCATTACGTGACAAGGGATGACGACGAGGTGACGCGCCGACGTGCTGGGGTTCTTGCTATGTTTCGAGAAATATCACCACACAGATCCATTCCTGCTCCCGTATGTTTTTCTTCGACGTGGTGAGAAACGGTCACGCGCGTTCTAGAGACGGTTCAGAGACAAGATCTGCTACATGATGGTCGTGTGTTGTCTCTTCGCGTGCACGTGATCTACTTAACTCTGTGCGAGTCTCGATGCATGTACCATGAAGAAGGGATCTGAGGGTTCAACTATGCTGAAGCATCATGATCACTTGGAGTGAGAGGACAACTTGAGTTGTTTCGGGCTCTGTTAACGGTCTACTTACAACTAGATTGAAGTTGACATTGACTTAATTTTACATGCATGATTTATGTCGATCATCTACGTGTTTGATTGGGTTGTAGCCTAAAACGAAAGATGCATGATGTGGGTCAACGAAGCGACAACTTCGTCGAGTGAGTGAGGGATTCTAAGACGCTTTCGAGCCCAGGTCAGATGTCGAACGATCAAGAGGAAGATGAGGCTATCATCGAGCCTGGCAGTATTCCTCTACCTGGCGCCAGAGATTCTTGTCCCGAAAAGGCCAAAGAGGAGCCTGGTAGTAATCCTTCCGTTCCTTCTATGTTAGAAGACAAAGCCGTCGCTCTCGCACAGCCCGTAGTGGTTAAAAATGAACCTCAATCCACCAAGAGTTTGAGCGACACTGAAGCGGAGTCAAACGTTGGATCTGGATCTGCGTCAGCAATTCCTTGTTTCGGAAGTGCATCATCAGAGCCGAAATTTTCTTCATCTCATGCCGCGGACCACCTCGTCCAAGACAAAACTGCACTACCACAAGAAGATGAAGATCAAGTTGCAGAGGTAGATTCAAATGCCGCTGAGAACTCAGCAAAGACGCAGCAAAAAAGAAAAAAATCGGGTGCAGATCGCGGCGACCACGACGCGGAAGATACGATACATGTGGAACAACACGAAGCTAGTGAACCATCCTCATGCGTCACGACAGATGGGAAGACAATTTTGGGCGAGGTGGAAATGCAACGGAATCCTGAAGCTGCAGTCGCGTCACAGGACCGGTCCGGTTTCCATGAGATGAGACAAGAGACCACTAAGATATCTGTATGTGGAGCTTCAGGGCTCGATTTGGACCAAAGTGCTGAAGACATTGGCATGTCAAAATCTCAATCTACAGAGTCGGAGAAGGAGACGAAAGACAAAGCGATCCAGAGCGTGCCGAATGCAGATCAAGTTGTCAGCCAGGGGGATGCAGCGGACGTGGGTGCAGACGTTGAAAGCGTGGATGCAGGGAAGAATGTTTTTCACGTGGCAAAAGCAGAAGGCGTGCGAGAATCGGTGGAAGTGTCACAAGAGGAAATTACAGATGAGCAAGTCCCGTCTATCGTAGAAGCGAAGATGAATGCGCTCGCGACAGCTGCTACGGGGACGACAGAGAAAATCGTAAAGGATTCTGCTCCAGTACAACAAAAGCCGGATCTGGAATCAGTTCCACAGAGTGGATCGCAACAAGAATCCAATCAAGCAGCTGAAGAAAATGCATCAGGCCTCCAAGACAATTCCTCGGGTCTTGCAGACCGAGAAATGGCCGCAGCTATGGAAAATACCGATACGTCAGTCTCGTCGACGATTGTTGATGAATCGGCTCCGGCGGTTACCTCCTCTAGCATACTTCGTGATAACTCCTGTCGTGACGAAGCGCCTGGCGAGGGTGATGTGGGTTTACCGGATAAACGAACACAATGTGCTGATAACGTCCAGGCTTCTGCTCTTGATTCGAGTCCAGATACCGCGATGCCATCGTTTGTCGAAGAGGAACAGCAAGTTGAGGACAATACAGATCCACCCACGGATGCGGATACAACTTCTGTCAAAAATGTGTATGCTGGTACAGATACTTTCACTCGAAGTATCCAGATGAATGCAACTGCCTCGTCTGCGGTACAAATAGAAGAAGAGCATGAGCAGGAGGAAACACCAGCCGCCAGCGCCACTTTCTCTTCTGCCTCGGTTACACTACTAGAAGAACAGGAGGAGGACGAGAGTTGCTCGTCCCAGGACGATGAAGATGACAAATCAGCTGGAACAAAGATGGATACCACCTTCTGCGCCCCAAGCGAGTCATTTTTAGAAGGGCAAGAGGCCGGGTGGAACGCATTTGACTTCAGTTTCGCAGACGCTTCACTGCCCTCGCGTGAGAACACGTGCTTGGAGAGTGGCTACAAAAGTAGCGAGGATCTCCACACTGAACAGACACCGAAAGGTAACAGCCCCCACTTCTCTAGCTGCGACGACATTCGCCAGGACGGTGAAAATATCAGTAACATCAAGGTCTCTTCTGCTGGTGGGCCAGGTGCACCCGTGTTCTCCATGGAGAAGCACGAGCGGCGAAACAGTATTGCTCTGATCGATATGGCCGACCAACACCAAAGAGGTAAATTCAACACTGGCGGTACTGCGGAGGTCCCTGCCACAAAACCGACACCTACCAATGTCTTCTCTAGTTGTAAATTAGCAGGTGAGCAAGGACATGAGATCCAACAAAATGGTGACGTTGCTCGTGGAAGCGACTCTCAACAAATTAAAACTTTTATAGAAACGGCCGGTCCGAGAATCACGAGCTTGGCGTCTCCAGGCGAGCAAGTCGAGGATCGCCGTTCGCGTGTCCTTCGCTTTGTGCAGTCAGCGAAGGAAGAGCTATGGTACGACGAAGTCTTTTCCATACAATCCAACGGCTCGGTTATCAACGGGACAAGAAGTCAAGATGGCGAAGACGACGCGACACCGAGGAACAAAAAACATTACGTCGGGGATAAATCCGTTTATGTTTATCATTGGAGAAACTCCTTGCAGGCAAAGAACAATATTCTGTAGTTTTCTGGCTGATGCCGAAACGAGCCCATGTGATTAGCAGTGAGTAGACGATACTAGTAGATTGCGTTTCCACATTCGTGTTGAGTTGTATCATATATTGCATTTTTACTGTCTCTTAGGAAACTGCACGACTCGGCGCCGAAGTCGAAGAAACTCAAATCACACAGAGCTCGGCAATGAAATACCAATGCTAATAGAAGGGGGACAGCGACATGGAGCATGCAGTTTGTGATGGGAGCGCTGCAGCTTCACACAAGGTAGGTTTGGTGTCTTCCCGTGTCGATTCTAGCGGCGGGAAAACTGATAGCAACGCTGACAGTGGACGCGGGCGCACACTCGCGGAGGGCAGTTACAACTTCAACCAGAGATCTGCGGCAGACGGGAGAAAGGAAAAGACGAAATCGATGGATATACTGGCAAGCGCAAACGTGATGATGTCGTCATCCATAGCATCTGCGGCATCAGGAGATGTGATAGCTCAGCCAGAGCAGAAATCGGCATCATCGGTAACTCGCGATTCTCGTGTCTCTGCTCGTGACCCTCGTCGCCGACGCTCGAAGGAGCCGTTCTCTCTGAGTAAGCAACTGAGCAACGACAGAACAAATGGATCTTCCGGAACAAGACATGACCACATTTATGAAGACCGAAGGGGAAGCTACGCTCTCTTCGATGTGATACCCGGAAGCAACAGAGGCGGAGAAAAGCGGTCTTTTACCAACGCTCCATCTTCTTTACCGCCTTCATGTGCGGAACAACCCACTGAGGGCTCCAGCATTGCGGAACAACCTGGTGAGGGCTCCAGCATGGGACTTCCGGGAACGGGGACTAGCAGCAGCAGCTCATCGTCTTCCGGAAACAGCACCTACACCCTAAGTGACGCAGCGAGATCTCAAGGGACGATTGGCGTTGCGGCGGTTGCAGATACTGCTTGCACTTATGATTCTTCGTATTTTCTTCAAAATCGTGAGGTTTTCAGGTTCAGATAGAACTAGAAGATGATCATATTCATCCTCTCATGGAATTGGAGATGGTGAGCAGCGCTAGTGCATGATTGTATTTTTCTTCGACATGTGGAGATGGCGGTGGCCAACAGGGTCTTACCATCAATATCCCTCGCTGTAGAAGAAGGCGTCATACTAGGCACTCTTCATCGATAGAGGTTTGTAGAGCATCGACCGCCTCGGGAACTTGATGACGGAGATCGACCGCGACGCGGGTTTGATGATAGAATTACAGAATTATTTACTTGATTGCACCAATCGGCCAATTGACAACTTTTAAACCATATTAATATTTATCTACTTGATATGAAGTGGATGGTAGTAAGTACTTGTACCACTAGTACCCCAACCCACTATTTTATTACTAATTCACAATCTTAAATGGATTTACGGATAGTCCCTGCGATGAGCAACAGGCGTTTGTTGTGGATAATTTTGGTCCTGCGCCAACCATTGCTGGGTCTGATCCGTCACAGGAGGTTTCAAAGCCGAGTTGTGTGAATTTCTTTACTGATGAGGCTGCCGGACCTGATGAAACGGCTGGTGGCCCCAAACACGGCACGTCTGGAATCGCCAGCGAATCCTCTGCTTCATCTTATGGCCAGCTTTTCGTCATGAATCTGGAATGTTGAAAGCAATCATTTGTAGTGCAAAAGCCAACTGAGAACCGACCCGTTCCTTGATAGAATTGATCTGGGTCAAGCAAATAGAAAAAGCCGATAAGATGAAACCCAAAGAAACCATTTTAATTTCTTGAATTTGCGAAACGAAAGCCTAGGAATTCACTCACGTTCGTAAGCACAATTTTAGACTGAAGAAATACTAGGAGCGAGTACGTCTTCTAACCTTGTGCTGTACGTGGCCTTCGAACCGAGGACAGCGCAGATCGGGGCGAAGTCGGAAAGACACTGGATACGATTCATTCGCACTTTCCGCGATTGCAACAGCATGGCCCAAGTCGGAGCTTTGCTAACCGACCGAGCTTAGAATTATGAACGAGAACGTGAATCAGAATCTTTTACTGCCCATTTATTATTCCTACCGTCTGCACCTAGTGAATGTGAACGTGAAGAAGACTTTGCAAGACAGAAAGCCTTAAATTGTGATGCATAAATTCCTTTGCCTCTGCATGTCTAATGAAAGCACCAGGGGCTTCACTATCGCGCTCGTCAAGCAGCAGCGGGTGTTCATCTGCGACGTGCAAAGTTGTCGCTGATGGCGGAGTCATCGAACAAAATACTCAGGTGACTTCGAATACACGTGGAAAAGGCGGCGAAAAAGATGTTGAACAAGAAGTGCTGCTTGTTGACGATCCTTAAGGCCATTGCTCTTTGCTGCATCTTACTCATTGCTTTTCACTTACAGAAGATGCCTACGCAATGCTGATTTTCTCTCCCAGTTAGGGGCAGTATGTAAAGTAAGAGGCTAAAAACGTAGAGGCTCCACGGGAACAAGATGCGAAAGCACTGGGACTGGCGTTAAGTAGAAATACAGGCAGTTGCAGATCAAAAAGCCTCTGGTGTAACCTCCTCTGCCTCTTCGTCTTCCTCTGGTGCGAGCTTGGGTGGAGCAGTGTCAGGGACAGCGTGGCCCGTGGTTCCGCAATCCGAGGAAAGTCAGTTGCAAGACGAACAGTTGGAGTTTGCTCTTCCGAATCCAAAACCCTCTGTTTTGCCGGAGGCAGACGACCTAATCGAGGAGTTTCTGACGAGAGTGTCTCATGTTGAGGGCCCTCAGAGCCAGACTGGCATGACGGAATTGCAGTCGTCACCTGGTGGGACGGGGAGCGAAACGCGACTGCGAGGGGGGCCGCTTCGTGATATGATACGAGAGCAGTCTTCAGGGAACCAAAGCAAACAACAGGGAGTTTCGGTATTCTCACCTCTGCTTGAGGGATCGCCTACGGGTCTGTACAACGAAGCGCGTATGACAACGCAAAGTCCTTTAGACGAGATAGCTAGACCGCTGAGCAGTGCTGGAGCACTGCTGCAGGCTGCTCAATCCATGGGGCGGAAAACAAACACTTCACAACCAGGTTTTGTTATGGCAACATTGAGTTGTTTCATATTATGATAGATTAGTGATCGGAGACAATTATTCTAGTACTAAGAAAAGCAAAAATGGAATAGCTGTAAAGCTCATTCGATAATTTCAAGAGAAAATATAGAGAGAAGTCAGCTCTTTCTGTTCTAGTTTCGATTATGAGTAAGCTGTAGACCACGACAGTCATGGAAGTCGTGCTCTTTACTTTATGTGCAAGTTGTTGTAGGCGTGGGTAGACCTTCGCCATTTCAAATTGAATAGTAATAACTTACTCCGGTGCTTGTGGTAGTGGATATGTTATCAGTAGAGATGCTGATGCAATTATGATGATGATGATGATGCTCTTGCTCTAAGAAGACTAGGGAGGGACTTCCTAGAAGTGAGTCACACGGTTCAAGCACGGAATTGAACAACGCTCGATTGCTGGACACGTCGGGGACTCCTTTAGCTGTGCGAGGTTTTAATACTTATGGTTCGTCATGGAACCATGATTATGGCTCTCATGAGACACTCTACTTTGGAGATCCCCAACCCTTTGATGTTTCTCTAAGGAAGAATATCGATGTCCTCAATGAGGACGCCCTTGTGCCAGTCTGCACAGATCTTTGTGCGAGCAGATTCATTATATTGCATTGTGAAGAAGCATACCCGCTTGTCCTCCTTGATTATATACGGCTCTCCAACCTGCATAGTGTCGTAAAGCAAATGCCTTGCAAGAAAATGAAGTGGATATAGTCGAGGAAGGTTTGCAGTCGAAAAAAAGGTCTAAAATGAGCGCCGGAGAAACGAGAAGCGAGGTGGAAGACACGGAGCTCAGGCAGAGACGGACACCGAGAACGACACAGGGCAGGAAGATGCGCCACTGTTGTCGAAAATGCGTAATTGGACCGACACAGAGGGAGGAGGAGCTGAAAGAAGCATAATGGCGGTTCAAGGTCAAGAGGATCCTCGAGGAGAAACCCTTACTGGACTAGATCATCATGTGACAAAAGAGGGCAGGAATAACAATAATAAAAATAATATGACTCGCGTTCCTCGCGGCTCTGACGACTCTGCCCAAGAAGAACATCATTTTTCTACCGCTAATAGTGCTGGATATTTCGATCGCTTCGGGCGTGGCACGACTGATCGAAACGAGTTCTTAGCGGCGGATCCAGAAGCAGAAGCTTCTGCGCCTCATAAAATGATCGACATTGAGCATTTTTGCGCTCCGTCGTCAGCGACCTCAGCGCGGGCTTCGAAGCATGCAGTTCGCACACCACAAATCACCACGACCTCAGCATTGCCACCGCGCAGTTCTGCGTTATTTTACGGCTCCCAGTTGGCCCTTTTCCATGACATCAGATTTTGTTTAGTCAAAAATATTGCCCCAAGGTAGCTACGAAGTCTACATCTATAAATATACATAGTGGTTAGCGTTTGTCGAATGCTTAGTGTCTATTAATTTCTCGATGATGCCCAATTTGCAGTCGACCTGAATGAATAGTAATAGTATGGAGGAACAACATCATACTCTGCCTCTTCTAAGCAAGAGACAGATTACCGAATTCCGTAATGTTTGCCAAGTGTTGTGGTAGTGATACGTTGAGAGTGGAAACGGAGGCTTACGACGTCATCGTTCGAGATGCTGTACAACAACAATTAAGGGCTCTTACCAAGCCGTATCATGTCCATCTGGTGTAAGTTAGTAGTAGGGCCTTGATATTGTAGGCAAATTTCTTCAGACATCTATAAATGTCAGCATACTTATGATCTATGACCTTCAGACTGGGATTAGTCATGGTCTCAAAGTCATCTTTCAGTCTGATGATTTGGAAGCTCACAGTACAGAGACGAGGTAGATCACATGTATGTAACATATACAATGGTTTGGGCCGGTAGAAATGGAAACCCCTAATGCGACGTTGGTTTTCAGAGTTCAAGCTGGACTTTTTGGTAGAGGGCTTTTTTACCATGACTACAGGGAGCACGACGACGAACACGCAGCAAGGCACATCAGTTGGATTAGATCATTAAGGATAGAAGGGGGATAAAATATCTGCATCACTTGATGATGACGTGGACTATTTCAGATAGGTAACAACAAGAACCCTTCTTGGAGCTCGTTCACTTGATTGTTTCGTCAGGAGAATCCTTCGAGACTATTCATGGGCACAAGGAGGACTCAAGGGGTACTCCTTGGAAATCAGTCGAATTTATTAGCACGTTCTTCACTTTGAAAATCTTCACCCCCGTTGCTTCTAATTATGAGAGCAACGAGGAAGAAGGAGTCGTGTAAGAAAATGCCATCAGGCGCAAAGGCGCACCTTCGCAGTCCGAAGAACTGTCGCAGATTTCCAGTGGTTAGCGAAGATTATTCCGAGATTACTACCAGGCTTCTTTCTTCCTCCTCTCTCTTATGGAGAACTAGAAGAGTCATTAATAGATGTCTTTGTAAGTGCGCGAAGTTATCGTAACATATTCTACTGGTAAATGTGAGAAGCATTTCGACGTTCATAAATTCATGACTTGCAAGTAGAAAAGAAGAAACCAAATTCCTGCACTGTTTTCACCTATCAGTGGGCTAAATGAAGCTCACGTATTTCAACCTATCACCTTATGTTCAAATAATACTCATACTTCCTAGTTTTTTTCATTCCCGGGTTACAGACGTGCAGGCGCTCGCCGACGCTGCTGCGGAAGACCGAGGCTGGATGGTCAGAGAAATGCAAGCAGAGCTGCGTCTGTGGCTCGTGCGTATGATCTCAAGACCACACTTCATCCTCCTGGATGTCCTGCAGGCTTGGCTCGGCATCGATTTGACAACCGGCAAGTATTCCTCACATACATTCCGCTCACGTTTACTAAAAACGCATCATATTTATGCACTGGAGGAGCTTGCGGGGGAAGTGATTATACTAGCTGGCGAGTTAACCTAGGTGAGAGAAAAGACACGCTCTCTGGAAGGTTCCTGGACGACAGTCGACAAAAAAACCCTCCCAGGGGCCAACCAAGCCTAGTCACAAAAAATGACGACTGCCACGCCACTACACGTCAGTCAAGCAGAAACAGAGGCACTGGAGGCGGCCGCGGTGGGCCTCGCCGCGAAGCAACTACCGAGTTGAGCCAGCAACTCCGACCTCGTAGTACTGATCGACAGCACGCCAGTACTTTACAACTTCATCAAATGCAGTGGCAAATCCGCGGTGGTGGCAAACACCGCGGTAGACGTAGTCAATCACTGGTACGACAACAATGTCAAACCGTGGCGCGTCTACATAAAATCCGAATGGAACCTGGCAGACTACATGACCAGACACGGCAAGCGCAGACTGTTCATCAACACCATCCCACAGCTGCAGACGGTTCAGCAGTCCACTGGTGCCCGACTATGGCTGGCTGAACTATGTGAACGCCTGCCGGCCCCTGCTGTCGCTGTCGCTCCGGGAGTTCGTCCCTCCCGCGGGAGTGACAAGCGCGGTGGAGGTCGGCAGCCGCCCCGGCACACCACCGGCGCGGGTGCTGGCCGGCGGGAGGTCCTGACGCAAACCTGTGCAAAGGCCGGCACGCGTCCCCGTAACCCCTCGACGGCGGATGCGAGTCTCGGACCGCCGACTCAAGTCCGCACCAGGAAGCCGGAGCCTGGTCGGGGTCTCCGGAGGAAGGTACCGGGGAGGAAAAGATAAGGGCTCGGAGCGGTCCATTCACCACTGGCACGAGTCAAACTGAGACCAGAGGTTGAGCGGGAGCTCAAGCCCCGGTAGTAGGCCGACGGCGCGGGCTGGAGGTTCAAAGTGACTTTGTCCCCCAGCGGGGGGACAACGCCTGCTACTGCCGAGGGATTAGCCGCGCACCCGGACCAAAGCGTCCGACGCGAAGAGCGAGCACCCGGAACTTCGCGGGTGCCGGTTGATCGACTCGTAGGGCGACGGTGCACGAACACCGGCCGAGCCGCGAGAGGGGTTACGACACCCGGGCGTTGGTGTGCAACTCTCTCTGGGGAGGTAAAGGCCTCCCGCCACGCTCCGTGGCAAACTTATGGGCCGTAGGTGCAACGACCGGCGCCGGCAAAGACCTGGGTCTGCCGAGCCAGCCTACTGTGCTGCCACAGCACTAAAAAGTATAACTCACCAGTAGATTTAGGATCCCCGGAAGTTAAGTCTCCAGTTTGTATATAAAGAACAGTGCCGTTCATACGTAACAATCACTGATTCAGCGCATCTGGAAAATGAAGACTTCCACAGGCAAATAATAAAAGCAAATCCTCTACTTAGATTCCTGATGTCGTCTTCAAGATGGACATACGTTTCATCACTCACGCCGCAGGAAGCGTAAGCCCGAAGCAATAACACTGGCTGGGTTGGAACATAGTTTCTGTAGTCGTGGGAAAATGGAGAACCCACAGAAATTATTGCAACGGCAGAAAAGCCTATGTGAGGAGACGGGACTTACTAGTGTGGTCTTAGCAGCGGCTATCGCAGAAGACGGTGAGGACGCCGTAGCCGATGATCCTCGATTCCAATACGAATGTATGACTCCCGGGATTAGAACTTACACATAACACTGCTAACGTGGATTCTACCACTAGTCGTCCTAAATAACTACGATTATCTCACTGATGCTGTACTGTTGTAGTTTCTCACTATCCAATCCCTTCTGCGCTATATCTTTCCTCACCTTTTTCTCTCTCCTTCGAGTGATGTTCATTGCTTTTCTTGCTAGTGCATCTGGCCGCGGAGGTCGCAGTTTCGGCGTTCCTCCGTTGCAGCGCAGCTACGTTCGAGCAAGTTCGTCAGCGAGGAAGTCAACGAATAGTTCCTGCGAAGATTTGATCGACCTTAGTGGCGGTGGCGGCGCGGGCGTTTTCCGAAATGAGACTCACGGGAAAAACACGAGGACTTCTGTGAATGGCCAAGACATCAGCATTAAGGATTCGAAGGTAATTTTTGTCATGAATAATGGTAGACCCACCAGGGTTGAAAGACGGTGAGGACGCAATCATTTGGAGTGTTTAGCAGTACTTCAAGTACGGAGTGCAACATTTACTTCTCCATTTTTGTTTCCATTTTCGAATGCTCTGGCCGACTGTGCTGCGCAATTACTAAACGCGTATACGCAACGACCTCTAAACAGACTCATGCAAAATCTATTTCCAATAGTGCCGATGTTATGACGATTGCGGAAGACGGATGTTGGAATCGCGAGCGTAGCGTTTCTCCCGGTCTTTTGTTTGAACGGAAAGACTCCAGGGACCGCTTCAAAAGACAACAGCAAGAAGACGGGAACGGAGTGGGTAGCAACCATCATCACCAGAGCTCGATCGCCTTCCTCGATGTCGTTGACACTGATGAGGAGAAAACCTCAAATCATGTCCGACAGGATAAGGTGATGAATCACCAATCAGGTATTCGGGCCGGCACCTCTACTGAGCCTACCCTTCTGCAAGAAAACGAGGAAGATGCAACAAGACCTCTGGCGAGAAATCCACCAAATGTATGAATGTACTACTTTTCGTTTTCCTCCTTTTCTCCATCGGTATTGACTCAACGAGAACGACCATCCTGACACGACCCCTTTCGAACAGGGGATCGCAAGTGCCTGGATGGTCGGCCTATTTAGATTGATGGAAACAAGGACATGTTTCATAAAATGGCATGACAGGAGCAGCATCCTCAAGCACTAGTAGACGTGGTCAATATAGTAGACGTGCGAAGGAAGCGAACATCTTCGCTCCCAAAGGGGTAACAAGTAAAGCAACTAATGTTTCCTCTGCCAGTCTTCGATGGACCGCACACGACGTCTCAACTTTTATGACTACTCACTCCTCGATAGAGGCTAGTGATGCATCGCCAGTAATGAATTATCAGTACGTAGAAGAAGATCTTGTTGTGGGCTTAAAAATGCTATAAAAGGCAACACATTTTTGTGATCCTCATTGAGTAGGATGCACCACTTAATTCTAGGGAAAGGGAAACGGCGATGCCCGATGAGAGTGCAATATATTCTAATAAAGCCGGCGCGCAAACGTCCTTATTTCCGACGATAACGTCGCAGGAGGGCTGCGCGAAGTTCCTAGCAGGCCAAAAACGGTTGCTTCATGCGCGGAGGACCGAACTTGCATCCATTCAACGCAATTTTGCGTGCTTGCGAAAACTAGAAAAGTCGGCTTTCGTTATGGAAGAATGTAGTTCTATCCATCCTTACGACCATCCTGGCGCTTTTGTTTTTCAAGAAGGATAAAAGACGGACCGGGCGACTTCATTGAGTTGAAGCCCTCGGGGCGTACGCTTATTCTGTGTGTGACATGAGTAGGATAGCCTGACTAAGCGATGGGATAAACTACATCCTCTATAGTCGTGGAAGGGCAGAAACTTCACAAGACACTGGCCGGAGAAGAAAACATGAACAGGACTTTGGTATTCCTATGGACTTTAGTATTCCACCTATGAAGATTCATATCGTCCTTCTAGTAACCTACTTGTTGAACGAGGATGCAAACAAAAATGGCTTTTTGTCAACAACCGTGACGTTCGTGTATCGCTATTCATGTGGCCTTATTACTTCTCCTATGAACATCTCTAGCCTTTTTTTTTGATTTAACCACTCGCTTAGGCTTACTTCACTCGACTAGTGGTCTTCCATTCGCCAGAAGTAGAAACTCTCTCTAGGTGAATTCACTGGCTCCATCTGCGCGAGAGTTCGCAGGCAAAGGCGCACGAGAAGCGCATGCAGTGTACAGTATCATGATAGCGGCTTGCGAGAGGGAAACTATGGATATTGAAGCGGGACTCAAAATCTTTGACTCACTCGCTTCCATGGCATCGCGAGTGCAGCAGCTTAGAAAAAGTCTCAAAGATGCGAAAGATAAAAGGTACCTGTAGAGGACGTGGCAAAATGACATTTTTGGTCGTGATCATCATGTAAGTACTGAAACTGCAGCAAACAAGTTCTTGTTACATGCTTTCAACTTCATTCTACTCCTGCGTAAAATGTGCTTTTCATTTGATTCAAGTCAATGAAACACTGAAGCTCTTGCAAGGAAGAAAATCTGCTTTGCTCATCCATTGCTGCCTAGGTTAAACGTGAAATTCAGCGAGCAAGGACTTTTTTGGGATGCCGTTTTCAAAGGCATGACGAAGGAGGACCAATTGGCACATGTCTCCGATCGCATTGCAGTTCTGAAAAAGAGCCTTTCTGGTATGGAAACGTGGACACTTTTCGCTAATTTCGTCGCAACAGAGGAACTCAAAACACTACGCCAGGATAGAGCGCAGAAATGGAGTATACTTACTCATTTGTGTAGGACGTATAAAAATCTCTTTTGCGGCTTTTCTAGAAGACAAAGACATGTGGTCGTTCCACCAGGTAGTTTTCCTATCTTACGTCGGTCTACTGCGTATACTACGTACCTGCTAAAAATCAATATTGTGAAACCTAGTGCTCGTGGTCAAATCTTCGTGTGATGGCTGCTTTGTATTCCTATCCAAATTCTACTTGAAGAGATGAACGCAATTTTCTATTCAACTTCTACTCCCAGAGAACGCGCAGGAGGAATTCGTTGCTCGACAGAGGGAGGTCGGCGGTGGAGGCATGGCATCGGCATTTCTGTTTCGTGGCACACAAATTGCACGTGGAATCGTCAGTCGGGCAGACTTAGCCGAATGGGGCTTGGATAGTCACGAAGGGTCCAACGCGGGAAATGACGATTTCGACTGAATCTTCGTCGGCTTAAGCAGATACTAGAGTAGGTGTAGTTGGCACAAAGGTTCCGGTGCAGATAGCGTCGATTCCGATCCAGCTTTAGGTGCCGCGGAACTTGGTGTATAAAAGTTCTATTCGCTCCTGAAGCTGCGCATCTTTTGTTCTCGTCTTTATTTTTGCGTATTTGAAGAAGAGAAGTTTGTTGCGCGATTCTTGAGCATACTTTTTATTCTGAATTCTCAACCTGAATCAATATAGAGTTTTAAGTTCTTAAGAGTTTCATACTGTTCCGTCGTCCTCAGAGGTGAGTCATGTTTCAAAAAAGACTCATTGGGTGGGGTTAGCAACCTCGTAATGGTCAAGTTCGCGCATTTTCCATATTTACTCGTCATTTCTTGTAGAATACTTTTGGAGACTAAATAGCGATAATCAGGTAATACAAAATGCATGTCAATATTTGTAGAAGATCAAAAAGAGCAAATATTTTTAATTGCATCTAATGAAGGTAAAAAATGTAAAAACAACAAGAGCTACTCTGAGTCTGGAGGGTAAGCTTTCGGAGTTATACGGGAAAAATTTATGTGGGACTTCTCACTTCTGTGGCCGCTCAGGTCATTTTAACGTATGCATCGTGCTTTCACAAAAAAGTAAAAAATCTAAAGAATCCTCACACCGCTATGCTGCCTCGAAGTTCGTGAATCGGGACTCCGATAGTCGGGACGCATATAATGAAGGCCTTCAGACACAACATTTTTTCCTCATATTTCTGTGAAGCAAGAACGAGAAGAGGAGTTTGTTTCTGAGTCAGGTTGGTAAGCCTTACCTTAACTTTTCCTACCGAGTATGGAAATGTTTTTTCTGCTATAATTTCTCGGGCATGGTTGCGACGAAGTTGCTTATTGCACATACGTAGAAGGGTGTTTTGAATTGATAACTTGTGGTGCTCGCGTGACCACCTCCACACCAAATTGATTCGATTGTGGGAAGGTTTCCGCCTCTCTCTCACGCATCCTTCTGGCACGCAAAGCACATAGGAGATCAGGATGTTGAGGTCTAGTTCCACTGTGAGGGTAACTTGATTTCTTGATACAATTGCTTGGACATGAAATCCTTTTGATAAGGATTCCTTTTCCACGAGGTTTTGCCGGACGGGAAAAGAAATCGAAATTCGCCTCGCTAGCGCGACGACGCACGGCGCGTCGATTTTCTCCACATTGTAGTGTTTTCAATTAGTTTGATGTAATAGATGCAAATGATTGATGCATAAGGTGGTGGATCGTTCATTCCCCGTTCGACACTACGATGGAGCATAAGAGAGGCACACAGACATGGTATTCGATGTCCGACTCAGAAGGAATGATAGTCCTATTTCCTATCCTTAGTATTTACTCAATTTGAAAAATTGGAAATCTAAAGATTCATTCAGAAAGGTGGAAATCTATCACATGCATTCAGGATGCACTCACCGCGTTTGCTACTAGCTTGCTAGCGTTGAATTCTCAATTTTGGACAGATATAGCGGGAAGCTTCAGAAGTTTCGCTGAAGGGAAGCTTGAGGATGGCAGCTGGGGCTGATACGATAAAAGAGATATTACGAGACGATCGAGCCTGTCGCAACCGAGTCACTCCAGTTGTGGCGTGGCTGTATCCGCATCGCGCGTTCTGCTCCTGACAATTGCCGTATCTTTTTGCCGGACCTTCTGATACATGGTATGTGATGCAGTGATTGTGTGTCTTTAGTGCAGCGGAGAAGAGTTGAAGCTGCAGTGCCACAGTACAGGGTTCTTGTAAAGAGACCACGCCCTACATTACAAAAGAGATCAAGATACGCAAATCATATGCAGGATCAGCAATGGTGAAGATGATCACGCACTGTGCTGACTCTCCTCCGAGGATGAGGATGACGACACCACGCATGAAGACATCTGAGAGTGGAACTAGTAGCAGGCAACGTCGGCATCGCTACTCTGATCCCAATAAGCGGTTGCTTCTTGGAAGGGGTGCTGCAACAAGAACCTGGCGCTTTTGGAGCCGACCTCTGGGTAGAAACATAGGGGGTGCTGCACTAAATGCGTTTCGTCGTCCCATACTTCTTGGTATAATTGGAGCAGCTATGAATGTGATGGCGGTACTTCGGCTCCATCCTGACGGACAAGACCACGAGTTCTATACAGCTGCACAAATCTGCGAAAAATCGTCGAAATTCGAAGAAAGAACAGTCGATGGCCCTTCATTAACAGCGTCGGAACAAGCACTATTAAGCATACCGCAATCAATGCATCTTGATCTTTTTCAGCTTGTCATCCTCATCTCAGTAAAGTTTGAGATACCTCAGTGTTGCGAGTGTAATAATTGATTTGTGCGAAGCTGCCGTTGTAAAAGACAGGATGAAAGATCCTAAGAAGGTAACTTGCCAAGTAATTGCAAGAATGTACAAGGCTCTTGTAGGATCGATGATGACAGGAGAGATGCGACTGTGGTAGCTCTAAGAATTGCACTTGCATCTCCTTACTCCACGGGTGGTTTACAACGCGATACACAAGCGACAGGTCTGAGCAATAGTCGTCAGCACGCCGCAGCTTCTCCACTTGCAAATCCAACACGTGCAGCTGGCGGCAGTGGAGCAACATCGGCAGAGCTGAAACTTGCTACTGTCGAACGGGAATTGGAAATCCTCCGACCACTCTTTGAGAAGCGATCGCGGAAAAACACGACACATACTTTTCAGGTCTTTGATTAAGGCTGCAGTAAATTTTTTGCATTCGAATGCAATGCAAATGAGTGTCAATGATCTCGCTCGTCGGGCATTTTTTTACTCATGAAACAGTCACCAGGAACATGTGAGTGAGGATTCTCGCATAACGATGCAACTGCGGTGGCTCTAACTTGCAGAGCTGTGGGCGGGTCCGAAAACAGAATGCTGGGAGGACCCTCGCTTCAATTTCAAACGGTGTTGCAACGCAATGCACTTCAGTGTCACAATGAATACGTGCTGGGATGGCAACAAATTCACACAAGATTCCTGCTGCGGCTCGTTTCTCTATTACCCCTCGTCCTGCCTCGATTTCGTCCGGCACTTTGGTATGACCATTGAGCTATTTCATAAGTACTCAACCATCGCTATCGTACTCATGAAAACGCAAGTACTGATATGATAATTAAAGTGAAGTTATGGGAAAAAGTCTTTCACTTCTTCCTACAAATTGCGGACTCTCAACGCCTTCCTCTTTCGACAACAAAACAACATCGACATAACTATGTGCTTACATACCCCGCTGACGTTCTGTTCATTCATGTCGTAGTTCGCGATGATTCAGTCGATGTCAAGCGATTTGGTGACGGAAACGTTGGGAAACTGTCTTGAATTTTTGCGGGGTGAAGATTTGCGTGGCTATGTGAAACCAGGATTTGATATGACAGGAAAATGCCTACTCATTCAAGAAACTAGGTAGGATTCCAGTGAGAAAATGCTGAACCCATATGGGGATGTTACCTCAGCAAGGTGGAAAGGTGCCTAGACCATTGTGGACAATGAGTATGTGCTTTCCTGTCATTTTTGAGCCTTTCGACGTGGCAGGATGGCACTACCCTACCATCACCATCCAGCATGCAGGACTGAAAAAGTTCAGGTGTGATTATATATATGTTTCCTAAGGGTTCGCTTTCGCTTTTTGACCAAGTATTGGTCGGCATCAAAGTCTACAAGCCTGCTCTTACGTATCAGGACATTGATTCATGTTATGAATTTAGCATCATAGAAAAGCTCGGAGACAACCTAGACATACGCAAGCCACCTACGAACAGTTTTCCCGCTCTTGACGCTTATGTGGGCAATTCTTTTTTAGTGGACGGCCACTGGATGCCAGTCGAAGTCGAATTATTACGCGCATTTTTACCAGAAGGGAGTGTAGTCGTGGACGCCGGCGCAAATATCGGAGGCTTCACACTACCACTTGCAAAAAGAGTATTTACTGAAACGTTAACATTTTTTTGAGTGGTTCCTTCCCCAATGAGCCAACGCCAGTAAGTTGAGATTATGCACATCAAATCGACATTCTTAATTAAGAAAAGTTTTTCAACATCGAGTTTTTTCATCCTCGGACTGTTTGCTAACGATAGTCAGCATGAGATATCGATCATATAATTTTTGCAATGTTTTTGTTTTATTGATTTTTGATGTCAATCAAAGATATTGAAAACGTAACAGGTGGGTCGTGCGGGGATGGTCTACGCGTTTGAACCGTTTCGAGTTATCTTTTAAGAAAAGACAAGTTGTGATTGTGTAGATGGAATCGTCGAGGACATTGATTCCTAAGCCAAGGGCATTCTTTCATAGATAGCACGTTTCCACTGGAATGAAGATCTTAGATTCCATGATGTGCATGATTGGGAAAAGCGCGAATAAAAACCTACCTCTAAATCTTCCAGCATCTCACAGCAAACGTCGCGCTAAACGGCCTATTGAACGTCATCACGTTTCAACATGGTTTGGGAGCGAAACGAGAAAGCGTTTCTTTTTATGACACTCAAAACTCGACTCCATGCGCAGTGTACATTTATCACGATTAAGTACTTCTTACACTTCCGTGTCGTCCTTGAGTTTCCTCATTATGTACATCTGGAAAGGTTGTATTCCACCCATTGTACTCTCACTTTCACTTAATGCCAAACAACTTTATATATAGTTTCTGCAACACCTTTTTCCCTATGTTTTATATAGATTAGTCAAACACGACATTTCTCTACCTTGTGACGTAGCTTCTCCTACACTGACTTCCAGGAATCGTCTAATCTTTGCCCATGCCGAACATGAACAAACTGTCGAATCCTGCCAAGTTAAGGCAATTGAGTAATAAAACCGATAGCACATCATCCTCACCTCCATCCTCGGCTCTTTCCCTTGGAGAATGGTTGGAGCAACTCATTTTTCAATAGCAAGTCAAAGAAAGGATGTAAAAGTGAAATGCTTCAACGCTCAACTTTCTCTTTGAAGACGGTACAGTGTCCACACCGATGTGCATACAGAGGTGAGTTCGGTAACTCATCTAACGAGGAGCAGCGTAGCAGAAACGGACAACTTGTTAAGGGTTCCCACATTGCATTCCCCACCGTCGTCCTTGCGTGCTTTGTCAATGGCAAAGGAGGCAAGGATGATCTGCAGCATGCGGTGGCGCAGCCTCAAAACTTAATGATGATTGAGACAGAAAAAGACTACGAGGAAGAGGTCGAGATCAAACCTCTTTTATGGCGAAAGTTAATGTTGTATCTGTTATCTAGGGAAATAAAAACTTCTCTTCACGCTTGATGTTTTTATAACTTCTACAAAATAGAGCGACATTTGCTACTACAACCACGTTCAACATCAATCCAATACTATAGGGCTAAAACTAAATAAAGTAATTCCTCTTTCGATTTTCCCTCGACCGAGAATTCGATGGCTTTTCTCATTGCTCGCCTGATTTCGAAACGCACAAAATCTAATTCTTGACGACTATTTTCGGAAGTTTCTCAAAAAAGTTTTTTTGATCAAGATCGACGTGGAGAAAATGGAAGTGCCCATGCTGGAAGGTGCGAGAGGAATTTTACAATACCATCGACCACTGTTAAGGCTTAATTTTGATATGTCTAGAACTCGTCAGGAATATCTGACGCAAGCTCCCGAATAGATTTGAGACGTCCTGTCTAGTTTCCTCCGAAGAAAATCTTTTTGACTTATGGAAGATGGTGCATCGAACCGGGTACACCACTTCAAGAAAAAGCACAAAAGGGTCTACTTCTAAGAAGACCGCTTCCAAGCCATTCTTCTAAAGGAAGAAGGTCAATAGAAAATGAACATGAAGCGGAGATCGTAATAAATCAATGGACGAAGTGAAGATCTTCTCTAGTTGCATAGTACTCAAGAACGAAAATATTAGTCGGTTCATGCTCCCTCGCCTTACCCTTACTCCCCCCTTCATCCAGTCAAGCATTTCAATGGAAATCGTCTCTAATACTAGTTTTTGTGGAAGACAGCGAAGAATCGAGAGAAGGGCCGCCATTGGAGAATCTGGATCAGCGTCCGCACTTGCAGGAGCTCATAGCGAAAATGCAATCCCGCTTCCGACCAGAAACAGATAGTAGCTCAAATTAAGACTAATTACCTTTATTCTGCTTGCTGTCTCTGTCTTGAAGTACGTAGCTGCTTACTTGTTTTAGCTCAAATTGTAATAAGTTAGTTTCTTAAGACGCTCGGTCCATCTCCATGTTGATACATTAAAAGTCCCCTCCTGTGCGTGATTATTGGGTCAAACCAAAAGTGGCTACTCTGTTGTTCGTTTGTTTGAGTGGCCAGATTTGTACTGGTATCTTTCACCAAACGTTCTGAAGTCACTAAGCAAAGGTGACTCGGCTACTGTGGTATTACGGCTACCTGTGTATCGATCTGTATATTAAGAGGGTTACTACATTACTTTCTCCTGGTGCATTTCTGCCATTCTTGACTTGTTTTCCGATAGACACAGGGAAAAGAAGACCAGGATGGCCTGAAGAAGGTGATGCTGGAACCTGTAAGAACAAGGAAGTGGGCGGACAGCTAACGAGCCTCTTCTGTGCGCCAGACGAAAAACTCGAAGCTATGTGGGAAGGCGTTAAAGCCTTTTTTGACCGTACAGAATACCGTGGATCGAAACGCTAGAACCCGGGCGCAGGCGGTAGAATGAACGCTAGAAGAAACGTTAAAACGCTAGAAGAAACGTTCAAACGCTAGTAGAAACGTTAGAACGCTAGTAGACACGTTAGAACGCTTGGACGCAGCTAAACTCAGATATCCTAGATGCCACAAGAAAACTCTAAAGCCCTTGAAGAAGCAGGAAAAAAAACTGACGTAGTACAGTAGACGCTGACCCTGTTCCGCTCTAGGCATTGCATTAGGAGGCATGATGAAAACGCTCAAGAGAATCAGGATCATCAAGAAGGTCCTGGGGATGAAGATGTACTCATGCTCCGTATCGAAGAGCATTTACTTATTCGCTTCTTCTATCAATCTTAGGGCCAACGGATGTCATGGGCGGCAGTATCAGGACGGCACAAATGACGTGCTATTTTCAGTCTAACGAGAGGCGTCGGGTAAGTGAAAGCACAATACCTAATAAAATATGATGCTTGCTTGCCGCTAGCTGAGAGACTGAGAGAATACGAGCGTCATGTTGTGCGTTTCCCTCCCTCGTAGCCCTGCCTTCTCATCGTAGTAAAATGAAGTCTGTTGCGCATCTTCCGATTTCTTCTTTTGTGTTCAGTACGTATTTTATCGTCAGAGTCTCCCCTTGGAGTAGATGTAGTTTTGGCGACATCCTAGTTTTATAATATCACGCTGTCCTCTCTCTAGTTGTCAAAACTCCAAGTGATAATGAATAATGTCATGTCTGTGTAACAGGTCGATGCAAAACCTTCAGAAATTGCAAATCAAAAAGAACACCAAGTGTATGATGATGTTGTCTGTACAAGACATGTAACGCGCAAGAGTTCTTCTTCGTTTTGCCGGATGCGCATGCCTTGGGTCATTCGTTGCTCTGATGAAGACAGATTCCCGGAATCGCGCACAGAGACGATCACTGCAAGACAACTACAATATATTTACGATATAAGATTCCGGCCCTTGATGTTTGCGAGCCTCTAAAACTACGCTAGCATGAGAATGGGTGAACTACATAACGCTGCCGCAACGCCTTCTGCTCTGTAACTTTTCAGATGAAGAGGAAGGACGGACGATCGTAACGATGCTATCTGCCACAAAGTTCCAAAACGACACTCTAGGAGGAGGAACGTAATGCGTGTGCTCGTCAGCTACATCAAGTTGTGCGGCGCAGTGTGGTGCTGGTTGTATTCGACCACCGTATTAAGGCTTGGTACTGGATTGTATGCGTAAATAGGTGCATCAACATTTATTTTATATTCACATGCATCAACTATTACGCATCGCGCCTACGGTTTCAGAGGAGAGTAACTACTTAATATCTGAGACACCATGACGTCGATTTTTAGTTGATACTAGAGAGTGATTCCTTCTTGTTCTTGAGATGCGACGATGACGGTGATGATGATAGAGGCTGGAGCGCTAATCCCAAGGAGTAGGAGTCCAACGTCTTTGACCACAGAGTCGTGCCAGCGTAGCTATGGAAAAGAATCCACTGAGACCACACTCTTGGCAAGCAGCCACGAGAGTAGGAGAGATTCGCCGAGTTTAAGGGTCGTCAATTCATTCTTGCAGCCTCCACCGCCACAACTATCCATAATGGCCTGTTTTGAAATAGGAAAGAACTCAGGGGATGAATCATGGAGGTGTGATGCATGGAGGAGCTGCCTTTAAAAAATTATAGCAGTACAACGACTGCAGGATTAGAAATGTACCTGCAGCAAAGAAATACACATAACCGGAAGATGCGAGAGGAAAGCCTCAGGCAGTGGGTCACGAGCTTTGCAGCATTTGATGGAAACGCTCACGATTACGGCGACAGAGGCAATCCCTTTCTTGATTCCACTGCTGGCGAGGCCTCTGTGAACGCGACTGAAGAGGAAGCATCGCATCCTTTATTACTCTTATCCTTGAAATCGAGAATGGGTGGTGGTGAAGACTTTATGGCCTTCATTTGAAGATGCTTAGTATGTAGAAGTACAACAAGGAAATAAGCCTACGAGCTACAAGGGCTGGAAGCGGAGAGTTTGCGACATGATTATCAGCAAATAATATGTACAGTCATTGTAGAGTAATCACGCGATTAGATCACCGAACATATGACCGGCTTATCGTGGCAGCGAGCAGTGTGAAACTAGGGCCCTCGTGACCTAGCAGTATAAGCTGATGTAATTTCGGAAACAGCTCATTGAAATCGCCATCGGACAGTTCGAAGAACTTCTAAAGACACTCGGGAAAGCAGTTTTACATTAGCTCATAATCGAGAAAAGCCGGGATTGCGTCTACAATTACCAGCGTGGGACGCAGGAAGAGGCACGAACGTTGGAGGAGGTACGAATGAAAGCAGTGACGTACTAATGGCTTCCGAGGGAGCGATTCCACGACACCTGGAGACGTCTACTCTTTCAGCCTGTGGTGGGAGCTACAACGCATCAGAACAGCCGACGTTAAGGCAACGGAGACGCAAATGAAGCACTATTTACAGGAACTGAGCGTATCTGTAATTATATTTGCTCTAAAGATGATACTATCCTGCTCCAAAGATGACGAATCAAGAGCATTGGATTCTGTTGTTGAAGCTAGAGTCGTCTACCCTGCTGAGTCGGGGATTCCTGTGAGCGAGGTTGCTTTTATGTGGTAAAAATTTCAAGCCTGCTGTTACCTATTCTTCGAGTGGCTGGATTACCACATCCTCGTCCACTGCAACGGTTCTAATATTCCTGTTTGAAGTGGTATGGGGCGGTCGTCATAACATCCGAGACAGCAATTTTAAGGGCACTGGATTTTGCGGAGGTATAGTTGTTGTTGCTGCTATATTTGCCTATACCTTCGTTCTAGAGCGAAGGCGAGAGGGCAACAAAAATAGCTGGGGGTATCCATAGTACTATCAGTAGGATATTATGCGCAGGACGTGTTTCTAACGATTGTTCTGGAGCACCGGTATCTCAGTGGAAGAGCGAGGCTGTAGAAAACCAGAGTGATGCAAACCCAACAGAGAATGCTGATGTGAGATGGTCGACGAACTCGAAGAACTCCTCACAGCAAACGAATAGAAGTGGGGAACTAGACCCACATCGCCATCCTTCCCGGCACAGCCTTCTTGCGCTGGAGGTTGAGGAGCACGCAGCTAACGGCCGAGTTCCAGAAAATGATATAATTGGTTCCACCTGCTCTCTCACGTCAGCAGATGGCGGACCGGGGCTCGGTTCTTCGTCAGTGCCCACCGACCGTTACAGGGTTGTCAGCAATGCTGCGAAGTATACTAAAGTAGATGATGCTCACGCGCCGCGCCTAGCACAGTCTCGTCATCAGCAGCACCTACGTCAAACAACTTGTCCGGTGGGACGGTACGTGTGTGCGCCATGGGGCCGCCAGAAACGTGCTCGGGTGCTCATGCTCTCGATCCTTAGCGAACGGCTTCCCGTTCTTGTGTCCAGTGTGAGTGATCATGTATCTGCAGCACTCTATGTGCGACAACTTGTAGAGTCTGCAACACTCTCTTGGCAAGCAATGTGGGAATTCCTCGGAAAAAGCGTCGTAGAGAATCTACTGCTACTGGACGAAGAAGAAAATCGGGCCTCCTCAGAGCGCCGCTCGACTGTGGATCGCCTCTCGGTCGGAGAACGGGGCATGTACGAGTCATGGCACCAACAGCTAACGACCTACTTGCAAACGCTCGTAGAAGACGTCGCGAGTGTGCGGAGTGCTGGAAGGGGAATCCAACAGTTTGGTCTCAACAAGGCAAACAACAATTAAGGCTACAACCAGGTAATCTGGCCGTGGCCGCTTTGGCGCCGACTATGACATATAGATGACACAGTTCAATTTATTGAGATCATACAAGATAAAAGCAGACTACTTATTTATTTATCGAGATACAAGATGACCAAAAATTGTCGAAATACAAGATGCGCAGAAGCTGATGATATCAGCTGAAGTACCTTGCCCTTATAAATGAAGGGTCTGACGGTGACGACAGTCGTGATCATAACCATGATCAGGCTCTTTATTTCAAGTACCAGGCTGCGAAGGCGGTAGGTGTCTAAGTAGTAGGGAAGCGGATCGTGTCGGAAATCGAGGGCGGTGAAGAGCTTCCTAGAGCGCCTCTCCGTGACCTGTCCGCTCGCAACGGCGTCTACGATCGCCAGAGTGACCTGAATTCATGGTCCCCAGCTTTTCCTGCTCTGCATGTAATGGGCTTTGAATCCGTGGGAGTCCGTTCGTTTCCACCCCCGCCTTTAAGGCTAATACGATGAACCCAACAAGAAAATTGCGTTTTCTCATACAGAATTCGGTAGGAGAGAAATTCGCGAGGTTTTTGTTCAGAAACATGGTGTGGGTTGTTGGTACTAGCTGTAACGAGTATTTTGAAGAATGAAGAAGGCGATCATGAGCAACCAATTCTGCCAGGCGCCCAAGACAAGCAAAATTTGGCTTCCGAACGATCTGAAGAGGGATTGAGGTGTCACGATCAGGGTCAGCAACCATCGCCGACTAACGGCGATGCTCAGCAATCAGTGCCGACTAACGGAGACGCGCAGCAATTAGCGCCGACTAACGGAGACGCTCAGCAATCAATGCTGAATAATGTCGATGTTCAGAAACAAGCGGCAAGTAACGATGTCGATAGTACCTGCATTGCCGACCTCTATGGCCCACGTGAGGATATTGATCTTGGTGCAGCCATCGCGATGCTCCGACAATCTGTTTCCTGTGTAGGGGAAGCAGGCGGTAGCTATTCTCTTCGTATCGGAGACGTGCTTTGGGAGCACATTGTAACAGGAAAACGCAGACAGCCGCTCACGGGAGACTTCTATGGGGGTGACTTTTGTGTATGTTCTGAACTAAAGATTTACAACTTCGGTGCTTTTCATTCTACGTCGACAGGTAGGTGGGTAGGCCTAGCTCAGTCGTCCGTAGAGAAACCATCCCTGTACTCTGATATTTTGACGTTTTGTGGCAGCACCAGCATTTGAGCTCTCTTTGTGACCTCGATGAAGTCGGTATCGGTTTGCCTTGTGCCAATAAGCATAACAAGGGGCGCTTTGTCTTTGATCAAATCGCTATAATAGTGGAAACGGGGTTACCTCTTCCACCATTGCAGAGGATGTCAGGGGCTTCCGACTTCCGATTCGTCCAACGCGCAGCAGCACCCTTGCAGCATCCTCGGGAAGTGAATGTTCTGATTGGACCAGAGCATCCTCGTCTGTCCCTGGTGGCGGTGGTGCAAGAGAAGCAACACATCATTAAGGCCTGTCGCGTATTGGAGATTCGCTTCAATAGTTGATACGAACTATGGGCTTTTTCCCGCTGAAGATGAGAGTTGGCTCCTCATAGAAGGAATCCCCATTGGCTAAGTCCTCAAGGGATATCTGCAGGGAGGACCTAGTATGGCTGGCTCTAAGATGGTGCTTTCGGCGAAGGAGTAGACGCTCCACCAGAGCAGGCAGAGAGGGCGAGAATTAGTAATGCTCCCTTCCCGGAGCAGATGGAAATGCACGCAACACCGTTACTGCATGACGTAGTTGGACTTGAAGCGCCGGTCGCGCCTCAGGCCGATGGAGGAGAAGAGGCAGCGATGACTATCGATGAATCGGCGAGCGTTGTTGAGGGCCAAGACGTAGTTGTCGACGGGAGACGCACGACGGTCCCAGGCCATGAAGACGCTGAGGTGCAGCACGAGAGAGAATCTACGAACTGGTCGAGGACGACGACGGAGACGACGCGGGAGCAGCGTATGTCTAGTGTGGATCGACACAGCGTGATGATTGAAGGCGAAGTTCATCGTTTGCGTCAGCGTCGACTGCAGAGTGATGTGGATTTCCAGATTGCTCGACTGCGGCAACACCTTGCGGTGGCTAGCAGTCCCGCGCCATTAGTGCGCTGCGAATATGTCGGCTATGAGCTCGATTTTGACAAGGTTTCTATGCTCGTGTGCGGTGGTCTGGATCTCATAGCATTTCTCCTAGCTACGGTTCTGCTATTTCGACGCTGGAGGGTGCAACGGCGCTGCATGGAAAATCATCATGATGAAAATAATGAAAACGAAAAGCCATCCTCATATGAAAAATCCGCAAGAAGAAGTCTCAGCTTAGCGGCGAACGTAAAAGCAAAAAATTTGAATTTTCGGGATTCTTCTTTTTCTGGAAGGACACGAGAAGCCTCCAAAGCAAAGTGCGACAATGCAGTGTGGCACCAAACAGTTCAAGAGAGCGAGTTTCTGTCAAAGGACTCCTCGATTCTCACGAGCGACCCATCTTCCTCATCTGAGCAAAGCGGGCAGAGCGATACAGTAAGTAGTGGGTCCGACTCTGGTCGTAGCACGAGTACTGTCGAGAAGCGAAATGAAAATGCCTTGCGAAAAGACACCACGATTCGTCGAATAACGCCGACGAGACATTATCTTCCAACGCCGAAGCAGGGGAAAAAACGCTCGAGCTATGACATTTTTCCGATTGAGCATCTGGCGTCTGTGCTCTTCTTGCTTGCGGTTCCCTGGGGTTTTGTTGTCGCGCAGCTGCTCCTAAATCCAAATGTTATCCTCGATAGTGAGACAGACGGCGCCGTGTATCTCTGGCTGCTGCCCTTGGGCACTTTGTTGCACCTGTGCACTTTGTACCTCGGAGGAGTACGAGCGGACGATAGCGGTCGTACTGAGACTCGATCCTATGTAGATGCGACGAACGCATACGCAGAGGAGCTACCCGAGGAGCACGGCAACAGGTCTCTCTTGGGCAAAGGCGATGCTTGTTGCGAGACAGACGAGGCAAGCCCGCCAACTTCCAATGACAGAAGAGAACGTGCCAGTGTGCAGTTGGGAGAACAAAATCGTGGGGAGCCCACCAAAAGAGCATGCAGGAGCGATTCCGCTGCGTTCTGCGAAGGCCGAGTACAGAGCATTCTAAAACTAAAAAGTAGCGCCAGCTCTGATGAAGAATGCGAGCGATCTCTGCCTTCAGCAAACGACATGGACGTCGGCGTGTCACTTGGAGGGAGCGGTGGATCTCGTCGTTTCCGGAGTGAGCGCAGCATAAACATCGGGGAGTCTAGCAGAGCATCGCTGCGAAATGAAGGACGTCTGCCGTTACTGCTTGCACTACGGCCGTGCGAGCTCGGTCTGATCGTTTTCCTCGACACGCTAATGCTACTGCATTATTGCTCCGCGCTCACGTTCAGTCGAAACTTCGGCAATGACGCTTCTCCGTGCTCGGCCACTGCAACTTCACTCAGTCCGAATCAGTACCCGTGTGACTGCTTTTCATGTTGTTCCGGTGACAGTGGCGATGGAGCGGCTTTAGCGGTTCCGGATGTCACCTCTGCAGGTAGCGCGGATGTGTGTACCAAGTGCGCTTTGCCGCAGGGACCGCGATATCGGCATTGTCATTCATGCGAACGCTGCCACCCGCTTCGTGATTGGCACTGCCCTTTTCTAGGGACGTGTATTGGTGCTTGGAATGTAAAGTTTTTTATTTGCTGGCTCCTTTTTCTTTCCCTTGGGCTGGTTGTGAAAACGTACGTTGCGCTGCGACGGACGCGAAATCTGCTCATGTGCTTGACTGCAGGCGCAGTGCCGACTATACAGAGGAGACGCTTGCTCTTGCTTGGTGACGAGGACGAGACGATCGGAGTCGAGGAAAAGAAGCCAGTTGCGGCAGTACCAAGACGCAAAGCTGCTGCTACTACGTCAGCAAACAAAAAGATCAACATGAAATCAGGTAGCCCTGTGGTCGTGGGCACCGATTCCAAGAAAGAGAACACAAGTTGTCCGAAAGCGATTAGTACAGATTTTACTGCTACGTCTCATAATTGGCGAACTGCCCGACGTCGCCTACTAGAGGGAGTTTCGCTATCCTATGTGGTTTTCTTGACGGTGTGCGTCCTTTCTGAGGCCACGCGACTGTTGCGAACGCAAGCAGCGATTATGGCTATTTTTGAGGTAGATTCGATACTTGCGTCAAGGTGAGTACGATTTCAGCTTTAGGTCAAAAAGTAAATAGAATATGTGACGGTCGTGATGAGGAGTGGTCGCCCCAGAAGTATACAGATAGGCAGTATTATTGAACCGTGCGTTCATATTCTAACTAGCGTGGAGGACTTTCTTGGTCGGAAACGCGTTCTGTATCTGGGCGTGCGCGAAGAAACAGCGGCGGAAGGCATTCGATTTCTACGGCTAGTTCGAGTCGAGGACTCGCTGAGTCTCCTTCTGCGAGCTTCTTTCAATCAAATTTTATACCAGACGAAGTGCAGAGGAAGTTGGGAAGCAATCCCCTATGCTGGTTTGTGCCTTTCACCAATTGTAGCAGAGATGTCGCGCGCCAATATTCAGGCACTTCCCCCTAGCTTTCATCCATATCATACTCTGGGATATCGCGTCATTTTACGCAGATCGAGTTCGAGGTTTTTTGCGATGTATGCCAGATCATGTTCATCTCTATGTTTGCCATTGCCAATCCAGCGAGATCGTAGGGGTCTTAAGCGAATTAGATTATTTAGGTAGGAGAATCGGAAGTCCCTATTCGGATGTTCTTGGTTCGAAAGGCATCTCTATTAAGATACGCGAGCATTCTCGCTTTAGATTTTACGCCAAAGACGTAGACTTCACTTTGTCAGTGACTGATTTAGAATTCGCAGGCAGTCAAAGAAGTGGTTATGCCGCTACTTGCGATGATGTAAGCATAGTATGGATTTGAAGCATAGTGCGAATGAATGAGTTGAAGCACGACTTCAATTCTTTGGGTGCGCTAGCTCGTGGGCTAGACCAATAACTCTTAGAGTTGTTGGCTCACTTATAGTCACTGGTAGGCTTTCAGCGGTGCGCTTGAGGGTGCGAAGCATCGTGTAGTCTAGGGGCTGGCATGCTAGCCAGTGGCAGACTCTGTGATGATGATGATGATTTAGGTCATCCGTGACTGCAGACTTGCTGATGCCATGGGATTAGCGAGTCAGTGGTTTTTTTTTGACCGTGCTTTTTTGCTAACCGATGCGACGAAGACTACGTAATTCAGATGTAGACGAATTTGACCTCCTAAAGATTTAAATTTGTTCCCAATATTTCTGGAATTCGACTGTTGGAGCCACATTTTAGATCGTATCCCAATGTGTCCCGGCAAAGTATCCATGCACGACCCGTGCTTCTTCGCGGTCTATCTTAGTATAGATTTTTCCCCTACAACGGTGTAATCAATTGGAGTGAGAGATGCATGTCGTGGGTCGCGTCCACATACGCAAGGTCTCCTCGTACACACATCCCGAAGATAGAAGAACCCTAATTAGAGACCTCACTTGTGTGTCGAGACGCATTCCCTGTAGCCGGCCGTATCTAAGTAAAGACTTCACAGTTTAAAATCGTTTGTATGTGTGCAAAACACCAGGTGAACGTACGTCCTATAGACGAGAGAATTACCTTTCCTGCCTCTGTGCTGATGCCTGTTCTGAGAGCGGCGATGCATGTCATCGTAGAGTAGATTTCTTATCTGTGCCTGGACTGCTAGCGGGTTCACTCGTCTTGTGTTTGAGAGCGTCAAGTGATTGAGAAGAGATGACACTATATTTACAAAACGCAAGAAGAAAGAACGGATCAGCTAAGGATCAACGAGACGAGCAGATGCGAATTCACAGGAATTCTCTAAAGGCCCTGACTCGAGAAGCAGAGTTTTTTTGAGCTTGATCACACAAGGAACTTGCATCTCCAACATGGATGATCATCATGGTGATCTCGAACGTTCCGATCTATCTGTGAGTTCTACAGCGGATCTTTGAAAGTCGCGAGCGACCTCTAAAAATCAGCAAAGAAAAAGGCATTCGAAATATGATCCAGAGAAAGCGCGAGAAGATCCCTATGCAAGAAAAAATGATCTAAACACGGAGTGGTTCAAACGATCTAAAAGAGATACTGAATACCAATTTTGATTAGATGATCCACTTCAATCCCTCACGGAACCCCTCCAGAATTCGTAAAGCTGGTATTGCATTCTGCAAGCCCCAAACAACTCTTCGCAACTAGTTTTCGTAACTGTTGTTTTTAGAATTTGCTCAATCAATCAACAATTTTAGAAAAAGCAAAAACACCGTTTTTACACACCACTTCATCGCTTGATCGAATAAGTAGCGACTCTTTGTATTCTCACGGAATCAGATTTCTCCACCGACATTGCTTTCCTGGATTTTATAATAAACCGACTTTCGACGTTCGAGTTGTCTACAGGGACCTGCGACATATCGCATTTGCAACTTTCTCTTTTCTCAGATTTCTAAATAAATCTAAATCTTCCTCACTTAAGTCACAATGGCGCAACAGCAGAAGAACGTCGCGATCGGTATCGATCTTGGTACAACCTACTCCTGCGTCGGTGTCTGGCAGAATGACAGCGTCGAGATCATTGCCAATGATCAGGTATTTTTGTGTGTGATATTTGGTGGATGATTGAAGGAGACTGTTCTTGTAGTGTGTGAGTAGGATTCAATTATGTAGAAGACATTCGCCATCTTGGTGGAGTCCGATTTTGTGGGACGCGGGGATGTGAACGCGCATAACCTTTGAATCGCAGCGGTGAGTCACGATTTAGATTTTCTCATTCTGTAGCTACTCGTCATCTGAGCCCATTTTCATGAATGATTGGAAATAGCCTGCAACCGACCGATTCAAACCTACTCCTAACAGGGAAACCGTACGACTCCTTCGTATGTCGCTTTCAACCCGGATAACAGTGAGCGTTTGATCGGTGATGCCGCGAAGAATCAAGCAAGCCGAAATCCTGCCAACACTATCTTCGATGCCAAGCGACTGATCGGCCGAGGTATGGACGATACCCACGTCCAGAAGGATATGGCTCTCTGGCCTTTCAAGGTATTTTCTTATTCGGTTCTGCACTGATTTCCATAGTGGACCGAAAAGCCGGCGTCCGGTGGAACCTTCCCTTCTTGCTATGTGCATGTGGTATGTCCGACCTACCTTTGATATTGTTGGTTCATCTTTTTTTCACAAGAAGACGTCCCTATTAAGCACAAGAAATGTAAAATCTTGAATTAATCAGGTTGTCGGGGATGACGAGAACAAGCCGAAGTTGGAAGTCCAGTTCAACAAGGAAACGAAGGAATTCTACCCAGAGGAAATCTCCGCTATGGTCTTGACGAAGATGAAGGAGATCGCTGAGGCTTACGTTGGCATTCCGGTATACTTCTCATTGTACAGTAGAGCTGTAGATGCAGCTTAGACATAATTTGAAGGTGTTTTACAGTTTTCTCGAGTGTCCGTGGACAGATATTTGGAGAGTTGTTCATCACCGTCGGTTTTTTTTACATTTTTCTTTAGCGTGTTTTCACATTTGTGTGCTGTTCCTAGCTGAGACAACCCTTGACGCGGGTCAGAAGCTTGTTAATCGTGTGTATGTCTTCAGGTTACGGATGCCGTTATCACTGTGCCGGCATACTTTAACGACGCCCAGCGTCAGGCCACCAAGGATGCTGCCGCCATTGCGGGTTTGAACGCCCTCCGAATCATTAACGAGCCGACCGCAGCTGCCATCGCTTACGGTTTGGACAAGAAGGGAGAGAAGGCAACGAACGTCCTCATCTACGACATGGGTGGAGGTACCTTCGATGTCTCCCTCCTCAAGATCGAGGACGGAATCTTCGAAGTCAAGGCTACCGCCGGTGATACCCATTTGGGTGGTGAAGATTTCGACAACAAGTACCAATAGGCAATTTTTTGTCCTGGCATTCTGTAAAGCCACTCTCTCGAAATCTAGACGGTCTTATCAATAGAGCTCGTTTAGGTGTTTTCCGAGAAATCATGTGTTGTTATAGAATTGTGCACAGCTTTGCGCAATATGGGATAGCAAAAAATCAACTCCCACTCGAAACACTATAAACTTGATCAATGAATCGCCAATCAGGATCGTCGAGTACTGCTTGAAGGAGTTCACCCGTAAGAACAAGGATGTCGATATCTCTGGCAACCACCGTGCCCTTCGTCGTCTGCGGACTCAGTGCGAGCGTGCCAAGCGCACCTTGTCCGCCAACACCAACGCCACTATCGAGATCGACTCTTTGGCCGAAGGTAATTTTTAGACTAAGCTCTGTTTCTCGCATTGCCTTATTTCCACAGAAAGTCTTTCATTTTACTCGTTTCCGGTCCTACGCAGAGTATTAACCATGATCTTCACGACCAGCAGCGCGAACGCACTACTTCGATGATGTGGAACATTTTCTCACAATGTGTACATAGTGGTGCTCTTCCTCAATGCGTCTCCAAATAACCAATGCAGGCATCGACTTCAGCTGCAACTTGTCTCGTGCCAAGTTCGAGGAATTGTGCATGGAGTACTTCAAGGGATCCATGATTCCGGTCGAAAAGGTCCTCAAGGACGCGCAGATCAAGAAGGATGCCATCTCCGAGGTTGTCCTTGTCGGTGGTTCCACCCGTATCCCGAAGGTACTTTCTTACTTCGGTTATAACACCTCATTCGAAATCACATGATCATCTAGTCTGAGGAAATGTTGGCGGATTTACCTGTGCAATATCACCAGTCGGGTTATCTTGCTTTATGTGACCAATGAACAGGTCCAGGAGCTTCTGGAAGTATTCATGGACGGCAAAAAGCCATGCCGCAGCATCAACCCGGATGAGGCAGTCGCTTATGGTGCCACCGTTCAGGCAGCCATCCTCAACGGTGAGGGCGGTGAAGCGTGCAAGGACTTGTTGCTCCTCGATGTGACTCCGCTTTCGTTGGGTCTCGAGACCACTGGTGGCGTGATGACCAAGATCATTGAGCGTAACACCACCATTCCGTGCAAGAAGAGTGACATGTTCACCACTGACGCCGATAACCAGACCTGCGTCGAAGTGTGCATCTACGAAGGTGAGCGTTACAAGGTCAAGGACAACAACTTGTTGGGTAAGTTCAACCTCGACGGAATTGCTCCCGCACCGCGTGGTGTTCCGCAGATCGAAGTCACCTATTCCCTGGATGCCAACGGTACTATAGCACTAACTTCCTTCACCGCGCCGTCCAAATCAAAACTAGTGTAGTTTTTGCGCAAGTTTCAAATCAGGTTATGCTTTTGTCAAGCTTCCACGACAGGAAAGCGTATCTATGTCTTGACGAAGGACAGCATCAAACTCCGGTTGAAAACAAATGAATCAACATTTTTTTAGGTATCCTTCACGTTACCGCGAAGGACAAGGCGTCCAGCCGCAAGGGTGAGATCAAGATCAACAACGATAAGGGACGACTCACGCAGAGTGATGTTGACCGTATGGTCGCTGAGGCCGAAAAGTACAAGGCCGAGGATATGGCACAGAAGGAGCAGACGCAAGCCAAGCAGGAAATCGAGAATTACTGCTATCAGGTGTTGGAGGCCGTTGAGAACGACAGCCTCATGGAGAAACTTTCCGACGAGGAAAAGATCAAGCTCGAATCTACCTGCCAGGAGGTACAGCTTTTTTTTGAATAACCTGGACATCCATTTCCATTACCTTTCTGAGGATCGTAGTTTTGCCAAAAACACACTGAGGAAGACGAATGGTGACGAACAACTATGTTCACGATTACGCTCTTATCGTTCGATATAGAATATCATTCTTGCTATGATGATGTTAAAATCACAATCAGGCACTCGAATGGGTCGAGCACAACAAGGAAACTTCCGCTGCTGAGCTCCTCGCCAAGAAGAAGGAATGTGAGTCCGTCTTGAAACCCCTTATGACGAAGATGTACGCTGTCAAGGAAGACAAGAGCCAGAAGAAGAAGGCTGGTGGACGCCGCCGCTAAGCGACCTCCTTGTGAGGTGCATCGTTACCCACGCAAATATTTCCTTGCCCTTTCGGACTAGTTGTGGAGAAGAAAAACGGAAGAATTTTTCCGAAGTAATGAAGCCAGATAGTTTTTTGATCGAGTCACACCGCATGCGTGACTGATTTAGATGGATTACCATTGCAATGATTTAGAAAATCGTGAGAACGTGAACGTAGCATGACCTGCATGAAAATAATGGCTGCACGTCGTACGAGGTGGGCCGCGCTTCCAGCGGTTGGAGAAAGTGCCTAGGCGTTGTTTCGCGCAAGATATGATTTGAATAAGCTAGTGCATGCCGCCTGCCGTACGAAAGATTGTTTGGGATCGATGAATAAAAATGATGACGATGTTGAGTTAGAGGGCTTGTGAAAGGTATAAGGGTCTGCGTCAGCTCCTCAAGAACTGTGTCGACTACGGTGACACGCAATGCATGAATTTTTTACCGAGTGCTGTTTGCATTATTATGATTGAGTATGTCCCGCAGCACGAATGAAAACACGGAAAATGCAACTCTTATGGACTGATCTCGGGTATTTGACGGGCTCGAAGTATTGCTTATACCTCTTTTCTATGGGATGCGATCATGATTTCTTGATGTACCAATATTTCGTTGGAAATTGTTGAGCACACTACAAACTGCACTCGTCTTTGGAAGAAGAGCGCTCTGCAGGGGGGGTTTAGTTTTTCAATTGTGTGTAAATGTACAGCCATACGAAATGAATCCGTACGCTACACATAAATTGCATTCAAGAACGACATAATAATACGTCCTGATTGTCCTACTTCGCTATGATTATTACTATGTACTAAAAAAGGTGGAAGTGGATGGGGAGAAGAACCGAATTTATTATGTTCTCATGAATACTTAAACAGCCGACTTGTGTGATAACATATCACGCGAGAAAGTACGAAGACTACGCAGAGAATGGGCGCTAGAGTGCATCGCGTTATTTGACGACAAGAAAAGAAGGAAAGACGCTAGCAGCCTACCTGCCTGCCTCAGAGGAGACCGCCCAACGAGGCACATTCTGTGTTCCTTCGTGCAACATCTTCAGTAGCTTTCCTTTGGTATAAGCAGACGCGAGTCAAACAACCCACCCATCCTCTGAAGAGCTGAGTGGAAAAATATGTAGACGTGAGTGGAGTTCGCGCATCGGAAAAGTGAGTTTGCTATTTCGGTTCATACTGAGCCAGTGAATCTTCTAAACATGATTGACTTTTTGCATGCGTTCACGAGATGCTGACTCAATCAGTCTGATTTGAGTGTTCGTATACGTCGTCTTAGCTGTATCTGTGGAGTGAGAATCTCGGACCCGAGCACCGGTGTGAGTAGAACTACCGTCTGTCCTGAGTGTAGATAAGTATCGTCGTGTTATATATAAGGACAAAGGTTCCAATTCTGTTTGTGATCACCATGTTCTCTAACAGGTGTGCCCGTTTCCCCGATTTAGTGCTAATACGTGCCGACAGTTGACGACCCATCTCCTAGGCCTGATGTTCACTATGGTTCTGGTCTAGAATCATTTCAAAATAGCTCTTCGCGTGTTCATTGGTCGCGCTACTTTCTCGCCTTAGATCCATCATCCACTCGCAGTGAAAAAGCTAGGAACAGTCGTTAGTTGTTAAGCAATTTTTATGTGATTTATCATTACCACCAAAGATGAATAGGTCTGGGGGCGTGCCTGCTGACACTGTTTCGTCCGCCGCTGCGGACGTGAGTTTCCGCGTCGACAAGATGCGGCTAAAGACGGAGCGACTAATCCTGCTAGACCGTAGCGAGGGTATGCATAATAAAGGAGGAGGCGAGACAGCCGCCAAGGACAAACGGAACAAAGCAGTGCAGGCCCTGGCGAACGGAGGGAAGCAGTCGAAAAAGGCAGGGAAAAGCGGGAAAGAACTTCTTTCGGAAATGAAGAAGCTGCAGTCGCAGCTGGTGTCGAGCCATCGAGACCGGGAGAGAGCGGCGACGTGACGAGGAAATGTGGAGATGCTTGACTAGAACCCGGAGGGCGTCGAGGAATGCGTGTGCTTGGAGTAAACGACCAAAGAGACCAAATGTCACAATAGTGGAGCGTCCGCGCGGCAGAGGGTTAGACATGCGAGCTAAAAAATGGACGTCAAGGACTATGCGTTGCTGCGTGAGCTGATTAGGTATTCAAGAAAAGCTGCATCATTATATCACGCTGCAACGCGCGCCAAAGTTAGCGATCGATCTTGCAAGCTTGTTCTGCTCGTGGCTTGTTTCTTTCGCTTTTTTTTCGGTCATTGACCTGTGGGAGCTTGTTTGTCGACAGTCTCCAGATTGGAATCCCCGAAATTGCCTTGATATGATGGACATAACAGACGCGACGAGAAGTATGAAGCGTCCTGAGATTTACGAACCGTCGACGACGTAGTTTTATTTTATTTTAGGTTCGCCCTCTTGCTCTTCTAACCCTACAAATCTTTGGTTTGTGATGAAAGGTGTCATAGCAATAACGCACGACGTTGCACATAATTTCGCGTAATTTCATCGTGTAGTCGCGCGAGCGCACAACTTCACAAGAGCGTGGTGCATCAGTGTTATTGATGGAGATCGTTGGAGATCACTGAACAAGACCTGCCTTTCTGTGAAAGGCACTGTTGATAGCTGGTATGCCGCATCGTTTTCGCAATTTGAAGGAAATTGTTATCACTCGAGGAAACGTAAACCCCTGAACTCTCGCGTCTCTTTAGTCATGAGAACATCGATCATCTGTAATCTCTCCACGAAGAGGGGACTCCAGTGCGTGATCTGTCTTCTCAATAGTAAGGTGGTAGATAAGTAATCCGCGATACACTCGAGAAGAGATTTGTAGACGCACTGAGGAGTAATGTATATCTGTCAACTGAGACCTGTGGACTTGGATCTGTTCCAGGTTAATGCGTAGACGGAGGTACGTTGCCTGTATATGGACTGATGAGGATGAGGCTGAGGCTGATGTTGAAGACTAGAGTGGTTCGTCTTGTCTTATAGGTTTGCGTGCGTGCGAGTGTCTGAGTGCAGATTGCTACTAACTTGTCTCATGTAGATGTAGGTCTCTTCCAGATTCTGTGAGTCTTCATGTGTTGACATTCAACTGAGGCTTACGACGGGAGCAAGAAAATGCTTAAAAATCTGTCCTTCTTTACCTCTGTTGTGTACTGTGTTTCGTACTATTTTCGTCGAGTCGAGTAGATAGTTTCCTAATCCTATTGTACTTGTCGTGACTTACACATCCATGGTGAGTCAATCACCTGCATTTCTTTGCGCACGCAGTTTTCTGTTCTCCGCAACCACGTTTTCCCGCCAAAGAATTTTTACCTCTTAGATTATCTAACTAAGTAAACGTCTCCCAGTCATTTGATTTAAGTTAGTTGAGAAGTGCATGCCTTGTGTAGCATGAAAGTCCTAAGAAATGCTTCAATTGGTTTTTTTTCCGTCTTTGTTGATGTTTGCTTGTTGAACATCTACGTCTTGCAGGCACCTTTCAAGTAGTCGTGACTGAATGCTTCCCATGGTTCCGAAAAAGGAGGTCGCTCTATTCATGACCTGTTGCTGTTCTTAGTTACTGCGTACTTACTCCAATTTGATGATTTACCTCCTCCTATTAACCACTTCTGACTATAAAGTAGAAGCTGAATCACAAGTGCTATCGAGATTGCCGGCGATCGCAAGTCGAACGAGATGGCTTAATATTAAGTTAATAAGAATCAAAGAAATCTTACTAGAAGACAGTCTGCCTAATCGATTCACATCATCAAGAGCCAGGGACTAACAAGATGCAGCGTGTGGTCGTGGAGATTCGTCTGCCAGATGGAGCGCAGATCCGATTCGGGCGTGCTGGGGAGTTGAGTCTCGAGTTGGATGCGCAGAACCGAGAAGGGGCTCTGTTGTATCCGTTGAGCTTCAAGCAGTTACGGCCTCTGGACCTTCTGATCGCGGTGAAGCGGCGTTTGCACAAGCTACGCGTCGCCAGTCGGGATTTCACCACCGCGCCTACGACGGGAGTTGATGGCGGTGCGGTTCACGGAAGAGCGAACTCCAAAGACACCAGGACCGAAGTACAGGAAAACGCGGGAACTTTGGATTACACGGCTCACCGTTTGGTCCTCACAACCCCTTTGCAGTGCCTGCGGCTCTACAATAACTGCGCCAGCAGCAATTATTACGGCCGCGTACTGGATAATACAACGTACCTGGGGCACGCGAGCGACTACTCGCTGCTGGACGGCCTCTGCGGAAGCAACTTGCAAGACGAGGCTCCATTTTCGGAAACGGAAAATCAAAATTTTCAGCAATGGTGCTCCTCAAAGGGGGTGCAGAGCTCGGGCCCGCCCCTTAGTGCCGACTACTACCTTCCTGGTTCTAGCACCGACGCAGCGGCGGCAGCAATCACGACTCCTCGTGGCGTGACAGAACAGGAGGCGCGCATGGCTCGTCTCCTCGCTTCGTATGGCATCACAACTACTGGTGCGGCCGCTGCCGCTGCCGTGGCGGCGGACTCAGGCAGTGCGAATGCGCGTACACAGGGTCCGCTGGTGGTGAAGCTTGCGATCATTGGTGTGGGCTTGCGCCATGAGAACGAGTCACCGGAGGACTTCATAGGATACTGTCTACGCAATCGCTCCGAGCTGTTCATCGACATTCTCTCCTACTGTGACAAGCGCAACTACCGCAAGCACAAACGAGGTCTGCAATTGATGGAGAAGCTCGCGTCCGTGGAGCATCAAGGCTCACGAACTGCGTCGCGGCAAGGAGGGGGCCTAGATGTCGCAAATTTTGGTGCTGGAGCAGATCATGGGGGCCGCAGTGCCTCGAGAACAGCGTCGAAGTCGGGAGTCGACGTGGAGACCAACATCGACGGCGAACAGAGCCGAAAGCGGCAGCACCGCGCGACCCTTGCGTTTGCGGCGTTTGCGGGCGAGTCTTTGGCCGAGGAGCAAGCTCTCGCGCGCGCCCGCAGAAGCGATGAGATCAAAGTCCTGGCGCTTCCTGAGAAGTCCTTCTACATGGCAGAGTTCCAAAGGATGGATGTTTCCGTGGCCACAAGTCGCCTCACAGAAGACGAAGTCTTGACGCCTGAACAACGGTTGTTGTTGGAGGCGACGGCATCGGCCATGGGGAATGACGAAACCCAAAGAGGCGTCGCAGCTGGGACTAATCGTGGCAATAATTCGAGCCCCATGTCCCTAGCAGCTGTTCCGAATGGACCTGTTGTATCGGGTTTCGAAAGCGCCTTGGCTTTGAAGGCGAAGCTAGATGCGGAAACGGAAGGATCAGGTATGACGAACGTGAACCGGCTTCCGCAGCCCCTCTTCCCAGAGGGTGCATGTGGCACCCTCCGAACGAAGCTGGACAAATACGTGTTTGGCGGACCAACGCGGGAGACAGGAGATACCTCCGCATCGCCAACAACTGGTCGTGATAATAGTTGCAGCTGGTGGAGAATGCTGGACGAGGTGGATGGGGATCCGAGCGAACGACGTTTGGCCTCGCTGCTTCTTACCGGGGATTACATCATGCACTGTCTTGAAGAGCAGGAACGGACCCCGATGGTGATCGAAGGGTCCAACGAGGAAAAAGTCGTGATCGGGGGTGTCAACGCCGCCACGCGACGCCCTTTGGTACTCTCCGCGGCGAATGAGGACACCCTGCACTCAAACATTGGCGACCGCTGGGAGCAGCTGACGCTGCTGCAGACTTGGCGCGACGAAGAAGGGGCGTTGCTTTCCCTGCTAGAGTTGATGCGGACGAGCATTGAGGAGGTCCGCGCGACTTCAGGCGAATCGGCGGCCGTGGAGGACCATGCTGCGCTCTCAGCACTTTTGACGCAGTCTGTCCATCCGGAACACGATGGAAACTTGATGCACGACGCCGTGACGCGGGGTTTTGTGGCCGTGTGTGCGTGGTTGAAGCGGTGGCGCAGAAAGGATTTTTACCAGATGCTGACGCAGATTGACCAGTATGGGTACACTCCGCTGCAGTATTGTGTAGAGGAGGGAAATCTGTTCATGTTCGAACTTCTGACGGGGGACTACGAGGGCTTTGAGACGGAGGTGGCGGCTACGCTCAACCTTCGGGTTCCGACCATCACAGCCACCCGCGAGGGTGCGATCAACCAGGGCGCGCCCTACCCGTTTTGTGTTCACGGCCGCACTCCGCTGCACGGCGCGTGCTTCTTTGGATGTCGGCCAATCGTGGAAGCCATTCTCGCACACCCGCTCTTCTTGTCTCCGCGGTCGCCTGCTGTGCGCGCGTACCTCTCGGAGGCAACGAAAGGTAAGGAAAAGGACATCCCCGCATATCTTCTGCCCGCAGCGGCACTACTGGAACAGGAAGCGACTACCTCGGCCCAACAAGCAGTGACGACGCCCATCCCTGGCGTATCCGCGAAGTCATTGCGTCAAGTAGCCCGGCTCGAGCTTTTGGTGAGCGCGTACATGTGCGACGCGATGGGTCGGTCGCCTTTACACTGGGCCTGCTTGGGCGGGCACCTCGCCATCACCCAGGATTTGGTTGCCCTTTTCTCCAGAACGGCGTCAAATTTGAGTTCCGAGGCGAAGACGGCCTCTGGCGGGGAAGCAGGCGGAAGCAGCAAGGTCGCAGCTGCTCCAACTGCGGCGACGGTAAATGAGAGGCTTGCAAAGTTGCTCACCGCGCGGGATGTGGAAGGGCATGGCGCCTTAGACTTTTCGTGTGGCGCGACCGGAGCAACGGCCGACCGGTGGTTCGTTCGAGGAAAGATGCAACAAGAACTCAAAGTCATCATGCCTGGAGTCGTTCTGTCGCAAGGTATTAAAAGTAATATTAAGTAGTTAGTAGTTAATATTTATTGTAGTTATTGTTTGTGTCATCATGATTCGGTTGCATTCTTGTAACGACCTTGTCAAGAAGGCCAGCCACTTAGCAGCAGCTACTAGCACAGTCTGCAGTGTCTGTCAGAGTTTGTGTATGATTTGGAAATATGAATATCAATATCTTGAGCAGGTACGGATGGTCACGGATTGTGCCGCGCGCGGTGGGCTGGCCGTGAAGTGACACTGATGCTGCCTGTGGGTGATTTGCGATCCACAGGTATCGAAGCCTACTTGAAGTATCTGATGGTGGACTTCCTAAGTCGCACCGTTGGATTGGTTGCCTCGAACGTTGTGGTCACCCTGCACAACGCGAATGGCGCCCTGTCTTCGGGCTGCAAGCAGACAGCTCTGCATCGGCTCGGTCTCCGCTCTGCAGGAAAATCTGGAGCCGGGAAAAAGAAGAAGCGAGGACAGTCCTCCAAGGGGGACCCACTGATAGAGAATGCAGTTCTTGCGGCCTCTGAGAGCTCATCTAAACAAGACCCGAGTAAAGCGCGGGAACAGAATGCGCAAAAGCAAGGGGGGGAAGCGCAAGGCGGAGAAGATTCCGTAGAAAGTGGTGGCAAGAAGAAACGAGGTGGCGGATCTATCATGCGGCTTCAGTCGATGCTCAACGCGACAGAAATTATGGCTTTCGGCCGTGTTAAGTAATTCATTTGTACAATTATGCGGATCGTCCTTTTCCCAGTACTGATAGCATAGATAGAACACTCACTTGACGTAAGTAGAGAGAACTTATAGATACATGGCATACAACACCTAGTTGGTGGATACTCCATTATGGAGACGAAATACAGGTATTTTCGTTGAGGTCTTCTAAAGAATCTTCGGAGATACAAGAGAAGCTGGAGAAGCGTGCCAAGAGTGAAGGCAGGACGACAAAGGTGCCGCCCGAGCTCAAAGCCTCCATGGTCCTTGCCTCTTATGTTTGGCTCGACGACCGGCTGGTTACCGCAGAGCAGGATGGCGCGTTCGTTTTCTCTCCGCGCGAGGCGGAGTTGGAGGGCCGTTTGATTGACAGCCGCGGACTCGTTCGCGACAGAAACATGCCAAACTTCCTCATTCCCGACCACGTTCGTGTGCTGTGCCTGGATGCGCGGGTCGAGTACTCCTTGCGTCGTGGTGGTGGCAGCGGCCGGATGAAGCAAGATCTGTTGAGCAGTACTGCCGTAGCCTCGAAGTATAAAAGCGGCGGAACCGCTTCGAGCGGTAGTTCGATGGACATGACGCGCCAAGTATCGGTGACCCAGGGAGGCGATTTTCAGCTAAGCAGCAGGAGCGCCACTGCAAACTACAGCAGCAGGATACTCTTTTTGCACCATTCAGGTAATGCCACGCTCGCGCGCTATCTGCTCCACGCCGTTGCTCGTGTGCTGCAGGCATTAGCGCCCAGCCACACGCAGAAGAACGAGCTAGCCCACCAAATTCGGGCAACGAGGTTCGTGCTGCCAAGTCTCGCTCTGGAGACGGGATTTGTTGGTCGCTGCATCTACAACCAGTTGCGCGCGCCACCGAGCGGCATGAACTTCAGGGTGTCGGCCGAAAGCTCTGGACTGTTGCTGGAAGAGATTTTCACGCAGATCCTCAAAGGTGTCACGTTCCCGGCTAGCGGCGCTGGCGTGGACGGCGGCAAGATCGGGGAAGGCCCTCTGAGTTTTATGCAGAAGTTGCTGCCTGGCGTTGTCTCGCTCACCGACGTGTTGCAAAAGCAGACGGCCGTCTTACCCTTCAGTGCGCGCTTCGACAAACTGACAGCGCAGTCCCGCAAACAGTTCTGCGCCGAGGAGATGTCACCGGCACCAATCGTGAAGCTCTTTTTGCAGCACTCGGTCTGGCGCAACCAGATCACACGCTGGAAGCTGCTGCAGATTGCCTGTGAAGCTTGCGACGTGGAATCGGTTCGGCAGGTACTGGCAGGAATGAGACAAGCACTCGCGGATTTGGTGGACCAAGAGTGGCGCACTGAGTCCTCGACAGCAATTCCACCACCTTCTGTTAAGACTTTACATTTCATTTCCACTCATGTCATCATGGACACGAAAATAATTAGTTGTATGTGATGATGATATGTCCCTTTCCTAACCTAACCTAACCTCCCTTTCCCTACTCATTGATTTTCACAGGTCGGAGAACAAGAATCAGCGATTCTTTCCCTTCATTGCCCACTCCTGCTTTCGCATTTTGTTATAGATCTAATTCTGAGAAAGAGTCTTGCGCCATGCGAATCGCGCGTTGTGTTGCGGCAGTGGAGAAGGCGCTCTTTGGAAGTAACGAATCGGTCACGGAAGTGAAACCGCAGACGCCTATATTGCCGACGGAAATCGCAAGAGGGAGTGAAGGTAGAACTCAATGCGCTTAAGGCTAGTCCGATACCTAAGTATGAACGTTAAGCGTTTTGTCATCTGATTTGAAAATTATGACAAATTCAAAGTGATATGGGCATTCCATCTTTCCACGCTTTTTGGACTTGGATTGCTCGAGGAGAGAAAGAAAGCTTCGAAGTGGATGTCGTGGATTTTTTCAGCTACCATTCATTGGTTATTCTCGCACGTCCAGGCAATGAATGGCTTGAAACTACTAGACTCTTTTCTTCCCATGCTTTTCAGGTCCGTTTCCTTTGTTGCCACCTGGATATTTTGGCCGGATTCTGCTGAATCTTGTCGGTGCAGATCTGCGTTATGATCGCACGAGAGCCAAGCAAAGCAAGACAAAAGGAGGCCCAGGTGGGAACACCACGACTGATGCCGCATCCTTGACCGTTGCGTCTGCTGGAAATTTGCCCGCAAATTTGTACACCACAGAGCCCGTGAGCTATCGTCAAGCCACAGGTGTCACAGTTGTAGATCCGGAGGTCTCCGTTCGGAATCGCGCTCGAGCGATCGGGCCGAAGCCGTCGGAAGATTCCGCGGAGATGAAGAGCTCTGATCCTCCATCAACACACATTCTCAGTTCGAGTAAGGAAACGCTTTCCCCCCAAGTGCCAGGCGCAGAGAGCAGCAAGAACGAGAACGCAGACGCGAACTACGACTCCAACGAGGAGCACGTCGCCTACAACACGGAAGACCCAAAAAGCGATGAGCGTTTCTTCAACAGCGCTTTGCTTCAACACCGTCCTGTGGATTTGCTCCGCATCCTCGTCCGCTTTTTCCTTCACGACTTGCTGGACGGAGTCTGTGCACAGTTGGAACGCTACCTCAGTGCGGCGCTGCCCGGCTCCCTGTTTGCGCAGCGCATGGTGGTAAACGCGGTCACCGTGGAGTTGGCGCGCCGAGTCCAATTTCGACTCCTCCTAGAGTTCGGCGTTAAAGCGAGCAGTCCGATGTACGGCCCGCTTCTCCTCGCCAAGTTGGTCTGCAAGCCACTTGGGCGGGACGATGTCACACTGGACGAGCTCCGAAACCACAAGAGCATTCTAAAGTACTTACTTGCTTTTGTCTCTACTTGTTAACCTCGCAATAAGCAACTTCACTCTTTAACCAGCATTTTCACTTGCTAATCTCGCAACTATTGTTCAATCTTCAAGGTCAACCTGTTCTTCTTGTAAAAGTTTCGATTAGATTGATTGTTCGTTGCACACTAAGCTGCAATACGAGGGCGTCTCGACAATGGGCGCAGTCACACTCTCACTTGAACATGGCGGCTTCTAGTATGCACTCAATTACCCATGATTGAGCAAAAACCTTAGCCTTTTCCTTTTTTACCTTTCGTTGATAGGCTTAGGCACACCGACTCACTCCCACACCTCTCTCAGACTGCTGACTTGCACACCGCTGATCGTGCATGACGATGCGGGTGACGCAAACAGACTGTCCTTGTGGCAACTGAACTCGGAACAGCTAGCTTTGCTACGTAGGGATCACTTCAGACGCTTTTTAGAGTTGAAGCAGAAGGTCATACCAAGAAAGCAGGAGCTGTTGGAAAGCGTGGCTGCGATCGAAGCAGGGGACGCGACCGATGCCGCGAAAGCAAAGAATGGTACTACACAATTTCCTCTTCGACCAGGAGTATGATCCTACTTATTAAGTTTAGGAGACGAGGAAATTGATGTGCTTGTCCTTGTGCAAAGATTGCCAGACTTGTTGTCGTGTCGAAAAGGAATTAGAAATTGGATCTATTCCGAGGACAGCAAGAAGTTTGATGGCACTACTAGCAAAAGAATGATTTCGGCATCATAGGTATTTGTTTTCTTATTGCGGTTCGTCGTGATTCTGATTGCGATCATTAGATGAGAAGCACCATTTTATATCACTTTGAGTTTCTGGTAGAGTAAGGAAAAAACCAATTCTCGCAGATGACGAGCTTCCTGCAGAGGTCGCTAGGGAGATCAGCGATTTAACGCAGAACGCACTCAATGTCAATGTATCGCCGGCGCGCGTGGACTTCCTTTCCCGGATGAATGAAGCCAATGCTTTGCAGCGAGAGAGAACTACGGACGACAGCAACTCCGGGATAGTCGCGCAAGTGCCGTCATCGGGATTGTCCCAGTGGCTCGGGAAGATCTGTGGAAATATTTGCGGAGGTTCAGCAGGAGGTGCTGCAAATGGCGACTTTACAGCCACGAGCGCGTCCCCGATAAACGTTAAGGCCTCTGAGACTGAACCACAAATAGTAGAAGAAGTTGAGGCTCCACGACGCAGCAGTTTCGCTACCACAGCACGCGAGTTAGCATCCAAGCCGCTCCCCGAGAGCGTCCAGGCGGTTCCGCGCACGGTGGCCCGCCTTTCGCAGGAGATGGACAGGTCACCGGCTGCAGTTGTGTTTCGGGCAACGTTGCTGCTGGAAATCATGCTAGAGATTCAAAAAGTCGGCTTTCTCTACACTCTGGACGACCGAGGGCGCACTGTATTCCACACACTCGTGGAACAACTGCTGCTGGACAAGCGCGAAGACGAATTCGCGCAGAAATTTTTGGAGGAAGCAGCGGAGCCAGAAAAAAACAAGGAAGCGCAGGAGTCGGGGGAAGTTGCTACTCCAACTGCTGGGAATGAAGAGGAGGGCACGCATGCAAAAGCCGTAGAACCACGAGGAGAAAAGGTAGTTGCTGCAGCGACAGATAAGAAAATGAACAAGAACGACGTAGAAAATAAGGCTGTATCTGGTGTCGACGAACAGGATGTAGAAGATGAGCTTTCAGCGAGCCAGAAAAGATTAGCGCTCGTGAAGGGAAAAATTGATGGCCGCAGTTCCGTAAGCATGATGCTGTTTCTGCGTATCGTAGAGCAAACGCGCGATTCCAGCTGCTTCGCAATCCAAGAGAACGTGCGTGGCGAAACGGTCTTGCACATGCTCGCGAGGGAGCGGGCGCACAAGAGCACGGCGCTTTGCCTCGTTCAAGCGCTGCGCCGGATCCGTCGTGTTTCGTCTATGGCCGTGAGTCAAATTCTGAACATCATGCCAAGTTCCTCGAAGGCTGGATCCAAGACCCCCTTACAACTAGTGCAAGTCCTAGCTCCCGACGACCCGCTCCGAATGGAATTCGAGTCGTGGGCGACCGACGTTGCGGATGAAGCCGAAGGAGGGGAATCGTAACGAAACGAATCACTAACTATAGATACGTTTTAGAGAACTTCAACTTCTTGGACTTTTCATCCGGACGAGACACCACCACGACCGACTACGCCCGCAACTTCGCGAGTAAGAAACAAAGTAAGTAGAAGTCACCTCATGTGAATCTAAGACAAATGTCTTCGGTACAGTATTGTTATAAGTAATTAGAGACTTGTTGCTAATGCTAGCAATGAAATTATCTTGACTTGTTGTATACCCGAAATAAGAGCGAAAAGTTCTAGAACAGGGACCTCATCCTGCTGTCATAGTAAGCGCATCCGTGTTTTAGTAGATGCATTTTTTCGCCACATCACTTTCACTTGTTGTAGCTATATTTATAAGATATGGAGTCATCCAAGGTTCTTGACAGGATTACTTTTCTGTTTGTTATCAATTTGAAGTAGCGCTAGCGCCACTTGTTTTAAAGATTGTTGAATATACGCAGCTGCTGGATAACTACAGTTGTTGATAATAGCTTAAATGAAATGAAGAAGTATAATCTTGGAAATTCGATGTAGTTCATAGCATGGCTGTGAATATGTAACCTAAGTATGAGGCCATTATGATTTCTCTATCCAAATTTAAAACGATTCCTTATTCCGCGGCTTTCGCGAGGTGATTTCTTTTGTATTAAATAATTATGTAAGGTCGATGGGCTACTGATACTGGTACTGGTAGATAGGAATGATTTATTGAACTTTGAAAAGAATGATCTGTAATATACTGCGCAGCTATGGAATGAAATGGATGTTGATGATTGAGGCCGGCATTGTTAATATAATATTTTTCTTTATGAGCATCATGATCATTATAATACATCGTCGTGTTTAAACTTAACGAAGTTGCAGTCGCTTGTTGTACTTCGATAAGAATCCATGATAATTGACGTTTTACCAACAAGGTCTTACGAGTTGGTTCTCGATGGATCTTTATTTACCCCTATATGAATCTACTTACTATCATTGTAGACAAATAAACAGATTTCGAAAAAGAAGAAGGTTAGTTGAATGATGCGCTTCTAGGCACCCGCAAAGGCCAATGACAACATTCATACTCATAAGTTAGTTATAATTCGCTACGAATCCACCACAATACTCTAAAACAGGGAATATATCAAAAATGCTGGAGCAGAAGCTTGAAACTCCGAAGGCACGTGCATGGATCGCCGAAGCTCTATGGGAGAGCAGTAAGATCCGCAGTAAAGTTTTCCGAATACGCCGCAGTTCATTTATTGAGACGTCTCCTAGATCTCGAGTTTTTTTCTTGATGAGACTACGAAAGTCTCATATCGAGATCCAAATCCATCTTCCGTGTTCAACAAGTAGTAATTATCGGTTTCAGGAAGCTAGTCGCGCAAAGTTGCGAAAAAGTACGCAAACTGACGAAAAAACTCTGGACAATTCGTGGTCTGGTGGTGAAAGTGGCTTATCGTGTGCCTGTAGCACAAGCATCATGCTGGCTTGCCAAGTTTCCCCTGGTTGTTCGTGCCTCCTTCTACATTGTGATCATTTATATCGAATTTTCATGATTTTTTCGTCGAAAGTACTATGATAATCAATCTGTAGTTAAATAAATATATGTAAGAAGAAACCAGAACATAAGATGAGATGATATGACAAATGTATCTATTATTCTTCCAACAAAAAATAGAATGACTGAACACCAGCATCCTCTGCGCGCTGGAGCGTGCAGGGCAGAGGCAAGCCCTCTGAAGACTGCGCGACGAAGCTTTGCTAGTTTCGGAGGTGCGGCACTCTCGGCAAGGTCTGGTTCAGCAAGGACAACGGCGTCTCAACAGAATGCGAATTCCGCACTAGTGCAAGATAAAACCTTGGGAACGACGAATGCCGCGCGACAACACGCACAGAAAACTCGTAAGAAGGTCTCGCATGAAAGCCAAAGCAATAAGACGACGAGAACAAAGGCGGATCCGGCTGCTTTATTAGCGACGGAACCTACGCCAAAAACAAAAAGTAGGACTCGGGGGTCTACACGGACGAAAAGGGGGCCAGCAGGACCTCTCGCAGTGATGAAATTTGACGAGGAGAATAAGGAGAATGTGGTGATGCATTGTCTTTCTACTGGCCATGGAGCAAATTGTATGTGGGGCGATGGAAACGTCGCGGGTGAGCGTGAAGATCTTCTAACTTTCACTACATCAATTAAGCCAAGCATCAATTAAGGCTCACATTTAATACAGGGAAATGGACCTCCATCTTCAGAGACATCTTGCAAGAGTGTGCGTAATGTTGTAAAGGGGAAGTATCAGAAAGGAAGAGATTGCACTTCTTCCGAGATTGTTCGTTTCAAGAAGATGGATTTCTGGAATCTCTAAAAACCCAACGTTTCTTCCGCAACTTCTTCTACCACGACCGCTGCAACATCAGCAAGAAGAATCAAGCAGGAGGGCGGCGCGGTGCCTGTCCCATTTTTAGCCACCAGAGCCACGACTCAGAAGCACGTCTTCGCAGGTAAAAATTCGACAAAGCAGAAAATCTCAACGGCAAGCTCCTCGGGAGCAATACCTGTTGCAGGTCTTCTCACGACAACAAGAAATCGGAATGCTTCTAGAACGCTGTCTTCCAACCAGCAGCTCCAAACCCTTGCCACCTGTGCAGCACATGCTAATGCTAGTGCTGCTAGTAGTTCATCTAGTGCTAGCGCTGGCAACTCGAGAGTGTTCGGTTCTTTCGCAAATGCTACCGCAGCTTCGCGCGCCCGAACGAGACAAACTAGTCCGCGCAGAAGTCGCATGCATAGTCCAGTCATTACTGAGCGGGAGGTTTCCGGGATCGTTGTTGTAAGGCTCCCCCTAATCCATCTTGAAAAATACTTGCTTGCTTGCCTTGAGGTTTGGATGTCTTTATCTTTCAAGGACAACGGAGTCGCATGAGAGACGTAATTATAGTTCAAGAAGGATCATTACTGCACTGAGCGCTAATATGTTCCGCGTCAGGTTCTAGTTCTCGGAGAAAAGTTGCGAGCAGTGCTTGTACAACAGCAGACCGTGGTGGCGCGCATGGAGGTGCAGGAACCGACTCGCGTATCGAATGTGCAGAGACGAGCGATGCTGCAGCAAACGGGGACGTCGTGGAGCTTCTTGGTGCTTTATCTTCTGCCTCGGAACCGGAAGTAGCGCAAGACGTGGGTAAACGTGATCTCAGCTGTGTTGATCTCAAAGAGACTATGAAGCCAAACAAGAATGGTGTCGCTTCCGGTGCAACTACAATTATGGCTTTCTTCATACCAGCACAAAAGTTATTTTGTTATATTCGAGGAGGAGGAAAGATGGTGGAGATTCAGGTTCGTTGTTGACATAATCTTTTTCGTTGCAGCATCGTCGAGAAACGTAGCCTTACTATACTTGGTCATGAAGATACTCCGAACTCGAATAAGAATGAGCACAGGACTATAATCGGAAGATGATGATGAAGCTATCTCTTCAGTAATATGATGCACGGCGACCACATCAGGGCTACGCTATGAAGCAAAGCGCTAATGCAACAACACACCTGTCTTGTTCATCGATAAGTGCTGGGCAGCATGGACCCGGATCGATCACTGGAAAAGTTTTATGTTTCGATCACTAAAAATAAAATCCTCTTCATACAGTGAAGATGTTACTTGACATCGCCCACCGGCATCTTTTTTCTGCTCTTTGTCTCTCTTGTCTCCTTGTCCTTTGTCATCATATCATTTACTAGTCTTCACTTCCTTCTAAGAATAAGCCTGCTACATCAACAGGAAAACTCTTGCGTGTCCACGGCAATAGATGACGCAGGAAGCAGTCCGATTCCCTACTCTTCGCAAGATTCCCCGTTTGTAATCGACTCACCGCCATTTGTGGTATGGATGTAGTTTTTCTTTCCATCTTGTTTTACAACTACGGACCATCATGAAACAAGGTGAACGCACTCTTTATCTTTCTAGAGGGAAAAAAGTAAAGGGGGCGTAATCTTGTTGTGGACTTAATTGAAGAAGTATGTCTCGGTGGGGGATTGATTAGTAGAACTAGTCAATCTACGTTGTATACGGCTGGGATGGTCCAGCTAGGTGAGAAGAACTACATTCATTTTCATAGGTGGAGGAAAGCCGGGAAAAATCTCGACCGCCTGGCAGCAAAGAAGTCGACCCTTCCGAACCGGCATCAAACACACTGTACTATCATATCGTATCTAATTCTTGGAGTTGGAGACGGAGAGCCTCTTATGGATATCTTCTCTCATCTCGTCCTATTCTAGGAATGAAAGTACTCCTTGTCCTTCTCGTCCGCATCCGCACGAATAGTATTCCTTTTGCTCCTTTTTCTTTCATTACTAAACTATCCATATCCTTCTTCTATCGTGGCCCTACTTAGTTGTTGGTTTCTGTTGTACTTGCCCGGTGACGGAGTCTGTAAGTCTAAGTAGGGCGTTGAGCGTACAACTTGACCTTGAGGTGTAAAGTATCTGTTCTATGACTCTGTCCTTGATAATCATTGTGCCTCTGTGTATGTTCGTAGAGAGCCAATGAGCCATTTCTAGTTGAGAGCAGATGGGCGACTCGGTGTATTTGAGATGGTGTTTCTGTTTTGCTACACAAGTGCAAATTATGAATTGAATGAGATTATCTCTTCACGTGCTAAAGAGAGACTGAGTTGAACATGGCAATTCGGATGTTCTCCTTTGATAAATATCTCGTAACGGGTTATCCAGCTTCATTGTAGCCCAGGTCAGGATTGTGCGCCACCTTGTTTATGTACAGATTTTCGCGATGATGCTTGGTTTTTTCTTCTTTAGAGGGTGGTATGGATTATCTATGAAATTTTGAGTTTATTGTCACATTTTCAGGTCATCAAAAAATGAATCTATGAAAAGGTATACCCCACCCCTACCATAGTCGTTGTACAATTTTTCCCCGAAAGCAATCAATACCCTCTGCATGTTGCAGGTGAAGATTTCATATTGGTCAATAGCAATAAAAGGTCTTGCGCGTTATTCTTCTCTCTGCGTTGGATGCTCTAGCTACATCGATTTTCGATTCATGGCAATCGCAGTGTGATCTTGTTTACTAGTTAGCAGCTAGCAGGCACCAGCTACCCGCCACTGCTAACAAGGCCTCGTAGGTCAATAGTTTCGCTGTGGAGTCGTGTTGAATGAGACGATGTGACGACTCCTTAAAATGTATTTGGATGAAACTACTTACGCGCCACTTCCTTGTGATTATTTTGTAAGCAGGCCTCGTCCCATTACGCGTGTGCTTAACATATTCAAAGAAACTAGCGACATGCAACATTTCCACTTTCGTCGTTTCGGCACACAGATCATGTAATCCATGCCATCCATATCTTTCAGATGTTTGCATAGCCAAGAAGAAGAAACCTCGTCGTCTACTTAGTCGTTATCGTTTAAACAGAGATAATATATTTCGCCACTAATTCTATGCATGAGCATGCCTCTCTTGTCCCATCCGTGTGATTGATTCGAGGAAATAGATCTTCATCTTTCTAACTATAGGTATTTCAATGTGAATTCGATCCACCTTGCCTGTTTCTTTATCATGTGTTTGTTTCGATTCATAGGCGTGGTGCTCGGGTCGCGACCACGTTTGAAGAGGAAGATCAAGGCGTAGTTTCTGGAGCGACTACTGTTGGACTAAACTCTGGGACGACTGGCGCGTTCAGACCCAGCACAACCACAGCAGTTTCGCCCTCTGTAGCCGATGCTCGCGTGAAAATGTCCGCTGTGGTGATGTCGTCCAATGTGAGTCAGGCACAAGAAGTACAGTCTGCGGACAAAAAGAAGAAGTGGGAAAGCAATACGAAGATCGCTGCCCCGTCAACCGGCCATCACATTCACGTGCTCCACTCGCTCCTTTCAGGAGGGATCAACAAGGCACGTCCCTCAATATGGGAAGATCCGGCACTCGCAGACCCCTTTTCAAAAGCAGACGCTACAGTCACGACACAGCAAGCCGCAGCGACTTCCGCTAGTAGTAGTTCCAGTGCTGCAGCTAGTAGCAGCGTAGTTTCTGCTGGGACGGCCTCCACTACTAGAGCTAGTGGCTCTACGACCACTAGTATTACAAACACGAATACAACTTCCACATCAAGTCAACGCCCGACAAGCAAGGCAAATGTAGTCGCTACCAGGCCAGCTGCTTCACCGCGCGGTGCTTTTTTCAACAGTGTGGGAAACACTATTCCGGCTGTCGGCAAGAACAGCACTTTGCTAGCTACGTCAAGCAGTGGCAATACGTCTACTAAGGGAGTAGAGGAGAGAGATGAAGTGAAGCAGAAAAATGTAACCGTTGTTGTGTCCGCATCCGGAGGAGATCTGATAAAATCGGGAATAGGAGCATCAGTCGCGGGAGCAGCGTCACAAACGCACACTCCGTCTGCTGTATCTTATGTTGTGCCAAGTGGAGCGGCAGGGAAGCAGTTTGTGCCTGCTCCATCTTCCGCGATTACGTCGCTGCCAACTGCAGCTTCGCGCATGGGTCTGCAACCCGCGTACACGTCTTCGGCAAGTACGTCTTCTTCTACTGGCAACAGTATTCATGTGCTAAGCGGAGGAACGACGGGAACAAGTGGAGCGAGCACTGGCTTTGGTCTGAACCTGGATGCGTTTCAGCTGCGGCTGCCAATGCAGATAGGTGCTCGCTTGTCGACGACAAATGGCATACTTGCTAGCACAAGCACAACCGCAGTGGCGGCTGGTGGTGTAAAGTCAGCGGTTTCTGTTCCGTCTGGCGTTCGTCCAGTTGCGGGTCAGGTAGGTGATAAACGTAGTTCCCTAAGTCACCCTCAGAATAGCACACGAGTCTCATCCTCCTCGTCAACGTCTGGGCATGATGTAAGCAAAGCAGTGGCAACGCGGACGAGTGCAATTAATACTTCTAGTACTACAAGGATCATAAGTGGAGCAGCAGAAAGCACGTCAGAAGAACAGCGCCCAGCAAGTCCATTGACGGAACGAAATGTCGCGGCCGCGGCTTCCAGTTCAGTGCCGCGGTTGCGGCCACCCGCTGCTGTTACGGATGAAGAGACGGCTTCGTGCACCACAGTCGAGTTGACCACAGCAACGAGTGGGGCAAAGGCCGCGCCTTCCGCGACCACTACGTATGCAGGAGGACCAACGCCACCGCTTTTTGTACCTTCCTCGTCTGCGAGTTCATCGAAACAGACTACAGGAGAAAGTGCAGTTTCGTCTACGGTGCCGAGTGCAGCTAGGCACGGCTTTTCGTCCGCGACTGCGTTTGAGGACCGAGTCGGAAAACAATTCGAGGGAACCGCACCAGGAAGAGATGGAGAAGAAGAAAGTTGTGCTCGAGATGAAGCCTCTTCTACTCCAGCGTCAGCCCGACCTGGAAGTCTTGAAGTGGCTACGGAGAGGAAAAGACAGGGACAGAAAAAAGCGGTTGAGGCTTTGGCATCGTGTGCAGCACTGCGGCCAGCGACGGATGAAGGAAAGGTTGTATCAGAGGAACAAGGTGAGGAGCAGCCTGCTATGAAGCCTCATTCTTCCGGGGGAACAGACGAAGAAGGGCTTCGTTATACGCAAAGGGGTAGAGCAGAGCAGCAAGTGCAAGTCACTGTTAGCGGCGACACTGCAACTCAAGAGGTTCCGGCAAAAAGCGCAGCGGCTGAAACCCAGAGACGATCCAGAGCTCAGAGTATCCCCCGTGGAGGAGTTGTGCGGCCGCAGACGGCTCGCGGTCATACTCGGCAACAATCTCCGCGACGGCAAGCACAAACAGCACGCGGGCCCCGCGCTAGCTCGCCGAACTTGAGGACGACAAGTGACTTCAAAAACTTCGCTTTGACCCTCGTTTCTGAAGCAGGTAAAACGAAAGTAGAGGAACTCAAAGACGTAGTGAACCGCGCAAGTGGAGCTTCTGCGACAAACACTGCGAGTAGTACGAGGCCCACGACGGGCGGATCGTCAGATTTCCAACCGGAACCGCGAAAGAGCCGATCGAGTAACAAGTCTAAAAAGGCCTCTTGTTTGGATGCACAAAATGCCGACGGCGTGGTGGCAGCGAGTGCGTCGCCAGTGGTGGCTGCCGCAGCGACGTCCAGGCGAACGCACGCCAATCGAGAGACCAGCATTCGCGAACAGATGACCAACACTAACTATGAAAAAACAATCGTGCAGAGCAGCACTGCGGTCAACAACACAACCAGAAGATCGAGTCCACCATTGCGATCGTCAATTCGCGACAGCAGCGTGCCAGCTCGTGGAGCCACAATGTCATCTTTCCTTAGTCCCGGCGCGACCACTACGCAGATGCATAATCTGCTAGGAAGTCAGCCTTCGTCAGCTCTTTCTCGGATTGCCGACCCTGATGGCCCGTTTCCTGGTGGCCAGGGTCGACAGGTGAAGACGATAGGAAAGTACCGCCCGCAACCGCGGTGCTACGCGGGTAGTGCAATTGTCTATTCCTCTCCTTTGGGTACTCCAGCGCTGGCCAACAGAAAACTCAGCGTTTACACCGAAAAGAATGTTGATGGTTCTGCAGGAGAAGTCGGCAGCGCAGAAGGTCGTGTAACATCAAGTGGCGGCGATGGCGACGTCGTAAATTTTAGTAGTGCGCCAGCACCTTCTGTAAGACCGGCTTCATCTGCAGGGTCCTCGTCTACTTCGGCCACGTTTTGGCTCTATGGGGGGACATGCGATACAAACAGCGGAATTGTGCCCTTTAGCGATCTGTGGGAACTGAATCTCCAAACACTGCAGTGGACGCAGCACCGGCACCCGGCGGGTACCACACCGGGTCCCCTCTGCAAGCATTCCATGGTCGCTTGGCGACATTATCTTGTCTTATGGCTCCCTATCAATCCACTTCCTATGTGTATGTTCGTTGTGTGTTGTTGTTTCTAAGTAAGATCATCTGATGAAATAAGCGTAGAGGACAACGCAAAGGAATTATGTAGGATGAGGACCATCCTTCAATTTAATGACTACTCCATACAGTGAGCAGGAGTCAGGACGAATAGTATTAAAGACTGAGTACCAACGAAGATTGTTCATGTCTGTTATATTTTGTGAAACTGAACAAGAGCCTCCTCTAATGCGTATTTTCGGAGGTTGGAATGGAACGAGGCGGTGCAATGCGGTGTGGTTTTATGACACGCAGAAGCACGTGTGGACCGAGGTGTTGAACACGAAACCAGGCAAATACCATATGGCGGACGCGATCTGGCCACCGCCGCATACTTCCCACGCCGTGTGCTTGGTGGATTCCGACGTGATGCTCGTCGTGGGCCGCGGGGAGACGGGTACACACCGCAAGTACGGATCTGACATCGATTTCTTCGACTGCTACAACCGCGTGTGGATGCTGGGCGGCGCGCGATTCAACGCTCGTGCTGGGCATTCGCTCACGCCGCTGGCGGAGGGCCGCGTCCTCATGTACGGTGGCCGCAAGGATCACAGCATCGATTTTTTCAAGTACTGCGACTTCTGTCCCTTTCCCGATGCCGTGAGACAGACGGGCAAGGTGGCGGAAGCGTCCACCGTGCCACTGGCCGTACCAGGCATGGTGCCGGTCGCGCCACCCTTCGGCCGCAGTTTCCACCAGGTCGTCACCCTCGTACCGAACCACCTGCACCTCCTGCACGGAGGCTTTCTCGAATCCAGTCACGTACTTACTTGTTTATTTTTGCGTCCATTCGCGCTCGCCTTGCATCTTCATTATTACTACCTCCAATACTTCTCCTACTAATCGTGATGTTCCTTCTTTTTGCGTTCACGCGGTTGGACTTTGTTGTGGAATGAAGAGAGACAATCTTTGACTACTACTACTACTATCAATCTAAGTATGATCTACTTACAAGTCCCTCTCCTGTCGCCCGTGTTGTGCGTGTTGATTATTCATCCATGAGATGAAGCACCAATGAATTTGACGAGGAATTTCTGCATTCAAGCCTCTTTGCATTAAATATTTAGGTAACTGGTCGTTGTCTCTTTGACGCCACGCGACATACAGTTTTGTACGACGAAGTAACGGGAACCTGGTATGAACTTGCGGCAGACCGAAGAGAAGATCACACCTCATTATTCTTCAAAGCTCCTAGTCCAGCACACGTACCTTATTTTTGCTCTTATTTTTTACGTTTTGATTTTTACTCGATAATTCATTTTATGAGATCAACTTATGGACACGGGAACTCGGAGGATCATTTCGAGGTCTTTTATATATAATTATGTGGCCGTCATTATTTATCTTCATCTTAAATTACACTACGATTGATTTTCAGTTTGTATCTATTTCTATTCTGTTGTTCTCCAGGATTCCGGCGGTCTGGTACTCGCATCAGCCTGCCAGATTAGTAGCGGTGGCAGTACGACTTGTTCGGATGGGGTCGGAGGTGAACAGGAGGCTGGCTTAAAAGGCGCAGCACCTTCGTATTTTGAGAGTGTCGAACTTTTGCCACCGCGTGCAGGCCACTGCTTGCACGCAATGGAACATCCGGAGGATGCTCGTAAAAAACGCGTTGTTTTGTTCGGAGGAACGCACTGTGGCGTGAATTTCAACGATGTTTGGTTTTTAGACCTGGATATTCGTTGCGCAAATGACGTGGAAGCAAAAAAGGTAGTTAGCACTTCGTCTCCCGCTGTGGGGGGTGGGGGTCTTGCCGCTTCCGCAGGTCTTGACAACGCAGCGAAACTGGAATCTCGGATGTCGGATTGGCATAGTAGTGCTCTCGGAGCTTCCCCAGGGTTACCTAAAAGTATAACTTCAGGTACTACCACTCTGAAGCCGAACAACGTATTTGGGACGACGGGGGGCGCTTCTTCTATGATGCACCAGTTCGCTACTTCTGGTGCTGCAGTGACAAAGTTCGATGTGCGGCAGCACTACTTGCAGAAGGCCCGTAGCATGGATCCGCGCACCTTTGCGGTCGCGCTGAAGGAGCAAGCGCGGGAAGAGAAGGTCCGAAACGCTCTGGCGCGGCGGGAGGAGCAGAACCGTGAACGGATTCAAAAAAACTACCTGCGCGATCTCCGCTCGCAGGAAATGCGCGAACAACAGAAGGAACTAAGGCTACGAAGTTCACCGAGAGAACAGCAGCAAGCCACCGCCGTCAGCACAGCATATTTACTCTCTCCCGCAGGTGGACATCAAGGAGCAGGAAGCGGCCATGTTCAAGGAGGAGATGAAAAAAGCCACCAAGAACATTTGCGACCGGTGTCGCCCGGTGGTAGACAGACCGTTGGTGCATCGGCGTCCGCAGAGTCAGGCGCGGCGTTCAATCCACCAACGCGTGTGAGTGCCCCAGCATCGACCGCGCGAGCTTGAGACTGTAGCTATGTGCAACCTCTTTCCACCAATAAGAACACATCGCTCCTTGAAGTTCAAATTCAATGTGCCTCTTGCTTCCGACTATATTCCCTCTAGTTTTCTATGTGCGTCGTCCTCTGTCGTGATTCCATCCCTATTGCATGTAGTATTTTCCTGATCCACACGACGAACTCTACATAGCGTAAAAAGTTTTGCTCTCCCACCTTGTCGTGGCCGCGCTTTATGCTGGTCCAGAGAACGTCGGGGCTATGAAATCGCAGTACACTTCATCCCGACATTAGAATATAAAAAGCACATAACTTAACCCTTTTTTTATCATAATCATTCTACATGATAATCTGAAGATCATGAGCATGATAATGGTCATTTCTAGCCATATCCATGCCAGGTCCTTGTAATCTGAATCAGTTTTTTTTAGTCGCAATCAGGCTGTCAAGGCAAGCTATCTATTTGTTGCATACTTCTTCACATGGGCGCAGCACTATATCATGCTAGTACAAAAACTGTCAACATTGTATATTCGCCTCTCCCTTCAGACAACAAACGCTTAACAAAATGTACTCAGTCGAGAACATCGCGGTGAAGCTAGCCCTTGCACATTGATTTGTAGTGTTGGTTTTTCTCCGGGATATTACTTAGTAGCTCTGTACGATCTGTATCTGAGAAAGGTTCCATTCTATCCGTTCCTATCTATTATACCTAGTATTTGAAGATGGAGGTGGTGTTGAAGGAAAGATAAGCAAAGGCGCTTTTGCAGTAGATCGATGTTAGTATCAGACAGAGCGCATAGTTATAGACAAAGCAAGTCTCTTTCGAAGTCACTAGGTATGAATGATCATGACCTTGCAGCTAGCAGATGGACCGCTGGGCGTTAAATCCATGTCACGGACATGCTTTTCTTAATACTTCAAGTCTTGACATCTTCAACATCTTTTGAAATCTTGAGAATATTACGAACATAATTCCTGAGTCCATTTATTCGGAAGCACCGCATAGGTATCTGATTCTGATATGTGAGGATAGGCCATAGGCATGCACGAAGACGAAGAAACCATTCTAAATCACAGACAACGAAGGACCCTCAAACACTCCCCAATCCCGAGCCACCTCGTCCTTATGATCAAGTTTGATGTTGATCATCTTGATACTCATAGCCGCCACAGAACTAATACGGATCTTTCCAGTCACATGCCTAGCCCTACTAGAGAATAAGAGCTGCACATATGAAATCCTGCCCTTTTTTCTTGTGCAAGGCTGTATCTCCTTTTCCAATGAACGTCACAAGTTTTCAACGCATTTTTCTATAATTAATTGCAAGCTAATCCCTTCACAACCATAATGCACTCCATACGAGGAGGACAGGACGTGCAATGACAGACACGAGCGGCTGCTAGCATGATATGAAAAGGAATAGTTCTGATGTCTCTGTCGGTGTGAAGTTACTCATGATGATGTTTAAGCAGGTCCTCATTGTCACTCGTCGGTATATATTTATAAATATATGTGCAGAGGTTGTCATCTTCTTTCTGGATGACGCTTGCTTTAATCTGTCATGCGTGTGTGCTGTCATTGGAATCGGATCCGGAACTTAGACTGAGTCGGCAGACAGAAAAGTGCGAGTGGGACGATTATCAATCGAGAGAAGTGACTACAAGAACCAGGCATTGGATCTGTCTGAGCAGCGAGAAGATCAAGTTCAAGAACCTCAAGACAGATGAGAAAGGCGCCATGCGATCATAGAAAGAACGGTTTATAATGTTAATATTTTAGAGCGATGGCCGAAAACGTAATCGATATTGAAATTGTAGTATTAATCTTCATTACCATGCGGTATCACACGAGCAACCTGGTGCATTCGATCCACAACAAATTATTCCGCCGTTCCTGCAGCGTAGTTCGCCCGGTGCACTGGACCTCAATAATTTATCCGTTGCCTGACCGAGATTGCACCAGTACCAAGAAATTGTGATTGTCGTGTCATTTTCTAATTTTGATTAGATAAAAAAATAAGGACGTAGGAAGTGCAAAGATCATCGCAGCTTGCGCAATATTACAGCGTTGATTCTGCATGTTGCTTTCACAGCGTTGCAGTTGCTTACCAAAATTCGGATACTTCTTTTATCTCCATCAAGCAGTTACTTGGTACAAAGAAAAGAGAGAAGTACGAATGACTACATTGTAGGATTAAGTAATCCGAAGTCAAATAATAAGTTTTTCTTACACTGATTTTTCGTGAGTCTTGCTTCGTGTACATCAAGCCTCTCTTGTGTTGAGTACCTATTTTGGAAAGTCAAAATGTTTAGAAGTAATTTGTATGAGAATGACGTATTCACTGCAGCTCTTTACTACTACTTAGATATACCGGACAAGAAAATTCACTAGTGATCGTCAAGAGAAGAAAAATCAGAGCGAGTAACTTCTAGTACTAGAACCAACCACTACAACCACATATTTTTTCTAGTCAAAGAGCTCAAGAAGAGAAGGATGTTGAGTAATCCTAGCGGTGGTTCTGCTGCCTTGCTCGCAGGTGCGGCGATGGAGATTTTCCCAGATGTAATACATCAGCAGACTTCTCCGACAGATTATGGCGTTCATCTTCTCACGAGATCCATCTTGGGATTGCAAAGCGTTGGGTAAGCACCCGTAGAGAGTGTAGACTAGATTTTTTATGAACCAGGGGACAACGAAGATAGGGACCACCATCGCTGGGGTGCTTGAATAACTTGTCAAGATGGGTATCAGGCATCTATGTATATCAGTAAATAAGAGTAAAAGTCTAAAAGATGAAACAGGAGCAAAGTGTAAGACTTTCTTCCACGACGAGTGTTGGTGAGGAAAGAAATACAACAAGATCTACTTCTACCACAAGTGCCTCGATACCTGTTACTGGTTTAGTTCTCGATGGTCTTATTGCCGATTTGCAGGCTCTCTCCGGACGCCTCACGGATGCTAATTTCAAGGAAGCTGTAGGGAAATTTGGTCGTGACATCGCGTCAAAACCAGCGAATGCGAAGCCTGCACAACGCATTGTTCTTGCGCACCAAAAAGAGCTGCAGCGTTTAGCCAAATTCCAAAAGTTCATGGAGAAAACAGTGTCTACGAATACGCACTTGCCTCCAGTTATGTTGAGAACCTTGATGTCGAGATTGACTTGTTTGAGTTCTTAGATGAAGTTAGTACCTTGATATTCTTCACCTCGAGAACGAGGACGACCCTGTGTGCTTGACGCGACACGCATCGATTGGTTTAGTCTTATACTTCATGTCCCTTTGTATATTAGGATAATACATAGTGCTAGAATAGATACATTTTTATATTGGTTCTTGTGATTGTCGTGCATCCTTTAGTGATAGGGACAGCCACGTTGCTAGGGGAAAAAATTATCATGAGAGGCAGCTTCTAATGGATACCGGGATTCAACAAGGCAAGAGTCTTATCCAGCTCTTCTGGTTGCTGAAAATGACAGTGCAGAGGAAAGTGAGGTACGTGGTGAAGACGCTGCGCTTTTTGCACTACTTATGGGGACGCTAGCAAGAATAAGAGATGCAGATATTGATGTATTCTTTTCCTCTTTGATACTTTATCATTGCCTTGCATACCCGACTGGTGGTACTCTGTCTCGTGTTGATGAATGGCCTCAAGTTAGGATAAGAAACGCCAGCATAGAACAAGAGGATTGTAGTTGCTGACATTCTGACATACCTGAGGCGTTGCAACTTTTCTTTTCTTCGGACTGCCTGGTGTGCCTTCCATAAGGCGTTTGGAAGTTGGGATCATCCAGCTGTGAAGCATCTATACTAGAGAAAGAAAGGCGAGTAGAAAGTAGCGGGATAGACTCGTGGAAATGGAAAATGCCTTTTTTTGACTGCACTAAAATCCTCGGCCAGCATTTTTTGAGTCGTGGCCATTTCGATGTGCTGGAAACCTTCCAATCAGAGTTAGGGTTGGACGCAGACCTAGTAGCTCATCTCGGAGATATTGGGACGAAGCTCGTCCTTCCTGCGATCGAGCAGCAGCCTTCTTCTCACTTATGATGCTTCTGATGTAGCTCGACTTGTAGAGTTTCGATGCTCACACTGATGCTCTTTCTCGATGATTCAAGATCGAAAAGTTTAAGTTTTCTCCTTGCTAGATGTTCTAGTGAGCAACAGGTGGACAAGGCAGTTTTTCACGGCCTAAGCTGAAAGAGTACTAAGTTGTAGTCATGATGATGCAGCATTGATCATAGTATTGGGCTACGGATGATGGCTTTAACCTCTTTGAAAATTGTGCTGAGACCGGCAGACCCTTTGCTCACCGGAGGCAGGCCGATCGAAGCCTTGAAGCTGAATGTTGTAGGTACAAGTAGCGAGTTTTTCTCTCAAGAACAAGGACCAGATTCAGGTCCGACGGGTGCAGAAGAACGAGGTAGAACAGGCAGAAAGGGCTCTCAATTTTCCGGTTTTGGTGATGCATCTTCTAAGGGACCGAAATCGAGAAAGAGCAGCTCGGGAGGACGAAAAGGGAAGCGAGATCAGGGTAAGGATACAAAGCGCCACCAAGCTACACCCAGCATCACTAGTATTTCGAGTAACTTCAATAATAGGTCATCTTCTACAGGAGGCCGGGAAGGAGGAGTAGAGGGCGACGCAGTAGAGAAGAAAACAGTAGGATTAACTCCTGGAATACCTTCAGGCTTTGTGGGACAAAACCAAAAGCTGGATGAAAAAATATCAAGGTTCGTCGTCGGTGATATTGACGGCAGCATGCTTGTGGACAATGGAATACTTAAGGCCTCTAGTTTCATAGCTGCATCTTCGAGATCCTTATTCGCAAAGAAGGGTCCCGAGGATACAGGCTTGCGCGGTCATAATTACGATCACCTCTAAGCCTCCCCCTGGAACGAGACTGCTTTCAGGGGAACAGCAGCACGCAGTTGCAACTACCCTTCAAAGAAGCACAGCGTGGAACACGTTTTTCAACTTTTCTTCTCCTGGCAACGAGGTGCTCGGCCTCGTAGAAACTGCAGTAGATGCAACTTCAGGGGCGAGGACTTGTTCCTGGGTGTCCGCCTACAAACGACTGCATGCGCTTCTAAAAGCCTTGGCAAACCACGATCTCGAACCGGTTTTTGCGTACTGCGAGCGAGTTGCCCGTCAGCTGATATCTGAGAGCAGGGTTCAGAAGAGATGTGGAGCTCATAAGCTTGCTTTGGTGATCGATTTGCGCTTTAGTCTTGTCGTCGCGCGATATTTGCAAATGCTACTTGCAGCAACATCTTCGAACAACAAGCGGAATGAACAAAGTAATGCTCTCACATCTGGAGATGGCTACGCAAGTGTACTAACGGGAGAAAGTTCATCTTCAAAAACTAGCGTGTTCAACAATAAAGTTAAGGTTGAAGGGCTTCAATATGGGCGCAGTGTGTTGGGTCCATTTATGCCCTCGCGGGGGCGCGAATGCTCTGCCCTAATGACGCTTGCGGGTCTTGCGGCTACGGAGAGCGAGCTGTCAGAGCTCTTGGTTTTGCGGTGCAAGGAAGTGGCCACTTTGATTCGCGATGTTTTCTGTGCAACGGAAACAGTAGCGTTTCTGGGGGAGAAGCGGCTTATGTGCGCTACTGTGACGCTGCGGAAAGGACAAAGAGAAGCTGACCAAACAGCAGGCGCAGATCGTGACGAGGTTGACGAACAAGCACGAAACAAGGCGGCGGGAAGCAATAGTGGTTCTTCTTCTTTCTTGATATCTGGAGAAAGGGCAAGTAAAAATGTAAATGGCGAATCTTATGCAGCTGCGGGAGCGCGCTCGAGAATTCAGATCGATAACTTGTCAAAGAAAAGAGCAGATAGCGGTACTCCAGGAACAGTGAGTACACTGAGACGACGACCGTCTAAGAGAAGTGCCGTTTCGAATGAGGGACCAGCGTCTCCGACGAGACGATCTTCTTTCGGTGCATCTTCTGTAGAGCTCACCGCGGGCCACTTCTTTGTGCCGCGACGCAACCGTAGACTCTCAGAACTCCTGCGCCAAGTACCACTCCCAGGGAAGAGCACGTCTAGTACTGGTAATATTGTCGACCATTCTACTTCTAGAACTACAGAAAGGACGTCTTCAAGCAGTGCTGCAGGAGAAGTGGGGACCGCTCCTACAAGCACTGCAGGTGGAGCAGGTGCTCGCGCGTCAGAATCTCGTTTGAGTTCTTCTGGCGCGGCTATGGTTCCGAATAATCATCAACCCAATTCAGCCTCTACTTCAGCAGAGCAGTCGCGCCAGGGCTTTTTCTGTAGGTGGTTGAACGAAACCGATGAGCTCCCAAGCATTGCCCCGCTGTCGTGTCTCGGACCTTTTCCTTTGCATTTACGGAGTGAGGAACAGATGGAAGACCTTTCTTCATCTGCCACGGCTCCAGCATCTTCAGGGTTCGGCGACTCCTTTTCTCTGCTGATCGAGCAGGACAGTAAATTCACAAGCGAAGACGATAACCAGCATGAGCCTTTTAGTCGCACGAAGAGGAGAGGCAATCAAGATGAACCTGGTAGAAGTTTCAACTCTAATCACGAAGACCTTGAACAAGACAAAGACACCATTGACGCCAATCAGAATGAAGATCACGGCCATTACCATGAAGGTCAAGTAGATCACAGCAAAGAGGATAATCTTGATGTTGGAGAGCAGGACGATGGAAGTTTACTCGATTCGAATGAGGCGACTACAGCAAATTCAGGCGGGCATGACGATGACGTTGACTCTTTGGTGTCCGACGATTCGCTTCCTGGCTATTTATGCGATGAAGACGAAGCGGCGCACAGGGATATGACAAATTTTTAAGGACTTAGTTTTTTTTGATCCAGTGCATGCTGGTGTGGTGGCAATGACAACATATGAATGTGTATCTGATATGGGATTCCTCTTGCTCTTGCAAAAAATCAAGGGAAATGATCTCGGGAAGTTCCTCACTGAACATGATAGGAGATAGAAAAACTTCTACTGCTAAAATCTATTACCAGCTTTTGCTCGTTTGCAGCGTGCAAAGCGGCGAAGAGCGTCCACGACGCGAGGAAGGCGCACCGAGCGACTTCACGTTACCCCAGTGTTGCCACATGTTGGCACACACAGCTACATACTCTCATCTGTTGGTGACACCGGTAATTGTAGCACTGCGACAGGCGAGCACATATATCGAAACCGAGATGATTACAACGACTCGCCACGACCTGAGTTCGGCTTCGGGCGGCTAGGAGAATCAAGAACACCAACGCCCGCGTCCTGTAGTAGAGTGCGGCGCCCATCTCCTGTTCCTGGAGCCCTGCGTGAATGGGGCAGCGATTATCCTGATTTTTCTCAGACGCAGAGTAGAGCTTCCTTCGCTCGACTGAGCAATGACGGAGGACCAGACCTGCGGCGCGTGCGGGCTACGGAGCGTCTCCTCAGTGCCCCTGTAACTTCGGAATCTTCTTCTACCGTTCATGCCGATGCAGATGCTGCAATTTCACGCGGCGCAGAGAGTACAACACGTCTAAGGGAGGAAATCTTTTCACATCCTGTCTTCGATGAGGGTGAAGACTCCTACTTCGCATCAAGAATGCGCCCTGGCCATGCACTGCAACCGGCATTAGAGACCGGTCTCAGGAGAGCGGCGGGACGGTCTGACGGGGGAGCTCGCGGAAGGGCTGACTGGCAAAGTTTCTTCGGGACTTCGCGCGAAGATTCGCATGCTCGTGATGCCTTTCGGATTTCAGTTGCCCACCGCTGGGGCGCCGCCGGGCGTGTCAGTCGTGGCAATCCCGGTTCACATCTAAAGCGCCAGAGGCTGGACGTAACTCTTCATGTTATGAGGGTCAGCATCATACTGTGAGTACTGATTACGGTCTACTTGTAGTTGTAGCTCCATCAGTAGTAGTTCTCCTCTGAATACTCACCTCAGTATCGGCATTACGACCACTACCTGGTAGTTCCCAATTCCTGTTTCTGTTTCAAAGTACTACTTCGTGACTGAACATCATCTCGGCGGCGCTGAATATTACTGCGCACCATACTAGGCCCTCTTCTAATCCTTGTGAATCCGCATCAAGAGATTTCGGGACAGGTTCGGTCGTGAGCCCAGCATCATCTGGAATTCATGATACAGAAGGTGATCTTCATAGTGATAGTTCTTTCCTGCCACCATCCGGAACTACTCGACATCAAGTACTACAGGGGCATGATCATGACGTTGTATCTCATCTCGAAGATTATCATGGTGTCATGGTGACATCAAGAGCAGGGGAACTCTTTTCTTCTGACGACTTCGATGTACCACTTCCTCGTGAGAGTTCGAACGACGGCCGAATTCTGGAAGTGACATCTAAAGGCAGTGGACGCGGTCGCAACGTGCAGAGCGATGACGAGCTTGCTGGGGCGACTTTCTTCTCTGTAGATGTTAAGACCTCTCCCCTGCTACAGATATAGAAACAAACAATTGAAGTAAGTACTTCTGAAATAGAGAATAATGGCAATAGCGTGATACAACTAGAACTCGATGACCTGGCACTAGTAGAAGTACTACCCCGTTTTACGAACTACAAGAAGATGTTCAAGCGAACTACTAAAAATTTATCCACCGTGCATTGAGTATTAAGACCACTGTTGACTTCATCTTCAACTTCTTTTGTTTTTTAATGCGAGGTTAGTGAAGTTAAATAACCTACAATCTAATTCATACTCCATATTTTTTATCGCCGTATGAGTATGATCATGTTGATGTTTTCGTCTTGGGGTTTTTAGCTCTAAATCTAAGCACGAACAAGAGACGATTGAAGATGAGGTCGGTGCTGTAGAGAATGATGAAGTTCCAGAACCAGAGCCAGACTCGGAAGATTTCCGAAACGAGGATTCTTAAGGCAACGCAGGGCGCATCCTCGACATCATTTCTCCTTGGCTTCATATTTGGCTTCTTTTTCAAATAGGAAAAGAAATAGAGGTCTCCAGGGTGGACGGTGGTGCGAGGAATGGACGCAACGGTGATAGCCCTAAGACGCGTCGTCCAGTGATAGCGATCCATTCGCTTTACGCATCCGACTTACCACTGAACGGAGATACCTGAGCGAAGGTCTTTCTATAGAAGTATAAATATGGTTGCCATTCAACAAGATGAAGATTACGGTGAAGCGTCATATTGAAAAAATTGCATTAGATTAAAAACGGTTGTGCTTCTACTTATTTTCTTCGGCTCTTCACTGCCTGTGGATAAAGATAAGATTGGAGGTACGTTCCTTGTTACGGCACGGATCCAGCTTGTTCAAACTTCAAAGCACACAATTCATGTGGTTCGACCCTGTCGTTCAAAGTTAAAGCATGCTACAATCAACAGGTTCTCCGTATGGTCGGAATCTTCCACCAAACGCAGCCGATCGGAGAGGGCAGGCGCGGAGTCTTGATAACTCTTACCAAAGAGAAGGCTCTTCGGGGCAGCCATTGTACAACTCGTACAGCAGTAGAGCGGGAAATGTGCCGCACAGGAGTTTCAGCACATTTGCAGGGCCTGCTCGACCACCTCGCGGTGTGGTCGGGAGGCGAAATCGACGGCGAAGTCGTTCTCAAATTCGTGCCAGACGAAACCGGGGAACTCCTGAAGCAGGGACGCATTTACGTTGGAAAGATGTTGAACAATGTGTTGTTTTTTTTGATTAGTACGTCAGAACAAGCCTCTAATAATTTTTCACCGTTCATAGCTAGTACAGATGTGAATGTGAAATGACATGCACAACAGATCATTGAATGCAAAGGTATGAACTACGTACAGTTACAGTATCAGTACAACCCAAAACTCCAATGCATGCAAATAATGCTTGCGATTAGAAACAAAAACTCTAAGTAATGTGGCCGGGAGTAGCAGCAGTCGCGAGACGCAAGACCCCACAGTGGGGGTCAGCCCTAGGTGGTTTGACGAAACTGGGGAAATCGATGCGCAACTAGGTGGAGCACATCTTGCTGAAGATAGCTACTCCTTGCGTACAACGCGGGGGAGCTACACCACTTTAGTTAAGGCATTTGACTCGTTATCACGATTCATGCCCGTCTCCTCACCTAGTCAGAAGTAAGCACAACTCTGGATAATGAATACCGTTGAATATCGATTTTTTGTCCAACCAGCGCCTCATAATTTTTCAATTCAAGAGACACGAAGATGCTGCATCTTCACCACTGTAGTCAACATTATTTTTGGTAAGCACTCCTAGTCACTATGTTCTTTGTTTTTAGTTGCAGTTATTTACTGCGTTATCTCAAGTAGTGCATACTGTTATTTTAGGTAAGCGGAGGAAACTGGCACGAACAAGCGCTAACGTATTTGGAACAGACGAGGCCGACGCGACGTCAGGTGGGCGAGTGGAAACGAGGATTGAGACAACAGATTTAGCAAGCGATGCCGCTGTTTTGCGTGCACAGGCGCGTCGGGTCGCGCGTTTGTTCTCTCCACCTGCCCAGACGCAGGGCTGGGGGCATTCGAGGGATTCTGCAAATGCTCTAGAAAACAGAAACCTGCTCAGCAACAACATCCAGGACTGCCTTTTATCGGATTTACCAATGCAGAATCCGAAATCGTCAGCTTATTTTGACAGAGCTGAGGCAGCAAGGCTTGCTCGATCCAGGATAAATGTCGCGGAAGCAAAGCCTCTGAGTCTCGTTCGGATCGCGGTACCTCAGAGGTTTCTGCAAAGTTCGACAGTAGCCCAACCGGAGTTGGTAAAATTCTCACCTTCTGGCAACCAGCACAATGTGTCGATGTCGCAAGCACATGATCATGAAGGAAGGAGAGGGAACGATCATCAAAGTAGAGGTGGCGAAGCTGAAGGTCAACGAAAAAATGAAAACACTAATCAACATGATGTTGAGAATACTACTCATGATATTACTGCTGCGACGTCCCAAAAACAAGGAGAAGGAACTCAATCGCAGTCGTCCTCTTCCTTCGTGGATGCAACTGTGGCGTGGTCAGTTGCACCATCTCAGCTAGTTCAGCACCCTCCGCGTTGGTCTTTGCTTTCCTTGACACTCACAGCGGGAATGTACGCACTGCCGAAAATCGTCAAGTACAATACTTTGCTCGACGCGGCTGCTGGAGAGCCATCGATGGCAGCGAAAATGAATCAAGATGTGAATCGCGCTATTGCAGCGGCTTCTCAGGCCATTATGCACTTGTTACAATGTTGCAACGTAGTTTTAGTCCTATGTGATTGGATGTGGATGTTTTTAAAGTGGAGAATGAAGAAGGACATGCCTTTCAGTTCTTGGACGCACATTTGTTGTATGAATCGGGCTGCGCCCCCCGCTCTAGGTTATACTTATATTTATATATATAATATAGTCTCTTTTTCTTCAGGAATTCGCCGATAGTGAAGCAGGTCTGCCTCATTAGATCTCTGCTCAGTGTCAATCGTGCTTGCATATTTAATGGATATCTTGGAGATGGGAAATTCCAGCACCTCTGTCCTGCCCAGTTGCTCTAATGCCAATCAAGACCGAGCAGGCGCGGCTCCGCCCCCGGTATTAGCATCTGCTTCCCCAAGCACATCAGATACGAATCCGTCTGCAACCTCCAGCGATCGCGTGCAATCAGGGATCGTAAACGGTAATAGGATTGTCCTGACGCGTGTTTCAGGTGGCGACTCATCAGACACCGCTGTTAAGGATAGACTTCAGATCCCTACTTCAAATTCAATGTCAATTTAGATATATGTTCCAGGGCTCAGGGCTGAAGGCCCCCCCGATCTAGTAAGGCGAGGGAGAAGGCCCTCAGCGGGCCCTTTTTGTGGAGGACTGCCGGGCGGGAAGGCCTCCAAAAACCCATCTGCGGCCAGGTGCGGCCTCCTGCATCTACCCTGTACAGAACACCCAGCGCCCGCGGCCAGCGTTTTTAGGCCGGGTGATCTGCTGCTGTGCCTGGTGGTCTCCTGCGGTGCCTCGTGGTCTCTTGCTGTGCCTTGTGGTCTCTTGCGGTGCCTCGTGGTCTCCTGCTGTGCCTTGTGGTCTCCTGCGGTGCCTCGTGGTCTTCTTGTCTACGTGTGCTCTACAGATCGGGAGCGCGTCCCTCCCTTCGGTCAGTTCTCTTTGCCGTTCTCTTCCACCACTGTGCTGCGCCACAGGCTACCACGACACAGCTGGGCGCTTCTCGTCGCTCGTTCCTTCTTCTCTCGTCCCTCGTTCTTCTCTCGTCCCTCGTTCCTCTCTCGTCGCTCTTCCACCACGGTGCTGCGCCACAGATCCATCCACAGGGGGGGCTTCCCTCCCTGGTGCATATTTATAATATCAGTATGTCCCAGGGCTCAGGGGAGCGGCCCCACCCGAGCGCCGGGGGGGGCCGTGGATCCTCGGACCCCTTTTGGAGGCGTCTGCCGGGAATGGAAGGCCTTCAAAGGGGTCCAAGGGGCCGCCTCCACTCCCTTCTAGCTGCCTGCATGTACCCTACAGGCTTCCTATTTGTTGGCCTCTCGCCGCAGCATCACGGTGCCGGGGGTGTAAGGCCTCCGAACCCAAAGGCAGCAAAAAGCGCAAGGCTGGACCCGCTGAGCCGGGTGGCCTGTACCCTTCGGGCCCTTGGTCATCGGCTTGCTGGCTCTGTCTTGCCGCGCATTTGGCGACGGCAACCCAGCCAAAGAGGCCAGGCCTCGCGACCGTCGCCGCGTTCGGCGGCTTTCTACCCCGGCTGCCTCCGGCGTGGGAGGGTCGGCAGATGCTGGGACGTCATTCGGGAACTTCAAAGAGGCGCAAGGGGGCGCCCGCTCCCAGTTTTGCCGCCTTCCTCCCCAAGAATCCGCGAAAAGTAGCGCGGAAAGGAGCGCGCCAGCGCCATCACCGGGCCAGCCACAGGGGGGGGCGTGCGTCCTTGTAGCCTATATGCATGTATTAAGTAGGCGTCGTTCGTTTGATTTGTTGAAGCTAAGCGCCGGAGTGAACCTGCAGCTCGTGCGCTATCGTCTCTTCAACATATAGGATGAGTACCAAAACTGTTGATCTTTCCGAGTGAGCGTGGAGAACCAAGAGCAAACAGAAGTACTTAGGTAGGTAGGAAGGTAAAGAGAAGATGAAGCTTCTTGTTATAATTAGGAGTGTTTATCTTGAAAGGAACTACTCTTGCTAGAATAGTGCTGTTGTGTGAGAAAACACGACAAGTTCTGGTTCTAAAAATGACAGCGGAGGATTATGGGCCCGGCTCTTCGGCCACCGCGGTGCTCCAGAAGCAAACACGTCTGAGGCACTGGAGGAGCAGAAGAACCAACTCGGGTATCGTCTTCAGATGTTGATGCAGCAAGAGGCGGAGATCGCCGGAAACGCTGTGCTACCGATTGAGCTTGATTTGCCTACGGACGTTTTTCCTGTTTTTCATAGCAGTTTTGTTTGCCCGGTGAGCCGCACACAGAGTACAGTTAAGGACTCATGATTCCGTCTTTACAGTACCTTATTTTCACTTCCATGGAAGAATACGTAAACGTAGAATACATAGTCATTGCATCGAAGCCTTTGCGTCGATTGCTTTCTTGTGTACATTTTATTGAGGAGGACTGTATAAAGTTGAAACAATAAATATGAATATGAACGAAATGACAATAAGCAGGTAGAAATGCAACATCAACCGCACGTACTATGTATAATTGGTATTTTAAGAAGATTTAGACAGAAGTAGATGCATGTTGCTGTCCGCAAGCTACTATAGCACAGCCTTACACTTACTTCTAAAGCAAAGCCTTGGGCTCTCGGCTGTGGCCACGTAATCTCAAAGGCGACATTGGATCGCCTCTCGCGTAGCACGCGTCGCGCATTCAAGTGTCCAGTCTGTCCGACACAGCAAACAGTTGCGCAGTCCAAAAAACTCGTGTTTGGACCAGAATTTGCGTAAAGTCTTTATACAACTACACGAAGAGGATACTTTTGTTGAAATATTAGGAGAAGCTAGATTTGTTGGAAGAACAAGCACAAGAACCATCAAAAAATGAGGCCTTGTGGACGCGAATAAATTTTTTCAAATTTGTAGAATTTTTTGGTTTTTCTTGAACAAGTACTAGCACTAGAGAAAGTAAGAAAAAGAAACGTCCCCCAGAAGGAACTACGAAATCCCTGTGATGACGGGAAACTCAGGAGAATAGATCCAGATGCAAAAAAAGAAATCGAAACATAGAAAGAACAGAGTGAACAACTCGACAGATGATTACAAGGAATCTGAATCATAATACCTTCACCATGGTGAGCTGCTTAAGAAATGGTCGAGGAACCCTCGAGACTATGTATTAGTGCATCATGCTGGTGAAGGCTATACTAATAATTCCTCTGGGCTTGTCGTTCATCTCCACGGACGCGCTCGCTCCTGTGTTATGTTTGACAGAGGACAATCCCTTTGATCATGCTCCTGAGTTCGATCTCCTTATATATCAATTATACTGCGGTCCGGATTTTCTGGACCCTAGTCTCACCGGTGTCTGTGTTGCGCACAGCTTAGGGATGTTCTACTGCTGTTGTCACTGTTCCGGAATTGGAATTCAAATAGCACGTCCGGCAAGGACTTCCAACCCACTGTGGCTGATCAACGATAAGATGTTTTGTTCTTGGATCGATCAGCTTTCGACGTTTCCTGAATGCGAACTAGTGTAATCACGATATGAGTATCATATTTTTTTTTGGCTTGAACCTGCCAGCGAACCCGCTTCGGCTCTTCTATACGTTTTGTGATTCTCGGACTTTACGTCGGGTTGCTCTTTCGCTCAATTGATTCAGGTTGGTAGGTTCCCTAATGTGGTACGGTCATGAAGTAAACAAAATAATTCGTTGACTTTTCTGATTTTGTAGATTGATGCTCTTTGTGTCATCAATATGTAAGTTCTGCTTTTGCGTTTCGACAGGTGATTCAGTTTCATAATTTTTTGGTTTCTTTTGATGATATAGTGTCGACCAAGTGTGTCATTATCTAAGACAGTGTCTCTGTGAGAAATGTGCTCAACTGATGTAAATTATTTTTAGATGAAGATATGAGTATGACAGCTAGTGCTAGCTGATATGTATGGAGGTATTTCATCACATTTTCTTCGCAGAGTCTTTTTGTTGCTTGTGAAATGTAAGAGTTTCAACTAGGACAAAACAACCACGTCGTGAGTTCGGGTACGTAATACTTTCCTAGTGAATCCTCTTTCATCTTCAAGCTTCAAGCATCGTCGCAAGTCCCTTCCTTTTCTCCTGTTTCTTTAGACATATTAAAGTTTAAGGGAAATAGGATGGTGGGTCCCCGTGTTCTTCAGCAAGGTTTCAGTGCTTCTTCTGGATCGGGGATGTGTCGCGACGATTTCGAGACCACGTGTGACGTCACAATGACAGAGGCTGCTCCTTCCTCGACCGCGACTTATAATGCTACTACGAGAAACGGATCGGTAGTAGAGGGAGCGCAAACAACATCACAGCAACTAAAAGCAAAGCATGAGGACCATGAGAATCAATTACTGATACCTTCCGTTTCGACATGTAGTGGCTCGTCGACAAGTGCAGGAGAAGATATTATCCATGGAGGACGACGAGGTGCGGGCAAGGCCAACAGTAGTTCTTCCTCACAGGGTCGTAAAGAGGACGTGCGCATAAGAAGTAATAAGAGGAGAGACCGCGATGCCGCGAGCAGCGACGGACTTTACACAAATGGCTCTAGAACTGCTGGCGGCAACCCGAGCGACGAGATGCGCCGGGACGATCTTGAGCAAGACGCATCTATGATGATACAGAGTAAAGAAGCTGCAGTTCCGCTTCATCGGCATAATATAGAAGGCCGGCAGGGTCTGAACCAGCAAGAAAGCCCGATGAGTCGACAGCACGATGGGAGGACAGGCACTTGCTCTCGCTCGGAAGACGACGGAACTTCTAGTCCAGAGCTGCAGGGAGGACATCAATTACATCAGCGTCAAGACGATGATCTGCAAGTTGTCGGACAAGAATTTGAGTTACATGTTGAAGACCACGATGACGACGAGGACTTGCTGATATCTTCGACGGATGTTGACGCGGATCAGGTCGACCCCTTATCCGTCGTAACCTTCGTACGCGAAGTACCTTTCAAAGGTCGGTGTCTCTTTTCAGATCGTCCTTATCGCGCCGGATCCGAAATTTCGCCTGAGGGACCGGTCTTAGTGGCAGTCCAGAGTCGCCACAGAATGCTCTGGTCGAAGCTAGAGCGAATACACAAGCACCAAGCGTTCAATCTGGGGACTTTCACTTTCCACTACGCCGCTGTCTTGTCTCTCCTCTTTCTGAGGGAACAGGAAATACGTACTTCTTTCTATACATTGTGACTTTTTATTTGTTGTTTTTATGTCTTGATGATTCTTTCTTGCAAGAACTGTACTTGATCCCGTTCATGATGTGTAGTCATGATGTCCTCGAAAAGTTAAAGTGTGATGACTTCTAGAAGTGCTTGGTGCGGTTCGATCATGAAATGTACTGTGCCTTACGTCTCTTAACAGGTATCATTTTAGACAAATTTGTGCCTGAAGCAGATGAAAGAGATGAGGGCGTTCGCGAGGACGTCCGGCGCATAGTAACCGGCTTGGATTTCACGAAGTTACGTAGTGCTTCCGGTGTTGTCTGGCCTGATCATATTACGAGAGCAGAAGAGGATGCTGATGATTTAGACGAAGGAGGACGACTGCATCAAGGAGGGGCATCAGGTCGCACAATCTCATCTTCTTCTACCAGTTCCAGAACGGTTGGTGGATCGTTGCCGCGTCTTGCGAGGCCAAATAGTTACGAATTTACGCAGGACTTGATTTTCAAACTGGTAGGCGCATGGAGGTATAATTCTTTCGGGCACCACACAGAAGAGGGACTTGTTTTGTACAATCGCATTAGTATGTGCGCGCATAGTTGCGACCCGAACTGCTGCTGGACGTACGGCGAGGGAGACAGCTTTGTGTTGCGGGCGCGGAGATTCGTTGCAGCGGGCGAGGAGATCACGATATCTTACCTACAAGACGACGACTTACTGAAAAGCACTGACGTAAGGCGAAAAAAACTCGAAAATTGGAAATTCTCGTGCAAGTGCGATCGATGCGAGGTACCTATCATACATTTGTATTATACATCACTGCCCGAACGGTTGACGATTAAAAGAATAACAAGTATTTACTAGGTTGTGTCCCTGGTCGTGCTCTTGTACGTGGAGGTCTTAAGTAGTTATTCGCTCTTGGTTGCTGTTACTGTTAGTTTTCAACGGACGACATGGAAAATTCATGATGAGGCACAACAGGTGTGTTGCTGGTTTTTATCGTCGAAAGCAATTAGAAAATTAATATCTTAATCTTTATCAATGAAAACCGTACTACAGGAGGCGATCGACTCTTGTCGTGGATTTCGCTGTCTCCAGTGTCGTACTGGCGGACATTTAGTCTACGCCAACGCCGATCCTGTGGCTTTAACGAAATGTGACGTTTGTGGCGAGAACTGTGACGACATCGACCAGATCATGCGTTTAGAGCCTGAATATCAGGAGAGGATCCTCGGTTTGGATAAGAACAACATCACGGATGTGCAGCTCGTGTACCAGGCGAGTTTAGACTTCTTCCACCCGCGCCACTGGTGCCTCTTCATGCTCGAGAACATGTTGTACGAGCACTTCAAGGAACGCGCTGCGAAAGAAGTACCACCAAGTCTTTTCACTGCGACTTTCGGAGGCGCAGGCGCAACCTCTGCTCCTTCGAGGAACAACAATAGTGAGCAAGAAAATGAACAACCAGAAGGACAACAGCTCAGCTCATCAAGACCTTCTAGCGAGCAAATGAGCAATAGGCAACAACAAGAAACCTCGATGGTAAATGGCACATCCTCAGCAACTGAGGATCCCTTGTCTCCTGACAGCAAAGGAGCTATGGCACTACAACAGGGATCTTCTTCCGATTCGAACTCGACGTCGTTCTCCTCATCTTCAAGTTTAAGTAGACCTGGGTGCCCGAGAATTGTGCGGGACGAGGATATGCTTAAGCTTTCCCAGACCGCGCGGTCGATTCTTCAGAGCTGCAATGCTCATTTGTGGAACAAGATTCAGTTCCACGTGCGCAGTTTTCCCCGACCTACGTTCATATGGGCTTGGGCGCTGGAGGAACATGCCGATAGGCGTATGCACTTGATAGAAATTGCGGCTGCTGAAGCGGAAGCAATGTCAAGAACAGTACCTTCAGCTTCTGGAGCGAGGGATGGTTCACTTGCGGGAGGAGGCCAACAGCCGTCAGCAAATGATCTCCATGCTTTGAAAAAACCAAAAACGGCCTCCAGCTCGACAACCACTTCTTTTTCGTGCGGTCCTTTCCCAGCAGGATCTCCAAGCTTAGCAGGGGCGCTACCGAAAGTTCAGATAGAATCGGCTGCGTCTATTCCGCAGGCGCTCTCAAGCGCACAAGTTGCCGAAGTGATGGGACAATACAAGCAGGCGCACGCTTTAGTTAGTATCCTATGCGGCACAGATCACGAATTCGTTAAGATTGCCCTCCAAAAAGCGACATTACTGCACCAGTGTTTCCACTCGCGATACAACGCGACTCCCTTAGCTGCACCGTCCCCTACAACCTAAGATCATACGATAATGAGAATCTTGCCACGTAAGGATCCTCAAGCGCCATAATTCAACATTCTCACGTGTTATATCGTGGTCCTCGAATGAAAGATGCTGCTGCTTTCTAAAATGAGTTGAGAAGTGCTGTTTTGAAAGTTCATCCTAGGACTGGCACGATCGATCTCGTAGGATTTCCATACTCCACCTTAGCATTTTACTTTCTTTTACCCTTCGATGACTATGTGTTGACCTCACCCGCTCCGGCATCTCTGCTTGTTTAAGTAATGAGATGACCCTCGACCACGACGACTGTAGCTCGCAATCGCTGTTCAACCCATATCTAATGAGTATATCAAAGCGAAGCAATACTTGTCATGCTAGTGGTGCGTGGAAGGTTATCCGCGAAAACTACTATAAAAATTAATGTTTCGAAATTGTTTAGATGGAAACTCAGAGTTGTAACTGCCGCGAAGTGTGGGGGAAGCCAACGTAAATCTGGTAGTAGCAACTTTCACAAAAAATGCGGTTTGGCTTTGGGACCATGCAATTATCGTTTGCTGGAGGGAGGGAGAGAGACAGAGAGTGAGAGCTGCTTGTCGCGAGCGGTAGTGGAATCACCTAATGCAAGAATGAATGGGTTTGATGGAGCTTCATCTTCGACCGTTAAAATCAAAATGAGCATCTCGACATTTGGAGCCGAACCTAAAGCACCAGGCACCGTTGACGGACGGACTTCTGCGGACAAGGTCAAGGATCAAAATGAAGCCGCTGGAACTGGTACGTCACCCACGAATGAAGAAGGAGAACTGGCGAAACCGGGACAAGAAGAATCAGCAAGCAGCAAGATCGAAAAAAAAGAGTCCACATCAAATAGTGCAGGAAAGCAGAACTGTTTTGCGGCAAGTTTCGGAACTCCGGAAGCAAGATGGAAATTTCTTGTAGATTACCATCTGCAAATCTTTCTCTATTGCGCCTTTGTAGTCGGCCTCAGCATCCCCGCTATTGGCGAAACCTTGTCGGAACCGAAAACGGAAATCACTGGCCGTGTGGTTCCGTATCTGAATGTGGTCTTCGTCTTTCTGGTCACTGGGTCTCGGATCCGAACGGAGGCCTTCATCGCTGCGCTACGAAAGCCACACTTTCTTTTTTTAGGCATGTTTCTCATCAATGTCTACACGCCTTTCCTAGCGCATGCGTGGATACGACTACCGCTGCATCCGAAGTCCTTTGCTGGGGGACTGGCACTTTTCACGGTAGCGCCAACGACGATCACGAGCGGCGCTACCTTCGTCGCGAACTGCCCTGGGACGAGTCGGGCATCGGAACTAGCGCTGCTCCTCACTGTCAGCACCAACCTCATAGGCTGTTTCACGGTGCCGCCTCAACTCGGTACAACTATAACAATTACTTAAGTGGATACTGTTAGTACGTGTCTTAAGTAGCTCCTCGTCCGTACTTCCTTTGAAATTGAATTCTTCATTTTCCTCTATAAAAATTGTAATCACTAAGACGTGTCTTTGTGGTTATACTGAACATTCTTGTGTTAAGTATGTTAGACGTTGCATATCGAGCATCCAGTTGGTATCACCTTTTGCAGGTCTGGTTCTCGAGGGTTATCCGAGTTTTAGTGGTTCGAGCGATACTAGTGACGTGAACATCGATGTGGGCAAATTGTTACTGCGACTGGTGCTGTCCTTACTCGTGCCCTCCGGTATCGGGAAGGCCTTCCAGGTAGGCATGGACCACAAGTATAGTGGCAGTATGACCAAATTTTTGAAGAAGTACAAGAGTCAGGTCACACTGGTGAGTAACGGGTCTCTGGTGATGATAGTTTGGCAGGGTGTTTCGCGGGCGCAAAAAGAAATTACAAGTCTGCCGATTGGCGATCTTCTCATCTGCCTGGTGTGCGGCGTGCTTCTGCACATAGTTTTGTGGATCGTGAACGGAGCAGCGCTCACAGTGCTGATGCCCATTGTCGTGCGCCTGCGAAGGCGCAGTATCTTTAAGGCTGTACAAGATGCGGCCATGTCCATAGTCGTCGTGTCGCCGAAGCAGGACCACGACGATCTACAGAAAGACGCAGGCGATAATTCAAAGTTGCAAGTAGATGATAAAGATGCCATTCGCCTTCAGGAGGTGGACCCGATGAAGAAAGATTTACACTCATCTGAAAAGGATACGGCAGGCTGGTTAGGCGATTTTGAAGCAGAGGATCAAAAGGAGACTCTGCATGCGCATCGGGCACTCTTTCTCCTGTCCTCGCAAAAGACGCTGCCGGTTAGTCTCGCAGTTTTGGCGGGCCTCGAGGAAGGCACACTTGGCGCCGCTGGGCTAGTGGCTATCCCCTGCATCTTTTCTCACTTTTCGCAGCTTACGATGGATGCTTTTCTCGTAAGTCATTGGAAGAAGCTGGCGCTTGCGGAAAAGGAGAAGAAGGCACCTTCAGATGCAGAATAGCCAAGATTCGGTACGTTGACGTGCTTTCGAACTTTCCAGTGTTCGTGCTTAGTGTTGCCAAATGGTATCTTAGCATGAGTGATTTGTTGAAGAATCCATACCCCATGAATGGGTACACTACTACTACTACTACTGTAGTCAGCGCCGCTCACGATACGTGATAAGAGATCGACCATAAGAAAAGCAGCGATGCTCACCGTGTGCGCCTTGAAATGCGCTTCATTGTTTTCCCGCCGCGTTGCAGCACGCGCTCGGTGGGATGCTTCTGCATCACTAACGCGTTGCACGTCGGATCCCCGCGGGGCTCGGCTAGCGTGGAAACCTGCTTCTTGATGAAGTTCGGATTCTCCATCCTTCAACGTTGCATGCGTAACAGAGGCGACGGTGAGCACTTTCCTTCGAGAGCCGCACAGTAATCGGTGGATTTGAAGCCAACAGGACTTGTTTGCAAATTTTTATTTGAGAAGCATAAGGAATGAGATCCCGTGAATTGCGTCTTTTTCAAGTTCAGTCAGTGGATTGCAGCATCAAATATGGCTGCAGTTGTAGGTGGTAGGTGGGGGCTGGTATTTGACCTCATTCTACTCTTGAAATTTTGTGAGCCAGATTATCTTTATCATTAATCTCGGATGTTCAGCTTTACCTTTAGATCGACACGACTTTTTAGTACTTCTAAAAACACTATCTAAAAATTTGAATTTCATTATCACTACGTACAAAACAAGCGAAGGTGAATTTCAGAACAACAACTAAGCCGACAAGCTCCACTTCTCGTAGTCACATTGCGTGTACAGTTGGGACGAAATTCAAATTGATCTCTGGAGAATATGAATACATCACACCTTTCGTGGAGAGGTGCTCTGCCTTGCGCGCGTTTAGGTGGAGATATTAATACTGTAATAGAGCTGGTCTCAAATGAACATATGTGGCACTCCTGTCAAGCCGACGCTACTCGGCTTGAACAATAAATCGTCGGGGATTTCTCCTCATCGGCGTTTCGCCAGTGGACCGCGCGTTGTTCCTTGTTGACGAAAAAACGGGTGCTCAAAGGTAGTAAAGATTATGACAGAAACAAAAGACGAAGATCCTCAGGTAATTATACCGTAACAAGCTTTAGCTTTGAAGTATGGCCGAAAGCGGCTTTTTGTATGATTGTGGCGCTCATCTTATTTCTTTTGTGCATCGCTTGTTCTGTTACGATTACGATATGATGTAGGTGTTGGTCTGCTTCTTAGGAGGGCATCGGCTGGAAATAGTCATGATCTTGTCAATGTCTACCCCGAGGAAGTCGACACAAAAGTTTGACTCGTCAAGAGCTAAATCAAAGATCACGCCAGCAGAAGCATCACGTGCCGCAAAGGGCTGATTTTTCGAAGACGGTGGTCGCTCAAAACGATACTGCCGCGGGAGTCCTGCAATCGCACACCACGAAATTGCGATGTTTTCAGTATGTGCGGCTGCGAGTAAAACAAAATAAATAAAGTTCCATGGGTTGGCGCTCTAATCTTCGTCTATCAGATCCTGCAAGAAAATGCTGACTTCCCATCTACTTATACTTCGTCTGGTTTTCCTACGACTAGTTATTGTCGGTGGTGAGAAAAGCGGCACTTCCTCGACAGCCATACCAACACGAACCACTTCGGCGAAAGGCAGCAAAAGCAAGAGGGAACCCGTACATTTTTCGTTGGATGACGTATTAACCGAGCATCCGGCATCACGAGAGGATTTTGACCCCTATTAAGGCTCTAGAAAAAATGAAAATTGGTGAGCAGATGATTGTGATTGCTTCAGTAGCACTTGACACTTCTCTCGACGGAGTTTTTCATTTTCTTCAACAGCAGACTTTCTTCAACAGCAGATTTCGGATTCTGAAGCGAAGACAGAAGAAGCTACATTTTCACGATAAATGACTTTTATTTGCGAGCTCTAACGTTACGAACACGGTCCGGCGCATGGTGTAGTACATTACGCAGTAAAGAGGACTTCGACAAGTAAAGACCTTATCGAACGTGGAAAAACAGAGAAGAACTACTTCGGGAAAAACCTCGTAGCGGAGGAAGATAAAGAATACGCAATTCGTATCGGGAGAGTGATCGAGTTATGATTTGGCATGGTTCAAGTCCGTGTTTGCCTCTTCAGAAGTGTGCTAGGCCGGGATGAGGATTACTGTTTACTACAAAAGGTTGTGGAGTTTGATTTTGAAGTGATCCTGATCGTCATCGTTTATTTTCATTCTTTCTCTTCATTCTTTGTTCTCATTTTTTGTCCTCATCTTCATAACAGTAAGCAGTATATTAAGGCCTTCTCCCAAGAAGAAGATACATCCTCGTCTTTAAGTTTGGAGTTAGAGGCCGAGTGTGGCAGTCGACGCATTGGACTGACTCTCGGAGAGCAGAAGGGACAAGCACTAGAAGACGCTTCTGCTGAACGGTTACACGTAGAACAAGCTTTGCGCCTGGAGAGCGTACTACCCGTAGCCGCGAACCAGAAAGACTCTAGTATCTCGAATACGAAGAGTGAAGAGACGAGTACCACTATCATAACGAACACGACATGCTTGGACGAGAATTGGGATTTCAACATCCTTGAATTCGGTTCACACATCGGTGACGGAACATTACGCTTATTGCGGCCATTGGTGGAGCGTCTTTTCACGTCCTCATCTGCAGGGAGGGATACGAGTTTCCCGACCGCGGCGGCGAAGCAATCCACATCATCCAAGTCCGATCTTCAACGGAAGGTCAAGATAATCGCTAAGAATACGTTTCCCAACCGAGTCAATGTGCTGTCCACGGAAGAAAACATGAGTTGGCAAACGGAAGGTGCGAAACTAGTGCGGCATGCATTGAACTTTGAGGATCCGGGAAAAACGTATACTGTGACCATACTTTTTGATGTAGTAGTCCGTCGTAGATGTGGCTGTAGAAATGAAAAATGTTGATCGTAGTGTAGTCCGTTTTTATGAAATAATTAATGATAATTCTTGTGGTAGACGATGAGCTTTCATCTTTCTACCAACATCTTCATGGGATGAACCTTATTCTTCCTTCATCAGTTTTCCGACCTGCTCCTCTCTCACATTGGAGAAGGGCAGGAGCAAAGGCAAGAACGCGCAGCGGCCTCTCGCAGACTTTGTGCACTATTCTGCCCTGCACTTCTCTGGTGAGGAGGATTTTCAGAGTATAGTGCCCGCCTTGCAGAGTCACGTGGACGGAGGACGATTTGATATTGTGATGCTCGATCACGAGTATCCCGAACGTTTTGTCGATGATGTCGAGGACCTCGTTTTCGCCGACGCCCTCAACGACGGCTGCCTCGTCATAGTCGACAACATGCTGCGCAAGGCGGACACTCTCGAGCCACTGCGGCGATATCTCGAACATGGCTCCGGGTTTATGGCGGACCTGAAGAAGCAAGACAAGAAAGCGAGGTGGTGGTTTGCCGACAGAGAGGTGGTAGAAATTCATGTCCCCTACCGCGACCGCCTTTGGATAAACAAATTCGACAGACAAGCGTGGATAAAGCTCAGAGAGACATACGAAACATCCGGCAAGAAGCGGAGACGCAGAGGCGGCCATGACGAGCTGTAAGAATCTTCATATTTCATTGAAGTTGATCTTCTACGCTTTTAAGACCGCAGCTGACACTCAACGAATGCAGCCTCTACTTGGATCGTCGACTCACAACCTAGTTGATGTGCGATAATGATCAAGCGTGAAACAGTTTGGTGCTACATCTTGACGAACAAAACAGTCCTCCTGTCTGCAGAAATATTACTAGCGCTTTGTCCGTCCTCTAAGTGCCGTGAATCGTAATGATCTTAAAGGGGCTGCTCTTGTGATCAAGAATATGTTCGACTCGATTCAATCCCGAAACAAGGAAGGTAGAACGTGCTGAGTCTAACCAACCTCAAGCAAGCTCCTTACTATGGTTACTGTTACACACGATGTTGAATGCTTAGACAAGAACAGGATCAACCTGGTAGCTGATCTGATACGAGAATCCGGGAGATCGATACCATCAAGAAAAGATCCTTTTCCAAGGTCGGAATTTTGGTACATGATTGGTAAATGTTATGTTAAGCTCTTTCGTTGCTACTTATGACAGTAAAGCACGTCAATCTTGAAAAGCGAACCACCTACCTGATAGATTAACTGTCAGGGTCAAGATTCAGGTTGTACTCCGAAAATTCAGATTATGAGCTAGTGCGTCGTGATGTAATTCACTGGCCTTTTTACAACTGTGGCACTTCTAGTTGTAAAAACGAGGCATCCGTACAACTACTTATTCTGTTGCCTTTTTTTTCTATTTAGAAGGAATAGGAAAGAAAAATGCCGAAGAAAACTAAGACCAACCGGCCACAGGCCTTGGAACTGGATCCGGTATTTGAGCGATACTACCGAACGAATCTGGGTGATGACACCTTCGAACAGTTCTGGGAGGCTTCAAAAGAACCGCTGCCTTGCGTCGTGAGGCTGAGAGGTTACCCACAAGAGCAACATCACGCACCAGCACCCGCAGCCGGATGCGAGAGTGCCACAGTGCAAGACCATCAAGGTAAGGTACAAGAAGAGGTTCAGCAAGTGCAAGCTCCCAATGTTGGGGTTGAGACGTCACGACTTCAAACTAGAAATGCAGTGTTGCGTAGTGTACTCTTGAAACGAGGATGGGAACGTGTAAAATGCACAATATCATCAAAGCACAGTAGCGATAAAGATGGGGGTTTGGACTCCTCGTCGATGGTTGAGGCATATGCTCTTTCGTCAGCGGCTTACGCTTCCTGCGCACCGTCGTCCCTGGAGGAAGGGGAACAAGATAAGACAGGGACAGGAAACGTTGAGCAGGAAAACGCTTCAAATTCCCGTGTTTTCTGTGAAATGCAAAACCGTCGAGGGTGCTTGCAGTTTGGCGAAATCGCTTCGATGGTTCCCGTCATCGCTTTGGCGCCGAAAGCGGGCGAACGCATTCTAGACCTGTGCGCCGCGCCAGGAAACAAGACCCTAGCTCTCGCGGACGCCGTAGGTCAAGACGGGCTCGTCTGGGCCAACGACTATGACATCGAGAGGACGTGTTGGACCCTCACGCGACACACTGCGAAAGCACGCTCTGTCGGCGTAGCAATTAGCTGCTGGGATGGATGCACGCTCGGACGGAAAATTCTCCGAAGCGCAATTTCTAGTCAAGGGCAAAGTAAATTAGCAGCTTCACCACGTCAACAACAACTTCCTCCAGTTCATCCGTTTATTTTCGATAAGGTTCTCTGTGATGTTCCTTGTTCAGCGGATGGAACGCTGCGCAAGTATCGAGATACGGTCCTGGATTTCGAGCAAAAATTGAGGTACGCAGTGTTCACGCTTCACCCACTACAGCTGGACTTGCTGGAAACGGCCTTCTCGGTTGTACGTCCTGGTGGTGTGATCGCATACTCTACGTGCTCTCTGAATCCAGTAGAGAATGAAGCCGTGGTTCGTGAATTCCTTCGACGACATCCCCATGAAGCAGAGCTAGTGCCGATGTTTGAAGAAGACAAGAATGATGCGGTTGATGGGCTTGCGGAAGCGGATGACGCCTGTGATGTTGATGTTGCGCGTGAAGATAATTGCGCTGGGGATGAAGATGAAGTAGTTGGGAAGAAAACAAAGCGCAATCGAATTGCTGCACCAGAAGGAAAAGAGGATGAGACTGCTCTTCTTGTCCCCAATGAACCGACGAATCCATGTTCCTCTAGCCCTAGAACAAAGGACCACGATTCGTTCCCAAATGATTGTACCGGTACGTTGCGTGGTACATCGAGTTTTCAATGCCTGCGAGGACTTACAACATGGACGGACGTGGAGGCGTTTTTAGCAGAGGAAGAGGGAAGGCGTGAAGTGGAGCAAACCCCAGGTGGAAAAAGTAGTAGCGTTATCGCACGCTTATTTACCCCAAAAACCGAAGATCTACGAGATGATGATATTGGTGCGATACAGAAGAGCAAAGAAGAAGAGGAGGCCAACCACGACGAGACTGCGAAGGACTCATCTACTAGCTTCGCTTCAAAGAAGCGTGAAAAAAAGCAAAACCCGGGTACAAAGAAGAAGATCTTTCCGTCTTCCGTTTGTCCGCCTTCTGTGCCGGATGCAAGGTTGCGAGGGTGTGTGCGTGTGAGTCCCCACTTGGAGTCCGTTGCTGGTGGGTTCTTCCTAGCCCTTATACGGAAAAAAGACACAAATGCAACAATTTCTGATGGTGAAGATATCAAGAACCCTACTTCGAGCTCGAGTTCAACAATTCCGGAGAATGATGAGCAGAAGCTTCAGCAGGAGAAAGAAGAAGACGTAAAACAGCGACAACTTCGACAAGCCGGTTATTTCAAACGGTTGCGGGAGAAAGCGAAGTGGCGTAGAGAACTATCCTCAAAATGGGCACGGTTCTTCACTTCAACCTACGACGAATCTCTCCTCACCGGCTTCGACTCCGAGAGCCCATCCGGAGCAAATGCAACGTCGGATGATGTTCTTGATGCGACCCAGAAACAGAAACCACATGCGAAAGAACCATGTGGTGAGACACCAGTAAGGCAAGAAGGAGAGAAAGAAGAGCAGAAAAAGGCAGAACAAGATTCTAAACATCACGTCACTCCATGGGACTTTTATGGGATATCACGAGAAAGCATTCCCGGGGGCGAGAGTAGTGTGTTTTTTCACACATCACGAGGACACAAGTGTCCGCGCAAAGTTTGCGTGGTCGCAGAGAAATTGACTCCTATTGTGAACAGCGTTCTTGCTAACGACGAGGAGGAGCGTAATCGTTTGAAGCAGCAACGCGAAAACAAGCTGAACCTTAGCAAGGAAGCCAACCAGAAGAAGTCTACTGGGTTGAAAACTTCAAACGGGCAAGGTCAATTCCAAGACATGGATGATCCAGAACTTGGCTTCGCCTTGCCCTTGATTCAGCTAGGTTTGCCACTGTTTAAGCGGGAACGCAACGAGAAGTACATGCGACACCTTCGGTGCCGCTACCGTCCGACTCAGCGCATGATCGATTTTTTGCTCAAACACCAAACAAAGCGGCGCTTGGCCATTACTAGTTCCCCTGCAACATCTACACCATTTTCTCGCGTCAGTCCCGATCATGGAAAGGATGAGAATCTTTCTGCTTCGTCTCGCAAGAACATGGGCAAAAATAATGACTTTGTGGAGTTTCTATCCCGGGATGCAAAGGAAGGGCTACCGATGGCAGAATTTCTGCAATGGGCCAAGAAAGGCCGCATCTCCGGGATCGAAAGCTTGAACGACGAGGTCGGGGCAGCCTTATTGACAAACGCTGCCGGTTCGCGTGGTGTATGCGTTTTTGTCACGAGCCAAAGAGTAATCGTCTACGCCGACCAGGATGAAGTTGATGCCTTGTTGTGGGAAGAGAAAATTACTGCAACTACTGCTCAGTAGTAAATGTTGCCAGGGATACGTGGTCTACAACAACAGAAGCCGCGACCGCAAATGGGGGGAACAAGTAGCCGTCGAGGTCAGACAGTTTCACCTCCCGTGTAGAGCAACTGGGGCAAATGAAACAGACTCAGCAAAGTGCTGGGGGATGTTAACTTCGATGATGCATGACACATTGTCCTCTAGTCCACAGATGAAAGGGAATTACCTACTGTACTGATACTGTGGTGTGAAAACAAACAACTGTACCTCCTGTATCCCAGTTAAAAGGAAGATGCCGTTGTACTAGTTCTAGTTGCGGGTTCCAGCCCCGCCTCTATTACAAAAAATCATTCCCACTGTTATATATAAGCATATTTGGTTTGCTTAGAACACTTGGATTTAACGCGTACAACAAGGCATTTGCGTGTCGACATCGTCTGTGAAGATGGTCTACTCTGTTTCTATCGGGTTGAAGCTTTCCATGCTCGGGCCTGTGTCGTATGGCTCTTCACACTCTAATCTCGTTGAAAACTCGTCGTACTATACATGGTGTCGATTTCGGTGATGTACAAATTCACGTCGTGGTTTCTGTGCCGGGATTTTGGACTCGGTACGTAGCATGAGTCGCTGAGAGTAGTGCATATGTTAAAGTATTGTAGGACCCATCGTGTGATCTAAAAAACGTCTCAGTCGCTCGTTTCGGTCCTGCTCGATGTAGATGAGAAAGTACTCACTTATCAATATTTGTATTATACGTTTGGAATCCATTTTCTAGGGGTGATTAAAGATTATATTTTATACATTTCTTTACGAATTTCCGTAGGTAGCAATATTCATTCCTTGAACTCTTCCCAACGAAAACGATCAATATTAGCGTACGCGTTTCCTTTTCGTTCTCCACTTAACCGTGAAAGGAGATGCATATTCTAAAACAAAGACGAGCCTTTGACCCTAAGGTCGTTAAGCAAAAAACCGTCTTTGCTTTCTCTTTCAATGACACTTGCTTGCCTCTCACCGTCTTCGTACAAAGGCCTTCCCTCCTTCTTGTTGTATGTGACCTTGAAGATTATATTTCAACCTTGACCTAGATATTTTTTTTTGGGCGAGTCGCATTCCGTTGCACCACCTTCCACCTGCGCTGCAACAACGTAATATACTTCTTGCACTTACAGCACGATTTAAAAGCAGAAGAGATCTTGAACTGGGTTTCCATTTTTCCCAGCGGTTCACATTCAACCAACAATAAGAATAAAGCACTTCGCTCCTGCTGCCTCATCTGACCAGCATGACATCCACGCGTTCTGCCTCACCGGCTGTGAGCCGCAAGTTCTCACTGCGCTCAGATAGCCTGTTTCCCTTGTCGAAGGAAGCTACTTCTTCTCCGGCGCCAAGCAGTACGCCACCGATGCTCTCACCGGAGCGGGCGGAGGGTGAGGCGGACGAAGCAAAGTTACAAGCAGTAGAAGGAGGGTTACGCAGAAGGAGAAACTAAGTAGACGAAATGGCTCTTGAGTGAGAGACGACGTAAGTACGTACATCAGTTTAGACAATACTTAATTATGTTAATCATTTATTTCAGGTTTTGACATTCTTCTATTTCTACCGCAACTTATACGAACACACTTCTACATATTACTAGCTTGGAGCGAGCGATAACACCCCCTCGCACTAGGATTCCCTCCTCGCCTCCCGAAGTAACCCGCGGAGCACTAAGCTCGCCCGCAATGCAACTTCTTGGATTTGAATTGCTCAAATCCAAAAGTTCTCGACTTTCGCAGGTTTCTCTGAAATTCAGTCTCTTGGATTTGAGAACTCAAACCCAAAAACTTTCGACTTTCGCAAGTTTCTCGCTGATTCAATCTCTTGGATTTGGATGGTTCAGGTCCGAACTCTTTCGACTTTGGCCAAAACATTCCGGAGCTTTTCTGAAGCTCGACCTCTTTCCTTAAATCTAAAATGTTTCGACTTTAACGAGTTGCGCTGAGATTCGATCTCTTTATTTGGAATTGCTCAAATCCAAAAGTTTTCGATTTTAACGAGTCTCGTCGAGATTGAATCTCTTGGGCTTGCATTCCTCAAATCAAAAATTTGCGACTTTAGCAAGCTCCTCCGCGATTCAATTTCTTGGAGTTCAGTTTCTCAAATCAAAAAATTTCCGACTTTGACAAGTTTCGCAGAGATTCAACTTCTTGGATTTCAATTCCTCAAATCCAAAAACTTCCGACTTTATCGAGCTTCTCTGGGATTGAATGCCTTGGGTTTGGATTCGTCTCAAACTCCAAAAGTTTTTGACTTTGGCAAGATTCTCGGAGATTCAATTTCTTGGATTTGATTCGTAGGGTCAACTTCTTGGATTTGAATTCCTCAAATCCAAAAATTTTTGACTTTAACAAGTTTGGCCGACATTCAATCTCTTGGGGTTCAATTCCTCAAATTCAAAAATTTTCGACTTTATCGACTTTTTCCGAAGTTCAATTTTTTGGATTTGAATTCGTCCCAAACTCCAAAAGTTTTTGACTTTCGCAAGTTTTTTGGGAATTCAATTACTTGGATTTGCCAAAATTGCGGGGGATTCGTAAGGTCAATTTCTTCGGTTTGAATTCCTCAAATCCCAAAATTTTTGATTTTAACAAGTTTGGCCGGGATTCATTCTCTTGGATTTGATTCGCGGGCTCTTATAAGTTCTTAAGTTCTTTCATAAGTTCAAATGTGAAAGAGTGAGAGTTTGGGGCTTGGAAGTGGGAGCGTGAGAGTTTGGCGGGGTTGTTGTTGTTTTTTAATTTAGCTTTTTAATATTATTACTGTAACTAGAGAAATAGTGTGAAGATCGAGCACTATCTAAGTATAGGAGAAGACGAAGAAGAACTACAGATAAGAACCGGTAAAGGCGGAAACAAAGCGTCGCCTGAGAGGCGGAGAAGCTCGACAGCTCTTATGGAGGTCACAGAAGTGTCACCAACATGTTTATCCCGCGATAGATTCGCGTAAGAGACGCGCTAGTTACGTTGTATCTCTCAAGCATATAAGTTTCGCGGCTTAGAGCGATAAAACTCTCTTCAAGAATTAGAGGAAGATGACGAGCGACGATTAACCAAAGAATTTACTTACTAAGAAGTGGTTCTTGTAGTTACCTCGAATAGAAGCGGGAGAAGCATGGTTGGAAAAGCCGATATTCAGCGTCGAACGATCGCTGTTCGCAGCGTAGCGGAACGGCAGAAGCACCGGGAAAAAACGCGTGAAGCTATTCGAACCTACAGGAAGCATCGTGACATAGCAGCAAAAGACACTGGAGAAGGCGATCTTTTGGCTCTCGCAGCACTACATCAGAATCATGTTCATAGAGCCAAAATCAATAGCAAAGGTGAAGGTGTGGCTGCTGGGTACGTCAACAATTCAATGAGTTTTCGATAGTTCCTTCTAGGCCTAGGAGCTACTAGTGACTGAACTATATTCGATATTATGAGCATTTTTTAGAACATCACAAGTAGTTGTAGTAGAATCGTCAAGTATTCGCATCGTCTTGGTCCAAGAATTAAGTTGAAGTAAAAGATAAAGAGCTACTCCCTGATGATACGTTTTTTATGTGCACTACCGTGCTGTTTTATACGTGAATGTTTCAGTGAAAATCTTTACGTCGCAGGGCTTCGCCTTCGTCACCGTCGGGGACAAGTGGGAAAGACGTTTCTCCCGGTAGCAAAGCCCGGCGTCTCATTTTGCTTGAAAGCGTCGACCTGTCAAAAATTAAGGGATTGAATGTCATTCGTGATCATCTTTATCAATCATTGCTTTTGCTATCGATGGACAATTATAAATTGTGTGTTGTAGCAAGAAAGAGAACGAGGTAACAAGCCGTCTGTTGCTAGACCGGCAAATTGTCCCAACCTCATCAAAACGTTCTGCTTAGTACATGATCTGGGCGCATTATGATTAGCGCTTATATCAATTGTCATGAGCTTCCAACAGTGACATCAATAGACAGATGAGTAACATAACCCACACACGTACTTGAATGAAGTAGCATGATTATCGCAGCCGATGTCGAAGTTTTCTCGATTTCCTATAATTCAAAAATTCTAGTCAGCAGATACGTAGGTACAAATTTTAATTTTAGTGAGTCATTTAACTCAACACTTTCGTAGAAAGTTAAGTAGAAATAAAAGGTAGGGACAGGTAGAAATGAGTATTCGAAAACTCAAAATACGCGAGTTGGAGTTACTGACTGAAATAAGAGGGTCTTGACTAGTACACTCCTCTTCTTTCAGTATCTCCCTTTACTCGGTTATTTCAGTTTATCGAATACGTACATCGAAGAACGAAACAAAATAAAGGCCCTTTCTCTAAGTAAATGGGTCTCTACACCTTGCAGCATTTGGAGTTCCGCAATGTCCGTACGTTGAGACTCACGCATAATCAGTTACGAGAGCTTCCCGTCCTGGATTTACCGACGCTCCAAAAGCTGGACCTATCCAAGAATTATGGGAAGTTTTTCGTTAAAATGCATTCATTTTCATTTGAAGGAAGTACTTCAACAGAAGATTCGTCGTCAACAGATGAGACGACTGTGGTAGCTCTGACTCAGCACAAAGATGATGAAATTATTAAGTGTAAGTGATAGGTTGGAGTGCCCCCCAGGAAGGCTCTACTTTTACATGAGCTGCTACTAGCTCTAAAATGCTCAGCTGACAACGACACGGAACCTCTTTCTCTGCGAGCATCTCGAGGAGCTTGTTTTCGATCAAAACCGTATCAGATGTGTACAGAATTTGGAGACGCTGGAAAGCCTAAAGTTCTTGGACCTTCGTAACAATCAAATTGAAGACGCCACGGCGCTGCGTTCTATCTTACGGAGAAGCTTTTCCCTCATCCGAGGTAGGTTAGTCCCATCATCCAATACTTAACACATTTTTGTAATGCTGCAGGTGCAGGTCAACAACATCTCGTCCCTCTAATCGTAGCATACAACGTGAGCTTGGTCGTGCTCCTCCTGCAGGGGAATTCCGTGACAACGAAGACGCATGACAAAACTCGACACTGGATTAGTGCCGTTGCAACGAGCAAGAACGCTAGTCGTGGTCTTCGATACTGGTCAATTATCGCTAATGTACTGCTCCACTTGATATGATCGCTTACAATAACAGGCCCTTTGCCCTGACTTAATTGGAAGCGGTATTTTACAGCTGCTTTCTCAATGCTGGTGTTCGACTTCTTCATTCTGAATTTTTTGGTTCGACGGGCATCTCCAGTTCTGCAGCTCTTACTTCATGATTCAGTATTAATGTGATTGAAACTTCATCTGCTTCATTGTTGCTACACAAATTTTCTCAGTTTGCTGGAGAGAATCTTCTGTGGGTGGACGATCAGAAATTATTCCGGGCAAAAAATGCTGCCGTAGTTGGATACGGGACTGGCATGCGCCATCATTGGATAAGGCCTATGTTCTTTGAACTCGAAGCTGGATCACGAGACGGCGTGGGTGATGCATGCAAAAGTGGTAACCGCTTCACCTTCTTGCTATGCGATTCTTTGTCCTTTGGAACCTATTTTGCTTGTTATACTTTCGAGTTTACTAATATTCATTATAGACCTTGACACCTCGTTTATCAGAATCAGAACGAGAACACCTTCGGCCGATTTGGAAACAAACCACACTAGAAAAAATAATCAATACCGCTTCATCAGGATCAGATGCGCATCCCGGATGGTCGAAGGGTGCGCGCGAGGCTCAGACGACTGGCACACAGGTCCGTGTATTTGTGACGCCGAAGCGAGCCAAAGACGGCCTCTTGAAGAAGGGAGTCAGAAAGAGGAAGCCAGGAAAGGCGTATGGAGCGAGACACGCGGACCCTGTAATTGTAAGGCAGCTCCGTCTGGAAGTAGGTCTTAATCTTATAAATTCTGCAATTACTTCAATGACAGAGTTAGCAGTAGAGTTCAAGTTCATCTCATCCGAATATAAAAGAGGACTACATAATTGATGAATAAAAACGATATGAAGCTGCTTGCCGGCATACATAGAAGCACGTGACAGGGAGGACACTGAGTTAATCTAACCTAAGCACGAATAGGTATATCTATGAATATGCAGTCGAAGAGGTGGGCACTGCCGGGTTAGAAACTACATATAGACGAGGTAGAGGACACTGAATAATATTGAAAATATGGATTAACTACAATCCGAACGCTGTCGATTTTATTGAGCATTTTTATGCATAGTCCTCACACTCCTACAAACATTGATGTGATCTCTAAGAATCGACGGGGAAAACGCACGATTGCAAGGGATCCTTGGGCAAACGAAGGATAACCCTTTCGGAGGACCACATTCGAAGGTGAAAAAGTACCGAAATATGAAGCCAGCAGAAAGGCAAGCGTATGGTACCTACCGGCATGACCCCTCTTCCCTTGCTCCTCCATGCTGCGTTTTCGTCTCAATATTTTCACATTTTACGATTACGATCACGACTTCTAGATTAGAATCCTAGTACATGATCAATATTCATTGTGCTATCACTACCAGTGATGTCTTCCATCTAGCTGCAAGTATTTTACAGTGAGTATCGTACTTCTACTACTATAGAAACCCAAATCGTTTTTTTTGTCCTTGTTCCTTTTTCAGTTCGCAAGCTCTTTCGAGGAAAGCGTGGTCTGTCGCAGTTTCACCTCGACCGTGAGAAGATGGCGAACTACAAATGTCTTGGACGCCCAAGTACGAACACGACTTCCTCACGGGGCGTGTTGTATATGGGTCACGAAAATGCGGAATTACTGAGAGACTGGATGGAAAGCTTGAGGCAGAAGAGCGTCGTGGAGCATCATACTACTGCATATGAGTACCACAACACTTTCGAGACGCCACGGGGAGGCGACACTGATGAAAGTTAAGCTAAATAATATTTCAGATTAGAAGTGGGCTTGTAGACAGGTAGGCAAAAAAATGAAAGAGATTGTAGTAAATTCACTTCTTTGAAGATGTGCCGGGAGGGTTCGATGTGCAGGGTTCACAAACTAACCTAACCTGAAGATGATGATGATGACAGTGGCATCATATCTTCGAATACATTTGATGTCCTGACCCATGTCCTCTAAGAGTAAGGCGCAGATGGTCGTTCGAAGCAGGACGGCTATGCTGCGAATTACACCTCCCCTGTGCAGGTGAGTCTTGATGATATGGAGCTGGATGATTCATTGGCGTACTTGACTTACGGCTGGTTTTATTGCATCTTCCTATCCCTATGTAAATGCATGTACTGCTACGGTTCCTTATTCTTTGACAATAGAGTTAGCTATCCACACACATGCATATTATAAATACATCCACGGGACGAGTGCTAGATGAATTGGTCAACGTTGAGGAGTATGTGAGAATTTCTCATCAACCTTCCTACTTGATGAATGCAGTGAATAAGACCCTTAATATCTTCAAAGAATCAAAAAATCAAGTAGGAGTCTATGTCTAGACCACAAATAGAGGAAAGTAAGGGGCAGAACGACACTGTTGGAGTTCTTATATATTATATTCGAGACCGGAGCCGGAAGATATTTATTGGGTAAGAAACTTCTAATGGCCGTATAAGACAACTGCCGATCCGACTGTTCGGGTTTTTTCACTGGAGCATGGCGGTACGGTGACGTCACCCGAGCCACTCACTTTTCGAGTTGTGGGCGATGTAGCGCGCACTCTGGAGGCAAGAAAGAAGCAGTTGAGAGCTTTTGACCAGCTTGTCAATGCATGCACACCCGCCGCGGACACTGCTAGAACTAGACAGACCGGATACGACGGCGTGTATGAATTAAGTTGTTTGTTTTTCCTTCTTTACTGAGTCCGCCTCTCGGCACGTTCTCCCCCCTTTTCTCTATCAATAGTGAAACCCGTGATTACACTAGAAGCAAGACTCTTCATCTTTGAGATTACACTGATGTTCTTGATATTCTAAGGTCTACCTGCTTATTCACTGAATTTGAAAGTGAATGTTGTATATCTTCTATGTAACATCGACTAGCCTAGGAGAGAGTAGGCGGGTAGTTTTTGAACAAAAGAAGGGAAGATGTTACATCCTCCATAATCGGTGGAGCGACGATTCGGACGAGGTCTCGGTGGCTGGGAGAAATAGAAGCCCTCGTGGCACCCGGAGGCAAGTCTTTGCAAAAAGCGCATCTTCTGCGAAAGCGACGAACCGAACCATTGCAAGATCCGCAGCAGCGGATGGTCACCAAGCACCTCGCGCATTAGTCGAAAAGGCGGAGGGCGTTGCGAGCCGCGAGGTCGACCCCCACCTCGTTTTTCAGCACTTCTTTGGGAGGGTACCCGGCGCTGTTGAACAAGAGGGTGCTACTACAAGGAGGGACCAGCCGGCAACGTCGGCAACGATCGCCCCTCCTCACGCGAGTAAGGGAGCAAGGCACGACATGACTAATATACTACAACACGTAGGCGCTCGTGGTGCCGCTCTGAGCCTGAGCGGGCAGAAGAAAGGAAATGGAGCAATAAATGCAGGACCAGAACCAGAAGCCGGACCAATAGAAGTACCGTCGACAACTACTTCGACGTTCTTGAAGCATGAAAGAAAGGCCGCTCCTGCGTCGGTTGTGGTGCTTCCGCGTCAGAGCGAGATGGACACGCCACGTGTACATCTGCACGAGCCCGCTGCAGTCGAGGAGCGTCCTGGAGAAGAGGACGTAAACGATTCCGACACTCCTCACAATATGACGGCTATTTCTTTTTCACGCGAACTTCCTCAACATCTTGCTTTACTTAGATCATCAATATCATGGACAACACGGGGTCTTCAACATCCACACTTTGTTTATAGCGCGTCGAATCACTGGACTACAAGAACTAGGACAGAGAAATCCCCCTGACTAATTAGAGATTCATCTTGAAGTTGTACTTGTAGGCAAGATAATGAAAATGAAATGAGAGAGTGGGGAAACCATAACCACCGCGGTCACCCAAGTTACTTTGAAAAAACTCTTGCTAATGTTCTGGCCCTTCCTGCGGTGGTGTCAGATGACGGTTCAGCTGGGGACTTCCCAGATGGGGGCGACGATGCGAACTCCAATTCCAATGTCAAAAAATTTTCCCAGGAAGGACGACACCAGGAGGCAGCGACTTCGATCACATTAAGGGTTGCCACATGGTTTTTACATCGTCCACTGCCATCCTTAGCCTTGGCCTTTTTTCGAATAGATTCAACATAAGAAAAGAGAGCCCGAGCATGAACTGCGGTAGGAGTAATTTGGTGTGGCTTCTAATTTTCAGTAACAAAAATAAAAGTGAAAATACCGGAATTACTAGTACTCTGGAATCGAAAGAGAGTCGTAGCGTTCCAGTACCTTCCGCAGTAGAAGTACATCTGGCATCATCATCTGGCGGTAAAGTCACGAAGACTGTATCTGTTACCAGTGACAGTACTAGTCAATATGGTCAAGAAAATGAAAAAGCAGTTCACTTCGGAGAGTTTGCTGATGGTGGAGAAGGAAGCGAAAACGGAGAAGGAAGCCAAGACGAGGAAGAAGACGACATTATGAGTAGAGCAAAAACAAGTGTACTCGATGTACTCAAGAAAAGAGGAAGAAATTTCCTACTTACCAAGAATGATGCTGCGAGTGCGACTTGCTCTTTTCTTTTAGATATCTATGTACTCGGAGTAAGTTTTTCATTGTCATACAGATGCGCGCTATGCTACATCGTTACGCTTCGAGGACGACAGCAGAGGCTCGGGAGACTCATCGGGCAACAGCAGCCCATTCACCCTCGACATCCGAGAATCAGAAATCGGGTGACAGAGATGAAGAGAAGCAAAGTGCGGACTTCCCTAGCGCATTACGGAGGTGGAAAGAGCATGACAATGACGCAAGTTTTAGTAGTACAGCAGGAAAGAAAAACGTCAATGAATACGTTGACCATGCGGACAGGGAGGAAGAAAAGTCCTCTGCGAGTGCGCGTCCGCCTCAAAAAATGGCGAAAAAGCAGTCGGGACGAACACGAAAGCCGGAAAGCAGTCGGGACGAAGAGTCCGATTTGTCGAACGACAATTACCCTTCTGCACCACATTTCGCGTCCAATTCTGCTAGGAATCTCTTCTATAACGATAACGATAGAAAAAGAAAAGACGACGACCTCCACGTCTTTCCTGTTGCCCTCGATGGCCCGAAGATATTTAGACCACCAGAAGAACAAGAAGACCGACCAGAAGACACCGACATGGAAAAGAAGACAATTGCCTGGAAGAAGAATGATTCGAAGACAGCGAGGAGTACAAGTAAAAGTAGTTCCAGCTCGCTATTGGAGCAGTCGCAGGTGGAAGAAGAATGGAGTATACCTGCTAGCGACGCTGCGATAGTGAGCACTAGTAAAGTAGGTCGCAAGGAAGATTTGCAGTTATGGTCAGCTTTTTTTCATCTCGCTCAGAATCTCGATGCTTTTTAGCCCGTAGAAGACACCGAAAAGGGACCGAGATGAGGGGGCCGAGATGAATGTAAGCGCACTAATGCTACTACCTCCCCGATTCATTGTCACACCCGCACTCGCGCACTCGGAATCGCCCCAGTTCGCACTTTATAATCCGCCTACACGGAGTGCTTGCTCTTCTAGTAACAAGACACATCAGCACGACAAGGAAAACTATTGCTATGTGCAGCCTGTACGTGCGACCACTAGTGAAGATCAGCATGCTTCAAAACAAAGTCGTGTCACGGGTAGCTCAAAAGCGACTTCGTCTCAGTCTGAGGCCCATGCCTTCGGCAGATCTAGATCGAGTAAACTTACCTCAAAAGCAAGTACTACTCAGTCTCAGATGAGTAGAAATCATAGTGATATGAAGTCTTCTTCAATGGAACAACAAGTACAAGCAGGAAGCCGCGTAGGGCTACTTGCAGAGAAGAGGAGCAGAATGGCGAAGAGTCGTGGACAAGGAAAAAAATCCTTATCATCTTCTCTTTCTAGTACTAGTACAAGGGACAATAGAAATCATCTCGCAGTTGCCGCTGAGGTCAGGACACCTGCATCAGGCGAGCATCTTGGCGGGGGGAAGTCAAAGTCACCTGCGCCAGGGCTTCTCTTCTATGACGAGGCATGGGTGCCTAGCAGCGAAGAACAGAGCAAAGCTACAGCTAGTGCATGCCAGACGTACCCAGAGCAAGAAGATCATGACGCAATGGACGTGTTGTTCTCTTCTGCTTCGTCAATCGCGTCGCAGCCGAGGGCCCAGGGGAACAAACCTTCACCCATCTCATCATACCAACATAATGCTGGTGCATCCTTCTCCTCTATCTCGAAGCAGCAAGTCTACTCGTCATCGGAGCAGGTTCCTTCGTCCACTAGTCGACAGCAAAAAGGAGCAGATTACCAGCATACTAGCATTAGCAGAACAAGGAGTTTGAAGACATCTTCGAAGAGCAGCAATTATAATTACAGCAACAAGGCTGCGCAAGAGCAAGACTTTGACGCAGCTGAGCTAGGCGGCTCATCTTCCTCTACTTCCAGTCGGAGGAGAAAGAGCGTCAAGTCCTCCAAGGAACAAGTGTCCTCGCCAGGCGACGAAGATGCCTTGTCGTCCGTGTCCACAGATGGATGGTCATCTGCGTCTCTGCCAGGAGGCGCGCCGTCTGAGGAGCGGAGGTCTGAAACGGCCGCACTATTGGAACAACAGAGACTCATAGACGAGCAGCTTCGGGATATCAAAGTTGATTGGAAATACGATCATCCGAAGTCATTGTCAACCCCGAAGTCACTGTCAAACCCGAAGCCACTGTCAAAGACAAGTACAAATCAGAGCCAAAGGGGACCACCGATGGACACGCTTGATTCTGCCCTGGACATCACCAAAGAGAAGAAGATGACAGGAGGAGTTCCTCGCTGGAAGTCCAACAATTTTTAAGGGTTCGTTGTTGTACTCCTTGTCATTTTCATAGGTGATACAAATTAATTGAAACATCAAATACTTCCAAATTTAAATGCTCAATTATATGATCCATCGCTACTTGCACTTGCCGTATAAGGGTTGACGCCGCCAGTGACTAGTACACCTTAGACGGTCTTGTTCTCAGCAACAATGAAGGGCATTCATTGTAAACTTGTTTCCATTTTCAGGTCTGCGGATGAGGCACTCAATGCTGTGGTGCTAACCCCCTCTAAGGTCTTAATACTCAAAGTCGTGGCACCAGTAACCACACCTCTGCGGTGGAGGCTTGCCATTTTGGAGCAGGAGTAGGACGACGTGTGTTAAGAGAAGGCAACGGGACGTCTGCTGAACCTCTTTCGAAGATCAGCAGCAAGGCGAGTACCAAGAAGCTGTCAAAGGATGAGACGAGGGAAGATGAGGGTGAGGCAAACAAGCAATTGATCCAGCAGATGGGTTACGATGAAGCGTTAGACGTAAACTTGCACGAGGAAGATACTGACTTCGAAGGAGGAGCCGCACGAGGCACGGCAGAAGGCGCGACTTCATCCGGAGATGGAGCGGCTCCTTTTCGCACTAGTGCAAATAGAAGCCGCGAAATATTACAGGAGAAAATGCCGAAGAGAATGGTCGTCCCTACAAGCAGAAGAGCAAAAGCCCGAGGCAGGCGTGGTGTGATAGACACCTGTCACCGAGTGCTATCAAAAAACGGGTCACCGGGATCAGCTGAGGAGGCCTTGCCGCAACGGCTGCAAAAGGTTATCAGCGGGAAAGCGGCTCTTTTGCATGAGATCGAACATCTACAATGAAATGAAAAGTCCTTTTTTTGGTCGAGTCCTTTTTTACGTTTTTTCGCAGTACTATGTATCCATACATAATTGTATTTCGGTCACCTTCATCATCTGCTATGATCGCCAATCACCTAAGTACTAGTTCCATACCATCCGCTATAAATATAATGTCTATAATATCACCTGTTTTGTTTTTGTCGTTGAATTTGAAACTCAATGTACTGTTATCTCACCATCTATGATCGACGAGATTCAATTTCTCTTGTCAACAGTCTGAACTTTCGCTTTTTTTTTGCTTGCAATAATGATGATCAATTATGTCTGTAGTGTGTGATGGTAAGGCTTAGCTTGGTGGGCCACTAAGAGGAAATAGAGGAGGATAGCCATAGGCTGTAACGAATGAGACAAACGCTTCGTCCTAATTGAGAAGAAGAGTGTTCGGTTTCACTTCCTGTACCCGTTCAAGAACGTGGATCTTCAACATCAACTGTAGTCTTCATTGTCTGTCTACTTCCCTATGTTCAATCTTCATAATATGTGGCTGAGACGATAGCGATAGAGACGCGTTCCGTGGCCGTAAGGTTTTTCAGATGCTTCTACTGCTTGAAAATGGGTCGTGTAGAGGCTCTACTGATTGTGCATGAAGTGCTTACAACAAACGCAAAAGATTTTGTGCCAAGCATTTAAATTTGTGGGTTTTGTCGTCAGGGAATGCGTTCTGTATCTTTTGGGCACTGAGTGTGCATTCGACCTGCGCTAGATTTAGCATCCGTAGCTCATTCTTTTTGGCGATTTTTTAAAAAATGCGACAAGGTTTCCCCGTATCTCATGCTGCGAAAGCTCACTTCCGTTCTTTCAGCCAGAAGGCTATAGAACGAAATGTCTTGCGACATGCTTTATTCACCTGTGATCTGCCTAGCAGGAGGACCATGTCGTCACATGTCGTATCTAAAACAGCGCGGGGGCGTACCACATCTTCTTCATGGTTGCGATCAACATCAACATCAAGCAATGCACCCTTACTGCACGCAGCTTGGTCTACAAACGGGCGCACTGGCTTCGCCAGATCAACTTCATCGACACGGAGTTTCGGCTCTTCCACGGACAAGAATTATAGTCTCGCAAATGAGGAGCTGCTCTCGCTGTCATCTTCAATTGGAGCAAGCGCCACTCCTGATACTCGTGTTCCTACACAACATGAAGCCACAGCCTCCTCAATAGTTGATCAGCGAGCAGGAGGAGGACTGGAACAAGGTCTAGATCATCTTCTAGTAGCACCAGATCGGATAGATGCAACGACCACTGGCAGTGCTCTGACGTCGGAGGTGGCCGTCCAGATGGAGACCTCTTCTTCACACTTCAGCAGCATTGGAGAATTCTTTTACATGCCTGTACACGGAGTCCACGAGTGCTTGCAGTTTTTGCATGACACAGCGGGATGCAATTGGGTCGCAGTAGCGGTTCTTGTGCCATGGGTTTTGAAGTTAGGTTTTTATCCCGATCTTTATCTATCAATGAATCCTAGGGTAGCGTTAGTCCCTCCAATCAATATCTATCGCTTCAGAATATTTTTATCTATCATAAGAAGAAAGTCTCTAAGATTCTAAGGCCTACTTAATTATCAAGAAAAAGAAGCTGGTGCTGCATCTTGACGTCCGTGGTCGTGGTTATCCTGCATAAACGCACACGAAGAAGTTCACAAAGCACTTGCAAACATACAACTAGCCACTACCTAAGCAGTGTTATGCTTTTGGGCCAAGAATACTCATCTAACCTTCGCCGTGGTCCAGCTTCCAGCACAACTTCAGATTCAAAAGCAGATGCAACGTGACGCGCCGAAGCTCATCGAATTGCAGCTGGCTGCATCGGAACTGAGCCAAAAATTCCTTCTTGATTCGCAGAGGTTCGTCAAAGAATATCAAGCTTATGGCTTCATTTTCGTTCAGGGTAGTTGATAGCTAGAGTAAGTCGTTGTTCAACAAGAAAGAAGAAATGTAGATCTCTGGTGGTCTGTCAACCCCGAATTACTTCTTTTTTTTACCAGAACATCAGGTAGCAACCATTTGCGTGCCGTGGCTTCTAATTTCCGCTATGTCGCAAAAACAATATCAATCCTTTTGTGGCTCAGTTCCGCCCTTTCCTCGGAGCTTTAGCTTTGATGCCCTGTCATCTGAGCATATTCGTCGCTTTTCGCAACATGGAAAGGTTTTCCCCAGGTTGGAACGTGGAGGGCTTTTTCTGGTTTCAGGATCTCAATGCCCCTGACTGCTACACTGCTTTACCACTAGCAACAACTTGTTTGACGATGGCAGCCATAAAGATTTCGGCGAGCTACATCTCGGATCCACAGCATCAACGTATCATGCACATGCTGTCCTTCGTCTTCGGTTGCGGAACGCTGCCACTGATGTTAGGGCTTTTTTTCGATCATATTTTGTCCTTTGACAATTGTTATACTAGTCAATCGATTGAGCAAGGGCAGGAGCAGCTCCTGTAGAGCTACAGTAAACTAAACATAGAGAGATACTCTTCCTACACGGCAACTGCGTAAGCGTCAAGAGCGGCTGAGTTATATTCACTCACAAGTACTGTTTGTCGTCTGGATTTCTGTTTTGTGGTTGAAGTTAAAGATCATGTGACCTCAAGTAGTCACTCAGCTAATTATATCGATGCACCATCAAGATAGTGATGATGGGCTACCTGCGTAACTTTGTTATTTTTTGCACTAGTACAACGCGAATTTAAAGTATCTTCCGACTTTTTCTAATTTACGCGTACCTGGGAAGTGGGTTTAATCTTTATTGTTGCTCGAACATACTTTCGACGGTCGCAATGTCTGCCCTCCTTCGTAACACACAGTTTCGGGCACTCTTCGGGCTCAAGCCTAACACCAAGGTCGATGAGAATGGCAATGTCGTATTGGTGAATCCGCTAGCAGCAGCAAAAGTCAAGGCAGTGGGTACTTTAATTCGAATGATGAATGATGAAGGTCTACTTTGTTATTCTTGTTTGTCTTTCATTCTTGTTTTGAATTTGATGTGTCGACGTTTGCCTTTGCCCCCCCGCCAGATAAGGTAGTACATCCTACTAGGATCATCATTTATAGAAGTTCTTCGTGGCATCAGCATCTGCATCATAGACATGCTCTGTGTATTTGTCCAAAAGAGGTGACTCCGTTGCCGCTGATGGGAACGCCAGGAAGCTATCGACCAGCACGGCTTCGGCGGCTGAAGTAATGGAGATGAAGAAAGAAAACGTAAACTCTCGGGCGTCCCTTGGGGCAACATCGAACTCGACAACATCAAAGTTGCCTCTGGAAGTAGCTGTAAATTCCACAACTAGAAGTTCTAGTGCTACTAGTTCTAACCTTGAAGTAGCAGCATCGGGTTCCAGCAGCATCGGCAGTGCAACATGCAGAAACAGCGCCTCTAGAGGAAGCAGCGCATCGTCAAGCGAACTTAGCGTTGTATCTTCATCAAGGGGAGTCATCGCACGAGGACCACACGATTTTGATGGAGATCATCAATTAAGCATTTGCAACTCGCTAAGCCTGCATGGAGCGCAAGAAGTAGCTCAGTTTAAACCGGCTTCCACAGCTGTCATGCGCGAAACCAAAAGGCTGAATCAGGAGTTTTTCGAGGGGAAGGCGCGCATTGGGATTTTTCGCAGCTCAAATCATCCTTTTCGCCGATTTCTTTACTTCACACTCGGAATTTTATGAGACTACAACATCAACATGAGAGCTATTGTTGTTGGGCTAATAGATACTAGAACAAGACAGAGGACATGACAGTATCAGTAGTTGTTGGGTTCTTAGAAGAATATTTAGACTGACGTTCTTGATATTGATCTTGACGATCATTATCTAGGTCGTTCCGTTTTGCCGTGGATGTCCACATCGTGGTACGCTAGCTGAGTTGACCATAGGCATGACTTCCACGCTTGTTCTGAGAGACCCTCTCTTCATACGTTGTATTATTGGCAAACGCGGGTCGGCGCCAGTGGGAAATGCACAAGGACATCGAGGAGATGGGCCACGAGCGCGCGGCTCAGAAGTGGTGCCCGCGCACGATAAAGGCAGCTGCAGATCAGCAACGCGCGGTCATGCAGAAGGCTCAGATAATCGATGATGATGGAGATGAAGAGGACGAAGATGGTCCTTTTTGAATGGCGGGATCGTTTTGCACAGTCGCGACGATTTTCCGTTCTTGACTACGCTAAACAACAAGAACTTCCGCTGTTTTGTTTTGAACAAGAGGTAGTCTTTGGTGATGCTACTAGCATTTCTTTAACTTACTAGGTGGGAATTACCACTTGTTTTGGCAAGACATAGTAACTGCTTTTGAATACTCGATATAATGATGTCGGAAAGCCTACAACTTGGCGGCAGTTCTTCGAGGCAAAGCCTTGTACCGAATGACCATGATATGAATCTGTATCGGTGACGGTGCATATTCATCTTTATAACACACAGGCACGTCGGTCGTGCGAGTGATTTAGGTCGAGAATTATCGAAGAGATGGTTGATTGTTTCTGCTCGGATGACATGTGCTTTAGTAATTTAGTTTCGAGACGCAGCGACCACCTCGCACAGATGTAATCTCATGATCAACATTGAGTGAGATGAGCATCACGCAATATTGAAGATAATGCTAAGAATCGACAATTATTGCTCATCATTCGATTGCGCTTTGAAATATTGCGTTTGAAAATCATAGACAAAGTTCCAGGGCTGTCGCGAGTGCAGAGTTACAAGGTGTAGTATCCTTCGCCGAGGACAAGGACTGGAAGATTATAGCAATAGCATCAATTTTTACTCGAAAGTACATCGGTCCAGTCCGATCACGTCTCCCAGTTGTTTAGATATATAACAACAACTTTTTATAAATCTCGATCTCCGGCGAGTCCTTCCTGTCTGATTTTGCTTCACAACGAACTACGTGCAACATTTCCGACAAGAATTATCCAGATAGGAAAGTAATGATATTCTGAAAGGAAATCACCATGACTCACCGGAAAAATGTTGCTCTCTCGATACCATGTAGAGCGCGAGCTGGGTCGTGGCAGTTTTGGCGTGGTGTACCTTTGTCGTGACACGGACTCTCAGCCTGTTTCGCCTACTCCTGGAGAAGATCACCTCAAAGGAAACAATAAACGCTCTCAATCGGAATCGTCTTCACGAGGAGCAGAGACTCCAGGAGCTGCAGGCACAGCAAAGAGTGGAGACCACACGGCTTTCGTGACCGTGAAAACGATCCATTGTCCGCAACCTGATAGCTCTTTTTTGTTTGCAACGGCACGCGAGGCTTCTTCGAATGATGAGGCGCAGGATGACGAAGCAGGAGGCGCTGCCCAAGGTGGAGCTCTTGGCCTGCCCAAAGACGGGGAAAATGACCAGCAGAACGGCATCGAACAAGGAAGAGCCGGAAACAAGAAGAAGAATGATGTTCTGCATCTCGCGATGCGAGAAGCGGAGGTGTTGCGCCGATTACGGCACCCTTTCATCGTGGGATACAAAGACATGGTTGTTGACGAGAAACGCGACAGTCTCCATATTGTGATGGAGTTTTGCGAAAATGGGGATCTAGCACAACTGTTGAAACGTGTCTGTCGTTTGGAGCAGTCCGTTGCCCTTGTTATGGACGACTGCTACAACTCGAGGGTAGTCACGACTTTCTTTAGTGTGATGCAAAATACTTTCTTGTTTTACTTTTACATCCAGACGATGTAGTTGTCAAGAAAGTCGAAGTGGAGTAGTCAAACCGCATTACTGCTCATGTTAAAATGCAGGCCATCTACTTCATCCAGCATACTAGGAAAGTAGATGTTAGGTTCATCCGTTTCAATTCCCCTTTCATTTTCTTTTACGCCTGGCAGTTAGCATCGGCGCTTGCATACTGTCACTCACAACGAGTGCTACATCGCGATTTGAAGCCGCGAAACATCTTCCTGACAAAAAACTTCGCCCAACTACGTCTCGGCGATTTCGGTGTTTGCAGAGTACAGGAGGGAACCGGCGATCTCGCAAGCACAATGATTGTTATGCATGACCGCGTTTTATAATTCTGAACCTGAAGAGGCACGGTAATTATAGAGTAGAGTATAATGAAAACTAGATACACACCATCGATATCGTGGGCCAGACTCATTATTTACAAAATAAGTAGACCTCTCGAGCAGAACGACCAAGACCCTCATTGAACACGAGGAAGTGTCTCCACGATTACGAACTTCACAATTCTCTAAAGCTAGGACGCCACTGTACTTGTCACCAGAGATCTGCGGAAATCAGAGGTATGACGCAAAATCGGACGTTTGGGGTCTCGGCGTGGCTGTCTACGAGATGTTCGTCGGCGTTACCCCTTTTGGCGGACCGGCTCCACCTTTGCGACCTCCGCAAGAGGGCATCAACAGCAATATTCAGATTGGTGGTCCTGACTGCGGCGATCATGTTGCAGGCAACGCTCCGGGAGGGGAGGGAAAGAAACCGCCTCCAGGGAACCGTGCAGCAGTGCTGTTGGCCATCGCCACGATGCCCTTGAAAATGAACGTTCTGCGTTCGTTTGTCACGAATAGGCACGTTGCGCATTGTTTGGCGCTGTGTCTCTCAAAGCGGCCACAACGACGTCCAAGTGCTGGCACGGCTGCGGGTGTTTTCATGAAGGCGATAGAGTCGCTACGACGCTTGGGCCAATTCACACCAAAAGTCCTTGGAGTGCCTCTTGCCGACAGCGAGCAGATTATTGAGGAAGCCTTGTTTGGTCGTCAACCTCAAGATGAAGAGAACCAACATGATCAAAAAGGGAAGATGATGCAGGCTGCTCCCGCTGGGATTCGCGAGGTTGAATGGGAGCACACGGAGGAGAGTGATACTTCCGCAAACAAGGTTCAAGAACAAGTCTCCGAACTGGACGGTGGTCAACCTAATATATCTGTGCGAGAGCATTCTTCGCCGTCTGGAAGCGCTAGTAGAAGGAATAGGCACAATAAGTTTTTGCGTCGTGAAAGCGAACCCATGATCATGTTTCATCGTAAGAATCCTTCCTATGGTTCTGGACCCACCAGGAGGCGCGGCAGTGATCCGAGTAGTTTCGCGGGACGACGGGCTTCTATGGCTCCGCTTTCGGCACGATCGGCCAGCTCCATCATGTCCGCTGCAGAGGTCCTAGAACGACATGCACAAAATGACCTTGTAGCTGTCGGTTCCGCGACACCCCTGCTTCGTCGTCATCAGAGTTTGTCGTTCAGCTCACATCCACTTCCATGTGGAGCGGAGAAAGTAGAATTACTAGGCGAGGAAAGGAAGAGGAAAGCCGCTTGTTTTCCTCTGCATGTCGTACCTGCGCATCAAAACAAAGGAACTACAACAATGCTCGGCTTGAATTCCGAACAAGACGGTGAGCGTTCTCGTCGCGCCTTCGACAGTGAAGGAAAACCTGGTTCTTCTAGTCGTGAAGCTCCGGGTTCATGCATCCGAGAATACGACAAGCGTCGGGACTTCAACCGACCCATGAACTTGCGGCCGATGAATTTGCGGAGCCCCAGTACTTCACAGAGGGACCAGCAGCACGAACAAGATCCATCGTCTTCAATGCGAGGAAGGCTTTCGAGCATTTTCAATGCAGCAGGACAGATTCGAAGGGATTGCTCACTGGTGTCCCTGGCTAACTCACATGGGGACGAGGGTTGTTCGGTCCTCAATCCACAACCCAGCAAACACGAAGTTGAGGAAGTCATCATGAAGATTGACGAACACCACGACCTCGATGTTGAAGAGATAGACGGGAATGAAAACGACGGCACTTCAAATTCTACTTCGAACACCATGATGAGCAATGTCCTCACCTTGAAGGGAGATCCTGAAGAACAAGAGGAGCGACTACCTGTTGAAGAAGATGAAGACGACTCCCTAAGTAGCAAGTTGCAAAAGAATCCTCCCGGTAACAATTTTATCAGTCGACCGCATTCGAAAACGACAGCTGCTGGCACGCCTGCAGCATCTTCGCCAGGAGGCGAGGAAGACGATGCCGAAACTTTGAAAATAGACATTGACGTTGCAGCAGGTTTTTCTCCTTCAGATGCCGATGCGTCGCCGGAAGCAGACTGCACGACTCTCGTAGGTATTTTACCTCCTTCCGGAGCTGCTGTAGCTAGAGATACTGCGGAGGTGGTCCCAATGAGCAGGCCACCAAGGCTACCTTGTGTAGTTACCACGAAGGTGGGCTTTGGCGTAGTGCTGGATCATCGTCGTGGCGGAAACAAGACGTGTGACGTTGTACAAGCGGAGGTTGCGGGTGGGAAGGTCGTTGAAGATACTTCTAGTTGTAGAAAAGATAATAGAAGGGGGGATCAGGAACAGGACAACGGAGGCTGCAGAGACGATAACGACATCAATGAAAGCCACCAGTCTGGTGCACCACTTTGTTATTCGACACTGACGACACCAGAAAAAGATGAAAAAGTTGTCACATCCGGTACTGGACTTGACGCCGTGGACGAGGATGCTTTGGTAACCTTCGAGCTTACCGCACCTGTGCCGTCAATAGACGTAGCAATAAGTAGTGCGGGACAGGCAGAGGGAACGTCGTCCATCCACCAAATAGAAAATGAAAGCAGTTGTAGGAGTAGCAGACTAAAGTCACAGAACAATGTTGAGGACGATGAACGCGCGAGTCCAGTTTCATCGTCTACAGCAAGTATAGGTGGAGGAACGCCTGGGTCCTCTGGGCGAGCGAAGCCCTCGGCTAAGATCCTGGGTATGATCAGTCACTGGGAGAGCCACTTAGCAGCCCAGAAGGAGAAAAATGCAAGTCCCGCAAAACGAAGTAGTCCGGTACCACACAGCGCGACTTGGAGTCCATCGTCTGCCACGGCAGACATTGAAGGAGGTAGTAGGAGCTCTACATTCAATCCGATGAGTCGCCTGACTGCACCAACAACTGATAAATCCGGTGGAGAGACGAACACTGGTGCCGGGAGTAAGAAAACTATTTTCAACGTCGAGTTACGACCAACGGTCAATTCGTATATGTTGCTTGATCGAGGTGATGGTGCGGATGAAGACTCGAGGTTGTTTCTAAAGAGGCAAGACCTGTCCTCGTTCCAAGCACTAGCCGAGGCGGAAAATAAGGAGAGCGAACGAGCAAACTGCAAAGGTGATCTCGTTGAGAAAAACTGCAGCTCTCCTTCCTTGACATCATCTTTAGGCAACAGCCTGCTGAAAAGACGTAATGATAGTGCTGGAAATGTAAGTGCCGACAGTTTCTTTTCCTCGCCTGCTAGCAACCCCACTGGAGAGTCGATGCCAAGAATAGTAGCCCGAGCGCCTGCAGAGAAGGAAAACAAGGACGCAGGTAGGAATGACCATGATGATATTCCAGCGGTTTCTTTTGTTGAGCTTGATCTGCTTGGCCCGCAGTCCGCACCGCAAACCAAGCCTCTACTGGAAGCTTCCGAACGTCTTCATCATGCTGAAAGGACTCCGGATACCTCGGGTAGTACTGGCCATGCGTCAGCAGATACGTTGAGGAGTCACCTTCGCGAAAAAATTTCGAGTCTGTGGAAGCGAGCTGATAAAGCACCTTCTGCACGAGACAGGGATGTGTATCGGGTTCCGAGTGGAGCGAATACTCTGAAGAAAGCGCTAGACCTACAGAACCTGTCTCCTTTGCCAAGCCCCTCTACTACGGCGGGACGCAGCAGTGCGTACAAAGCTGGGGCATTTGCTGGCATTGGTGTCAGCGGTAGGCCATCTTCTAGTGCAACTGGTGGTTTGCAAAGGGGAAGAGGAAATGATGATGCCATAAGAAAAAGAGTATCTCCTCGCGCAATCCCCGTTACTATACAGCAAAGCAGTTCACTTGAAGAATCGCCGTCTCCTTCGGCGTCCTGCGCTCCAACGGAAGCAAACGCGATGCACTCGAAGAGACCTACTGCAGCATCGGCTTCCCCAGCCTCATCATCGTCCTCTGCGAGAACAAAAAAGTGGTCCTCGAGTACGGTGAGTCAACCAAAACCACTAGCCAATCGCAATGTTGTTAAAACAGTTTCTACAGAGGAAGATGATCATCTACATCATGAATGCCTCATGGGATCCACAAACTTACTTCTTTCACGAACGAAGGATAACGTGCTTCTGCGACAGCATGTGCACAGAAGTGTGGCGGAGGATCCTGCCTCGACAACAGCGTCTGGGCTGAAGCTGTCGGATACGAATTTTGAGTATAGTAAAAGCAGCGAGAAGGTTCCACGATCGGAAATTTTAGATGAGTTTCTAGCGGTTGTGAGGCGTAGGGAGGACTTGGACTCGCGAAATTCACTGCATTCTGCTCCGAGTAGGCCGAGGACTACAGCCCCAATGGTTCAGCAGCAGCCTGGGACAGGCACAGTAAGGACATCAGTTGCAGCAGCTGGTAACACCACCAGAAATGCCAACCAGAGGGTTTTGCCTAGTGCTGCGGTGAGTAAAATGTATCCGACGACAGGAATGGCGAGTGGAAATGGCACTCCCACGACATCGATCCAAGGGCCTTTGGCGGCGCCAGGACCAGGAGTAAAGAGGAGCACTCACCAACAGTCTAGTAGTCATAGTCAAAAGCATAAGCAACCCTCGTCGTTTTCATCGAACTCAAGCTCAATCAGCCGACCCGTCACAGAAGATAGCAGCAAAACTGCCAGTAGACCGCGAATTTCCATGGGCGTGGCCGCCCGCCGTGGCCACTACACATCGCTGACAAAATCGCAACGCCTCCGCGCACAGCTGGGGCGGGTTCGGAGTGGTGCGACACGGCTCAGCGTTGTCAATCGATCCAAAGCAAAGGCTGCTGTGGAAAATTTTGTTCGCGGGAACGCAAGACGTGCTGCCGGTGCTGTCCCATCCGCAGCATCCAAGAAGTCAGTAATGTCTACCTGTGTGTCCTTGTCCGCAGCAGGAGGAGCTTTCGCTATTACAACTTCTTCGACGACCAAAAGCAAATGGCCTTCACCGCTTGAAGGCGCCGGTCCAGCTGTCTCGTCGAGCAGTAATACAAAGGCTTTTGTAGGAACAAAAACAAGGCCTGGAGGTGTTTCATCTGTTGATGTAGATAAGAAGCCAAGGAGTATTTTTCCAAGCCCTGAGCCTTCCCCCACTAGCAGCATAGCTTCAGTTCTTAGTAAACGAGAATACGAGCAGGCTGATCCTGACAGCAGCAGCGATTATGATCTAATTGCCAGAGTGCCATCCTCTCGAAATTGCAAACAAAATTCGTGGATGAACAACTTCTCGAAGGATTCAGCTGGACCAAGTAGAACACCGCTGAGTAGTCGCGCACAAGCTCCCGCAATGAAGACATTCAACAGAAATCGTGTAGTGACACACCAAGTAAGCTCCGGCACACCGACCGACGAGATCCTTCGTGAGGTCTTCGAATCTCGAAATCCAATGTTAAAGCACATACGTGACCTTCAGAAAAACCAGAAGAACGCTGTATTCGCACCATCGCAAAGAATTAGAAGCGGCCTAAACGAAAAAATCGCGGGAAGCTCTGCCTCAGCATCATCTTCAACTGGAGATGTCAAAGTACACGTTCAATATCATAGTAAAAGTGGCCAATCAGCTGGAACATCAAGTGCTTCATCGAATATAAGCGCGGATAAGGTCATGCCGAGTGCGACGAAGGCGAACAGGGATTGTGTAAGAACGAAAACGAGAGCAGGTAGAAGTAGCTCAGCTTCGGCTTGTGGCACAAAAAGTTCTTCCGCTAGAACGGCTAGACAAGCTCCTGTGAGCATCTGCAGTACGTCCGCGAATGCTCCTCGCGCTCCGCTTTCTAGCTTGCCAACTACATCGTCTGCAGGTGGGGTCAACACCAAAGATGTTGCTGTTGGGCAGGAGCGAGCGGGTGGGAAGGGAGAAACTTTGCGTTCTTGTGCGACAAGTGCACGCGTCAGGGGACCGCTCAGCGCCTCGTCGGCGAAATCGTCAAAGGCGAATTATACTTCTGGAGCTAGGCAGCAGCTGTTGAGTAAAGACAAGCGGACCCCGATTACGAATCATGATGGTGCCTCATCTGCTTCCACGACTGGAGCAAAGACGAATAAGAAGGCATCCTCAAGAACATGCGACGCTTCGTCTCTACTTGGCAAAAAGAAGGTCATAGCTGCGAGCATTGCTGATTCAGTCAATACTCCTGGTTGTGAAGGAGGTCGTTCTAAACAGGCTGGTACCTCAAACACAGTCGGTGACTCAGCAGCTGTGCGGGCCAGTTGCAAGTGGGGAGACAAACCGACTGCGTTGGAGAATGCAGCACGATTAGAAGCGATTCTATCTGCCGCTGTTTGTGTCGACCAGCCGGACTCTGATACGGAGCCGGAGTGAGATTCTATTTAGAAGGCTATTAAGTAGAAGTGAGTACTTCATTCCTAATCGTTTAGTCCTTGTTGTTATGAGAAACTCATACTGTAGCTGCTCGCTGATGTGTTTGCCAATACTTAAGTAGCTAGTAGCACTACCTTTTCAGCTTTAGAATAAGTTCTACACCTTCTCTCATATACATTTTGATACAAAGCAAACACGCATACGAACGAATGCAATTTTTTGCCTTTTGAAAATAAGAGCATCAGAAATAACGCATAGACAAGAGCCGCCAGCCCTTGATGCAAACTTTTGATCATAAACAACGAGTAGTTAGACAGATTGATCTCAAAACAAGATGATTACTTTAAGCGCTTTGCCACCACGAATGAAGTGGCAAGTCGATGAGTAACAGGCCACTGGACCCCGAGGAGGGAACCTATCCGCCTCCTATAATTGAGAAGCTCCCAGTACTTGTACTTCCTCAAATTTTTTTGCCAGAGTGGAATAAAAGCTAGTTACTTCGTGTGATAAGTCCCTATCCTTTAAATTAATTCTAACCTGAGCAGGTTCCAGTTTATCAAGAATGAATCAACATGAATCAATGTACCACCGAAATTTGCGAACAACAAGACACCATAGACAGGGAGACTACTTTGTGTCGGAAGGGAGTGGAGCTAAGCATAAGCATTACTTCTATGCCCGTGCAGCAGCCCTAGACACGCACAACAAAGAACAGATCATCAGCAACCGCAACCATCGCGGACGCGACTATAAAGAAGTAGGCACGACATTTTTCTTGACCAACGACGAGTCACGGGCTGTGCCGCAAGGCGGGGGAGCAACGCCTGTCCTCTTGTGAGTTTGGCGCATGTTGAAACCCTTCCTACTTGCTCAGCTGTCACCTCTGGAGCGAGAGCAATGACAACCAGTAAAACTAGTTTAGGAGAGGAGCGGACAATTATCGCACTAGGAAGAGCACGATCGAGCGCATAGAACAAGAAGGAGCGCGTGAAGGAAGCGGAAAGTGAAGTAAGGTACAGGCATGTCATTCATACGGCGATTGATGATTGTGTTTTCGACATCGTGGCTAGGAGTGAAAAGCCTAAGACGTTTTTACACTTTGTAAACAACACCAGGGCTAGTAGTGTTGTACCTCTGGTGCAGAATATAAAGAAGTACGCATAGATGTACTACCTACATACTACGATTATAATAGGTTGCTACGATTATAATAGGTTGGAATCAAAATGTCGCCTCCTTTGCAACTCGTGCTGCTAGATGACGTCGAACTCGAAAAGGGTACAACTCCCGATGGCCCTAGCCGCTTAAAGAACACCTGTAGCCTGGCGGTCACGGAGACAGTTCCTGGGATTCTGCAAAGCGTGAAAAATGTGTCCTTTGAGTCGGCTCCAAGTGATACGGACCGGTTTTTGGAGGAACCGGTTTTGGTCTTACACTCAGGCGACGCTGCTGTGAATCCTGTGACATTCTACCGTTCGGAGATCTTTGGCGCAGATCTTCGATTGTCTAACTACAAGGAAGATCATCGTGCAATTATGGAACGTCGGGAAGGAATAGTGCAAGAATCTTCTAAGAATGGACAAGACGATCGCGTTGCTAATGGACTGAATCTCCTTGGTGGAATTGAAGAGTCTGCACAAAACCAGACGAAAGTTGTCGTAGAGTTGCAGCGCTACCCGCTGACGAAGCGAGAAACGCAATGCTGCAGCCCTTGCTCTTGCTTCACCGCGTGTTGTCTGCCGGGAAGAGTAGACGAAAGCAACAGCTTCTTGCCAGATCAGATTATGGGAACACATTTTTCATATGCCTAAAAGTAAACGCAGTTTTTGGATGGTAGACAACAATAGCATTAGCAATGATCGAAATCGATTGACATTGAAAGATAAAAATTTGAGCAGTAGTATCTATAAAAAAAAAGACTCGTTCTTGCTGTCGTGTTTCCCACCTTTCCCTTCTTGCTTTAAGAAGGCGAACGTTACGCATTACCCGCCACGGAGGCTCGCAGCCGCTCCTTTCTACCCCGCCGGTTATGTGCGAGAGACCGCTTTCGTCTACTTCGAAGTCGGCGCTGGTCTTGCAGGAAGTGCTTCATTCGATGAGCGGCTCGCAATGGCGAGGCGCTTAGTCGATGCGATTGATCAGTGGTGTCGAAGCGGCAGTATGAAGTTGGGAAACGTGTCTGCAGACGGGAATTGGTTATGCAACTCGAAGAGTGAAGAAGCTGCTTTTCTTGAACGCAGAAATGATGCAGACGGTAACGGGAGGAAGGAACCGCCCGAAGCACGAATTCCGAAGACCCGCGAATTCCTTGTTTTGATCAATCCCAAGAGCGGGCCGGGGCACGCACTGAGGCGGTGGCAGCAAGAGGTGCGTCCGATTCTGAACGCAGCGAACCGCGGCAACAAGATGGCGTTTGAGGTGATTGTGACTGAGAGAGCCAATCACGCTTTCGATATGGTGCGCGACATGTCTGAAGATCGCCTTCTCAGCTATCACGGCATCATCGTCGTTTCTGGCGATGGCTTGGTTCACGAGGTCTATCGTGGACTCTGCACAAGACCGCCAACTGCATCTGGTGTTTATGTATAAGAATTGTCCGTCGAGTCACCTCCTATGTCCGTTGTCACGAGAACGTGAAAAAGTACTTAAATAAGAGTTTTCTTGGTAGGTTCTAAACCACCGGCTTTCCTGCCTTCATCGTCTATTCATGTTGCCCCTGCCTTCTCCGTCATTCCCGTTGCGCACATGCTAGGAGGATCCGGCAACGCTTTGGGCTCTTCCATCCTCCACGTTAGTGGCGAGCCTCTACAGAACCAGAGCGCCGCACTTGTCGTTCTTCGCGATGAAACTTGCGCGTTGGACCTTTGGCGTGTGTCTGTCATAAGGAGGACTAGCATTTTTAGTGGTGTGCCATCAAAAAAGTCCCAACCTGTTGATGTTCCACAAGTTCAGGTGGATGGAGCAAACGACGGATCAAACCTGGAGGATCATGTGGTGGAGTGGCGTCCATCGTTTTTGTCGGTGTTTTTCGGTCTGATGGCTGACATCGATATCGAAAGTGAATGGCTGCGTTGCTTGGGTTCACTGCGCTTCACACTGTATGCAGTGCGCAACGTTGCACGATTTCGCACGTACCGAGGAAGGGTGCGATATCGCGGTCGTGAAATTCACAAGGATGAATATGCGGTGATGATGGAACGCTTGTTGAGTAGGAAAAATAATGATAATCGCGGCCGTGCTGGTCTATGCCAAGACCATGGAAACAGTTCTCTATCTACGTCAGCAACGTTTTCACCTCTTGCGCTCGGGGATTCTTGCTGCGGCTCTGTTGGTGTTGAATTCGGTGCAGGCAACATTGCCCAACAGGGGTCCAGCACGATCACAGCTTCTTCCGGCACGACCACGACAGCCTCGTCTAGCATGAAGAGCAGAGCCGATAATTTCTCAAGTAGGTCTTTGTGGCAAAGCATTCTTCCAGCTTCAGGTGGGGAGGCATCGCCTTGGGCACACCGCTTCTTGACGCTCTGGGCTGCTTCGCAGCCGATGGTAACGGAACACGAGGCTGCGGTTCCTTTTGCACGTGCCAACGACGGCAAATATTGGCTCATTTATTGCGCCGCCTCGATGCCCCGCAGTCAAATCGTGCGCTTCCTCTTGGCGATTGAGCACGGAACACACCTCGACCTCCTGGACGGCGAACATTGTCGGCTTTTCTGTTGCGACGAATTTGAAGTAGATTTGATGGACCCTAGAACAAGTCTATCTGAAGATACTACCGCTGGGGGTTTAACAACAACAAACACACTAGAGGTTGAAGTAGGACCTTCTGGCCTCGAGGACCTTGAAGCTGCATCAGGAGGAACCCTTGAAGTGCCAGAAGCAGTCGAAAGTCGCAATTTACCCGATCCTGCGGAGTCATCGTCTCACCGCGGCGAAGAAGTTATGAGGCTTCTTGACATCATATTTTGAAGAGTCGAAATACATTCATACCTAAAACAACTTATGCTGCTGCAGTCGTTTGATGAAGCGATGTTTATGTCGTGCTATTAAAGACGCAGCGAAGAAACCGCTTGCTTCGATCCCGTTTCCACCGTGAGACCACTTTCATGGAAAACTCCCCAAATCGCAGCGCAATGCTATCGCGGCGGATCGCTTTCATGAGTGTTGACGGCGAGCGAGTGGACGTCATGCAGGGAAGTAAAGTGCACGTGACCAAAATGTCTCATCCTGGCCGACTCTTTTGTTCTCCTGTAAGATGATCATTCATGAACCGGAGACTCCAAGAATTTTTGTGTAAATGGATGTGTGCAGTTATAGAAGAAGCATCAAAAATTATCTGATGAGTGTAACTAAGTGACATTATGATGTAAGACTAAGACTGAATAAAAGGATATTAGACGCTGGCGGCTGGGCACGCTGGGTGGCTGGGCGGCAACGCGGGGCACGCTGGGCGGCAACGCTGGGCACGCTGGGCGGGCGATTGGATAGCGGACTTGACGGCCACACATTGGGCATGCCGAGCCTGCGCGGCCGATGGATGGATTTACTTGCGCCGCGGGGACGCGGTGCAGCGCGTCCCGTGAGGACCAACAAAGGCGGCGCGCCGGCCTCCAGGTTCAGGGCAGCGCTGGCGCAGTGCTGCGCCAGTTTGCGCAGTAGCGGGCTGCGCGGCGCCTGCTCTGTTCAGGCTTGCACTGCGTCGCGCTGCACTGCGCTGCCCGATGCGTGCAATGCTGCGCCGCTCCTGTGCACAGTGGTAAACTCGCCAGCGTCGTTGGCCTTGGCCTCCACTAGACTCGCACTGCTGGCGGGGTTCTCAAGCGGGCGCCCGAAGGGCGCCCCGCAATTGGAGACGCCCAGTGCCACGCTAGGCGCAGAATTCGGCAGATCTGGCACATTTGGGTCGCCCAGCGACCCAGTGTGCCCAGCGTGCCCAGCCCAGCCATGTTGGCAACCCTTATAAACTGTTCTAGGATAAGGTAGTACGTTTCAAGGGATGTGCAGCAGTAGTTGCAATGTGGAGGTTTTTTTTCTGTGTAAAAAACAAAGCAATGGCAGCTTCTACTGGTACTAGGATTTATTATCGAATACCTTCGTAACTATTTGACATACTTTTTGCATGATGTGCTTCGGTACGTTTGACTGATTTTTGGCGTTACCAGGCAGGGTCGTCCCAACTTGAAAAAGTAGGCCACAAATGCGGCCAACTATACAAGTCGTGAAAGATTTGCGCCCGGTTCCTTTGAAATCGGGAGATCGTGTGCTATCATGTACAGGATTGACTAGCACTTGAGCCACATATTCAAGGAACTGCGCGATTAGCGTGCGGGAAACAAAGTAGATTGACCACATTGATTGCCGGGCTTCAAAAATCTAAGAACCTCTATCTTATCTGAATTCTCCTCAATTTTACGCTAGAACGAATGCCAAAGATTCAACATATCAGCACTCAAGAATCACATAGTACACAACGACCACTTGTTTTTCTAGAGAAAAGGCAGCAGCAGGGTCGATCTCGATGCGTTCCGATCCGTGAACTATCAATCAAATTTTCTGTCTCAACAAAAAGATGCAACTACAAGAGAAATCTCTTAAAACAAGGACTGCTAAATGCCATAGGACTTGATTGTGTAAGTAGAAAGTCTGTGCACTAACTCGGGAGTGTACAGTCAGAGTCTGCCAATAATTTTGGGCCATGTTGCAATAAACAACAGACTGGTGTGCGGTGGGGAACCACGAGACTTGATCGTGTACCAAGTAGACCTGTGTCAAAGCAAGGAGAGCAAATCCAGAGTCTGTCTCGGAGGTGAGATTTTCCCAATCTGATTACTACAACACGGTCTCTTGAAAACTCATAGTTCTTCGTAGGAGCTGTTCTGTACTATATTTGGAGTTCTTCATCTTCCTGCCTCCCAACTCTGTGGACTGGAGTCGTTTGCTCTACTCAGCATTTCGCTCTGCGACATATTAGTGTGCGGCAAGCCGGCCCGGGGAGCCTCTTGACTTGATTAGGTCGTAGCACTGGAAAAGCGAGGGTTGATCTGAAATGTGTGGAAGAGTAGTAATTTAGTTGTCGGAGTCTTCCAGGGACCTCGGCCATCTTCATCATGCTCATCTTCTCGAGGTCTTCAAGTGATCCACTCATTTGCTGGATTCTCCGTCTCCTGCCACCTCTGGCTTTACTGTCGATAAAAGTTGCATCATCATCGCAGAAGCATGTCGTATTTATGGGCGTTGTAGGGAATTCATCTCCAAAGTCATCCGGAAGAACAAGTCCTGAGGAAAAAGACACTCAGATGATCCCTCAGATGAATTTCCTATGCCTCTAGCGGATGGATTGGCGACTCTGTGACGCGCTATACGTATATCGATTACGTGTACCGTTTACACCATCGTGGGCGTTCTGGAGCAGGAGGTGGAAGACACAGGAATAGGAATGAAGTAGTGGAAGCAGTCGAGGCCCAGAACCACCATGAGGTGGAACAAACTACGGACGACAAAAATCATGAAAACGATGTGAGCTTTGTGGACGAGGGATCTCAGGTCGCTTCGGCCACATCAAGCCTAGAGTCATCAGAAAATAGTGATAGTGTAATATCTGAACATGAACAAACACAAACCCCTGCTGCCGTGGTCAACGAGGAGAGACGTGAGAGTACGACAAATAAACAACAACTACCGTATCATAAGAGGAGCAAAAGGGGAGGGGGTGATGAACATGAAGATGAGCTCACTCCGAAGGCTATGCTGTGGGAACGCCTCCACGGAAATTGGAGCAGCTATCACAAGTTCAGTACGGCCGCTTTTGATGGTCACATGACGTGTGAATGCTATCGTGCGGGGTATAAAGTTCAAACGATGGCAGAGATCGAGGCCGAAGCAAAAAAAACGGGTGCTTGGCCCCCCGCGTGGGTGAACACTGTAGTCGAGAACCGCCATTACCGGGACCCCGAAACTGGCGATACGCACACTTTCTTTAGTTATCTGGGCGATCACGGTGGATGCCGCGGAGCAAGCGCCGACATTCCCAACGGGTTTCGGTTTCCTGCGAATATCCGAGAAGGATACAGGGATGGTTTCGCATATGATGGTCTGGATCTCGAGTTTATGTTAAGGCTGATGTCTCATCTTCTTCATCTTAATTCATCTTTGCTCCTGCGCCTGCGAGCATCAGCATCGCAATCACTTCTCCTAAAGAGTATGTATTTGTACCCTGCTTCGCATATTACTGCAACTGCGAAGCAAGATTCTCGTAGTCTTTGGTCTTCTGAATTATATCGCATGCTTTTCAGGGTCCTCGTGGTTCTCGGAGGTCAGGCGGGCTGAATTACGGACAGGTACAGCATTAATCAGGCTCAAGCATGTTGTGAAGCATTTAGAATTTGATGAAAAACCCGCACGAAGACTGCTGCAGGAGCCGAGTGGTGCATCGAAAAAAATGGGACCGCAAAGGGGTCGTGAACATAGCGACCGCGTTAGTAGTACAGAAGAAGGCATGATAGGCAAGAACAACCACAATCATTATGGCAGTAAGACCACGAAATGCAGCTAGTGCTTCAACACCAGGTGTACTTCTCTTCCCGTTACTCCAGGTTTCAAAAACTACAAAAAAAGTAAATGTACTTTTAGAAATTTCAATTTGAGTGGTGGATCATGAGGATGCATTTCCTACTTCTTCCCATTCCCTGACCTTCCATGATAGAAAAGTTTTCACCGCAGCACTACTTCTTCTAAAAGAGGAAAGATCATGATCTTGATCACAGTTGCTGTGGCACTGAGATAGTTGTAGATGTGAATTTTAAGAATAGTAGTAGCACTACTTGTTCTTCTAGTACAAGTACTCCTCGTCCGATGCTGCCGGAAGCCGAAAGGCAGAAAGACAAAGACCATCACGATCAACGGCAGAGGGAAAGCAGCATGACAAATAATCGAGTGACGCATCTGAGTAAGGCTTATCGCAATACATCTTAGCACATTTTTAATTATCTCTCTGTCTCTCGGGCTCCACCTTAGGTTCTGAGAATATGTGGGTAGAAATTAACTAAGTCGTGAAGTATTCTGCGCTAATCTCATACTAAATTTTGGATGGTGGCCACATTTTCGGGACCTAGACCGATTGCCGCAGATATTCTCCGCAGCGAGGTCAGTTGTGTCTGGCAAAGCAGATCGGGTTCTCTGGAAAGATAGGGATAGCAGATATTACTTGATATTCGTGTCTGCTCGTCTCTGGTTTCAACGAATCATGCACGTTACTTAACTTTTCACCACTTTCTTTTCAATTGCAAATATTTGTACTTCATCTCAATTTCTCAGATGCGGGTGGTGAGTTACGCCGACGAATGATGTTTGTTCAAGAAATTATTATTATTACCAAACATAATTATCAAATCTCTCCTCTTTGTCTTAGACAGAATGACTCCTGTTACACTACGACCACTACGCAGACGTCCATTTTCATCAAGTAACATCAAACCAGCACAGTCTGTAGCCATACTAAAACGTGGAATAGTTGTCTAACTCGAGGGGTACTCCAGCAGCTGATGGACGGCCAACACCGTTTGTGGAGCTGGAAAGGCGTGTTCGAAGCTTGGCTGCCAGTGGAGCGCTGACTTATGTGCCATTTCCGCGTACATGGGCAGAAGTCGGTGAAAAATGCTTCTGCGACCGGGTCCATTTCTGCTGTCCAGAAATATACGCGGAGCATAACCAACTCATCGAGGCGCATATTTATGGAAAAGGCCTGCAGTAAGGTGATCGCGGCTTGCGGCTTAAGTCGTCTAGCTAGTACAACCTATCATTCTGCCGGTCGCAATGGTAGCGGTTGCAGAAGATGTTGATGGAGGGGGAAACAAATAGTAATACACAGATACATAGAGCTGCTACTAGTAAAGCTTTATTGTGATTTTGAACTAGCTGCATGCCCCCTCTGTCTGCCCACCGACGTAGTGGACGTATTACCTCCAACTAAAGAAGTCTTGTTGATTTTTCCTCCAGGGAGAGGGAGACAATGGCACTCAATCTCCATGCGAGCGAGACAATCCACACAAACTACCTGCATCTATTAAGCGTGAGCGTCAACAAGGTTGTAGACAGAACGAAACAAGAAAAATCCGTCTGCTGCTGGCTGTCACACTTGATGCGATAACATGATGCAACGTCTAGCCAACTCCCGGAATTATGAACCAGTCCCCACTAGAGCTCACGGGATGGAATAACAGAGTTCACATGAGAAAATTCCAACAGAAGTCCTTGGCGCGGCTCGATCTCTTTGATTGAAAACTCGTTCAGAACGTTCCCATTCCTCCTGCCGCTGTCGTTCACATTCTAGTAGAAACTTAATAACTACAGCCTGGACCACGAGTTCTTGAATCTGTGTCGTCTTGCCTCCAGTACCAGTTTAGGGTTAAGTACTTACTACTTCAAGCGACGCGATGATGATGGCGGGAGGTCTGGAGCAAGCTTTTGCGTCCGAGGCCTCTGAAGAAAGCAGATCCACGTGCGAGAAGGCTGCCGCCGCTGGGCAAGAGGCGTCTTCTACTTGGTTTCCCGCAGAGGAGAACATGGATTTCCTGATGGATCCGACGTGCTTGCTAACGAAGCACGGATTTGAAACAGCAGACGTGCTTGGTTTTCTGGGAGGTTGTGTCTTGACAAAACTTGCTGTGTATGGTTGCCTCGTGCGTGTCTGTCAAAGGTGGCAGCCCTGTCGACGCTTCCTCACTCGCACACGACCGGGATCGGCACTGTCGGCAAGGATGCAGGAAAGACATCCATACTTCGTGGCGTGGTTTCATGCGAAATCGCAGGAATGGGCCCTCCAGTCAATCGAAAACCGAGCCCGTCGCCGAGAAAGGCTGCGACGCTTCTTGCCTATGATGGTCACCACGTCGGGTGTCTTCGACCAAGAAAAAGTACAACGATATGAACAAAGGATAAATGAAAATGGAGGACAACCACGCGAACATCTAGATCGGTTCAGAAGAAAAACATCGACCGCAAATGGGTCCGCCTACCTACACCGGAACTTTTTGGATGAGAGAACAAGCGCGACCAGCTCCGACACGCTTGAAAATGCTGGACAGGCGGCCGTCGTGTCTGCTCCCCAAAGGGAGGGCCACGTTTTTTTAAGGACCATGCTTACTTGTTTATATTTTCTTTTTCGCTTATCTTCAACATTTTTGTATTGATTTTTTGAACATTGCGCAACACAATCTGGAGGTTTTTCGATAGCAAATAGAAGACCGGGAGTTCTAGAGCAGGACCAATGAGCTTGATTCAATGGAATTCCAATTTCAGGTTGGACATCCAGCCTCTATGTGTTCCGAAAGTTAGGCAAACTACCTACGCGCTATAGAGTGGATTTGTACTTAGCCGCGTTGAAGAAAGATGCCGTTAGCACGTCAACATGCACATCATAGACCCCCACTTCTAAAAAACGATAACGATTTACAACGAAGTAGAAGAACAGTAGCAGCTGCAATACCGCAACATGAAGAAAAATTGCACGCCAATTCTAAACTTGTGGAGCAACCCGGCAATCTCGGTGTTGGGATGGTTGAAGCGATAGCTCTTTTTAAATGTCTGTGGCCATTCGTGTTTCCGATAGCGATGTACGTCAACTTTCGCCTCTACTTTAAGCGTTGATCCCAGTTCGTTGCAATATAATTCTTGTATTTATCTCATGACATCCTTGGTTAGTCCAAGTCGTCCCTATCAAAATATTTAAATCTTGTATTTCGTACTTGAGTTAGCTTAGTTCGCCTTCGCTCTACCATTTGGTCTACCATCTGATAAGTGGACGAGAAAATCATTTTTTGCAAGGAGCTTTGCAAAGCCGAAGTCTAATTGCTGCACAATTAACGAAACGCGTCTAGAAAAACAGAAAATTGCGATGGCAGAAAAGTTACGCTTGGAGGAAGCAGAGAAAAATAGAAGAGACTGACTCTGGGATCTGCGATTCTTGCCTGCCTACTTTGTGTCATCTAGGTTGATGTACAGGTTCTTTGGAAAGACTGACATTGATGATATTAGCAGATCTTTTGAAACTGTCACATCATGCGTTGGTCGTACCATGGACGCAGATAGTAGATCTTAATGACAGCGTCTTTTTTTTTTTACTGCCTGCACAACCTCCAATTTTTTGTTGAGTACTGAGGTTGATCATGAAGACATGGTGATCACGGTGATCCTCACAGGTAACGACCTCTGTAGAATTCAAAAATTCAAAAATAACTGAGCTTTTCGCTCTGGTCTCCTCACAACGGCCTACAAACAGCGTATTTTTAGCTGCTGAGACCCATCTGTACGTCAAATGGCGACTTTAGTGTCGTTGTTGTGTTTGAGCCACCACACGAAGGCATCACGTAAGTGGTTCTATCAGTCTAACTGAAGTGCCATTTTTCCGATAGATGAGGTGAGGGAGCTTGTTGTCGTCCATGTGTTCACCTTACTCGGTGCTATTTGCTTTATTTTTTCTTAAAGAAGAGATCGTTGTAGTTTGTTGAGCTTGAGTCCAGAGTTCTTTGCTTTTGGGAGGACTTCTGTTGTAGAAGTAGAGACGAGAGGACGGCTGCTCTGTGGACGACGACGAGAGATAAAATTCAAAAAAACCTACTTTCTTAGATGAAAGTTCTTGAAAGAGAAAGACTCCGTCATTGTCTTTCTTAGATGAAGAGTAAGAGATCGACAGTGGTCAAATTACCACCCATGATCTTTCTGTTGAGACACAGACTTCGGTCTCCCCATCAACGCATCTGTAATTTCAGAGCGTGCCTCCTCCTCTACTCGACGGATGTTCTTGATGAAGAGGTCATCTTCTAGCAGGGCATCTTATTACAACAATATCACGAACAAGCCTTCCACCGCTCCTTTGTTTTCGCAGTGAGGTTCATGATTCGTTGTTATTCTCTAATAGGTGGCAATTTCTTTGTTGGTGATCGCGAAATCCTAGGTTGTGAAGACATAGTCCAATGACCATTTTTCATTTCTGCATCACCTTTGCCATTGAAGATTGAGTCCTTGTAAGATTGAGTCCTTGTAGAGTTATAGAACAAATTTTCAAATTGTAGAACTTTGTTCTCAGATAAATAGGACAAGCTCATCAAATCATCTTTGCCCCTAACAAGTAACAATTACATTGACTGTGAGTGTAAGTCTCAGGTGTAGTTTTCGAAGCTAAACATAATTTCTTTGTCTGTAGTACAGTTAACAGTACTTCACGTTTGCGTTTCTACTTCCTTGAAAGCATTTATAAAAATGCCCGGCAACAAGAGTGAAGTTCACCCAGCCCTCCAGGTGGAGCTGCCAGCGGACCTGGAAACTAGCTTTGACCTACATTGCCATATGATTGAGCCAGTGGAGATCTACGATAGGGTATTTATAATTATTTTGAAAACTATATCAAAACTGATGATGAAGCTCAAGCTGCGAGAGTAGATGCGGATCATCCGCCGTCCTCGTAAGTGGGTTTCGATCACGTGTAAACACCATCTTCAAGTCTAGAATTTGTTCTTCAACAAGAGTAGAGACCCAGCACGTGCGTACCAGGTCTCGCCTGGTCGCTGAATCAGTGTCGGCCAAGAATTATTTGTTCTTGACTGGGAAATCTTAGGCACGTTGCTGAACAAGTTTAAATCATCACATAGTGACACTTCTTACTTCCTCCTCGTTTTCGCTCAGGTGCTTGGTACATTGCAGCATATCATACAGGCGAACAAAGAAACCGACGGTAAGGCACGGAAAGTGCCACTAGAGGATGAAAAAATGAAGGTACTACTTAGTTAAATCATCTTTATTCCGTTTCCATACATCAAGAACATCATATCAATGTCTCTGATGAAGTCCGATTCCAACTTACAGACTGTGTCATGCAGGCACTCAAACACGCAAATACTTACTGGTTTACAACGAGTAGATCATGATGCTGATCTCTAAGACTAGAAAGTACTAGATGACACTTCTAGTTCTAAAAGAGAAACGTCGAAATAAGAATATCGACAAAGGTGGCTGTGACGTCGGTGATTACCGCCATTGAGGCGTTGATGTTCCTCGGATTCGTGTATGACAAGAACGACAATATCTTGGTTCTCCCGGAGGGCAAAAAAATCGAGGATCCGGATAAGTGTCTCGCCAGCATCGATCGTGCGGCCAAGTGGTATCAGGAGGTGTTCGGTGCGGCAAAGTCTGATCCACGCAACGCGGACAAGGTCAACAACTTCGCGGAGAAGAACATCACTTTTCTGAAGCGAACTCAGGCCTACAAGGATAAAATGGAAGGCTATTAATAAGTAAATAAGAATTGCAACAACGAGCTCGATGATGATGGTCGTGAATCCATCAACATTTAGATTTACACTTACAACTTCGTTGTAGTTGATGGTCCTCCATCTCCATGCCACCTACTTCTACAATTTTAGAATTCTGATTGTCGGTATTCGCGTCTCAAATATTAGGACTTGTTATACATAGAGAAGGTGAAATAGTATAAATATATTCTAAGAGGATGGAGTACTTCTACTTTAATTGAATCAGCTTCAGCAACTAGGCCAAAAAATAGATGAAATAAAGGATTGAAGACAATGAGTATATCATTCGAAAACTCGCTCTTTCTGCATATAATGTTCACGTTTCTAGTTTCTGCTGATAATGCTATAATGCGCTCATCAGATGATAAATATAGGACGAAAATAACCATGATGAAGTTACTTAAGTAGAGAACGACAACGACTACAAAAAGACGCCCAATAACAAGAACTATGATGAAGTCACGACGAGGACGACACAGAGTATTTTCATTATGATTGATGGGGATGGTGGTTACGTTGTACTCAACGCTGATAAAAATATTTCTCCTCGTGAGTTTGAACTCGTCTCAAAATGCAAAGAATGTAACAGTAGTTGCTCGTAGATGAGACGGTCGGGCGTGTTCTCGGAATTTTCTTTGCTTCTCATTCTCCGAGCAAGGTCATTATTTCATGCCGATCACCTTTGCATATAGTTATAGTCACAAGGTCAAGATGGTGCCATAATTCAGGAGCAGGACGAGCTGAAGCTGGCCGCATACCCAATCGTCAACCTATTCAAGGATCGGTCGAGGTTCCGAAATAGAGGAGACACTCCTTCCAACTTTACGGCGGCCATTGTGCTTCAACTCGACGCAATTTCAATTTCAAAAAACTCGGCGCAAATAAATGAGTACAAGAACAAGAAAAACGATAACTACGAGCAAGCAGTGCGTACATTAGACGTTATATCACTAACGCGCGGGCGCATCAAAAAAGAGACCAAAACATCATGGTGGAAACAAGTAAAGGTCCGAGTAACACCATGTCTTCAACTACATCTAGTACGGCAGCGAAAGCAGATAAAAAAGCGGCTTCTTCATATGGCAAGGCAAGCAGGCATCATCCAGTCGTGCTCGTTGAAGGCAAAGTACGAAAAAAATGCGAAGCCGTAGAACGCGATACGATTTCTCTCAAGGAAAAACTCAGTAAATTCATTTATTTTTGCTATTTTTCAATGACGCAATGGCTACTCATTAAAGTAGTTATTTCTTACTCCCACCTATAAAATTTTAAAAGCCTTCAGGACGAGGAGGTGGATAATACAAAGTTGATAACAAATCGAATAGATTTTGACCAGCAGGACCTGGACCTGTGTTTATATAATATTTATAAAAACATACGCGACCACCTACTAGTCGTGGTCCGGAGAGGCTTCGAGGCCGCACGAAGCGAGCATCAGGGCGAGATCGAGCGGCTCGACCGTCAAAGTACTGAAATTGCACGACAAACGGAGACATGTGTAGAAGAAACCCGGTTGGCGACTGCGACACGAGACGAGCAAACGCAGGCGATGAGCAGCTTGCTGAGCGACTTCAGACGACTAGAAGCTCGGCGATCGGCACTGAGTCAACAAGTGGCAACGACGGAAGCGAGTATACTCACTCTCAAAGGACAGATCGAAGAGGCTAATGCAGCTTTGAGAGATCTCGACGAGAATTGCGCGCAGGAGCAGGAGAGTGGTGCGGGTAGGTCAACTCCTTGACTTTCTGTTTCATAGATGACCTTGACGGCGAATCGCCTTTGAGTTTTTGATTTCACAAATGGGCACGCCTGTCTAGTCCTAGACGAGGGACCCGCTCGACCTAAAAAGCAGCGTCGTTGATATTTCGCTACAAAGAAACATCATACAGAGCACTTACTTAGATCCATAATCATACTTATAATTATAATACCCACTAAGTAGTACAACTGGCTCATCATTTTGTCACATCAACCATACCAGATAGAATGGAAGATCAAGTAGATAAGTTTTCTGCAGGTCGTTTTTTCACCTTCTCAAACAGCAAACGACTATCATGCAGTGACAAGCGTTGATTCAGTGCAAGAGTACCGACGGGAGGCTGAGCTGGGTTTTTCCCGCTCTACAGCTCAGATCGCGGTAGAGCGTCAGCAACTTGAAGATGCCATCACTGCAGCACGCGGAAAACTCAAAAATTTTATGGACCACAATAATGAAGGAGGAGGATCATGACCATATTACTTAGAGGTTGTTAGTAGAGATTAAATGATAAAGGGCTGTAGCTGTACAGTTCCGTCCGCAGAAGTAGAAGTCGGACGGTTGCTTTTTGTCTGAGTGATGAATAAGAACTTCAAGAACAGTAGTTATGATACCGCTCCTTTGTGATTCTCGTGAGATAAATGGAGAAGTTTTGTGCTGTTGTGTCCCCGAAGATCAAGATTACTAGACAGAAGATGAGCAGTAGGAGATGAAAATTTCTTTACTCCGTTCATGTCGTTGAGCAATTTGGTCTACACGGAGCGTGGGGAGCTGGAAGCAAAGCGAGGGCGATATGACAGAACGATACGGGAAGCGCTAGCAGAGCATGCGCATAGAATGGAAGCACACAGTCACGAGAAAACGGTGCTTAACGCGAAGTTGTTGCAGATCCAAGGCTTGAACGAAAAACTGGAGGCCCGCCTTGCACAGGGACTGTACTAGAAGTCGTGGAACAGAAACAGTGTCGCTTAATGATAAAGATATTTGCTAGGTACTTATGAAAAAGGTATAAGTATTAATTTAGTCGTCGGGCAGATGAACAAGACGAACAGGTGTGGCGACGTGACAACTAGAGCTACCATGCTAGTTGTGGAGCGCGACTGGCGTCAAGCATGTGGCCACCAAGACCTTTTCTGCTTGCAAATTCCGATTGCGGAAAGTTCGTCCTTGCTGCACCGAGGAACAGGAGAAAGTCCGAGCAAGGTCTGCTGATTGTTGTTATGAGTCAGCCGTGACGTCAAGATCAACACCAATTAAGTACTTAGAACTGCGATAACGATCCTTAGACATCTCTGCAGTTGCAGTTGTTCCTTCAGCAGTGTCTAGATCGATGATGCGCGTGGGCGAATCTAGAAAATGATAATTAAGCGAGTCTTTATTCTACTCATACTTTATTTTCTGATCCTTGCTGGCAAGTTTAAAAGATCATCTTTCTGACTGCGAAATGCTGGCTAATGTGAAAGTTTTATTCTAAATGAATAGTGAAGCAAGCTGATCTTTCCGGTTCTGGGAGGCTCTAGTACTAAAAATGATCAAAAATTATCGTTCCTCATGATGTTGATATTGTTTTAATGTTTATGTGACTTTTTAGAAAAAATTGATGATTTTTTCGTGTTCCACGACTACGTCCAGGATAATTCTACTTGGCTTGAGACCACTACGTCGGCATAATTAATTGTTTCTACAGCTTTTTTTATTAATGGAACAATTCCTTTGATTCTTCTTGCGACCGCAACCAAGCATGATTGTTGATTTTACGCTATTGATTTTGGTCCTATAGTTCCCGTACTAGGTAGAACAAGAAGGTTCGTTTGGTGTCTAAATTCTTTGAGATATAGACAAGAAGGTAAAAACTAGAAAAATGGTCGAGGTTGGTTTATTTGTACGCGAGTGCTGTATGTACTTCGAGCAACTTGGCGAGGCTGACAGGGAAAAGTTGTTGCAGCGGCTTGAAAGTATCCATCTCGACAAAAAGATTAAGGAGAACAATGACGCCAGTGGCAGCAAAATGAATGGAGCAGCGACAGCACCAGGCCCAGGTGGAGGTGGTAGTTCGTCGTCTTCTTCAGCATATTCAGCACCGTCCCTGCTAGGACACGGAAACATTGTGAGTTTTATGTCGGAGGAAGAAGGGTCCTCGCTGCTCACAAGGAACGACTGCGTGAACGGCGAAAACTACGACACTTACTGCAAGAAGGTGCGCACGTGGCTGTCCCTGATTGCGCCCGATATCGAGAGGCGGCAAATCGACAAAGCCGCGATCGCAGCGGGTACCTACCGAGACTTGACGCAGGACCAGATGGGCGCTTTCGAACGCATCTTTCGGAGAGACGCAGACCGAACGGTCTTACTGGAGCACCGACGCCTAAGATTCATCGAAACCTGCCGACTAGTTTTCCACGACGTCAGGGACTACCATCAGGGTGGCGGCTTCATCACGGCTTTCCTCTCGTTCTTCCTGCCAGACGAGGAGGTGGTTAAGGTACCTAATTGATAGATACAAATACTCGAGGTCTGTTAAGCCTGAAGATACAAATACTTGTTGAAAAATAGTTGACTTGAAAAAGAATAAGAATAACTATCATTTAAGTAGAAATGTTCATCATGTTGATGATGTTAAAGATACGTGACTTTTTGACTAGTAGTGGTTTTCCCCTTCTTTCGCAGCTCTTGTAAGAATGACGAGCGATCGCCTCTTCCTCTCTTCTATCGTTATTCATAGTGAATCAAATATCAATTACAACCACCTCAGATTATGTGGCATTTGAACCGTGAGGAGATGAAGGGGTATTTCAAGGGCGCGGCCCAGGGTTTTGTCGCGGACAGTCGTGTTTTCCATGTGCTGATGCAGCAGTTCGTGCCTGATATCACCGCACACATGGAGAAACACAAGATGAACGCAGAGAATATGCAGATGTGGTGCATCAAGTTCTTTACGGGCTTGGGCGTACATTTTATGCCGTTCTCGTGCCTTTTCACCTACATGGAAGCCTGCCTCACGCACGGAAGCGTTTTCTTCTTTAAATTCGGAATTGCGTGGCTGCAGTTTCTAGAAACACACTTGATGCTCTGCAAGAGCACTTCCGAGCTGCAGACACTTTTGCGTACTTATACACTCTTCTTTTATTTGAGTAACTAGTTATTAACGTTACTATTTCATCTTCTACTTTTCTTTTAGAACAATTTGAAAAAACATCTTCCTAGAAGATAACCAGAATGCAGTGGACCTGCCAAGTATGATTATAGAGTTCTTAAAATCAGGACAACTAATAATTCTGATGATGTTCTAGTAGTTCTAGTAGACAACTTAAGAACTCGTAGTTTTCAACTTTAAGCATCTCGCTAGCACTTGAGCGAGTTTCATACATTCTTCATCCATTTAATTATATTTCCGCACTACAGGTAACGACCACCCAACGGACCACTGCAAAAGTCATCCAGCTTTATTCAAGAACGCAGCGGAGGAGAGTGCGATATTTGAGGAGATAATCGCGAAAGCGCACCAAGTGGATTTGAACAAATTCGGAGACTTCGATGCTTTGCGAAAACAGGTAGCGACGGAATTCGAAGAGATCATGGAAGCGAGAAGACAGCGAATGCAAGAGCTCGCAGCAGAGGTCGATAACTGTGATGACGATTTTTCTGACGAGGAGGACTAGGAGCGCTAGCCTTGTTCTACTTGGTTGCTATTGCTAATTTTAACAAAAAAGAGAGGACTAAGTCCTATTAGCTCCTTGGTTTGCAAGGGAAAATATCGCCACTTTCCACGCCTACTTCACCCCGCGATGGACGAGATGCTACCTCCTGCCCACATAATCATTCCATTTCCAAAAAAGTGAACCCTCCAGTTTTCTGCAAAAATATTCAATTATTTGTGGGCCAAATTCTAGCTCCATGCAGCGTGTTCTTTGCCGCTTCTTAAATCTCTAGCAAGTTGACTTTATTTTTCGGTTCAAACGTATACTTCGGTCGCGATCGACATCGAGCTCGTCTACGTCTCAGACGGTGTATTTGCTTTGCTCCGTTGCCCGTGACTTCTTGACACTGCTATCAGGAGTTCAAGATTAAGCATGGGACGAAGATAACGAGCGTCTTATTTTGCTCGGTCTACGTTCTCGGTCTAATTTTACGACACTCTTTCGGATTCGGATGTGCGTCGTGATGGTTGAATTTGAAACCCCCAACGTCAAGTAACATTGTGTATCGACGCTGAGTTCGACCTGGCTTGAGTATGATGAATGTCGATGGCAATGCCGGATTACATCGGGTGTGAACAATGTGATAGCTCGTGGAGGTAGTGCATCACAGCGCTTACAAATTAATTACTTGTAGATGGAATGTTCGGTCAAGGCCGAACTGAAGATTCAGAGAGACGATGAGGAACAGAAGAGCGCTCCACGAAGGTGCCTGATAATTCATTCCCATTTCGATCCCCAGAAAACCTACCTCTATGAACTCGCATTGACTGGCCGTTTTCCCCTACCTGTAAATATGTAACCTTGCCACTGCCAGCAGTTTATCCATGTTTCTGTCGCCTGGTGGTTATCGATTTACTTACAGCATCATTTAAAAATAGTAGTGCTAGTGGCGCCGCTCATTTATTTCACGGTGGGGGGCAGGTATCTGACTCCTAATCTGATAGATGTTGATTTTCTTGATGCGAATTCTTATTTCATTTAATGTAGATCCTCGATGCCGATCCACAATATTCGTAGCGTGCTTGTCGTCGTATCTTCAAAAAATAGAAGTTACCATCCTCAGTGTATGCCTTGTCAGTAGCTAGTAGTTTGTATGGAAACCAGAACATACTTGTGCACGACAAGCAGCCTGTGAACCGTCACCAGGAGACCGAACGCGAACCCTAGAGTAACACCTTGTCCTAGAACTACAACAACAATAGCGCTAAAGATGCAGCAACAGACCCGAGGTTTGACGGCGTCGTCGTCATCGCGCGGCGGCGCCACCATTAAAGGCGCAACCTTGCCGAGCACGACGAAAGTCCTGAACAAGCAGGAAGTGCTGCAGCTCAGAAAATACCAACGCGGGCTCAAAGATCTGGAGGTATCTATGAGTGATTATTTTGGACGAGATGAGGAAGCTGTAATACATAGACCGTTTGCAAAAATCCATCATTTTTACAGCGTTTGGCGAGTACCAGCAGCATGCGACTCGTCTCAGTCTGTACGTAGTTATCCGTCAAGCCATGATGAATTCAACGTCTCTTTTTATCTAAGTAACCACAATCCCACAGAATGAGCGCACCAACGGGCTTATTGAGCAAATCGCGCAAATGAAGGAAGCGTTCCTGCTTGCGCAAAGGAAACGGGAATATCTTGCGAATCTCTACAAGGAAAGGCGTGAGGACGTACTGCGTCAGCTGGCCGAGATGAGAACGGAAATCGAAACCACCTTTTATGGCAAATTCATGATGCTACCACAACCACACCAGCTTTTACTGTTGTAAAAGCTTTACATGCAGTGCTAGAGCTGCTTATTTCGCTCGAAGTACCTTGCTTTACTTGATTAGATTCACCGGGATCACTAAGACTAACTGTAGAACTAGCCAGGGGGGCTAGTGTCTCTTTTTTTCTCTCTCCTTGTGGTAAAAACAAACGTTGTACTTGTACTCACATCATTTTCGTAGACGTATCAATCTATGTATTAGATCAGAACGACGATAATTAGATCCAGTAGATGATAGCTCTGTGTACTTATTAGTCCATTCGGAATCAGAGTCTGGAGTGTCATTCATACAAGCGCTCGCCTGCACAAGGAATTGAAGGACTTTGCAGCGGATTGGATGGCTACGAAAGAAGACGCTGTGCAAGAATGGCTTGACACGCTTGAAGAACGCAGCCAAGAAATAGAGGAGTCCTTCCGGAATCTGCGAGTGAAAAATAGTGAGTAATATTCACAACTACGCACTTTTACTTTTAATAGGACCCCCAAGAATATTATCGCGTCTTGTTCAATTGATTGCTTGTTTATGTCGTGGTCAGTAACACTGTCATTTCATTCTATCAATTAATATAGATATTTTTGATATGTGAATCTGAATCGTTGACGTGCGCAAAATGGAGATGAAGTTACTTCATGAGATTCGTCATCGACCTTAACTTCTGCATATTTTTGCTTTGCTTGTTTTTTACCGCTGTTCCACTTTCTCCTCCACCATGTGCTCCATTTTCAGGGTCGATGCTGCGATCGAAACGGAACGGGTGGAGAGGCGGACGCAGATCGATGACGCGGCGGAGAAGGTTCAAGGGAGATTGGACGAGATTCGTCAAGGACTGGCAGAGACGAAGACTGAGAGACTAGCAGAACAGGCGCGATACGAGGACAGCTTTCAAACTCATTTCTTATGAACGATGATGTTGTTCTTTTTGATGTGATTGCGTGAGTATAATAAACTAGCCTCCACAAGCTTCGCCCGGCTTCAAGTTAGTTTAGCACTTTTCTGCGGCCTCCCACGGGCTACAGCCGCTAGAGTAGAGACAGCCGGCGGGTGAGCTGATGCACCTTACGAATTGACTACGACAAGAGCCGAGTGCCGGCGGTGGCCGACTCAAATGCGTCGTCTCATGTGCAGGGCATTGCGCTGCCTTCGGTTTTTTTTTTGAGATTGCCGGGCGGGTCATGCAAATTCTTAAGAATTTGCAAGACCCCCACGGCAGTCCAACAAAAAAACCAGAAGAGAGCCACCAGACACGCACAAGAATCCGCAAGCCCCAACGCACGCAAGCGCCTCGCGGTGGCGCCAGGCAAGAACGAGGGGCGACCTTGATGGGCCAAACAAGACAAAGCAACGCAGGGCCGCGCTGCTTGGGTCTCTCTACGCGCTTACACCTGGCGGGGCTTCTTTGTTTCGTCAGA